TCAATCTCACGTCCCGGCAAACCATCTGCCGCAGCCAAGACCAGCCAGCCGGCTGCACAGATCGCCGAGGGTTCAGAGGATGAAACTCCCAACGGTATTGCAACCAAGGCCAGCCACCATGCTCGCGGCTTCGGCCCACATTCAGCTCGTCGGGGTCTTGAACATCTTCGCACACCCACAGCAGAGCGGGACCAGGTGCCAAAGAAAACCAAAGCTGTCAGAGCTGCATCACCGACCGAGGAAGACCGATCGCCGAAGAAGACCAGAGTCACCCGGTCGGCAGCGAAGTCGGTGGATGATGCACCGGCGCAGCGCACCAGGAGTAAGGCTGACACCTCGCTTGGTCCCAGAGCCAGGCAAAAGCCACAGAGGTACATCCAGTAGTCAGCGGTGTTGTGTCTTTGTCATGTGTCATCATCGGCACTCGGTCATCATATAAATCGGTACTTGGTATTTGTCGGACTTGGTATATAAAACATGGTAGTACAAGGTCTGCTAGACTACTGGGCAGTGGATTTTCCACTCCCCATTTTCTTCAACCCCAGTTGCAATATAATTAAAGGATCATTAACCTGATTGGCCATAGTCATCATATGCTCAATCCTAGCAATATCTTCCCTGGCTCCAGCAAATCGGTCCCGCGCATCCCTGTAGGAGGATATGAGATGCCGGTCTGCATCTGTCACATCTGGGGGACAATTGGCCTTGGTCATTGGCTTTCAACACTCGGTAAAAACACTTACCTGACTGCCCCATCAGGGCATCAATTGTTTGAAGCCTTTCATCGGCTCGGCGCAGCAATTCCTCATGTCTTGTGAGAATCTCGCTCGGTGACCGATTTCGCAGTGCCGAGGATACAACAGGTGATATTCCCGACCGGCCCGAGGTTACCGGCCCAGTGCTCGGCCTTCGCCCAGATCCACTGTAGGCTGCATTGATTGCCGACATTCACCTTTAAAGTCGGCTGCCGATGCAGAAGGGTCCTCCCATGGCATATCTGCAGCTGCCAAAACTGCACCAGCAACCGTCGTGCCGACTCGGCGTCGTCCCAAACACATGTCATAGGTCGGCGCATCTTCGGCGTCATCCCAACACAGGTCATACTGACCTGCAGCTTGAGTGGGAGAATCGGTGGGTGCGGGATCTCCCTCGCCATCCCAGCCCATGTCATATGCTGTGATCGGTCAGAAATCGGCAATTGGACACATGAAGTGCACTTACTTTCATTGCCGAATTGCAGTTCGGCCGAGGTACTTGCAGTCGGGGTCACCAGCTGAGGCACTTCATCTACCTCGGTGCCCCACAACATCTCGAATTCTTACATGTCATCAGTGATCATGGATGGTCCATTACATAAAGGACTTACTTTCGCTGCCAAATTGCTGTTCGGCCGACGCACTTGCAGTCGGCGTCACCACCTTCGGTACTCCATCCTCCTCGGCGCCCCAGCACGTGTCGAATTCTAATATTTCGTCAATAATTATCGCTGGTCGATCACAAAAAGGACTTACGTTCATTGCCGAAATTCACCTCGGCAAGTGATTCTGGGTTTGCCGATGCGCTGGCAGTCGGCGTCGCTACCTTCGGCACTTCATCGGCCTCAATGTCCCAGCACATGTCAATTTCTTATTTCATTCATTAGTAAAGGTTAAAGCGAAGTGTTAGCAAGTCATCACTTACGTTCATGTCCGAAGTATTGCTTGGCTAGCTCTTGCCGCTGATTTCTTCCTTGATGGCATGAGTGATGTAGGATAGTCAATGGGTGATTTCGCTTTGGGTGGGATGGGACGCTTGGGGGGAATGGGAAAGGTGTTGAGGCCAACAGGAATCCAACTCTTTTGAGGGAATGGAGTCGGCCACAGCTTTGGCGGAATCCACCGATCCCACGTCACAAAATAGTTCCGATCGGCTTTGATGCGCTCTTCTTGTATTCTACGAGCTTTGTCAATCGGATGTTCGGGTGAATCCATAGTGTTGGCACTCGGTATAGCTTGCCGTGTGGAAGGTGATTGTGCCACTGAAACCCCGATTTGGATCAACAATGCCCAAGTCACACGCCACGTTCCACAACTCGGCAACTGCCGGTGGCGTTACATCGTGCCGATCACACGCTTTACATCTGCGGACTTATTATTTTGAAGTTCAATCCACATCCACAAAAAGTCATTCCCTATATAACTCGGCCAAAACTTGTCCTTCGGTTTCTTCTTTACCTACATAGCTCCTTAAACACCAGTATATTCCGACTACATTTTTTTGATCTTCTATTAACCATGCCGTTCCAATTCGAATCCGACTCTGCTTTGGTGCTCGCCGAGACCAATCTGCGTCACGACATCAAGCGGATCATAGTCTTCCAATCGGATGGAAGCGTGTCAGTTGACAGGTCGCATGACGTCGCTCGTAAAGTGGTGAGTTGTTCTGTTTCTACTTTAGTTTTATTCATGTACCGATCTTTCCCAGTCTCAAGCTCTGAAGGACCATGGCCGAAATGCCTCGGTCATCCCGCCATTCCTGCTGTCTGTGGCAGCCGAGGTGCGGGACACCATGAACAAGTCCATTGCTCCGGACTGGAAGCGAGTCCGGGATGATGATCCCCGGATACATTCTCATCCTTTCTTTGCCAAGACCGTTGGCTATGGTAAGTCGGTTAAATTCTTCTCAGTATCGGCATCCTGACATCTTCCCAGTGAAAGGCGGTAAACCCGCCACCGGACCACCATCAAAGAAACTCTCCGTTCCTCCCATCGATATCCTTCCCACCGCCCCTCCACCAACCACTTCGGTCGCACCTGAACCGACCGCCGACAAGGGCAAAAGGCCTGTTCGTGAAACTCGCAAGCGCCGGTCTGACAGTCCGGTGGCCGCTCCACGCAGCAAGAAGCCCAAGGTCCCTAAGCCAAAGTCAAAGGCACTCCTCACCGACACCGAGGATGACGCCGACCTTCCCACCGGAACAGTTATTGTGACAAAGGTAAATAATTATTTTTCAAATGTTGACCTAGCCACTGACTATCCCTAGAAGTCAACAAATGCCGCGCCGGCCCCCAAACAGGTGAGATTTTCGTCTTCCTGTCTCTCTTCCCTGCTCAGCAATCATGAGTCACAGGCCGATGAGAAGATCGCTCGCACCCTGGCCAAGGGTAAAGGAAAGGAGGAGGAGAAGGAAGTTGCCAAGCCCACCAGAGGCCGACAGATGGCAAAGGCCGATGAAGATAAACATGACGATGAAGATCAGAATGAGGATGAGGATGAAGATGCCAACACCAAGGCCGATCCAAAGGCCGATCCCAACGCCGAAACTGTGAGTTGTGTTGGATTTCACCGACTGACAACACCGACTAACCTCCCAACAGTACAATCCTCCTTGCAAGAGGTGTGGAACGGCACCTTGCCTCGTCTATGTCGGCAAGACTGGGCAGGTCGCCAAGGCCTGCACCAGGTGCCACATCATGAAGGTGAAATGCGACCGACCGGTCTCATCCAGGCCCGCGCGGGCATCCAGGTCCAGGGTTCGCTCCAGGAACACCAGAGCGACCTCAAGTGTGCGTGCTGCCACTCCCATAGTCGAGTCCGAGGAAGATGGCAGTAAGTTCTTTTCTTGTCAATCTCATGTCGTTTACTTAGTCCCGATAGATGCGCCGGTCGCCGCAGCTGCCGACATCGACGTTGAGATGTCGGCTGAGACTGCTCCCCAGGAACCCATCGTCCTCGATGAACCTCGCGTCCTCGCATCGGCCGCCGACTTCCCTGCCGAGCATTGGCAAGAGCCCGATGCCGATGCCGCCCCCATCCCCATTCCCCCGCCGACTCCTTCTGCCGACCTCCCTTCCCTTCCTTCGGCATCATCGTTGCCGACAAACGCCGAGATTTACCAGATGGTCCTTGGCCTTACTTCCAGGCTCGACGCGATGGAGAACGACTTTGAAACTCGCATCGCCTCCATGCGCGCTGAAATGTCGCAACTTCAATACGAGTTCGCCTTCTCCGCGGAAACTGTGCGAGGACTGTCCGGCATGGTTGAGCAAGTTCGGCAGGAGCGGGTCGCCATGAACCACGTATTCCCACCGCCGAGGATGAGCCACATTGGTGGTTCCACCGCCAGCCAATTGGGGAGGAGGTACCTCCCCAGTGTGTTCGGCCCTTCGGTTCCTCCTACCGGCCAGTCATCGGCGTCTGCCATGGTCGGTCGTCCTGACATGCAGGGTGGCACCTTCACATCCGGACAGGCTGAAATGGAGTCAACCATTGCCGGTTCTTCATCTGTTCCTGGTCAAGCTGGTGCAGATGTTTCATCTTCTTCACCTGTTTCTGCTGCGCGCTCCCTGCCCTAATTATGTACCAATCTACATACAATACCTACTTGTACTATAGAATGTGTCGGTCGGCGAAAATAACGCCTGTATATATCACTTTGGAATGAAATGGTTACGGCTAGTGTTACCTTTGTGCGCTAAGTGTCAGTATTTCTCTGCATGACCGATTGTATTTTTACCGATTGTCTTTTGACCGACTGTGATCTGACCGACCGACCGATTTCACCGACTGGTGATTTCACTTTGCAAGACCGAATGTATTTTGTCACCGAGTGTATTTTTACCGATTGTATGTTGACCGATTGTCTTGACCGACTGTGATCTGACCGACCGACCGATTTCACCGACTGGTGATTTCACTTTGCAAGACCGAATGTATTTTGTCACCGAGTGTATTTTTACCGATTGTATGTTGACCGATTGTCTTGACCGACTGTGATCTGACCGACCGACCGATTTCACCGACTGGTGATTTCACTTTGCAAGACCGAATGTATTTTGTCACCGAGTGTATTTTTACCGATTGTATGTTGACCGATTGTCTTGACCGACTGTGATCTGACCGACCGACCGATTTCACTGTGATTTGACTTTGCAAGTATGTTGCGGATGATATGTACTCAATCTCAACATGTTGACTGACCGACATATTCTTGATATACCACCGAGCATCTTTTTACCGAGGGGGTATGTCACCGAGCATCTTTTGACCGAGGGGCTATGTTACCGAGCATCTTTTTACCGAGGGGGTCCGGGGCATGATCTATACCACCTCGGCCCATCTGTACATATCGGCACAACTGCCCATTCGGCCCACCCGTTCAAATCAGGTACATACTGTTTACACTACCTGTCAAGGTTAATAGAAAAGTCTACACTTATCTACTACACTACATACTACACTCTTTGACCGGCCGACCCGTTGGTATCAGATACACACTCCCGACCGGCCGACCCGTTCATATCAGGTACATATTTCATACAATACCTACCATACACTATCTACCAAAGTCAATAGAATGTCTACACTTATCTACTATACCACACACCATGGGCCCATTGATTGTATCAGATAAATACTTGGTGTCGGCCCACCTGTATTTAACAGAACAATACATTCATCGGCCCACATCCGCTGGCCTGTGTAGAACAGGGATATTTCAACCTCGGCTGTCTGTTTCTATCAAGGGTAAAGTGACTGCAGTATGTGCGTGTTCGACGTTACCTCGACAAGGGAGACGCCAAATCAACCAGTAACATGGCTAAGCATGTTAAGAGGTGTTGGGGCGAGACTGCGTATGAAGCTGCACAGGAGGCTAAGACAGCTGAATCAGTGCGTGAATCCATAGTGGGTAGTATGCTCACCACAGGCTCGATAACGTCCTCGTTCGAACGAAAGGGCAAGGGCAAAATAACATACTCACATAGGCAACATACTAAATCCGAGACCAAGTGAGCCCACGAAACATGCATCATATGTGTGACTCACTATGTTTGTAGGGCCGAGATTGTGAGATGGGTGTCAGAGAGTCTTCGCCCATTCGAAGTCGTTAACGATCGAGGTTTTCGGTCCTTAATGAAGACAGGACGGCCAGAGTATTATATACCCTCACCATCCACGGTGTCGCGTGATGTTAAGCTCGTTTTCGCGAACGTGAGGAAACGAATCGCACAGATGTTGCAAGATTACGACGGCGACCTTAACTTTGCCACTGATGCGTGGACATCACCGAACCATAAAGCATTTGTCGCCGTCTCGGTGCACTTGGAACATGAAGGTCAGCCCCTCACGATGCTTCTTGACATTGTCGAGGTCGCAAAAGTATGTATTGCTGCAAATCAACATGAGCAAGGACTAATGATACTACTAGTCACATTCAGGCGTAAATCTTGCGGAAGCATTTGCGAAGATACTAAATGACTTTGGGATTTCAGATAAGGCAAGGTTTAAGATCAACAACAAAACGACTTACTTATTTTCGTCAGATGCTGAGCGTGACCGCCGATAATGCGTCAAGTAATGACACGATGACAACAGAACTCGCGAAGCTCGTTGATCACTTTGGCGGAGAAGCGGCACGCACGCGTTGCTTCTTGCATATCATCAATCTCGTGGCCAAAAGCTTGATAAGAGAGTTCGACGTACCGAAAAACAAAACTGCCGAGTCACTTGACAGCGCAGAACAGGACCTCCAAGATATCGCGGGTGACATTGACATCGAGGACGAAGCTACTATAGCGGTGAATGGTGATGGGGATCCAAGCGCTGATGACGCCGATGATACAGAGGGTTGGGTTGACGAAATAAATGAGCTGGATGATTTTGATCGTGATGCACTGCAGGAAAACATCCGGCCTATCAAGTTGGTCCTAGTCAAGGTGAGCGGAAAGGGACTCTACACACCTGTTGGTTTACTGACTGCAAAAAGCTTCGTAAACTGGCCTACAAAATTATTCACTCAACCACACTCCTGCTGCCGGAATGGAAAGAAGTACTCACTGAACTCAATCTTACTGTCAGGATTATGCCCCGGGACGTCTCAACCCGCTGGAATTCAACGTTCGATATGTTGAATTTTGCGGTTGAATATTGAAAGGCTATCGACACGATTACGGATAGACGAAGACTAGGACTGGGGATGTTTGTGTTGAGTGACGAGGAATGGGCGCTTGCAAAACAGTTGTGTGAGGTCTTGAGGGTACGTCACACGTGTGACGTGACACAATGTCCTATCGCTCACACTTTGAGTTTGCAGATTTTGAAGCACACTACACAATTCTTTTCACGCGGGATGCCCAATCTCGCTGTGGTCATTCCCGCCATGGATCATATTGACAATGTCTTCACTACTGGCATCATCAACACTCACATGCTCGATCCCGCTATACGCGCAGCCCTCAGCCTCGCAAAGAAGACTTTAAACAGGTACTACTCTCTCACAGATAGGTCAGAGACCTACCGTATTGCAATGGGTACGTGTTATAGTCTTTTTTTTGTGTGCTAACATTTGTGTTTGTATTAGTTCTTCACCCACATTACAAGCTCGAGTATTTTAAGGGCGCAGATTGGGAGGACGAATGGATCACTGCCGCACGCAACATCGTGCAAAAAGTGTATGAGCATTCCTATGCTTCACGCAGCGTCCCTGCCAGTGACGAAGTTGAGGCAGCTGTAAACACAATTCAGGTGCGCACCGATTTTTTATTCTAATCACATTCTTTATATTTAAACTTTATATTTAAACTATTCTAGGATGACGACGCCAACATCTTTGACAACTTACCAACTCTCACGAAGCCCGCACGTCCATCTGTGGTCAGCGAACTCGATGCCTACCTCAATACGAGCATCGAGACAGTGGACGACGTTCTCGGATGGTGGAAACGCCAACAGCCGACATACCCGCATCTCTCTCGAATGGCCCTCGACTACTTGTCAATCCCTGGTATGTCTTTTATGGATCTCACTCCAAGTCTACTGATATATTTTTCAGCAACATCGGTTGATGTTGAACGGACGTTCTCTCGTGGCTGTTTGCTGCTTTCACATGTCCGTTCTCGCCTTTCCGCACAAACAACTCGTGCGCTTCTTTGCCTGGGCTCATGGAGTTTACTTGGGTTAGTAAAGGACAAGGATGTAATGTCTGTTACCCGGCTGCCTGACCTTCAAGGTGAGGAGGATGAGCTCAGTGAAGGATGGGATGATATTGTATTAGCATAATCCATGTATCTACATTGTTTTTGAACCATTTTGAAGCTCGTACCCGTTTCATACCCACAGTGGGTGTTGTACCCGTGTTGTACCCGTGGCTACCCGCCGTACCCGCTGTGACACCCATACCCGTTGGTACCCTTGGGTATACGGGTACAGGTATTCACCGGGTACGGGTGCGGGTTACATGTTTGGTACCCGCGGGTTTACCCGTGCCAATGCCTAGCTCTAGTTGGTGAGTTGTTGAAGGCATTTGCATATTGGTATTGTCAAATAATGTTCTGTGTTCTGTAAAGGTCATCGCAACGGGTTCCTCAGACGTGGTGTCCTTCATCGTGACACCAGCGACGGGAACACACTATTTTACATCCCAGAGTTTGATCCAAAATGTGCAGTGCCCATACGACCCGAGGGTGCACCCAAGGAGTGGATGCCTATGAGATATGGGATGGCATCTGATTGGGGATCAGGTGCTGACTGGCGTAACCGTGAAGAGTGGATGAATACACTGAGACACACGGTGAGTCTTTTGAGTTCAATATTTTTATTACGCATTCATAATCAGCAAACAGGGCACTCTACCCTTTGCAGCCAACGAGATCCTGGATGAAAAGAAGGATCATGCGGCGGCCTACGATCTCCAGTCATTCTTCTGGCTCGCTTACCTGTTGTGTTTTAACTGCCAGGGAGTGACATGTCACATCCCATGACCTAGTTAGGAATACAAGTGCCGGTAAAGGTGGCGAGGCCGAGTTTTTGAAAAACACGCACTGCAATCTCATATGCAACACACTGTAATATAATTGAATGAATACCAAACCTGGGGTTTAAAATTAGAGAGCGAGACCTTGAGAATGGAGGAGCAGACTACTAGGAGAACAAACATCAGAGCCTTCCCAGATTTGAGGGTCGGTTCAATTCGGATGTGACTTTAACCCCAGAGCAGACGGCAAAGCAGAATCGCGGGGACGAGATCTTCCCTTCATTAAAGCTTCACTATACCTTCACCTTATATGGCGCCCTTGGGACCCCCTGTACAGTTGTCGTACTTCGCCGACATCTTTTGATCAATCACGCATGCCACATCTTTCATTTCACCGTAAGGAACCTCAAATATCGAAAGGGGAGAGGATACCCTCCCTCATATACAATTACTATCACTGGTATGCAGGCCTCGCATCTAGATGAGCCTTTCTTTTGCACAACAACCATTTTGGTGTTGATCACCCACTTTCAGAGCACCCCGCAAACTTACATCACCGCAAACCGTTCCATGACACCCTTTACAAGCTCCACATCGGGCCTTTCAACCTCCATCACACAGTGCGCACCATCGTCAGTATCGTCTTACCCAAAATGCCTCGGAGGCGCCGCATCAAGGTCGAAGCCCGTCATCCAGCGCGCTGGTGACTGGATGGACTAATTCTGTTCTCTCGTTATCAACAGTTTCGCTGTCTCTCCAAGCGACTCTCACCGTCCACCTCTGGTGACGTCAAAAACACTCCACTTGTCTTTAGACCATTGGTTCTCGTTGTCATTCGCAATTCGAGTAGTTCTCTGCATCTATTTAAAAATCTATCCCAGCCTCACCAACACGCACCTCTACCCACCTACGAAGTTACAGGGGAGCGCTGAGTTGTAGTCCCGAGCGTCAGGTTCGTCCCAATATCGCGAATGTGTGGGAAAGAATCACTTTATCTCCCCAGGGGGAAAAGTAACGAGTTGTCGTTATATTAGCAGCATTTCCCACTGAAAGAACATCGTAAACAGGGGCAAGTAAAATAGAAGGTCTGCTGGCAATCTGCTGGCACTGCAACAGTATCTGTTTAAAGAAATTATGATGTCAAGTTCATGTGAATGGACAGAACACATATAAAAGCAAGCCGTCTTCCTACCGTCCTTCTTCAGATTTATTTTCGAGATCTCACATTACATCTCGTAAACAATGCGTCTCTCCTTCGTCCTCGCCATTGTTGCTGCTCTGACGGTGTCTTCGTCTGTCAGTGCTGAAGAATATTGTCCCAATTTTTGCGTCGATGACTCAGATTGCTTGGGCTGCCCGACCTATGAAAAGTGCATCCGCATATACTACCCACTCGTTGTGAGCATGAGTAGTTTTCATCCAGGATTTCACCCAGACTCACTGGCGTGGTAGGGCACTTGGTTCTGGCAGTGTAAGGTTCCGAGCTGAGCTACAGTCAGTCGTATTTCTGCTTTCACAGATGCAGTGTGGCTAATGGCACGATGCGTGAGTAGTTCGTAGCGGAGTCCTTGCTCCCGAGCAAATTTCACCGCTGCTCGACTCGGAGCAATATAGATCTTAAAGTAGTTTCCAGCACTTGAATGCATAACATATGATTGAAGCACTTTCATCTTGTTGTACGCTTGCAGAACAATAAAGCCCCACATGATGGGCAGTTGGATTTATCGCTGTCAGCCGAAAGGATTGCCGGGTTCTAAAACCTAACTTGCAGATGTTATGTTCCCGTGAAATTAGCTTGTGCACTATACATAGGGCGGGAATAAGCGAGGTACTTCGCTCCACGCACGCATTATACAGTGAACGGTGATTCATGTATGGTACTCGACTTTCTGACCTGGCCAGTGTGATCGGTTCGGAATTTGGTATTGCACAGGTGGCCAAGCGAAACAAGTGGGCTATCAATGTGTAGCCAGCTTGAAGCTGGAATCATGAGTATTTGAAGGGAAGAGTGTTGGCAACGTCTTGTCGAGCGGAACGGAAAGCTCCGTTACATCCGTATCTCTGGCAATCTCATATTCGATGATGGACTATAGTGTGCGATCTGTCAGAAAATCCAATAACACAAAGGCTGGCACTTACATCAAGCAGCGCACCGTCGTCATGTCCGAAAGTGTCCACAAACGCGAACCTCAGCGTGAGAGAAGGGTAGACATCATCAATGGGTGGGAAGAACAGATCTGCGTGAAGTTCGTAAATGTGCAGCCTGTGAACGGCGCGCAGATCACTTACCAAAAGCCTCGTCTCCACTTATTCCACGAGGTTTGAGTTTTGTCGATGAATTCCCCATTGCCTGGCATTCGACCGAGCTCGAAGGACGCCCTGATCTCCGGTGTTTATTAAGATGACGGATGTGATGCTCTACAGACGGAAGATCGGTCCTCGGATCACATCCATACAAGAGTTGTCAACAGACTCTACAGAGTCGCGGCATCGCCCCAGCCTATAGTTTCGTCGGACGATAGGGATCTAGTGGTTGATTTCCAGCATCCCCCAAAGTCAACATCGATGGACACGTCGATGCCTGTGGGTATGGGGCCCAGAGGGGACTTGTATATTTATGGCGCTGATGACTGCGGGTGAAGATCATAAAAAAAACTCACTAAGGCCATCAAGTCTTGATCGAGCGGCCTTCCAAGCCAACGATCATGGGGACGGAAATGAAGTTCAGTGGGAAAGTTTAGTACAGTGGGGAAAGTACAGTGCCAGTTGCTCCGCGCACCTTGCCACGTAGGTATCGTGGCTGGGCAGGTATGATAGACGCTGATGCTGATTCGAAGACTGAAATATGATAGAGACAATTGCATGGTCTAGAGGCTCAGACTGTCTAATGAAGTGGACAATGTCATGGTCAGTCAGCGTCGGCGAAAGCTATGGAGCGGTCCCAGAGAAAACCTGCAAGAGGTGCGTTGGAAACTTCCTCTCTAGCAGAATCATGATGGCGGCAAGCTGCGATCAGTGAAAATGTGTTGAAGCTTGTTCGGGGGTTGTGGGGGTCTGTGTGAAAGATGAGTATCATATGTGGGATATAAACAAATGTCGACAGTCGCATATCATGTGAATCCCGAAGTTTTAGAGTAGAGTGTTCGTTTCTAAGTCTAAACAGATACCGCATCGATAAGTTGTGCGAAGGCACGTGGATTTGTTGTCCTAGTAGCTAGTGCCGCGGATAGGTAAAGCATGCACACGAGGGAAAACTTAAAAAACTTGCCTCGAGCTCATCCCTTTCCTCCCGTCTCCTCCTACTTTTACAGTATATGAGCTAGGGTCACAGCATAGGAGAGAGGCAGTTGATCGACTTCACTTGACTTCACTTGAAGTTTGGTTCGGCCAGTTTAAACTTTACGTGACCTTGTTCGATTCCTTAGTTACGTAAGACATCCTACTCGAGTGCACGTGACAACTGGTTTCCAGGTTGGTACCCGCTGTCTCCTTCAGAATAGGCTGTGGCTAAAATCTCGTTTCTGCTGTGACAGCGTGTCGGACCTGTGCAAAATGTCCTGCTTTTTTGATATCTTGTTAGCAAGCTGAGTGGCCGAAGGCACTTAAAGGGAGGGACGTAACTCGACTCGCCCAGAAACTTCATTAACCGATCTAGTCATCACTGTCCGCTAGTGAATCTAGTTCAACACATTACCGATTATAATCACACACATGGGCATACCTTTGGACAAAGCCTCTCTCTTAGCTTTGTTTCTTGAGACGTTGTTTTATGGTGCGTTACCAACCGATGGAAGAGGTTATGGTGTCAGATTTCACTGTCTCAAACAGGCGTGTTCTTCACTCTGTATTGCTTAACACTGTTCATCCTACTCAAGAAAGATGGCATTAACCGGCAACTCCTTATCCCAGTCGCAACCGTGCTGCTCTGTCTTGCAACAGCTGTCAGTGTACTACTCATTTCTTTTGGCAAAATCTCTCAACACGATTGCTCTTAGCATCTCATCGTCGATTTTGTTCGAATTTTGGAAGCATTCATATTCAATGTGGATGTGATTAGTGCAAATGCCTACTATTCCAATCTTGCTGCTCCATTGGAACTCGCAAAAACTGCACTTTACGTTACGCAAACCGTTCTCGCTGATTGTGTCCTTGTGAGTTTCTCCGTTTGGCACGTTGTTCTCCCGTATCAGTAATTAATAGGGCAGTAGGTTTGGCGATGCTATGTACTTCACAACAAAAGCCTCTTAGTTGCCATTCCTGGTTTAATCGTGCTGTCCGCAAATGCGGGTGAGCATCTTGAAGGGTATCGTTCGACTATCGTGTTCAGTTTTATCTCATGACGTTTTGCAGTGATTGGGTACTGTATCATTGGGTCCCTTGCTCAGGCCAGCAATTCGTCCACCGTTTTTACCACTGGCCGTTCATTCATCACGACATTCTTTACATTGACCATGGTTGTCAGTGTTACCTGTACTGGTACGTCTATTCCGTTATTGATGTGCGGGCTCTGACAACACTGTGGTAGGTTTGATTGCCTGGCGCCTTTATCGCACTCGCCGTTTTATGGCAAACGGATTTGTTACGTATCTACCGATTTTGATTGTCATTGTGGAAAGTGGCGCTTTATATGCGACGGGCGTCCTTTCAATTCTTTTGACATACTTGTCTGGATCCAATGGTCAATACGCCGTGCTGGATGCCGTCTCTCCTCTCATGGTGAGTTTACTTGCCTTGATCGCACGCTGTCTACATAACGTTTCTTAAGGGAATCGTATTCTGCCTCACCATCCTGCAAGTACACTTCCAAGTAGGTGGCAACACCCGCATTGCATGGCCCCTAGAACCAAGGGCCGTTTTCAGCGGCTCTTCAGAGACTGAGGTATGCGGGACGTGGCCTCCGAAATGAACCCGATGACTGTGCGCATCGCAAGGATATGGAGATCGTTCATACCGACACGATAGACGGAACAGAAAACCAATTGTTTGTCGGTGACTCTCATTGTACATTTACATTAGACTATCTTCTGCTTCCCCACAACTGGATTTGCGTCTTTTTGATTGTCAAAAAGATCTAAGCACATTCAGTACTATGCTTCAAGGGCAGATTCAGGTTGATGCGCTTCTGCTTGGAAAGCGCGGTCAATGGCCACCCGGATACGCTCAGGAAATCCTTGAGTAGGGATGCGGATGAAGTTCAGATGAGAGGAGGGGTGAAGGTCAGGGCATGCTGCGCGTGTGTTGTCAACAGTGGTTGGTCCCGGATTCTGTGACTGAGCGCTGAGACTAACCACGGCGCGAGAACTATAGAAAAGTCACAGTCAATGATGAGAAAAGCCCGTGGCACAGAAACAGAGCTAGCTGGAGCAGCTACCATGCGATTCCGATCGGAGCGCCTTTTGATACTCACCTGAAGAGTTTGTTTTGTGATGGATGTACATTGAGTGAAGTTGAGAGACCCCTGAATGGCGCCCAAGTCACGTGCGGGTGGTTGAACAACTCGAGGGCAGCTCGGTGATGCATTGATGCAGTTTGAGTTCTGCGTCACGAACTACTTATCTTAAGAGGTGGTCGATACCTGCATGCAATCGTATGGTGGGCTAATCTTGAAAGGACTCGCGAGTCTGACGAGCTCGAGCTCGTAACCGGTTAACCACGTGGTGACATCATCCATCATGCCAGCACAGCAATGTTCCGGGATTCCCATAGCCGGAGAGTTTCAGGCTGAACTTTCAAGTTCACAATAGATAAATCTCACCGAGAGCATCAACCCTGTAACACACCATCATGAGCTACGACCTTGGAAAAGCTGTTGGTTTCAAGCCCAAAGATCAACCAGTGCGTTTCAGTGTCAGTGCAGTACGAGTTCGAGTCTTCACTTTCTCATATGTAGGTTTCGTGGACCCGTAAAGACATTATCACGTATGCTCTTGGGGTAGGTGCGAAACACGATGAGCTGTCTTTGGTATATGGTGAGAAAATTCGTATCACAGCCCGCCTCATACTAGCATATTAACCCGACTTTCGTAGAGCTTGGTAGCGTTGTTCTGGCATGCTTACGTTCAGCCATTGACGTATTCTGCAGACAAGTCATGGGGACCGCTACCGACATACCCTGTAGTGCTTGGACTGAAAGGTAGGTTCCATTAGATATCCAAACAGCTGGACTGAAGGCGTTCATATTGATAGGTGATGACCCGGATGTCACCTTGTTCGCAGCCAAAACGAGTAACGAGCCTCTTCCGGGTCTTCCGAAGCTGAACTACGGCAGGGTGGTAAGTTGCTCGCAAACTAGGCTATTCAATCCGTGTTCACAAGTCTGCAGGTCCACGCAACGCAAAGCATTGAAATCCTGAAAGACCTTCCAGTGGCCAGCGGATCCGGCTGGAAGCTCTCTCGAAGAGTTGTTGGTGTACACGAGAATAGTGCGTCAATGCAATTCACAGACACTTCTCCTGGCTAACAAAACTTCCAGAGTCTGGAATCATTATCGATAATGAAGCCACATTGCTCGACCCTCATGGGGCTCCTTATGCGAAGCTCTACGTGAGGCGCTTCGCGAGCTGTCTTGCTTCTATGCTGACAAAAGTCGTAGACCTCAGCCTTTTACCTTGGTTCAAAGGCCAACGGAGACAAGTTCTCTAAAGCTATTGCAGCTGCACCTCAGGCGAAGCCTATCCCCAAGGACCGAAAGCCGGATTGGGTTGTCCGGGACAAGACAACACTAGAGCAGGCCCTGATTTACAGGCTGAGTGGTGATTACAACCCTCTGCACATCGGTAAGTTCTTTGTATATATAATGGGTCATCACAAACTGAACTGGCTATCAGACCCGGAAATTGGCAAATCGATGGGCTTTGGTGGTGTGATTTTGCATGGGCTGTCAAGTTATGGGTTCGCTGCAAGGGGTTTGATTCAGGCGATAGCGAATGGGAACAGTCGTGCCCTAACGGTCTTTGGCGCGAGGTTCACGTCGCCTGTCAAGCCTGGCGATGAGCTCGAGACTTCAGCATGGGAAGTCGGACCTGGTCCAAACGGCACCTCAGAAATCACATTCATCACGAAGAACTTGACATCTGGCAAAGTGAGTCACTTTGCCATACTTTTTCTCGAGTATTGTTTTGAACAGTTTGCGCAGGTTGCATTGGGCAACGGTGTTGCCTTTATCAAGAAAGCGGAAAAGAGCAAATTGTAGTCGAGAGTTGCTTTGTGTTATGTTGGGGAAATATGTATTGATAATAAATCTTGCTTGTCTAAATCTTTGTTTACCTCTATCTTTACATATGTTCGGGACTGCATCTGCAACACCGCCGTTATCAGGCTGTCGTGTTGTTGTCATGTTAAATTCCACAGCGACCCAATGACTCCTATAAAGAGCCCTTATCAAGCTTCGTCCTCAACACCCTCCCCCTATCTAAAATGGCATCAGCTTCGAGATAACAACCCTTCAACCACCGATTAGTCTCGCCATATGCGTCCGCACCGGAGCCATCGTCAATGAATGAAGTGCGTGCGTGTAGAACCCGTCGATTATCAAACAAGACGGCATCGCCTTCGCGCAGAGTATAATCTAGGATATTCAGAGGTTCGTCAAGCAGAGCGGCGTAGCGTCCCAGGGCGCCATAAAATGTGGGAGGAGTCGAATCTAACAGCAGAGGAGCTTGGAAAGGCGGGGAGTAATTTATGTGCTTTATTTCTGGCATGCTGGGTGCAGATGTATCAGAATTTAATGCTGCGGGCAGTGAAGCGAGTTCGATGGTGGGGTGTTCGTGATGAAGGTGATGTCCATCATTGATGTAATGGAATGGAACAGGTGTGGTAGCCAGAATATCAAAGTCCACTGGATGGGTCTTGCGCAACGTCTCTGCAGCGAAGAGACCATCAACGAAACGCGAAGTACCACCTACGACGCGATTGCGCAGGCAGTGGAGAATTTGATATCGAGGAGGGTGCTGGAAGTATCTGTCGAACAATTAGAGCCTCATCGAAACAGGATACTAAAACTACATACAGGAGATCCATATGCATACCTAAGTCGAGATTAGTATATGCGATATTTTTGCTGTTACGGATGTTCTTGACATCCCACAGCTCCCCGTAGAAGGTCTCGCGTAGTTCGCCGAAGATATTGGCAAGTTTGCGTAACTCGCATGTCTCGTTTGTGTGCTCAGTGTTTGGGACACCTGTGAGGAAGAGTAGTCCATAACGGGTAAGCTGTGTTATGGCAGAGAGAAGGAGGGCAGGCTTCTTGATGGCTTCGTAGGTCATGTAAAGGTCAGGTACTTGGGAGATAGTCGATACATCCCAAGACATCGGTCGCACATCTTTGTGAAAAGATGACAGTCGTGGAGCCGATGAGTAGCGTTCCAAGAAAGAATGCTCGTAGAATGATTTGTGATTATCTGCCCACTCAACGTGTATGCCACTGTCCTGGAAAGTTACACCATGGGGAACAGGACGAATGTCAGCGGGAATATCCGATGTTCTGCGAAGCTTCTGAGATGTAGATGGATGCACGCAGGCTGCGCATTGGCACGCATCTCGCAGCCATCTATGAGGAAAAGAAGCGTCGAGGGCAGGAACTATCAGCTGAGAATCGGTTGTCTGAGCTCTAGCTTCTGTAGATATATGACGGAAAGAAGGAATGATCTGTCTGGTCAACCCTGGAGTCAGGAACTGATGCACACGTAGACCGCAATTTACCAAATTCATCTTGGTGCCAGTGCGGACCGTGCGGTAATAACAGGGACAGCTGAGGGCCGCTTCAAGTTGTTTGGATCTAAAGCCTTTGCCAAACAACCGCCTTCCTTTTTTGTCATACTATAAACAAACTTCGGTTAAACCAACTTAGCCTATCACTCAACTTCACGTAGTAACCACTTCCATTCCGCTGCGAAGTTCAACGCAGACAGATTTCCCTAGATTCTATCATTCCTAGTCATCCCATAAGGACATTCTTTTTGATTCCGTTGCTTTTGTGGCGTATACCATAGCAATACTTCAACCAGTCGTTTCTAGCCCGACACCAACCAGATACCCGCGTCACAGTCACCGATGCTCAGCCCATCAGGTTCCGAAAACTCCTTTGTCTTTCTTGAAGGAAGTCCGAAGCCAACGCCGTCGCCATCCTATACACAGCCAGATCCCCTTTTAGACAAGGTTTGCGCTCAGTACAAGATTAATGTCTAATGCTGACCGTGGTATTCAGATCCATCCCTCTCTGCTGCCTTCATACATACCTGGCTCGACCCGTGCATACGCACATGATTGGTCTAGAACTGGAACCGGAGGAGAAATAAAGCCTAACGGGCGGCATTTTGTCGATGCCTATGGACGCGTCTGCAGTTTACGAGGCGTCAACGTGTCTGGCTGCAACAAAGCGTAGGATTTGGGCTTACACACATAAATAATAATGCTGAATGTCTTGCAGCCCAATGAACCATGATCATGGTACATTTCCTGGTGAACACGAGGTCGTTACCTTTGTTGGCCGTCCATTTCCACTGGAGGAAGCACCTGAGCATTTTGCTCGCCTTAGAAGATGGGGCTTAACTTTCAGTATGTCTTCGCATGGTCTTATACCCTTTCGGTCTGATAACGTTTTGCTAGTTCGCTTTCTCGTGACTTGGGAGGCTGTCGAACATGCAGGACTGTACGCATTGAAATCATCTTTCGATTACATCACTAATCCAATACTTATAGTGGCATATACGACAAGGAGTACCTGACATACGTTCGCAAGCTTCTCTTATTGCTGCCCTCGTTCGGGCTTAGTGCGTTCGTCGTCGTTCACCAAGACGTCTGGTCCAGGTACTCTGGTGGTTCTGGCGCGCCAGCATGGACTCTCGAGGCCGTTGGGTTTGACCTACATGCGCTCGAAGAGTCTGGCGCTGCATGGCTGCTAGGGGTCAAAGGTGGTGGTCACGTTGAAGCGGAACGTGGTATTTGGCCTTGCGGATACCAAAAGTTGGCCGCCGCGACCATGGCGTATGTTCGGATTTATTTATTGCTGCCATCACTTTGACATTAGATTTTACTCGTCCAGCACTTGCTTCTGGGCTGGTGATACCTTTGCACCCAAGTTGAAGATTCTCATGCCGGATGGTCAGACAAAACCAGTCCAGCAATACCTTCAGGATGCATTCTTGGATATGTATGCTACAGTCGTACAGGCTCTGGATGGTTTAGATGGTGTCGTTGGATTTGAGGCAAGCTTTAAGCAATTCCTGACTTTTATAGTGCTGATCTGAAACAGGTTATGAATGAGCCCCATAGAGGATACATAGACTTAGCTTCGTTGCATAAGTTTGACTATAATACAGATCTGCATCTTTCGCATGTCCGTGCGTGCACTTCAATTACATTCATCGTCTGAGACGCTAATGAAAGGTCATGCACAGCATCTGCTTTCGAATCTTTCATGCTTGGTTCCGGATACCCCACTCTCGTTGCCCACTGGACGCGTTCGTTCCCTGTGCCTACTCGTCTCACTTCTCGGAGCGTTCTGAATTCCGCCAATCGGAAGGTCTGGCGCCCCGATGGTCCAACACAAGGCATGTGTGTATGGGAGATGCACGGCGTCTGGGGGTGGGATAAGAGTAAGAACGAGGGTGTCGTTCTCCGCGAAAATTACTTTGTCAAGGACCCCCTAACTGGTCGTAAGGTACGTGTATGCGACTGAACACCAAGTGGATGCTCACACACTTGAAGGTTGATTGGTACACCGATTTTTATTACCCGTTCCTCAAACGATGGACAGATCGTGCCCGGAAGGCGATGTCGAACGATAAAATGTTCTTTGTAGAGCCAATCCCTAACGAGGCATGTTGCGCTACATACCTCCTCTCATGTTTACTGACACAACTTTTGCAGTTTTGCCCACCATCTTGGACAGCAGAAAATCAGCTTCCTAACATGGTGTTTGCCCCACATTGGTTAGTGAACTGTTGTCCCAAGAGCATACATGTTGCTTACCTCTGTTTATAGGTACGACCTTAATGCACTATTCAATAAGGCATTTGGGGATTTCACAGTGAACGTGCAAGGCTTATCTAGGGTATTATCCTTGGGAATAAAGATGTGGTTTTTGGATGCTTATATCGTTTTCTAGGGAATGTTCCCGCTGAAAGCCTTATATTGGGGTCAAAAAGGCGCACGAGAAAACTTCTCACTGCAGATCCAGAATGTCGTGGATAATGGCCACAAAGTACTGGGCGGGAAGCCTATTCTGATCGGAGAGTGCGGTATACCCATGGATATGAAGTAAGCTTGACCATGACACTAGTATCTATGCCTAACGATGAGCGATCACAGTCAAAAGGAGGCATTCGAGAGCGACAACTGGCATTGGCAGGAAAGGATGATGGACGCCATGATGACAGGTCTTGAGAGATCCTTGGTTGGATTTACGTGCGTGCTATGCTTCTTGCGTAACCGACCACTGATATGATTTCAGGTTGTGGAACTACAACCCCGACAATGATGACATCCGAGGTGATGACTGGAACGGGGAAAATTTCTCGTGGTTCAGTCGAAGACGCGGATTACCTCGGTCACTGCTCGATTTGGACCAATTCTCGTTCACGCTAGACAACGGTGGCCGTATCTTGCCGTCTATCGTCCGGCCATACGCAGCAAAGACCGCTGGTATACCCACCCGATTCGAGTACGAGATGAACACAGGCGCGTTCATTTTCGAGTGGAGGTCGCCCGAGTCCAAGGACAATATCGTTCTTACTGCTCGAGAGACTGAAATTTTCGTACCGTCCCTTATCACCTACGGAAGGAAGCTAGTGGTTTCAGGCCTCAGTGCCGGCGATAAGTATACTTATGATGAAGTCCGACAGACACTTTTCATCGTTCCTCAAGATGGTAGTTCGGGTAGAATGCACAAGATAGTCGTTTCAGTGGATCCACCCCTTCGCCCTCTTTTCGAGGTCAATACCTTTTGGGGTGACTTTGGAGAGACTATCTTGGTTGGACTAGCAGTATTTGTGGTTTTATTCGCGATCTTTAAGTACCACTTTTATATATGATGTTGGGGTCACTTGGACCAGTGCTAGCCACGTCCTGATCTGTCCCATTAATCTTATTGTCCAATCCGATAATTACGAGCGGCAGTCGTCCGGTTCACTGGTATCTTTTCCCGATCATTCAGGGTCTAAAGAACGCCAAAGCACTGTGTCGCTTGGGCCTGGTGTCGGGGAGCTCGAGCGACATGGTCGATTTCCATTTTGGTCATCACCTTCACAGTTGAAGTTCACACACAGCGGAGCGCTCGGTAAATTGATTGAAATTGATTTCCATTATTTAAAATTCACCTGCACGTATTTACCTCTGCAACTTCGATGAATCATGATGGGTGGGGGAGGTATTATTCGACCCTCTGCCACGGTCACCGTGGAAATGAGGGTGACGAATGCAATGATAATCGAATAAGTACCATGAAATGGTAAAATGTGGCAGCTTGATGTTGATACCAATGATGGAGAAGGAATGAGTTGATGCAACTCGTACACGTATCATGAGATTGCATGCACAAGCAATAGCTGGGACAAACGCAAATAGTATAAGAATCAGCGCTCGGCAGATGAATCCGGGTGAACGTGAAAAACAGACATGTCATCTTCTCTCCTCTCTCCACCCCTCGAGCTCCAATCACTAACTCCTGAGTTGTCGTCCCAGCTTAAAGAGCGTTATGACAAGTCTCTTTTCGAGATCATCAGCACGAACTGGAAGTGCAAGTTCTGCCAAACCACTGACGAGCTGAGTAGTTTCCGAAACGCTGTCGAAACGCTCGACGAAGATGAACAGGGTTTTGTGCGGAGCTTTCGAGAGTTGGTCCCACTTACCGTATACGATACTTATCAACCATTCGTGGCTCGGTTCTTTGATTCGCCCTGCCAAGAATCCGAGGTCGTTGACCTCCTCGCACCTGGTCTCCCTGCCTTTATTGCAGCCTCTAGTGCGACCTCGGGCAAGGCACCCAAGTATTTCGCGAAGTATAAAGCACCAAAATATGTGCCATCAACCGCTCAAACTCAGAGTCTATACACCTATCACATAATGTACAGGGAGGTCTTGAATGTCTTCCGCGGGGATCAAGACATCGTTCGAAAACTTATCGTCACCACGGCGAGGAGTGGGTTGTTGAGGATGCATATGGGATGGGAGCCGGAACAAGACGAAGACAGAATGTCACTTAGGAGTGAGTATCCATCGGAAATTCCAAAATAATGATCAGTGAAAGTGGACGCTAAAGTTCGTGATTGTAGTCCCAGGGGAAACTGCTCCGCATGCATTAAAATTCGTCTCACATCATCCTTCATTTCTTCTCTTGCACGCGCTTTTCGCGCTGGCCGATCGTAGTATGGACACAATTCGGGTCCTTTTCTGCACAACATTGCTCGATCTATTTATGTACATCAACCGTGATTGGGTCAGCCTTGTGGACGCCATCGAAAGAGGAACCATACCTGAACTTGAACATATCGAGCACGTCCGGGACCACCTGCAGGTAAGCGCGAGTTTTGACACCCTAGTGACTGCATACCTAATTAGATGCGTAGCGGCACTTGGATGCGGATCCTGTCCGCGCCGCCGAGCTTCGTGCCGTCGGACCACCTTCCAATACCACTGGATGGGCAAAATATGTCTGGCCAAATCTAAAAGTGGCATTCAGCAGCGCAAGCGGCCCCTTCTCGATTGCTGTTCCAAAGGTCGGTTGACTTCTGTGTTTATTCTCAGATAATGCTCACCGGTAATTAACAGGTAAAGGATATTCTTGGGCCTGATGTGGTACTCCACACACCAGCATTGGGTGGGAGTGAATGCTTCGCTGGCGCCGCTTATCAGTTCGGAGACCTCAATCGATTCAAAATGTCGTTGGATGACGCATACATCGAGTACCTGGACGTGGCCTCAGAGGAGGTCTCCAGCAACATACGCGCGGCGGTACGTCATTATTGTCGAGTTGCATTGGGCGGTAGGCCTGATTCGCGGTAGTGGGAGATTGAACCAGGAAAACACTACGAGCTTGTCCTAACCACTTGCAACGGATTCTGGCGCTATCGTCTTGCTGATGTGATTGAGTTGCTGGGCTTCGCTCCAGACGATGGTTCTCCCATAGTGAAATTTGTTGAACGGCGGGAGTAGGTCACGAATTGTCTTCTAGTGCCAGTTGAGCTCATCGAATATCACAGTGCTGTGATAAAATTCGATGGTGCATTTGTAACGGAAGCTCAGCTGCTCCAATCAGTATATTCTGCAACCCAAGACACGATCGGACAAGTGATTGAGTTCACTTGCTTCAAAGACGTTCGCAAACTTCCCGTAACCGTCGGATTCTTTGTGGAACTGGCTCAGGAGCCAGGTAAGCCCCCCTTCTCACATCGCTTTGGAGTTTCTCTCCAACTGCAGGTCTGCCAGGCACCTCCGAAACCCGCCACCAAGCGAAGCAGCGGCTGCTTGATGCCCTCTCAAGTGCGAACGAGAATATCGGACAGGCCTATCGTGCCGGGCTGTTCGGTATGCCCACGATACGTGTGGTCAAGCCTGGAACATTCATGGAATTTAGGAAACGGAAGGGCGACGCGTCTGCGATGGGCACGTCTCAAACGAAAGCGCCTCTTGTGATGACTGAAATCGCAGCTCAGGAGTGGATGATGGATAGAGTAGAATTGGAAATCTAGACACTGGAGTAGGCTTGGAAATTATTGATGTAGTTCTTGATTAATGAAGGCACCAACAACAAGCACATCTGAAGTATGATGGGTAGGTGGTCGCGGGATGTTAGATGCGCTGCGAGAGGGCGAGAGGGTGTGGGTGACGAAATTGAAGGTGTCACGAAAGAACCAAAGTTGTCACGTTCAAAACGGCACAGGGGGCAATGGGGGGGTACGGGCTTGAGGATGGAGAAGGAGTAAAAATCGGTGCAGGCTATATTTGGCACCCGATATCGATTGGGGGGCGGGGTCAGGAATTGCGCGACTATGTGTGACAATTCTGATAAGCCATGTTTAGTTGTGCATTGACGTGGGAGGCGATATTGTGATAGAGATATAAGGAGCATTCCTTCAATCCCACCATCTCCATTCTGATTAAGTACTAGCGAATTATCGCATTCGCAAAGTTATCTCCGATGATGGAACCAAAGGTAGACCTTGCGTCGATCTCGCTCTTCCGCGCGACGCCTGCGCAGATTGAGGAGACACGCCGCCGAAGATGGCCGCACTTGGGTGGTGCCCTGAGTCTTGCGGAGTATATCACGCGAGATGAAGAGATGGATGTTCTAGAGCACGCAAAGGAAGGGAAGATGATCACTTGGTAAGCATGCCATTTCCCCAACATAAGGGAGCTAATAGGAGAGGAAGGGTACTAGCGCCACGGGAGGACCCCGGAACACTCGATTTCATGTGTGCTTGTAGAACGTAAGCGACTCAAGTACCCTCGATGGATGAGGAGATGTTTGACGTGCATCTACGGGGACAGATACAAGCGCGCAAGCCTCGTTGCTTACCCTCCTTCCTCCCCTTCTGAGCCTAACTCGGTGCACGAAATAACCTCGTACGGTGTCGCTGCAGTCTTCACCCCACCCTCAAAACGCGGGCGCGGCTACGCAGGGCACATGATGCGCCTTCTGCATTGGGTTACTGCCTCGCGTGCTAATCTTCCTAAATTCCCAGAGGCATGGGGCACACCACCGGAAGAGGTGGCAGATGCTGGCGGAGGACTGTTCTCGGTGCTGTGGAGTGATGTTGGGGATGAATTCTACCGTTCGGCGGGCCCTGGAGGTGAAGGAGGGGGATGGGAGAAACGGGGAGCGGTTTCGACTGTATGGGAGGTGGGCACGGAGGAGGGGGATGATGAGGGATGGACGTGGCTGACACAGGAGCAGCTGAAGGTGCTTTGGGACCATGATGCTGGGGTAATTCAAAGGGAGTTAGAGAACATGCTGGTGAAAAACGGGTTGTACGGGGTGGAGCGCCCAGCGGCACTCGTGACGTGCTTGCCAACAAATGGTGTCGCAGCGTTCCAAATCCCACGGGCGACGTACGGCTCGAATTTTTCTATGGCAGGCGGATTCTGGGGTGTACAATCCTCGAGTGACCCAGACACATATGCAAGCTGGAGCGTTGAAATGCAGCCTCCCCCACCAGCACTAATCGTCACGCGGCTCTCTGCCAGTGAAGAGATGTTTCCCGGGCTGATCGCAAAGATTAAGCAGGCAGCTAGACGAAGCGGAATTCGGAAAGTGGAGGTGTGGAATTTGCGAGTGGGATTGAGGGACGTTGCGGAGAAGGCGGGTGGACGAACCTTCATACGAAGCGAACATTTGCCACAAATTGTGTGGTATGGACCTGGCACGACAGAGAACGTGGAATGGGTATATAACGAAAAGTGAGTGCTCCTGCTACCAAAAAAATGGCGCACGCGGGCTTAAAAGTTTCCAATAGGTTTTGCTGGTGTTGATGGCATATTGGGCATCGACTCGTGCGGTGATGCTCCTCAAGAGGAGAGAACTCTCGAGTCCTTGACAATATTTATTGTAGCCAAACTTGAGCCAGACACAAACTAGACATCTTTCAAGTTGACAACTTGATTCCATAGCTGTGGCGTCTGTGGCGCACGTGACTCGAATTATTTCCGTTTCGCTATCGTACATCTCAACATTGTGAAATAAATAAAACCACGCAACTCCAGTTGTGGGAAATCAGAAGGCTGTTCAATCTACAAAAAGAGCCACCGGAAACCGTTGGTTTTCCTTTCCGCCCATCGTGCCAGCTTGAACGATCAGCGTCTCCTTCGTGATGCACACAGTCATCGGCTTCATACTGCAGAACACGTCTCGCACATCTCACTCTCGAGAGAGCCGGTGAGAATGTCCATTTGTTCAGGGGGCTGTGCAATTTGGGAGTTGCCACCTACTTGGAAGTGTACTTGCAGGATGATGAGGCAGAATACGATTCCCTTAAGAAATATTATGAAGACAGCGTGCGTCCAAGACAAGTAAACTCACCATGATAGGAGAGACGGCGTCCAGCACGGCGTATTGACCATTGGATCCAATCAAGTATGTCAGAAGAATCGAAAGGACGCCCGTCGCATATAAAGCGCCACTTTCCACAATGACGATCAAAATCGGTAGATACGCAACGTATCCGAGTCGGTTTGACATAAAACGGCGAAAGCGATAGATGCGCCAGGCAATCAAAGCTACCGAGTTTGTCGTCAGAGCCTGCACATCAGTTATGGAATAGACGTACTAGTGCAGGTAACGCTGATCACCATAGTCAATGTGAAGAATGTGGTGATGAATGGATGGCCAGTGGTAAAAACGGTGGACGAATTGTTGGCTTGCGAAAGGGACCAAATGATACAGTACCCGGTCACTGCAAAACGTCATGAGATAACACTGAACACGATAGTTGAACGATACCCTTCAAGACGCTCACCCGCATTTGTGGACAGCACGATTAAACCAGGAATGGCAACGAAGAGGCTTTTGTTGTGAAGTACATAGCATCGCCAAACCTACTGCCCTGTTAATTACTGATACGGGAGAACAACATGCTAAATGGAGAAACTCACAAGGACACAATCAGCGAGAACGGTTTGCGTAACGTAAAGTGCAGTTTTTGCGTATTCCAATGGCGAAGCCAGGTTGGAATAGTAGGAATTTGCACTAATCATATCCATTTTGAATACGAATGCCTCCAAAACTCGGACAAAATCAACGATGAGATGCTGACAGAAATCGTGTTGAGCTAATCTGCCAGAAGGCTTGACAAGTAGTACACTTACGGCGGTTGCAATACAGAGCAGCACGGTTGCGACTGGGATAAGGAGTTGTCGGTTAATGCCGTTTTTCTTGAGTAGGATGAATAGTGTTAAACAGTACAGAGTGAAAAATACGCCTATTCGAGGCCGTGAGATTCGACACCCTAACCTCTTCCACCAGTTGGTAACGCACCATAAAACAAAGTCTCGAGAAACAAAGCTAAAAGTGAAGCTTTGTCCAAAGGTATGCCCATGGTAATGTGTTGAACGGATTCAGACGGTGATAACCGGTCAATAAATTTGCTGGGTGAGTCCCTCCCTTTAAGTACTTTCGGCCACTCACCTTGTGAGCGGTATGCTAGAGGAACATGAACGTTTCGTAGTTCGACGCTACGTCAGTGACTGGTCCGCAGAACTAATCCTTGACGCATCTGACGGGTGTCCGTGCTACGATGCATCCAAGGAATACTGGTACCAAGGCGACTTCATATCACAGCGCGTTCAGTTAATGTATCACAAAATTCCAATGGCGTTGTAGGCCACATTGCGATGCATGCTGGATCGACGAATTTCAGTGATGAGATGGAGTTGAGATGGAGCAGGATGGAGTGGTCTCAGACTAGTCTTCATAACAGACCTATTAATATACATACATGACAGCCGATTAGAACAGGAAGATCAGAGTACCTTATGAGCTTTCAGGTGACCACCGTCCACCGCGGTCCGCACTGTACGTGTTGAAATAGGTTTAAATGTGAGGGATAAATATAAGTCAGCGCTACTAACATGAATTGGGAAACCGGATGGACTGGCATGCCGTCTTCTCCCTACGACCCACTCCCAGGAGTTGTTGTCCAAGCTCAACTTGAAAGACCGCAATGACAAGTCGTTCATCAGCACGAACTGGAAGTGCAAGTTCTACCAAACCGTCGACGAGTTGAGTATTTTCCGACACGCTATCGAAACGCTCTTTAACCGAAGCGAGTTGACGGAAAGGGTGTATGACAAAGAGTAAGTGCTTCTGCAACAAAAAAACTGATGGCGCACATGTGCTCATAACATGGAAGCAGTCCGGACGCACTCCGTGACGGCGTGGGCTTGGCTGGCAAGTTCTGTAGACAGTTTCGGACTCCGAGGGCCCGGGATTTGACGATTTTGAGAGCACCGTACAAGATGAGAACAAGAAAGAATATTGTTGGTGTAGATTTTCATGGGCCCGGGTAACAGTGCATGCGTGTCAAGCATCTTTTCCATCATCACAGTGGGGAGCACACATGTGGGATTTGGGCTCGGCTGTTTGTTGACGATCACGCGGGCACCGTGACTGTTGAACGTTGAACATGAACGGTCGCCGTGATGCGGCTGGGCGGCCCCCGCATCTCTAATGATTTCAGCATTTGGTGAGAGCGTTTGCCAATTAAGGCCAGCAGTTGTAAAGACCTGGTAAGATATGCCCGTGACTCCTGCTACCACGGATACTCGAGTGTAGTCATCTCGGAGTTGGCGCGGCAGGGCGAAGCGAGGAGTTTGAAATTTAGCAGGTGCCGCTCGTGCCGGTGGTAATCTTCCGTATGCAGTGCAACGGCACGACTGCCAAATTTCGAACTCCTCGCTTCGCCTGCCAAATCACTCCGAGTTCGACCAGTCCGAGTTCTGAAGATCTGACTACTAGTACGTTAACAATTTCTCACCAGTCTCAAATTCACGATGATAATCAAACTGGTTATGAGTCTACTGGTGAGTGCCCTTTGCTGATATAGAGTAGCCGCTGGTCGATGGCCGGTGGTTAAGCACCTATTTCTAGCACGCACGCTTATCAGTTGTGGAACGAAGCAATCTAAAACAGTTAAGACAGCGTGCTCATGCTAAAGCGCTAACGTACGGCATCAGAATTGCGCTAGAACATGAATCCATATCTCGTTTTCCTGCCATGTGGGCATTTGCCTTCCCATTGCTTGGTCTTCTATAAGTGCCGAGCTCGTTGGTCGTGGAGACTTTGAATCTCCCTTACGACGTGCACTAGTATTCGGAATGTTTCTCAGAATGCTCGTCCGAGCTAGCGTTGCGCTATTAGCTGGAGTATCCGTAACTCACGCCGTCTCTGCTCAAGTTGTCGAGGACAGTCTCAGTACTTCAGAAGCAGGGCACATCGAGATTCAATCCACCGTTCACAATGCAACTGGGATTCGCTATGTCAAGAACTCAGGAATCTGTGAAACAACCCCAAATGTTACCCAGATTTCTGGTTACATTGACGTTGGAACAAACATGTCCATGGTATGTCTGTGCACTATGTTCTAGATGTTTGAAATTGACTTAAAACACAGTGGTTTTGGTTCTTTGAGTCTAGAAACTCACCAGAAACAGCCCCATTCACTCTATGGTAGGTTGCCGGGAAGCTGGGTACCTGAGTTGAGTCGCACCTCTGACCTGCCTTCGCAGGTTGAATGGCGGCCCTGGATGTTCGTCTATGATCGGATTGTTCCAAGGTTGATTGGTTTGATCGCCTTTCAATCTGCTTCTGATTTTCCACAGAGAACGGGCCATGCTTAGTGAATGCCGACCTTAATTCGACCACTCTTAACCCCTACAGGTGTGTTAGGATTTTCGGTTTCAAACGCTAATCTGACACGGGTCCCTACAGCTGGAATGGTCTCAGCAACAGTATGTAGCACGTAGCTCTCCAATTTCGTTGCAAGACCTAACTTCCTCACCCAGTGATATACATTGACCAGCCTATCGGGACCGGATTTTCTTACGGTACTGACACGGTAAACAGCACGGAAGCCGCTGCGCCTTTTGTATGGACTGCATTCCAGGTTTTGTTTGAAAGCCAGCTATTTGCGAAGTATGCCAGTCGAGAGTCAGTTGCTTAACTCGGCTATCGTGGACGATTGCTTATATCAATTTCAGGTTCATCTTTGCCACAGAAAGCTATGGTGGTCACTATGGTCCCAGTTTTGTGACCTACTTCGAAGAGCAAAATGCCTTAATCGCTAGTGGGGCAATCGATGCTATTCCAGTTGTTGTCAGCGCTCTGATGATCAACAAGTAAGTCTTTTCATGACTTGCTACAACCCCGTTGAATGAGCATTCGCAGTGGCTGGTATGATCCCCTGATTCAGAACATCGCGTACCTAACCTTTGCGACCTATGCCCCTGGCTATGGACAACTCCAGCCAGACGACGTACTCAAGAACATTTCGGATTTCGTCTACGGTCCCGATGGTTGCGTAGCGCAAGAGAATGCTTGTTACGCTGCTGGAACTTCCACTCACTCAAACAAGATTTGTCGGGATGCCGATAATTACTGCGTGAGTAACATATCAGTGCTATATCTACAGACAACCTGACTCGTTCAGATCGACAATGTCTTCATCCCTGCTGTGGGCGACCTCGACAGCTATGATTTACGTCAAAATTCATCTGCTTTATTCCCCCCTGAATACTACATGTATTATTTGCGGCAGAAGGATGTCGTGAAGAAGATCGGTGCTCAGGTCAGATACGAAGAATGCCCAGATGCACCCTATGAACTGTTTGCGAAGACAGGCGACGTATGTTTTTATTTAACTCCTTTCCTCGAGTGTTGAATGTAGATTATTGTTAAAGGATGCTAGAACATGGCTACCCCAGCTATCGGCTCTGGCCGACTCTGGGATGAAGATTTTGATTTGGGTGCGTTCTTAGTGACTACTTTATTGTCTGATAATTTACCAGGGAAGAATAGGCTGGAGATGCTGACATTAAGTCCGTTTTCCTGCTGCGATGACATCTCGCATGATATTGACGTTTCTCGTTGACTTTAAAAAGTTGCAACTGGCTTGGGGTAGGCTGTCACATATCTCATCGCCAACAATGAACGACGCTGAATTATCCTGGTTAACAGGGTCATGCGTCAGTCCTAGCAATGGATTGGTATGGCAATGAGACGCTCCATAATACCCCATTCACCAATATGACAATCAACGGCGCGCCTGTTGCGGCCGTGCAGAATGTCGACAACTTCACCTTTGCGTAAGTGTTTTGTCTGTTTGTTTCTTGTTTTCAAGATATCATTATTTTGCCTTTCAGACGGGTGTATGGTGCTGGACACGAAGTGGTCAGTTGACTCTCCTAAGGATGATGAGATCCACTAATTCCAATCGTCTTGTTGTTAGCCTGCCTTCCAGCCCCAAGCAGCTTTGGAGATTTTCTCGCAGATTATTAAGAAGGAGCAACTTCACTCCGTCTAAAGAGTGACTTTGGGTGCATGCATCGTTGATTTGGTTAGAGGTTTTTTTGGCTTATCTTCGCAGTGGGCAAACTATCGAGACCTTGGGTGATGCGGAACCAAACTTGTTAACGTATTATGTAACAAACCGTTTTACAAACCTTGGTCGCACTACAGTAAAAGCTTTCGGCTGGAGTTATTATGGAAACAATGGAAAAAATTATCCAGATTCCAAATGTCTCGCGATGGCATCAGCTGGTAGAGGCTCAACTGTAAGGACAGTTCTTGAGTGTGGTATGTGAGATATTTTGAGACGACCTCACATCTTCCATAACCGTTTCCTTCTACAAAGCCATGCAAAAACACACATGCCTAAAGAGTACGCACACAATATACCCATCGCTTTCATGTTACCGACGAACATAGTCTGGATATTGAGATTGATCAAACCAGTGGCCACATTTGACTTGGTATAGATGTCAGGACGCCAAACGAGGGTGATTGAATTCGCAAGACGAACCAGCAAGAACAAGATGAATGCATTCTTGTTGATAGCCTCCAACAGCGCAGGCGCGCTGCTTGTCGACCCTTTTTCCTCGATGAGGAGCCGTTTGCCTGAAGGATCAGTTGGATCTCGTATCTTTGACGTTCTGGTGGGAAAGAACACCATGTCGAGTAGAATGTAGCCAAGGATGAAAGATGTGTTATAAGCTGCAACCCAAAGAACATATGAGATGTTTGCCTAGGAACCATCTCAACACATGAGACTCTGACAGGAATTTTTGTACGCGGGGCAGAACAAGCGGGACGAACCATTCTTCTCGAAACTTCTAATCCTAGCCTCACAAAGGCTAGAAGCATCCACCATACTACTGAATACGACAGCAACTCAATGACGATCTTTGCGTTCTGTCTTGGTGCTGAAGGATCAAGTTTGCTTGGTCGGTGAGAGGACGGTCCGTCGAGTAACTGCTGCTGCTGCTTCCGGAAAAACGAAGGGGAGGGAGGAAGCATGACAGTTCCTAAAGAAAGCCCGAGAATATGGATTGAAACATAGCCTGGTGGAGAAGGATTAGGAGCGCACAACTTACAAGAGTAACAAACTATACCCAACAAGGAGAGCAAGCCTTCTTTGTTCGCATAAATGATGTTGCTCCGCGGGGCGTTGAGTATAAAGTCCTTCATTCCTCCAGATGACAGTGCGAATTGGTGCACTATTGAAAAGGCATCCATTCCAAGTGTCTTATGAAAAACGGACTGTCACTTACAAACTCCAATCCAAAGACCCAGCAGACCGACGGGGATATGCAAGATGATAGGATGCAACAAAACCTCAATGATAGGCAAAAGAGCAAGTGTGACGAAGAAATTCCAGTGTACCCCGTACTCTGTCACATGTTCCTGTTGTAGCTGTTAAGCGATGTACGTGGCATAGAACCTTTGCTAAGACCCTACAGGATATTCAGTGCCCTTCACGAGCACGACGCGAAGAATGCCTAACACAATGATGGGTATCATCTTACGGGAAACGGACTTCAGTTTTGGAACAATCGGAGCCTGGAGGTAGGTTATATCTTTGATAATTGGAATCGCAGACACTACGCCTTGAGAGAATACAAAAGAGCCAACGCCGATGTCCATCTATGAATCAAGTTGTGTGAACGTTGAAGAATAATGATTTGTTCTACACGCACCAAAGAAATACCAAATGTCTCACACTTTGCTAGAACACGGGGGAACACTTGAAAATCGACAGCGAGTATGGACAGGATTGTCATTAACATCATGTGAGCGCGGTAGGTGGTCAGAGCAGGTAAGGGTCTGAGGGACGGAGACGAGTGCGTCTGCGGAGTCTCTGCTCGACTTCTTGCATTTGGAGACGCTAGTTCATCCCGACTTTCAGCCGGCAAAGGCGTGCCTCTTTCAAGAGGGGGAAGAAGGAGCAATACAAGCATCGGTACGAGTAGTAGGAGAGACAGTGCGCCAGGAGCTTCCGCGAATAAGGTCATAGACAACAGCAGAGGCATAGCAAGTATTACAAACTCTGCCAAGAAATATGCGGACCCAAATGCTTGAACGCGCGAACGTAGTGCTGAATGAAGGGCGATCGAGGACTGAAGATGGTCAGCTTAATGAAATCGAAGGACGCGTAGGGATACACACCAATGCAACGCCGCTTATCATGTTTATATGGAAAACTGTCGAACCGGTCATTCCAGAAACGAAAGCCTCCTTCGAAGCCTTGTAGTCATTGCTCATCGTGATCTGCGAGAATATAGTCAGTTGCTGATTGTGGTCTGCAACACCATGCAATGCGTCGGACTACAGCAGGGTATAGGTGTCGCCGAGTAGGGTCCCAGATATCAGGCCTCAGGAACAAGAGAAGAGCAATGTGGTACTAAGTTACTAACAGTGTGTACGAGTTACTAGTAGTACAGTACATAACCTCACGTGACATTCTGCGTGACGATGGAAGCTATATATAATAGACGCGCTAACGACGCAAGAGGCAAAACATTTGCCTTCTTATCTGTCCAATGCCCTTGGACTCTCGTCTTAGCGCTACAATGTGACTGTTTTAACAAGACCTTTAAAGCTATGCCTTCCCCACCAAAACCAGTTGATTGTGATCGCGACCAGAAGACCGCCCACAGCCACAATCGCGTAGTTCATATTGAGGACGTCCACCGGGTATGCCGTAGGCAGGATGAATAAAACACAGACGAAAATAGTGAACTGCATGGATAATGAGTTATATAAATTACAAATGAGGAATTTGCTTACCAGAAAACTGGCAAAGTTCACCGACCATGACCATTTTCCGAGGCGAAAAGGTCCAAAGTCTTGGATGCTAAATTCAAGAAGAAAAAGTTAATAGTGACTCGGATGGCATCATTGTAAATAACGAACGAGTCAGGCCAGAACACACGAATAATGATGGGTTGCAAGTAGCTCAACATCACCGATATTGCTGCTGAGGATAAGATGGCGTTGAACTGTGAAAGCACAAATGATGTCAGAACAAAGAATCACAGTATTCGAGTCGACTGACTGCAATCGCAGACCCGATGTAAGCGCATGATATGATGCATCCTATCAAGACGCTGGTCCATACACCCCAGTATGGCGCTTGGAAGCGGTTCAAGGTCATAAATTGTTTTTTCAACGGGAACGCATTATCTCTTGCGAGTGCATAGAACAGTCTCGAACTTGCGGTAAATGTCGTGATCGCAGCCATCACTTGAGAAACCATTATCACAGTCAGACACAGTTGTGTCAATTGGGGCCCGACTGCATCGTAGAAGAGTTGAGCAATAGGGATGGCAAACGTGGTGGCCTGAACGGAAGCGATATCCTGAACTGCGAAAAGAAGTGCAAGCAAGTACACGAGACCAATCAACCAAGAGCCTGCAATGCTGCCAACTACACCGAGCGGAGCCAAGATTTCTGCTCGTACAGCTTCTTCCGCTACTTGAGCTGCTGTCTCGCACCCCTCGAGCGTGTATACAGCCTAGAGTAAGGTCGCGCTGTCAGTCATATTGTACAACATGTGTTCAGAGCCTATCCTCACCTGAAGAAACCCAAGAAGCACGACAAAGCCGCTGGATTGCCAGCCAGTGAAGCTAGTGGGCCTGTCAATGGCTCTTTCATTCGCAAAGTGAGAAAAGCTTACTTTTGAACATTCGTGAATACGAAGCCGGCAGAGTTCTGTCAGACATAATCAGATTACGCGTAAAGGAAACTGGCTTGCGGATTAACGGAACTTTACCTTCATGGGTGCTTTCACAAGCAGGGTAGTAACTAAAACAACAGTGCCTCCGAGCGTCCACCAAACAAAGAACGTGCTCATACGTCCAATAGCCTTCGTTCCGATAGTATTAACGATGCCAGAAAATATGTTGACGGCCCATGCGATCGCAGCGATTTCTAATCTCGTTAGAGGTCTTCCTTGTCCAACCTCTGCCATGGACGAAAGGTATAGAGCGGCGCTAAATGGCAAATCATAGGTTCTTGTTCGATAACTTGGATGCAAATACAACTTACCTCAAATTAGCGGAAACACCAGTAAATACCATGGCCATGGAATAAAGCCAGCCAGTAAAGACTAATAATTCATCAAGGCACATGCGCAGAGGGTGGACATTGAGACTTACAACCAAGGACGGGCACATCTGGTTTCATTTTGCAAACCCAGAAGTAGAGTCCTCCCATTGTTGGACTACGCGACAACCTAAGACGCAAGCTCTGATAGGGCATTGCTTACTTACTATGCACTGCAAATTTCTGCAAAACTGAACGCGATCAAAAGCATAAAGAAACTGCAAATCTAGATAGAACAGCAATTGTTGTCATATACATATGCATGGAGATTGAAGCGTCAAGCTCACATTCCATCCCCAGAACAGACCCAGCGGGCCTCCAGAGAACAACCCTGTCTGAAGGGCACTGCTCATTCCATTTAGAATACCGATAGAACAGAACGATATACCAAGCACTCCAAAGAGAGACATCTCGCGGCGAAATTTAGGTCTATACCCCAGGTCCAGAAGGCGTTGGTCGGATACGGAAACATTGTGCGCCTCTTCCTTGGTGACGGCCTCTCCCTCACTGGAGGATGGACTTTCTGACTTGGCCATAGTGGATGTGAAACACACTGATAGTTGTGATTAGGGATAAGCAGCGTTATATGGAATGAGAGCAAACAGAGATAAGGTGAGAGCTCAGTTCCAGATTCAGGTCTTTACTCAAGTCAAGAAGGCGTTGGTGGGAGAGCCGACGTTCTTCTGCCTTGGCGCCGCTGACCTCTCCCTTCGCGGAGTAAGTACATTGAAGCTTGACTGTGGCGGACGTGACCCACACTGACAGTCAATATTAGAATACATAAACAAGTGACAGGTCTGGCTCACTGTGAGAGAAAGTAGATATGATAAGACGAGCGGTCTTTGATTTTGGGCAGTAGACACCACAATATGCTTTTGAATAAGCAAATGCGAAAGTGCTCGAACGTACCTTAAAATGAACGACGGAACACCGACCAAACGATAACGCGTACATTGGTGCGTAAGCAGAGACGCGTCACCTGACTATTTATCATAAAACCACTAAGAATTCTTGCGGTTAAGGTGAATCGGCGAGGGTAGTGACACCACGACAAACCTCTGTGAATTTCCATCTTTATACGAATGAATGAATGAGTCAGAATGACTTCGAGCATGCGAGACAGGACATGGTCCAAGGCAAAAGTTTGGGCACAAATGAGGAGTCTAAGGGTAGCCAAGGGAGGCAAACTGGGCCTGGCCAAAAGTCTAATACTTCTTTTAAGTTTTGAGACTCTTTGAGAGCAGCGATGGGCGCGATATCAGGCATGCCTGATGACCTCCTGATCAACATTACTCGACAAAATAAAGAATGTAAAGTTCACCTTCTGATTCCATTGCAACGGAACAGCCCGAGTCACTTCACGACGTCCCTGGCTTCGATGCGAGATCCGGCATGATCCACAATGCCGCACACAGGCCTTTTTCAAGGACCAGTGCCAGGATCCGATCACATGATGCGATGTAATCTGATGGAGTCAAAGTTTAATACACGGATTGAGCAAGTTGAAGACAGACAGGTAGCTGTTGTGTCGAAAGTAGGTGGTCGCCGTTATGCTGCAAGTCGATAACCTCTTCCTTACACTCCAACCAAGCTAGGCAGAAGTTGATTTACAAGAGCTGGAGCAGGCTGGCAGCACTAGAAGAACGTCACGGTGATCAAAAGGGAAGATGCCAAGGTCACAGCGGAGTCACTGGGTATCCGAGTGACTGGCTCAACCGCAGGAGAGAACACGAAACAAACTTTGCCCAGCTCCCAGTGTGGTACGCGGCAGAACATCATGTCTGATATACCGCAACACCGTGTTTTGCATTTCTGAGTCAACTTCGCCGAAATTTAATCACGTTCAACATTTGAACATAATAATAACCCTCGTTGTCTCCAGCACTGCAGGCATGTGGACCCAGACGTGCTAACCTCCAAGACTCCCTTGACCAGTGGTGATCATCAAATGAAAGAAGGAACAAAGGAGTCGTTTCTTCTATATTATGGGGTTGAAGCAGGTTGAAGCAGAGATATGATCAGCAGGTGGCGAACGTCGAACTCATCTCCTCGGCTGGTTAACCGGTTGACAAATAGGCTGGTGCTCATCTCCGCCGCAGCACCACCGATGCCTACTAATGGCACTAATGCCCCCTAGCTGACTCGTGGGTTTTCGTACAGCTGATGAACATGAGGCAAACACGTTCCATGAATTTTACTTACCTTCCATATCGAACAGATGCATGTATATCAAGGTACGTTTTGCTTCCATGCCTCGCCGGCGCAGCTAGCATGCCTATCCATTGGTATCTCATATAGAGCCGTACCTGTACATGTAAGTCGCCTTCAATATCCCTTGTCGCCTCCCAAGTCCCCCACTCGCACTGTCGAACAGTGCGGTGTGGTCCCGTGCATATTCTAACACTCTCGTTTTGCTAGCCCCGCTTTCCAATCGTTTCAACAGGTTGAACCATTAAGCATCTTTCAAGCATGGAAGCCACAACACAATCAGCACCAGACTCCTATCCCGCCGTGAAATCGTTCCAACTTGTATTTCACCTCAATTTCTTCCTTCTCGCACTTGCGGGCGTGTTCGCCCTGTTCGCTCTCCCTCGTGCTATTGCACGCTTCTCCCGTGCCGCAGAATGGCGCCATGGATATATCCTCCGTGCGATCCCACTTGAGCGCCGAGCGCCAAGGCCCGCCATGCGCTCCATACAATCTCCCCCGTCCGGGTCCCTCGCCGCTGATAACGTTACATCGGATGAATCACACACCCTTCATTCCGAAGCGCACCTCATTCGACACCCAGCCGCAAAAGTAGAAGGCTGGTCACTTCCCCCGCATGTCCGCGCATGGTCCTCACGCGTCCCAACCTTCGCTAATATCCTGCGGTACAGATTGGACGCGGGCTTTTCTCTGGGTCAGGCACTGGTCTTGGTGATCTATTCTGCGGCTCTGGTATATGGTGGATTCCTAAATTCGAACCCATTTGCGGACCCGTTGCGTACTGGATTCGTAGCGATGTCGCAGACTCCTGTCGTATATCTCTTGGGGACGAAAAATAATTTATTGGGTATTTTCGTTGGTGTCGGGTATGAGAAGGTTGGTTTTTGTAATCGTTCGGTCAAACTCTTACGAACCATCCACAGCTCAATTATATCCACCGGTATGCTGGGATCCTCCTGGTGATCGCATCCAATGCGCACTCGCTGGGTTACAGTGAGTTTGACAATGATGCAATTGCTCATCGCTGAAATCTGATATTTGCCCTCGTCCTAGTTTATCTGTGGGCGATAACCCAGACATTTTCCACAAACATTCGCGAGCCAGCGCACATATGGGCTTTCGTTGCGCTCATCACTGTAGATCTTATATACCTATTTTCGATCCCGTTCTTCAGACGAAGGGCGTACAATGTGTTCTACTGCTCGCATGTCGCATTATTTATCCTCTTTCTCCCAGCTGTGAGTCTAACTTGTCTTCATGCCATGTTTCTACCTTCGGATATTAATATGCTCATCTAGCTTCATGCTCACCAACCCGGTGTCTGGCCGTATGTCATTGCTGCTGCCGGTATCATCAGCCTTGACTATCTGATCCGGTTTATGAAAACACGCATGTATAATGCACGCATACGTCCCATCCCCGATCTCATGCTCACACGTATCGAGATTCCCCAGCTCAATGCTGGCTGGAGGGCAGGACAACACGTACGCCTCCGCGTGCTTTCCTCAGCCATGGGATGGTTCGGCTGGGCCGAGAGTCATCCATTTACCATTGCTACCGCTGCGAAGACACCTGAAGGTATGGTGTTGTTGTGTAAGAAGACCGGTGGGTGGACGGGGAGATTGTACGAGATGGCAAAAGTAGCGGGGTACGGTACAGATGAAGGTGCGTTCGGGAGGACGGTGCAGGTTATGATCGAAGGACCATATGGTAAGTGGAGACATTCATTTCGTTATTGTTTGTTTATTTTTGTGCAGGTGGACCAGGACATTGTGTATTTGCGAGTTACTCCGCTGCGCAATGTTCGTTGTTGGCGGAAGTGGGATTACCTTTGCCCTCTCAGCCGTGCAGGACATTCTCCAAGTAAGCCAGATTGATCATTTTTAACCTCCTGTTTTCCGACCCCTGTTGCTAGAGAGACTCAGAAGGTGCGAGTCGAGTAAAAATCATAGAAGTCATCTGGAGTGTTCAAGATTCTGGTTAGTATTGTTGCCCCATAAACTGAACGTCTCTCACACCCACTAGCCTCTCTCACTCCACTCGTCCCTCAATTAGTGGCCCTTATTCAACAAAGCATCTATGCGCCACTCAAAATATCTGTCCACTATACACGTGCATCCACCAACCCCCCGGGGAAGAATTTCCTCCCGCCAGGGCTCACTCTCACCGCAGGACGTCCGAAGTTCGCCAAAGTCCTTGATGCAGTGATCTCGCGCGCGGTATCTTACGGCTCTGGCGTCAAGGCCAGCATGGCCATCACGGGTGTTATAGTTGGCGTGTGTGGCCCTACAGGTTTGGGTGACGACGTCGCACAGGTAATTTCTCAGGTAGATGATGGAAGACGCTGGGCTGTCGGCGGGATTGAGATGCACGAGGAGTAAGCATTTGTTTCTTGATTCGGTGCACCGTCTGATGATGATATTTTCCGAACAGGGTGTTTGGGTGGTAGGTTGACCTGCAGCTTAGCGGCTCTTCTGTAGTGTAACTCGAAGTAGATGGCGAGGGGTATAAGATATTTAATCACCGGCTACCTGCAGTGTAATCTAGACGTCTCAGCGAGACAAATTCATGTTCAGGAACGCAACGCCCTCCGCCCATTAAGTCAACAGCCCCTGCAAGCTCGTCACGAGGGTGATTTATTTTCATCTAATTTGAGCGAGATGAAAACGATTTCGTACATGTTACATAGTTGATTTGGCTTGGGGTGGGTAGGGCCCCCAAATCAGTCGCAAATTAAAGAGAATCGATTGCGTCCACAGCGGTTGCCGAGTACTCACGATAACATACCCCTTGTCATTGACCGCTTGTGAAATTTGAGTGAGCGGCATTTCGTAAACGCAAAGGTCTGCTGTGAGCAGGAGAAACGTATATGCACATGCACGGCGAATGCGCGGTGAAGGAAGGCAAGCCGCAAGACGTCAAACTCATAAGAATTTTTTTTAATTACGACTGTACGGATCCATCGAGGAATCAAAGTTCCAGGCTTGCTGAGACTACGTGACACATGACCCAGGTAATTCGATCACTGCATCTGATGGTCTAGGTGAAAGCATCATAAACGCTGACTATTAGGGAGAAGCCGGAGAAGCGTTAAGATCCTCTGCAAAGAAACGCATGAGCTCGCAGGCACACCGGAAGAGGGCGCACACGTACATGGCGAGGGCGAAAACACGAAAGCTGATACGAACGAAAGCATGATGGACAGGAATAAAGATTAGAGCAGTTTGTAGTCAGTCCCCGAGTCTAAGCTTTGTGCATCGGCGTTAAACCGCATCTCCTTTTTTTCACCACACCGAACGCCCCTCCTCTGCCCTACCCAACGCCACTTCCAGACCCAACATATATTCTTCCCCGTTCCGCTCAAAGACCACCTCCCGACTTGCAATTCCCTTACTCTTCTCACACATGCCATGTGTCACGCTGGCTGTTCCACAGATAGGCACTGGAGCATGAAGGTGCGCATAGGTGAGATAAGACTCGGTAACTGCAATGGTTGGCGCTGCAGTAATGGCGGTGGCTGGAGGCGGTGGCGCAGCATAAGCCTGCGATAGATCCTGGCATTCCTCGTCATTCGACCTCGAAGAGAGAGATGGACTACGCGGGCGGACTGGGCACGCGGGCAAGGACACGGCACGAACTCGAGGAGTGAATGGCAGACTTGTTACTAGCGGAGGTCGTGTAGGCGTAGTTTTTTTCGTGGGCGATGTCAAGCACAACGTTGAAAGAGGTTGGAATAACAGTGCGCAAGCATCGAGCGACCCATTGTCGGACTCTTCGTCATCGTCGGTGTTGTCGTCCCCAGTGGCAGCCTGATATGATGGGGGAGGCGTACGTGGCCTGAACATAGGGAGTTCCTGTGAGGGTTGAGAGCAAGGATACATGCTCGTCGTCCGCGCACGCGCATGATAGGGAGAACAGAAGAACGGATCGTCAGTCGCACTGACATCTCCCTGACTGGCACCAAACCTCTCGTCCGGAACGATGACTGATGTAACTTGAACAGGCGAAGTCGGTGATGTAGGACTTTGTGGGAAGTCGATCTTGGAGGTTCTCCTTTCGGAAGAACCCACATCGTCGTCCCCTTCCTCACGCACGGGAAGCAACTTCGTGGGACTTTCGAGGAACGAAACGCGCAGGGGGCGCTTCAAAGCCGCTGTTTCTCCACTATGTTTCAAGCCAATATCTCCGTACTTGCTGGGACGAGCAGTGTCTCGCTTGGCCACATCATCCACGCTCCACACGTACATGGATAATGGTGACCGCTTGATAGGTCTGCCTAACAGAAGACCAGGCGGAAGAATTGGTCCATTCAACTTTGTCACAGGTGGCGTGAGTCCAGGAGGTCGATTAAGGAAATGCGCAGTAGATGGGACTGAACCATCCCAAACCCTCGCGCCCATGCTAGAACCCGGGATGGAGGCGGAAAATAAGGTTGGTGCGGAAGCCGCAGAGACCTTGATGCCTGCACTCCATGCACGCCTACGTGCCCTAATTTCAAGTTGCCCCTCTGATTCAGGGTCCATCAATCCACACCCAAAAGAGTTTTGTGACCACAACAAGCCCCAATGTTCCTCGCGTGCACGAGTACGCACAAGAGTTAGGGCACTTCGAATTTGCGAAAGTAAGGCAATACGGGTGGAAAGAAGTTCCTCCACATTCGGAATGGACATGCGCTTGGGCAGACGTGACGGCGATGAAGGAAAACGCGAGGATAGCTTCTGTGGATGCATCGGCGATTGGTAACCCCATGGCGCCGCGGTAGTTGGACTAGAAGGCTTGGAGCATGTATCTGGCGCGGTAGAGGAGAATCCGGGGCTTGAATGAAGAGGTCGATTTTTAGGACGAGAAGAAGTCGTTTTTGAGACAGCCGTCGGAACGGAGTCAGAATGACTGCGCTGCTGAAAGCATGCACCGTTCTTAGACAATCCTGGTAACGTAGCTGGGAGCGGCAAAGGCAGGACTTCACCGTCCTCGGGGGTAAGTATAGATGTTTGGCTTTCATCTGACTCATCTTCCTCAGTGGCATCGGACGGCGTAACAGCAAACGTGTTGTCGACTAAATAGTCGCCACCCTCGTAATCACTTCCAAAACCCTCATCGAAATTGAGTTGCCCGTCGTCGAAGGTGAACTCTGTTCTGGGGCGCAGGGAGCCAAAATGATCGAAATTGACATGGTCATCATCATCCCACACATCACCAAAGGCGTCGGTCCCAAAGCCGAAGCTCTCACGCAAGAGGCTGCCATTCTCCACGCTGAACTCAAAAGCGTACGCGTCAAGTTCATCGCATGCACTTGGGTTGCGGACATGGCGAATTGCGCCCCATTCGTGTGCTACAAACTTTTCAGCAACACGGTATTTGGGAACGGAATCAACCAAACCTTGTTCGTGGCGAGGATATACAACGCAGTCGTCATGTTCACCCTCGACTTCGTCAGGAAATGGTGAAGGCGCACGCCATCGTCTTTGAATTTCTTCAGAGCCGCGCTGCCCAAAGTCAAGAGCAGCTCTACCCTCGCTTTGCGTCCTTCCATGCTTACGAGCTGCACCGCGCCCAGGCCCATCGCGGTGCTGCCAGGATCTCTCAATTTCTCTCACCTCGGAGCGGGTTCCGATAGCCATACCACGGAGCACCCATTCAATGTACCCTGCGTAAAGGTTGTGAGCCGAAAGCGCAGGAACAACATGCCGTCTCCAGGCATCAATCAGCGTAGCGCGTGCGCGACGACGGAGAATTGGCGGATCTGTTAGTGGTGGGAAAGCGGAGTTATAGGGGGAGATTGGAGATTGCGGGATGGGAGAAATTGACGCATTGCGGGGTGTAATAGGGGGAATTGGCGGGAGGGGGGCCGGGGACGAAGGGTAGGGTGTTGTGGGTGATGGAGGAGGGGCCGGGGGTGGGGACAAGGAACGTGGCACCAACGAGCTGAAGAGTAGTCAAAACCCAGTCAGTCTACAAAAGAACAAAGAGCACGACAACACATACGAGATCAAAGAAAACAGCAGGGAGCGCTGCTTCTTATGCCTGCTCAGCTTCGGAGACTTCGGGGGCGCGCTGGATGCGCTAGGGATTTCCTGCGAACTAGTTACACTGCTGCAGATACTAGCGGAGGTGGCACGTTCGAAGCTGTCTCGTCGGGATTCTTGTTCAGAACACGTTTTAACGTCGTCGACGACGCCCTGAAGCATCTGCATGCATTGCGAGTTCATGGGCAGCTTTTCAGCACGCCCACCAACGAAGCTCACGACAACCTCCTTGGATGGTACATCAAACACGACTTCAGTTATCCGGGCGACGAGACCAACTGAACGGTCAAACACGTGGATGTTTTGGGGAGATTCGAGGCATAACACCGAGGTCAGAAGGTGTAGCTGGTTCGACCACGCAGGGGGAGTAGGCAAATTGGGAACATTGGCCGGGAAGGAGACGTTGTAGAGAACAGTGCCATGTGATAGGGAGGGGACGAGACGGATGAGCATGGTGACAATTAACTGGGTGAGATATTGTAAAATCTAATGAAACTGGTATGCTCTTCGTCGCAGTCGACATCCAGTATGCAAGAAAAGCAGAAACGGGACGATTCGTTGGTTTTCTGCGCCGTACGAGAGTTTACGTTAAAGCTAATTTGCGGCAAGCTATATCACAAACTCAGATACGTACATGAAGTTCGGGACCGTAATGGCAACGAGCCAGCTCCATGATGTTTGGGAACATAGGATCCATCGCACAGAGCGAACTTGAGCATGTGGTGAACAGTCCCATAGTATGATAAGTTGGCCAATGGCAAGTTCAAACTTGATGAGAGTGAAGGTTCGTGGCCCACTGTAAGCTACAGATTGCGTGACAGTCACAAGCTATATTGCCATAATGATGCTTCTAAGGGACCTTTCCCCACTCAACGTACAGAAAACTTAGATTGAACAAAACATTTCACTTGGGCAACGGCCTTTAGATCCAGTTGAAACCAGAAACACTAATTCAAGCTAAATTTTGTTCCAAACGCATGTTCCCTGGTCTAATTGTCACCAGCTTTCTGGGTGCCAGCAAGTCGATCCATATTGCACGACGAGTCTAAATGATTCTCCGGGCCGAAGTGTGTTGATCCTGAAAAACTCGTGGCATGCGTATACATATCTGGCTGCTGGCAGAGGTTAAAGCGAGACATGTTCGATTTGTTCGCGTACATATTTGGTCACCGATAGTGGTATCAAAAGAGTTGGTGCCCTCAAAACTTCGTAATGATCCCGCATCGTGCCCTTAGGCGCAATAGAGTCATTGGTCACCAAAGATATGACAGGACATACCGGGAAGTGCCAGCGGCAATGTTACAAGTTTGTGAGGATGATCAGACTGTCACCTATGAGTCAACACGTGTGAAGCTATGAGTTCCTTCTGACTGAATCAGACTGATCGTCGGATGACCTATGAATGATTAATGTCAACGAGGGTCTGACCTGTCCAGCCACCGCCACACAGGCATTGAGGAACCTGTACCGTAGATGTAATTGGATTGTCGATGCGAGGATCACTAGAAGTGTAGGGTGAACGGTGGGGATGACACCTAACATCAACATGAAGTGAGACTTGTCTAGACAGTACTAGTGCGACATCATTCTTCGCAATCGAATCAGGCTAGGGCTAGTACTTACCTGCAGTGATTCGTGAACTCGCTTGTAAGCGGCGGGGATCCGAGATGAAAACATCGTGTTGCTCGAGTGGCACAGCTGCCTGGAGGTTCTTACCCAGCCTTAAAACTTGACTCGGTTCGACTGACGTCGAGTAAGTTTTTCGACGAAAGCCACAGGGACACTGAGCAGTGAGTGGCATTGTTCAGGAACGCAGTGCAGTCGCAGTGCACAGCTCTGCGGGTTCAAGTTAGTACCTGTGCTTCGCATTCGACATAGAAAGTCAGCGAAGCGCCCACTTGCGTTTCAAACGGTATATATTTGCTCGGTACCCTTCGACCTTTGATAATTCCAGGCAGTGAGCCTACCGCTTCATCTCTCACCGTGACCAACCCTTACCGACCGACTCATCGACACCAGCATTTTTGACGCGACAATGGGGAATAACGTGAGCCAGCAGACAGAAAAACGCAAAACAAGACGTGCGCAAACCCTCAGTCCTTCTCAAAAGCCCTCACAACGATTTTCAACTTCCACGTTGGCAGCGTCGGTGGGATTGAGCAAGCGCTCGCCGCCAAATTCCTCGGTTCCAGCATCACCCCCACCGACCATTGTTGCCGCGCCGGAGCTAGAGCCACAACCGGAACCAGAGCTAGAACCAGAGCAAGACAGCAAGCCGCCTTCTCCGCCGCCGCCGCCAGAAAAGGAAACTATACCGGAGCCTGTCCCTGAGCCTGAGGTGAGAGATTGGGCTGCTCTACAGCTGCTTCCGAATCTCATCATCTTCTTCCCAATACTTCATCTACCCGTCGTTCGTGTCATCGGACGACGACAATCAGGACTCTTACTCTCAAGGATTAATCATGCCGTCTCAATCCGCTACCGTTCCTTGCCAGGTATGTGCTAATTCGCGCCCACATCTATCACCGAGAGGGGGAGGGGTCAATAACATTTTGTTCTTCATCACATCATCGTGATTTCTCTTGGTTTTCTCATTCTGACATTATCTGCTTGTTTGCTGCAGTATCGCACAGGTCGTACGCTTGGAAGCGGTACATACGCTATCGTGAAGGAGGCCATACACATCAAGACAGGCAAATACTATGCTTGCAAAGTCATTAACAAGAAGCTCATGGAGGGCAGGGAACACATGGTGAGTGTTGATACACTGCGCACTGCGCAATTTGGACTTTTTGACTGCGATGCCGCTGGGGGCGCATCCTGCGGTGGTACCTGTGTTGTTCGATACCGTGCTGTAAGGAACGTTACAGCACGTCAGTCATGGGAAAACATGCGCGCTGCGATGATATTGATAACGATCGCTGATCACGGCATATTCTGTCCAACGATCCACTAGCCACCCATCTAACTCTTATAGGCTTGCAACTACTTCCCCCCTTTTTTGAGACATCATTGCACCAAAAGTGCTGATTACATTCTACTTCAGGTTCGCAACGAGATCGCCGTACTGAAGAGGATATCGAGTGGTCACCCGAATATTGTGACACTGCACGACTACTTCGAGGTCCGTGCATTGTTCTTACACAGCGTGCTAAGCTCTAAACAAATGGACCATTTCTATTTTTAGACATCACACAACCTCTACCTTTGCTTCGATCTCTGCACTGGGGGAGAACTCTTTGATAGTATATGTGCTAGGGGACAGTACACTGAGGCGTAAGTAACCCCTATTTTTATTCACACACATAATCAATTCCATGCACAAGTGATGCGGCTGGGCTCGTCCGCACCATATTTCAGGCTGTCAAATATATACACGACTGCGGCATCGTGCATCGTGATCTCAAGCCGGAGAACTTGCTCTTCCGGTCGAAACCTGAGAAGACCTCGGAAATCATGATCGCAGACTTCGGTCTTAGTCGAGTGATGGCGGAGAACAAGTTGAGCATGTTGACGGAAGTTTGTGGCACGCCTGGGGTGAGTCCGAGGTTTCATGCTGCCACACGGGGATTAAAACGATTTGGTAGTACATGGCACCCGAGATCTTCAAAAAGAGTGCGAGATTTTGATTCTATGACATTGATCATTATCCTGACATTGCTTCTAGCCGGTCACGGCAAACCTGTCGACGTCTGGGCAATGGGAGTCATCACGTATTTCCTGCTCGCTGGTGCGCATCTATGGCATGTGTTTGTTAAATGACTTCAGTATTGAAAGCTTGGTATAGGTTACACCCCTTTCGATCGCGACACGCAACGACAAGAGATGGAAGCCATCATCGCTGGAGATTACAAATTCGAGCCTGGTTCGTCGTTTCTGTGGTTGTCTTACCGATGGAGCCACCTCATACGTCCACAGATGAATATTGGTCCATTGTCTCGGACACTGCCCGGAACTTCGTTGCTACTTGCCTGACTACCGATCCCGAGAAACGTCCAACTGCAGCACAGGTGCTTGAGCACGAGTGGCTCACGTCTGAGGTGCCGCACTTCGTCGAGAACGAGACGGGTGAGCCTAGAGACTTGTTGCCGAACGTCAAGAAGGCGTTCGATGCGAAGAGGACATGTGCGTTCCATCCCCATTCAGTCGTGAAATTACTGAACAACGTCAATTTTCATGTAGTCCGAAAAGCTGTTCTGGGCATGATGGCAATGAAACGCATGACGTCACTCGTCCAGCACCTATCGCCAGAGGCGCAGAAGCTCAACGAGGATTTGTACCAGTTCAAGCAAGAGTCCGAAAAGGAAGTTCTCGAGGATATGCATGTCGTTCACCACCACAACGCCGACGAAGATCATCAGCTCAAGTCCCAGGACGATATCTCTATTGCAAAGGGTCCAAATGGGAAGGCAATGGATGGTAACGATGTTAGTGCAAAGCTCGCCGCTGTGAGCCTGGCTGCGAAAAGTGGTAACCCTAAGAACGTCTGATACACGAGCCTCGACAATGACTAATGGGATGGAATTACTATGTTCATATATGTTGGGCTAGAGAACGCACATTCTTTTTTCTTTGATCTCTATCATGTACTTGTTATCGATACCTGGCATCGCACACATTAATCACTATTCCTGCTGGAATTGTTCCAAGGCCTCGAGAGAGTGGAGCCTTGGAAGATACTATGCTATGTGACATTCGTTTAAGAACCCTTCCATTGTCATTGTAGATAGTCTATTGCTATTACACAGTTTAAAGGTTTCACAAAGCTCTGTCGCGCAAATGTAAGCTAGCTGATATCACTATGTAGTATTAAGTTGTGCATTTTGTCAATGGATCGATGGGTAAAATGCGTAACATACGGGGCTGTAGGGCTTCCTCAGGTCGACAGTCTATCATGAATCTGATTCATGAGAGCATTGCCTATGAACGATGTTCTGAAAAAGAGTTCTGTATTGCTGGGCATTCTAGTAGGCATTCTACTACACAGCATGCACACAGGCCATATGAATGCCTCGTGTAAATCGCAAACCTTTTCCTGTGCTATTATGATTGTATAAAGAATGCAGTGATTGTCTGAGCATTGTGGACACACCCTTTCTTGCACCTTTCCCCCCAGCCCTGCTGGCGAAATGTCTTTTATATAATTGAATTGGGAAGAAGCAGAGTCGTTATATTAGCTGCTTCTTCATAAGAGTCGACCGCCCCCAATTGCGATGGTGTTCGCGAATTGTATATAGGACCAAAGTTTCCCCAAGGAGCTGGCAAGCAATCGCGATGAATTGGGTACGACCAAATCCCATGCGATGCTCACTTGGCAATCACTTAAGGTACATCCGAGTTTCAGAGGGACTCTCAGCCATGACGATTTCGAAGCCACTATGGTAGTGAGTCCAATGGGAATGAAGTCCATATCGGTGCACCGGGATCAATGAGGGGATGGAGGTTCGTCTTGAACATCGGTATCATAGGGGCTATTCTTGTGGTTTGTAGGCGGATCTGCGGCTGGTGCACCTTGGTATCGTAGGATGGCAGAGTTGAAGCCACGTAGAGGATGCATACTTGTAGAGACTGGTACTTCTTTGGCTTGGATCAGAGGACCAGGAAATGTTCCTCCGACGAGTGTTGTCCTGATAATCATAAGAGTCATAACACCATTGAGCGAACATAAAATAATAGGAGAGCACATACGAACGGGAAATTCATCTGGTGCAATAACTTTGTTGAAAATAGTTAGATAAGTAGTAGATCCCAGCGACAGGCAAGTGAGGGGATATGATCATGATCGGGAGATAATGGCGGTAGCATACGTCGTCGAAAGTAATGCAGATGTAATCAATATCGAAAAATACAATGCTCACAACAAAGCAGAACAATAGATATGGAGAAGAAGGCCGAGTACAAGGTACCTGGCCATCGACTTTATACATTAACACCGGAGCATAGGTTGCGACGCTGGGTCTTTTACATGTTGCCAAGGTCAGCATCAGAGGTCATCGAAGGTCATCGCTATCCCCGTGCAGCTGATGCGGCTCGGGAACAGACCACCTGAGATTCACACATACGTGCAGGGAAGGAACCTTATGGATTTAGAGTGCAAGATTTGGAAGCTTGATAAAAGCTTGCTGTCCGCCCTTCCGGTGGACCAAAGGATATAAACTGCATATCAAATGAAGTGGACGTTATGGTGCTGCTGTGGTTAAAAAAGTCTGCAACAATGTGATACGCGGCTTGAGGACGTTTGGCTGGGACTCACTAACATTCTATAGCGAGCACTGGCATCAGACTTAGTGCTGTTCACGGCGGAAGAGGATGTCCACCAGGATGTCCTCCAGGTAACACCTCTAGGCCCGGGGCTCACATCTGATGCATCACACAGGTGACAGCGATCACAGCCATCCATTCGTAGTCTGACAACCAACTTGCTATGATGAAAATATTATTAACGACCAGTTCAACCATTAAGCAAGCCCTCACCTCAAGCTTCAAGTTGGGCACCCTCGCTCCTCGTCCTTTCAAAAGATCAGCTTCGAAAAAAGATGTTTTGTTTGACTACTCAATGACTAGTTCCCTTCTGTCCCCACCTTGCTCATGGCGAGATCTGTGCTTGGTGAATATCAGAATCATCTCTGTTGATGCTGCGCGTACCCGCCGTACCGTAACCATGATGCCACGGAGACTCCTACCAGTCCCCCCTAGGTATTGTTGTCATGGAGCTGCCCGACACAATGACACTGCCCGAGACCCAGGGTACTTGAATTAGTATGTGGCTCAACGGTGGCCGACGGGTGTGGACACTGGAAGCAGGTCGACCATGACAAACAACGTCGGCATTTCCAGTTTGCTTCCAATTCCGACAGACGACTTCAATAAGAGACTTTTAAGTCCACAAGTCAAACGGCCCGAGACTGGCTAATCAAGCCTTTTACAATCACTGACCAATGAGATGCATAAAGTGATTGCACATATATATCAATAAAAAGTAGTTACTCGAGGAGTACTATGTTGCTATTTAAACAGTGCCGGTGAAAGTTTGACTGCATAATCATACACTTAACGTTTATGGAAGAATTACCGATCTCATGTGCGAGATGGGTGAGAAATATTTTAAATGCCAGAACCAATCCCAACGATGCGAAATAACTCCTTCTTATGTGCGCTCAATGAGGTGAGGCCTTCCCGTGGAAATAGCGAGGGATGTGAGGAGCACCTCCCATGCTACATCGAGGGCACACCAGAGCCGCTCATCGGCGATGCCAAGTGCAATCACGTTTCGCCACATGCCGTGCACGTTAGCGATGTACTGGAGCACAGCTTTTGCGGTGTATGCATCGGCGATTTTGTGAGCGAATTTGGCAAGGGTAGGCATGACGGCGTCAGGATCATCTTGGTAGAGTGAGGGCGGGGTGGCAAAAGGCAGAAGCGACCCAAGAAGGTGGTCGATGCGTTTGGTGTACAGGAATCTGGAGAGTTGGTGGAACACCTCGGGGGCAGGAATGCAAAAAGGGACAACTGGCACTTTGATATCCTGGCCTTCGCACTCTACGAATGCTGGTGTTGAAGTGGGCAGAATGGGAAGGTTTGCGCAGTGTGCGGCAAAGACGAGATTGTGTGCGGGGAACAGCGTCACGCGACGGCGAGCACCGACTGGCGGGCGGGATGAGAAGACTGCGAACATGTGCGTGGGCATGTCGGACGATACGTCATTAATAGTGATGGAAATTTCCTTCGGGAGGACATTGGTAATATGTTCGGTTTTGATGCTTGCAAGGACGCGGAGCATGCTGAAAAAGATTGTCAGATTGATCACTCGACTGCGGGAAGATGTTTAGCTTACTCGGGCCCAAGACATTCAAGTCCCTCGCGAATGTAGTCAATATGGGTGTTGCCAAGTTCAGGTGCTACAGCCTGAAGTGTGGATTTCGGGAACTCTGTGATTGGGATCTGAGGTCGAGCGAGGCGTCTGGGAAGAGACACGCTGGCAGTGCTCGTAGACACTGTTGTTGAGTCCCCCATCTCGACATCGCGAGAACGAGTGGAGAAATTCACCCGCACTGGGGTAATCGTGTACTTGGATGGAGTTTGCGACTTGAGCTTCTTGGCATGCTCAATTGCATGCCTGGGGTGGTGTGCTCCACCTGTAACGAGAGCTCGGCGGCGGCGAGAGGCACCCTGGATACCGGTGGGAACTTTGAATGGCTTTGCAGAGAGGCGTGCAGGAGGAGGAGTGTTTTCAGAGTCGATGCGGCGAACGTGTTTAGCAGTTTGCAAGACCATTGTGGTGTGATGAAGGGGAGAACTGTGGATATGGGACTGAGACGATGATGGTAAGAAAGCTTCGAGTGCCTCGAGGTTTTATATGCAAGTAGATGGCAGATGTGGAGGATGTGGAATGCGTTTGCCGGTGGGGACTTTGCTGAGAATTATGCATGGCGGGAGTGCACCTTTATAAACCTGGAAAGGAACAAGAAGGGAAGGCAATTCATGTTGTTCGTGACGTGACATTGTAAAGCAATCCATCAAGTCACGCGCAAAATTTCCTCTTAAGCAGATTGCTGGCAAACTTTTAGCTGCATTTGGAAGTTGTTTAGGACCTACATGGGTAAACACGAACCCACCGAAGAACCTATCGAGAAAGCAATCCACTGATTGCATACTCACATTGTCCGTAACCTGCGTAATCCCAATTGTCCTCAATTGAAATGCTTCAGTTAGCTGTTGTTCCCATATCGCCACCAGCAGTCAACATCCACAGCACGTGTTCCAGATTATAATCCACAGAGGGCCACTAGCAGTTTGATGCTCCATTGTCCCCGTCTCAAGGCCACTGTAGCCATGAACCCTTTGAGGGCTCGATCAAGCAGGCCTTCATGTACGATCGAAAACAGTTACGAAGGTTGCTGTAAGAACGGGTGTGGCTGTGTCGCATGTGGCTGAATGAATGGTCTCGATCCACGTGACGATTAGATTAGATTAGGCTTGGGCGAGCAGAGATAAGTCGATCGACAAACAGAAGTGCACAACACTCACGCTGTGGTTCTCGCCATGTCTCGAGAGTATGATATTGGTCCCGGTCGACTTAAGAAGTCGAGAGGGTAAACAGTAAAGACTCACCGTCGGCAGTGTCGTAGTCAGGCCGTGTATAAAAACGTATTGCTGCAAAGTTCGTGATCATGTCAGTAAAATCGTGGTAGAGGGCTTCGCACGGTAGAAGGATCGTAGTTGCTGCCCACGCGATGCCGGCGGAAGGGAAGTACGCGAGTCCTGGATAGACTGCAGATCATAAAATGCGATTGTGGTCCGCTCAAAATTTGTTTACTATAGTCTCCGAACCCGGATTCAGACGACTCGGACTGGAGAAAGAGTAATAAAGTCCTAGCTGTGGGATCACATGTTTATATACCACCCCCAGGAGAGCCGGTGGTAGGTGGCTGGAGGTAAGCGGCAAGCAGTTCACCTGAAGCAGTTGCCTGCCCCGTTGACGGTAGCAATGGTGACGTTCGACGATTATGGGCTTCGGGCTTGGTTTTGGAGGTGTGGTGTGTAGGGCAGTCACCGATCATTAATGTTGTCATGTAAAACCTTGCGACGATGAGTAGGGTGGTCAGTGAGTGGCACAGAAAGTGGGCGTTGATGATCGACGGAGTGTTGCTAATGAGCGGTTGCCCTCGAGTAGAGGAGCTAGCGGTTCCTGTGTGGTGTCTCGATACATGCTATGAGATGGAGAGATGCCAGTAAGAACATTAAAGAGAGAAGAGAGAAGAGAAGAGAGAAGAGAGAGAAGAGATGTGGAAGTCGAGAAACAAGATTGATCAACGGTCCAAACAATACCCACATGGCCCTATGGAACTGACTCAACTGAGACACCAACAACACGCCGGGTGGCCCGGGGCCGACGGCGACAAAGCAATACATCTACAACAAATCGTCAGTGGATATTTGGACTGAACTTGTGCATGATATATTGGTAAACCTGTGCCTGCTGGTTTTTTTTCGGCGGGAAGTAAAAATTGAACGTTACGAAAAGATGAGTGAATGTATAAGGGTCCAAACACTGTTTAAGCCTTGATATTTCGTAGTCTACTACTCACCCACTGTTTTAGGCTGTATACTTAGAGTGCCCCAAGATCACCAGCGTCGAGATATCATGTGGTCCACTAAGAGGACTCGTACAGTTTCTTCCTGCGTTATAACTTATATCACATCTCGTTACATCCAAGCAATGGCTCACTTCATCAACGAGGGGAAATGTCACAAGCGTTTCTTCAGCTTGCATCAGATGCACGGTAGTCCATTTCTCTGGCTTGAAAGAGTCGGAAGAGCCAACATTCAGCAAGTCTAAGTCAATAAAGGGAGCCCAAGGCACTAAGCCCACAGCTCGCAGTCTCGCACACTCTGAATGAATGGAAGGGGAACTGATTCCAACACGTTTTGGTTCTCAGTGATATCGGATATTGACAAGATATTGATGTATGATATTAATTTGAAGTCGGCGACAATTGATCTTAATTTTACCAGCTTTAAAAATGATGATGACAGTCACGTGATGAACACGATCACATGACATGCATGTTTTGAACAGAAGGCAGTGGTAGCTTGGTTTACCCTTAATGCCTTGACAATGTCAACGACCACCCAAATTCTCTTCAACAGCCCGGCTCTGAATTCCCTCAAACGCGACCAACTAGTCAAATTATGCAAGATTCATAGCATCAAAGCTAATGGAAAGAAATTGGATCTTATCGAGCGTCTTCAGCTACACGCGCAAACACTTCCGCCTGATGATCCGTTGAGCGTTGCAACAAGGGGCGACAGGAGTGAAGATGAACAAGATGCTGCAGAGGAAGAAAGTATCAGAGCAGCTACGATGGCACGCCCTAGTGAGCAATGGGAGATTGTCATGGACAGCATCGCAGAAGTTGATGAAGATGCTGCGAGTACACTCAAAAACAACCGGTTGGGTAACGCCACACAAGCAGGAGAATTTGGAACAAACGGAGGCAAAGGTGTCTGATTCGTTTTCGGTTGCTGTTGTAACGAAAATATCTAACGCCGTCTTTAGCTTCAAGCGTTAGTTCCTCTCTCAAAGCCATAGCCACTTCTCTTGGATTGAAACGCGGGAACGGATCTTCTGAAACTACCACGACGACCTCATCCAAATCTTCGCTCACTTCCACGCAGAGTGGTCAATCGCAGAGCACAGCTCCGACTGAGCCAGAGCCCGAAGTTGCGCCCGTGCCAGGACAGAACGCTCTTGCAGGTCTCCCAGCACCGGCCGGCGCCCGTCTCAGTATATCTCAGGAGCCCGCAACCACTACGATTCGCCTAATCTCCTCCAACGCACCTACGAACTCATTGTTCTCCCCACCAAAGCTACATCCATTCAAGACATCGTTTGATCTTGCGCCCCCAACACCCGGGGGAGCGGAAGGTGGTGGCGTATGGCCCCTCTCGCCTGGAGGCGCCCAACACGAGCGCATATACCCAGCTATTCCAACATTTTCTGCCTTTGAACCCGTAGATACGTCGGACATGGATATCGACGTTGATTTCTCCGGTTCGCTCCCCTCCAGCACGCCCGCGCGTTCAAAGTTCAACACAGGTGCTACCCCCAAATCCGACGAAAAACCCTCTGATATCCCCCAAGACTTATTTTCCCCGGCACCAAGGCTTACTCGTGCTCGGGAGCAGATATCCGCATTTCGCCCACAGCGCTCTCCGGAAAAGCCAAGCGGCAAACTGGACATACCCCATTCCGAACCTTTCATCTTCGGCTCTCCTAATCCTCAGCACCGTCTTTCGAACGCGCAATTCCGAAGTGCGGCTCAAAGCGTGTTGGACGACATGAATGCGCGCCTTCAATCGGAGGGCGTCGCAGGCGTAGACATTGATGTTTTGAAACGCCGGCAACAGTCCGTGTCAGGAAAGCCCGCTGCAGACGACCCACAGCAGGAGAAGAAAGCGAGTACGAGTGCGCTATTCGATAAAGCACACCAAGCACAATTCGATAAGATGGACAGCATCACGAGCCACTATGCTGCGCGCCGCGGACAGCCGTCTAATGCGGAGGCTGTATCTGTCTTGGGCAAGCGAAAGAGTGTCGCGGTACTTGCCCCTACCACTGGGAAGAAGCGCAACACGAGCGTTGTGGTGAAGAAGGATCGCGTTCCTTCAACTTCAAGTCTGAAGCTGCGCACGGTTTCGAAGAAAGTTGTTCCAGGAGGATTTGGCGATGATGATGACGATGCTGACGGCGAAGAGGAGGAAGACAGGGAAGATGATAGCCGGAAGTCTAAACGTGTTCGCACCGATCCTGTTGAGGATGCAGAGATTGAAAGGGAAGAGGCGAGGAAGCTCAAGGAGCGTGAAGCCATTCGCCGGAAGCTGGATGCTAACAAAGCCAAGAGGCGCAGCAGTATGGGTAGGCCAAGTATAGGCAAGGTCGTCAGTAAGTCAAATCCTAATACTTTTCTCTCCGAGCAAATTATGGATCGGCTGATTTTTGCCTACAGATACACCCAAACAAACCTCGCGCTTTGGTTTCCTCTCATCTGCAAAGAATCTCGTCTCGAATGTCTGGAATCGCGGAGCAGCTGGGTCCAAGTCAAACGTCCCCGCCGCGAAGCCCGCACCCGCACCCCCGACGAAAACGGCGGCTACGTCTATGTCCTCCAAATCAATCAAAGAGCCCCCAAAAGCACAGTCGATGGCCAAGAAAACCGCGATCATCCCCAGCTCCTCAGACACGCCACCCATTCCGAAAGAGCGTATGCTATCAGTCAGTAAAGGCAAACGCGTGCCTTCCGGAAGTTCGCTTGCACTAGTAGCTGATTCAACGTCATCTCGCACATCGAAGTCACCAATTCCCTCATTCCCTGCTCCCGGGACGTCAAGCAGGATGGGCCATAGTAGGACTAATTCCGGGTCTGGCGTTTCGTCGCTCGGCGTTGCTTCGCGAACAAATAATGCAGGAGGTGTGGGCTCCATGGGCACGAAGACTTCCCTAGCAGGTACATTAAGAAGCACAACTCCTGGCACGGCTCGAGCGCGCACTTCTACGCTCATGGCACCGACTGCGTCATCACTAGCCAAGACCAGCAGGTTGCCAGTGCCGTCGTTTTCACCACTCCAGGTAAAAGCCAAGGAGAAAGAAAAAGAAATGGAAAACGATGCAGTGGAACAAATAGTGAATTCTCCGATGATCCCCCGAAGTCAGGGCACAATCTTCAGCCAGCCCTTGCCACCGATTAGCCCCTCGTCGAAGCCATCAGAGCCACAGATGTCCCTTGCAGCAGCAGCTACTACGCTCGTCAACGCGAAGCCTCCAATCCCGCCGAAGCCGAATGTTATACTCGGACGACGGCCACGCATATCAAGGGGAAAGGTGATCGCGAAACTGGCTTCGCAACGAGAGGCTCAGCAAGCAGGCGTGAGCGCAGGTGTGAGCGCTATCCCAAGACTACGCGTTGGCACATCGAGTTCCCATGCGAGCGTCGGGGTGCCGAAGGTACGGTCCAGCATGGGCACGAATGCGGCGAGAGGATGGCAGTCGCATGGTGTGGCTAAAACAGGTGGTGATGTGCTGATGAGCGCAAAGAAGCGGTCGAGGAGGAGCGAGTATGCGAGGCGGCGGAGTCGTGTGGATGGGGAGAAGATGGATGTGAAGGGGTGAGCTGCGAGGTATTTTTTTGTCGCTGTCGTTTTACTTTCTCTTGTTCTGTGCATTTGATGATCATCCTCCGAGTTATACTGTATCTCATCTTGTGTATAGTAGTCGAATCATGCAAGAACATAACATATGAGCTTGAACGTGTTTCTCGAAGCTAGCCTACCCTTATACAAGCAAGTCAACCGTGAATAGTCCGTCACAGAAGTTGGGTGTTTTCCAAGAGGATGGCAAGATCGCAAGGGCCATCCTCGATGGCAGTCAAGTAATAGCCGAACTATGTTAGCCGAAAAGTTAGGAGCTTTCTGCGGTCGAGCCCGATCGCGACGAACGCGTCAGGGTTCCCGATCCGGACAACCGACGCCAACAACAGACACTTAAAGTTCAGGCGGTAACCGACGCCTAATGTACAAAGACTAGTTTGCGACGTTACCTTTGTGCTCATTTCGGCTGCCATCAGCTGCCATCATGGGAGGAAATTAATGATTATACACATAGTATGTACTACTGTATATTAGCGATCGGAGGGGATGAAAAGAACGTTGAGAGAACAGAATTAGCAAATCGATTGCGATACAGTGGGTAAGATATAAGCTGCTAGATGTGATCATGATCCTCGTTCAGCCAAGTTGTCGTATAAAGGCCATTTTAGCAAGATGAGCAAAGCAAAACGGAAAAAACGTCAAAGCGCATGCGGCACACGTGTCCGCTCAATTCGGGACCGATACGAAGTGAGACGCCGTGTTGCGCCGTCGGATTCGCCGTGCTTCCGCTGTGACATTCCATGCCGTCTGCGCCAGCTCGATGAAATGCTGGTCTCGTGGCCCTAAAGAGAGAATATTTTTCCATAGTCCTTGATTAAATTTGCTATGCTCTCGGATTTGATCATCATTGCATAACGTTGCCATGATGTTGGCCATGGTGGGAGGGGCAGGGAATTCTTCTATCACCTCAGCTGGCAGGAGGTGGCAACATAGCAACTGGGATCGTGTTTCAAGTCCAAGTCCAAAGAGGAAGAGTAGAGGGATAGATGGAGCATGCGGGACAAGCAGTGGGACGACGGGGAGTGTCACGAATTGCCCCTCGGTATGTTCAGTGCTATATGGGACCGGAAAAGTAGACCCAGGTGGGCTGGGTGGAATTATTTTGGAGGTAAAGCCGCGGGTGAAGAGGTCAACACGAATTGGTACCAAGAGAGGCTGATACGTTGAACCCCATTCGCTCTCTGGGATGTCAAAGACGACAAGGACATGAGAGGGGATATGAGCATCCTGTTTGACACGCATGTCCAAGGTTGTCGGAATGTCGGTTGCCGGCTCTAACGTCGTCGTTGCAACGTTGAAAAGAGAATAAAGAAGGCTGCGCAAACGCGTCAGCAGGTGTCAACTAATGCCTATAGTGTGAAACGTACTCAAGGGGATCACAGTCTTCAGCCAAAATATATTGTTTTGAAGGTAGTATACGCGGCCGAGTGCCACTCATGTTTGGAAGGGAGGGTGATACCCAATGTCGAGGGTGCGTGTGTGATGAAGGAATGTCGAAGGTTTTTTGGATGATTTGTTGAAGCGTGGTATGTTCGTCAAATTTCAGACTCTAGCATTTGAATATGGTTAGTGTATATGCCCAAAAAATTTCAAGTCTATGACATATTCCGCACTGCGCAGCCTAGGCGGACATAGACAGAAACCCGAGGGGTTGGACATACCGTGCGTTTTTTTGGGGGGAGGTTTTACGCAGTACGATTTAGTGACGGTGCGATACAAAACGTGAGATGGAATGAAGGGATCGTCAAAGAAGGAGTCAAAAGGAAGTAAGCATGACCACTAGCCAAAGAGGAGCAGAACTTGTGAGAATCTGAGACGAGAGCGGGAAGAACCTGCGAAATTAACTTGCTCACTTGACGCTCGTCCCTTTTTAGTGAGACCGATATAATCACTGACAAGCCACGAGGCTGATATGTTGTGCTTTGCACCTGAACGTAAATCCGGGTCAACCGAATTAGGCTGGTGCTGTGTAGCAACGATAATATCTCGAAACCAGATCAGAGATTTGTGAGAAATGAGTCGGACGACGATAACTGACCGACCGCTCTACTCTGAAACGCCTTCTCAATGGATGAAGTACTTGATCGAAGCAAGGGAAGGTCCAGGTACTATCCAAATAAAGCAAACACTTTGTAGATAAAAATAAGACAAAACAAACTAAGTTGTCCTAGGCACTCATCATTTAAATATTTAAATACCTGTGTACAATATTAATATTATTACGCGGCGGCGGCCAGAGGGCGCTGCCTTACGCCAAGTTCTTGTCGAAACTGCCATCAACCGGAATCAAACAAATCAATTACTGACGTGTCAATTTCTCATGGAAAACACGAACCCGCCGGCCTCTGGTCCGGTGTCAGTAATAGGGGTTAAATATGAGTGAGAAGCCCTTTGTTCTAGCTGCTCCATTTGTTGGCGCCGATCCCAATTATGACGTTGCCTATGACTATACACGAGTCACAATCAGTCTATCAAGGTGTCACTAAACCGATTTTCGGTACTATGTTCAAGTCTACTGGCCGCTTAGTATCAGATTGAGGCGAATGCTGAGGCGAGTGGTTTTCCCTCAGTATTTTTCACCGAGGCGGCACACTTTTTCGCCAAGAATAACGTATTGACGCTACTCCCTTGGTTCCGAATAGTAGACACCGCCCTGGTTGCTTGGGGATTCCCCTTGACGGTGCCAGTAATAAGTACCTTTCCTCGATGGCATCATGGTTTCCGAATAGTGAACACCACTTTGATTGCTTGGAGTGCATGACCAAATCCTTGGGATTCCCCTCACAAAAACCTCGACGGTGCCAATTTCGTCAAATTCCGCGAGCGAGTCTTCCTCCCCATGATGAGTTCCGCGATTACCTTGCCTGTCCCGGGCGCATTGCAAATGCCCTTCGAACATCAACTTGTGCAAAATATTTCGCGAGATGCTTCACTTACCCAGCAGGTATGGCCGGTTGCGATGTATAAGCCTTTGGCAATATTGTCTGCTTCCCCAATGATGGGGCCCCCACCGGTACGTACCACTGGCAAGAAGCACGCTTGGCGCTTATCGACTGTTCCCTCTCTCAGCTCCTGGGAGATGCTGGCAATATGGTTCGTTATACTTTGACAGGCCGCTAGATCGACTTCGACGTCATCTACGTTGGCAGGTAATATTGAATCATCCCCTGGTCCACACGCGTATACTTCGTTGTCTGGACGTGCGTATATTTCAGGAGAGACGTGAGAATGCGAAAGCAGGATTTCCGTGAATAACACGTAGGGCGATATCGTGACGTTAGCCTTGGGGTGGATGGTAACGCTATGAGCGCGGGTGGCTGCAATAGGAAGGGATGGTATAATGGATGGTGACCATGCTCCAGCAGACAACACCACATGCGTTGCAGGGAGAGTTTCAATGCGATTAGGGTTAGACAGATCATGATAAGTGACACCAGTGACATGACGGTCGACCCGCTCAACGGAAATGGCAGTTCCCTTTACCAATTGAACGCCTTTCTCCTTCGCGAGGTCAAGCATGCTTGTGGTGAATAAATATGGATGAACCTGTGCTGTTCCGTCTGGACCAGACATTGGGCTGTACGATGTGGTTAATTCATCCTTAACCCAAGTCAAGTCGTCAGGCAGCCCCTTGTCCGCTCTGCTTGCGAGTGCAGTATCCTCGAAACCAAGTGTCTTCTCCAAACTCTTTCGATTACCTCCCTTCCCAACACCAGATCCACTCTCGCCAAGCGCCTCCCCCTTTCCCTCCCAACTTCCACAACCAACGAATCTCCAGCCCCACCTTTCGGCACCGTTATGCTCTTCGGCGAGTTTAATGTGCTCGGGAAATGAGATATCTACAATTTCGCGGGGATATGCCCATTTAGCAACCAATCCACCGGCCTTTCCAGAAGCTCCTTGCGCAACGCCGTTTGCGGAAGCTTCGAGAACTATGATATTTGTCGTCGAGGTGGAATATGATGGGTGTCTGGACAAGTAGTAAGCAATGCTGCATCCTGTCGAGAAGAAGTCAGATGAATTTGAATAAGCGATTGTGGTCCTGGACTCTAGATTGTGTCCACACCAATGATTCCACCGCCGATGATAACAATGTTACGTTGTTCCACCTGATCCATTCTGATGATAACGAGAAATGGGCGGGCCTTAGATCTATAGGTGGACTTGAACTTAATGGTGGTTCCAGCCTGAGGAGACACCGAGCGCGGTCTTGAGCGGGCCGACCGGTCTGTCGGATTACTTGTGGCGCTCAATTTGCTCCCACGCACCTCTCCTCTCTGCTTATATGTTCTCGGAACCCGGACGCGATCGTCATGGACTTTTCTCTCAAATTGACAGTACACAACTACCTTGGCGATGAAGGGCCAGCTTTGTCGCACTTTGATGTAACACTGGAGCTCGGACGCGACCTAGCTCATGCAGCCTCTTCAAATCTTGGATGGAGAAAACCGTTTGTCTCATTCGACGAACGGCTGTTCGGTAGGGCGTCAACAAGCAGCTAGTAGCTTGCTCTTATGAATCATCAGCAGAGCTAAATCACGACCGACTATACCAATTCAGTGCGAGTCCACCGCAGGTCCTAGCGCCTCGAACACATGTTCTCAAGGACTGGGGGGTTCCCCCGAGTGACGACGAAGCATTGGCGCTTGAAGCCCTCGAGGAGTTTGTACACCCAAAGTTGGAAGCTCCCCGCTCTCGTCCTACCCGCAAGCGCTCTGCACCGCTGGATTCGCGCCCAGACATTCGTGACTCACAATCACGAGAGAGCGCACGCACCTCAACATATGAACTGTCTCTAGAACCGCCCACGAAGCGACCCAGATATGACGTCGCCTGCATTTCAAACTTGATCCCCCAGGTCTTGAGAATTCGCTCAGTCTAGCTTCACCTCCGCTTACGATTTGCAGCCTCATATTGTCACAGGTCCCAGTGTTAGTCCTCGGCCGTTGGACATGAAACACCTTACACCTTACAGAAGAGTCCCAGCATCATGGATAGCCTCGTTTGATATCGCCTCGGCTCAGCTCTTCATGAACTCTCCTTACAATAGGGCAGCCTGGCTTATCCCTGTACGTGGCAGCCTACCATGGGACGATGTCACCTGTGCCACCATCCTGGCACCCCCACAAGTCCCACAAAAAGATGATACTCCTCCCCTTCCCTCTGGACCCGCGCCTCTAGGCGGAACCTCGCGAATTACTTGGACTCATCATTCGATCGTGGACTTCTGGAATTTTCTGATATCCATACAGCAAGCTCAGAATCTTGGGTCCATCTCGATCTCCTTCCATAGCGCACCGTCAGATACCACGTTTACGCTCGACAGTGCGCTCAGCCCAACGGCTGAAAGTGGCAATCGGCCTATTCAACCTGCACAGTCGGAGGCATCCGCTAACCCTTCCGATGGCTTCTCGGATCAGATCCGTCACGCACGACTGGAAGCAACGGACTTTATCAAAGTTTATCATGATACCAAGTACTCGCTTTACCTCCGAAATGTTCTGGACGCCTACTCGTATGTTCCCGAAGGAACCACATCAGAAAGAAGACAACCAACCAATTGTGAAACAGCGGGATTAGCGACAAAGATCAGGCTGTTGAAATTAGCACGACTCGTAGTCGTTGACGACCTAACAAGAGCTGTGTTAACGCTCTGATACGCTGTGCTGAAGAGGTCATTGTCACCCCATACTACCCAATGCAGTACGAGGGCTCCCGCGTTGATTGTCATACGATAGTCAAGGGATGATGTTGGAGTGGTGTATCTGCGACTCTGTGCCTGCATGTCGCGAGCAAGGCAAGAAGTGGTGAAGAGCGAAACGCTACGACAAAGCCCGAAGGACACTGAGTAGCCTACTAAGCTACGGTTCCCCTCATACACCCTTACAGTATGCTTTACGTGTCCCGTGTTGATCATCAAGTGCTGATACTCTTGCTACAGATATGTATGTAATGCATGCTGTTTATCACTTGTCTATAGAAGTCTGCCGTGCGACAACACCCTTCAATCGGGATCATATGTTGGGCCGGGGCTGTGAAGAATGGCTGATCTTCTATGCAACCGATGGCTCGCACAGTTCCCTTAGCTTCCATCGTGTTATCAAATGACACCTGTCACCGCCATTTTTCTCATGCGGTGTCAGTCTCACATCCTGACATGATGCACGATGGCCAGACGTTGTCACGAGGCTGCACAGCGCTGAAACTAGACAGGTCAATCGCGGATCGTCAAGGTGTTCCCATCTTTCCTCTCACTACTTAGCACATCTCCGCTGCAAGTTCATTGTGCTCGTCAACGTCTCCAATGGTACATTCCACGCACGATGGTCGCTAGTTTGGTAGCTGCTGGAGTGCTTTGAAGTTTGGGGAGATAATGCAACATTGTCGTGCACCTAGACACTCACACAGTACAATAATCTTGTGCTTGATGAGGCCTTTGCCGTCCCTTTACGTACCACACATACTAACTAGGGTACTGCGGCCTATTCGCATCAATTCAGGCGACTTAGAGCTGATCTACTACTTCCTAAGTAGCAGCTTGTATCTCTACATCACAGCACAAAGTCAAGATCTACGCTCGAATCGTGCCATGCACCACGCTCTATTTCTCCCTGACATTACATCTAATATCTTCGAGTTCCTAAATCCGTTTCTATCAGGACCCGAAGGCTCTCATCAGCCCAATCCACTTCGTCTGCAGGATCTCGCAGCAGTTGCGACAACGTGCCATGCGTTGAGCGGTCCAGCACTCGATGTGCTATGGGATACTTTAGTATGCTTCGGACCATTGCTGATGTGCATGCCACCGTCCGTCATTGAAGTTTGTGTCCGTGTTGTTGGGGAGGATGACGACCCCGACCCACCATACGAGGAACGAAGCATTGTAAGTGATCATATATTCCCCTGATCGGCATGCGTCTCCCTCATAGATGATTCTAGCACTTAATTCGAAAACCTTTGCCCTCGGATATGTTACGAATGCTTCCTTACGGTCGACGGATCAAGAGGATAGGTTCGCCTGTAGCCAAATGTCGATGGCCTCTCCCCGATAAATTTCGGATCTCCAATCATGTCATCAATTGGCTTCTTTCGGTCTACCCTATAGAGCTTTTTCTACCCCGTCTCACTCACATGCGCTGTCCCCCCAGCATCATGATGGATGAAAGAGAGGACATTTCATGGGTGCCGTTATCTCGGAGTCACCTCGCGAGTCTCGAATATTATCTCACACTCGACAACAATGTGGAAAGCTGGTCTTCATTATCCATTCTTGTTGATGCTCTTCCTCAGCTCAGGAGGATGAGATTACAAGGTAAGGCATAATCGAGGAGACACACATTGGGTTAACACCATCCCGCAGTCTATGTTTGGGAACGCTATACGCACGTGCTCTACTCTGGGGCAATCGCTCCTCTTTGCTTGTTACGCAACTTAGAGCACCTAGATCTTTCAATCAACGAAAAGGTTCCCGAGGGTCTTGGCCCCGCTGGCCTCGAGATCATGTTCCCTTGTTTGCGGAAACTGAAATTGACAAGCAATACCAATTTTGCTGTTGGTTTCTTGATAGCGATACAGTCGACAATGCTCCACACACTTGACTTGGCTATAGAGCAGCGCAACCCATCAACTGGGAATCAGCATGAGCATTTGGACCGTCCGAGTCATCGACTCTTTTCTTCCTTGCGATGTCTAACGATCGCAAGTGATTTCTATCTCATGGTGTCACTCATAAAAGCTATTCATACGAGTGTGCTGGATAGCATTTCCTTGACTATCGCTCTTGCACGCGGGAAAAAGATGGCGCAAACGCTTACCTCCCTGATCTCGTCGAAGAGAGGATGGGACTCGTCCCTGAGGACCATTATCATGGACCGAAAAAACCCCCGTCGATTTCCCATTGATGGGCCCCTTTGTCCCACTCACCCATACTTCCTTTCCATAGAAGACCTGCTCGTCTTCTCCCACTTGCAATACATTATACTGCATGACTTCGCAATGTCACTGGACAATACTCTATGCAAGAAACTTGCGACCGGGTGGCCAAACCTGGTGGAATTTTATTGCATGCCTGCTCTCATATCGATTGATGTGCCTGGCAGTCTGACCATAATCATACCGGCTCTTCAGCCACCTCCTGTCGCGGCTACTGTAGATCTCGGTAGTCTGGTTACCTTTGCCAGGCATTGCCCACAATTATCGCATCTTCACCTTGGTATCCCGTCGGATACGGCAGAGTTGCCAGTACTCGACGATGAAACACTTGCTATTTTGTCCACGCGCCCCACGCGTTCCACCTGCATGCGGTTATCGGTGGATGCGGATCCATCTCCCGCCAATCCAAAAGAAGTGGCGACATTTCTCGCGGAGGTGTTTCCTGGCAGAGAAATTAAGATCGTGCTTGCCGAGTCCTTCTGCCGGCAGGAACTATGTGGATCTTTCAATGGGTGGTATGAAGTTGTGGAATGGCTCAGGAGGTCACAGCTAAGCAGCCTCGAATTCGGCCCTTGCTATCGTACACAAATTTGTACTGTATGTACTCGATGAGTGATGTTCCTCACCAAGGCGGAACTGAGGAATTTGGACCTCCACCTTTCGTAGCAATGTAATTTTGTTCACATTCGAGTAGCTAAGTAGGTCTATCGGATCCAGGGTGGTTGAGCACATCAAGCCAAGTCGAGTCTTCTGATCAGTCACCTTGAATATTTATCAGGCCTAGTAGTAAATAAACCAGCTGGCAGACATTTTATCGTACTTGATGATCAGTTCTTAAAGTTACTACGTAAGTATCGGTTCTCTGCCACATGGTCTCCGCGTTGTTGAAATCGACTAGTAATAGGCGCCTAACCTTTCGATTTAAAATTTCAAAGTCATGGCCCTGCCAGGGTGACGTTTTCCACTATCCACTGGCACGATGGATCCCATCACCAGCGGTCTCACTGTTCTTCAGGTTGTTCAAACTATAGCGCAAGCTTCAGCTCTTTTGTATGGATATGTTGCTTCCGTCCGCAATGCTCCATCATCCTGCCAAAGGCTCCTTGACCAGCGCAATTCAATTAGAGGAGTCCTCGCCACAGTTATGGAGATCGAGAAGGATCACTGTGAATCTCTTCCTGACAATCTCCGCCGTGCACTTTCGCTTTTGATGACCAAGGATGGACCGGCGGCGAAATTAGACGCAGAACTAACGAGCCTTCTGCTAAATGACCTAGCGAGCGGGAAAATGAGCAAGATAACCAGATGGACCTGGCCTTTCAAGGAAAAGGAAGCGGGAGTGATTGCTGATAGACTGAAACAATATTATGGCGACATTACAGCAATTCTAGCCATCGATTCATGGTAAGCTGACTCACTCGTGATGCATTCCCAATTCTAATGCAGCGTAAGGAATACGATCAAAGAAATTAGTCAAGGAGTCCAGGAATTAAGAGATGATTTTGCCGCACGAACGGTGGACGACAAAGGTGAATCGCTGACTGTCAGTTACCTCCTCACCTTATTCAAACATGCATAGACGAGGAACGTCAAAAGTTCCTTCAATGGATGAACCCTATATCTTGTACCGAAAAGCATGATATCTCCCGTCGCCAGCGTAACGCCGCGACTGGTCGTTGGATTTTCCAGGACGATCTGTATAAGATGTGGAATACATCGGCTTCCGCATTCCTATGGTTGAATGGTCAGCGTGAGTTTGATTAGAATCACCAGAGATTGCAGGTTACCGACACACGGAACAGCTGGAAACGGAAAAACCATCCTTGCGTAAGTGTCAGCAACACCCTTAGCCTGTTGGTAGCGCGCTAATGGCGATCCAATAGAAGAACAAAGATAGATCTTGATTACAAGGCTGCGGTGGTAGGATAGATGAGATCGAAAACAAGGAACGACGCCACAAACAAAACGTGTAATAAGCATACGTTGAAGGTCCGCTAGTCCCGGAAACACTCGGACCGTCTATTTCATCACATTACCCTCTCCCAAGGTCGATGTCCTCATCGACGATCTTTCGAAATCTTCTTAGTCTCCAATCATAGACTCCTTGATGAGGAGGTATAGAATAAATCCATTCCTCCCGACGCGGAATACGGATCATGAGTGGTCGAGAGCTCTTCTCACGATTTAGAAAGGCTTGAAAGGCTTCGTTCATCCCGAATTCATTCTTCAAGTTGCGTTCTGGCTCCCAAGTGCTTTCTTCCCGTGGTTGACCCTTCCATTTCACCAAATACTCCTGCTTTCCGCGTCTCTCTCGTCGATCCAACACTTCTTCTACTACGTACTCCGGTGTTCCTCCAAGATCCACTGGTGGCGGTGGTGGCGGTCGTTGTTGTAACGGAGAGATTGGTGGTGTATAGGGATGAAGAAGAGTGGTATGGAAGGTTGGGTGTATTCTCTTCCATGTACGAGGTAAGTTCAGCTTATAGGCACGTTCACCGACCTTTTGAACAATTTTGAAAGGTCCGAATCGACGGTCATCAAGCTTTTTTGACGGACGGCTAGATTTAAGGTGAGTGGCTTCCAAGTATACTAAGTCTCCAGGTTGATAATCCGGGGATTCTTGACGGTGCTTGTCATAATAGCGCTTCATGTCTTCAGCGGCACGAGTGAGGGCCAAGGCAGCCTCTTGAGTGAGGTTACTCATCCGAGTAGCAAAGGAGTCTGCGCTTTCGGCCTTGACGCTCGCTCGGGGTTCAATACCCTTACGAGGATGGCGTCCATAATTGAGGAAGAATGGAGAGTATCCGGTGGAAGATTGAGCTTTGTCATTGTAATTAAACTGTGCGAGAGGCAACCATTCTGCCCAGTCATCCTGACGGTAGTTGGTGAAAAGACGAAGGTATTGCTCAATCTCTTGATTGATCCGTTCGGTCTGACCATCAGTTTGCGGATGATATGCAGTTGACAGATTGGTTTGAATGCCGAGCAATTGGTTAAGATCGCGCATGAAGTTTGAGGCGAACTGAGAGCCTCGATCGCTAATGACCTGCTCCGGAATACCAAAATCCTGCCACACCCGGTCTCGATATAGTCGCGCTAATCCTTCGGATGTAAGTTCTCCGTTTGTTGGTGCTAGACGTATCATTTTGGACAGGCGATCAACAACGACAAGAATAGCATCGTTTCCTTTGCTCGGTGGAAGCTGAGTTATGAGGTCCACCGATACAAATTGCCAATTATGGTCCGGTATTGGATTAGGTGCGAGGAGTCCAAGTGGTTTTGCAGGAAACGTCTTGGTCCGCTGACATCTTTCACAACCACTTACATACCGTGTTACGTCCGCATGGATTCGTGGCCACCAATATGTCCGCAAAATCAGTTCGGCCGTCTTGAAACGTCCTGGATGGCCAGATATTGGTAAATCATGGTGAGCGTGGATGATTTGATCTCGGAGGACCCGTTCATTCGGCACATAGATCCGATTTTTCCATAAACTCAACTCCCCTTCGGTTCTCCACCCCTCTTCACCTCTTCGTACCGCTTCTTTCACGAATCCTTCAATCTTCTTCGACGCTCGAATCTTGGACAAGATTTCATCACCCTCCATCTCTACTTCTGTTGTCATTGCTCGAAACCACTCCTCTTTCAACAGAATTCGACTTTCGTTATCTTCCTCCCCCCTTCCATGGTCCGCTCGTCTCGAGAGGGCGTCGGGTTTTCCATGAGTGCGACCAGGTTTATGGGTAAGTCGGAAATCATATTCTGCCAACTCCAGTGCCCATCGTGCCTGCCGGCGATTGAGTTTCTTCGCTGATGTGAAATATTCCAGGTTTTTATGATCAGTGAGAATATCGAAAGTACACCGAGCACCCATCAAATAGTGCCGCCATTCAGCGAGGGCACGCATCACCGCAAGTAATTCCTTGTCATGAATATCGTAGTTGCGCTCAACGTCTGAAAGTGCACGCGAGAGGAACGCAACTGGATGCCAATCTCCGTCATGCTGTTGCGAAAGGACGGCTCCTGTGGCGTAATCCGAACTGTCCGCTTCAACTCGAAATGGTGCGTCGTCTCTAGGCATGATCAGGACAGGAGCTGTTGTGATGGCCGTCTTTAGACCTTGGAAGGCCTTTTCCTCCTCTATTCCCCAATGCCATAACTCCTTGCCCGTTAGGTGATGCAATGGATGAGCGATGTGAGCGAAACTTTGAATGAATCGTCGATAGTAATTGACGAATCCTAGGAACTGTTGCAATTCTCGTTTAGCAGTCGGACGTGGCCATTCTCTTACCCCCTCTACTTTGACCGGATCCATGGACACCTCTCCATGTTGAACAACGAGACCAAGGTATTCGATCTTCGTCTTTTCGAAGTCGCATTTTTCAGCCTTAAGATATAGATGATTGTCGCGGAGAATTTGAAGGACTTCGCGTGTAACCCGCCGATGTTCCTCGAGGGATTCAGTAAAGATAAGAATGTCGTCCATATAAACGATTACGACGCCACGGCTAATGAGTTCACGAAACAGGTCATTCATCATCGTCTGGAAGGTAGCGGGAGAATTAGTGAGGCCAAAGAACATTACCAACGGCTCGTAAAGACCACGATTGGTCGTAAATGCAGCTTTCCACTCGTCTCCCTCACGGACTCGAATGTTGTTATACCCCCATCGAACATCGAGTTTGGTGAAATAGTGTGCATTTCGGAGTTTATGTACGACCTCCGAAATCAAAGGTAAGGGATATCGATTTTTGATGGTTGCTGCATTTAATTTACGATAGTCTTGAACCGGACGTAAGGAGCCGTCCTTTTTCTTGACAAAGAAGAAGGGTGATGCGATGGGAGATTTTGAAGGCCGTATTCGCCCGGTACGTAAGTGTTCTTCAATAAAGTTATCGAGTTCCGCTTGTTCAGCTAAGCTTAGAGGATAGATTTTGCTGTTGAACGGTTCAACGTCCGGTTTGAGTTCAATAGCGTGATCCCATCGACGGCGCTCGGGTAGACGGTCAAACGAAGCCTTCTCGAATACGGGCGCAAAATCTTCAAGGTGATTAGGAAGTAGTTCCTCCAATGATGCCTTCTTTCCCGTTTTGAGGGCTTGTTCAGCCAGTTTCTGCGACCGCGTCTCTACTGCCCGCATCTCCATTCGTTCTCTCGCCTTCTTCCAATAATCCCACTCATCAAAACTTTCGATTTCAAACTTCGTCACAAACACACGATCACCCTCGTCTAACTGTTCTTTTCGTCTTCCTTTGGTTGGCTTATCCTCTGGTTCTTGTGATTGATCACTATCGAGTGTAGCGTGACAAGCGAGTGGACAGCGGTTGAAGGTGATACTACCGGTACGCCAATCGATCGAAGGGTTATGTTTACGAAGCCAGTCATAACCGATTATGACGTCAGCCTTCCCAATGTTCGCAACTGCAAAATTGAAAATTTCAATATGATCTGCAATCTGCAATCGTAGCTTCGCGATAGCTCGTATTGGACCTCCACCGTTGTGCGATCCGTCAGCATTATAGACGGGAATTGGACGAGGAAGGGACTCAAGGTTTATCCCTTTCGCTCGCGCGAATCCTTCATCAATATAGCACCCAGTAGCCCCGCTATCAAGAAGGGCTTGAAGGTCGAAGGTTCGTCCATCGTCCAAGGTGTTAACGAGGATTGGAGTGACTACTGAGTTTTGGTTGATTCGACGAATCCAAGTTCGAGGACGTTTCAATTCCCTCAAGACGTCCCTCTGCACAATTGGACCCATCGCTCGAAGCTGGAGAAGTAATTCCGGCTGTATTTCCGACGATCGTTGACGGTTGGTCCACCGTCGTAATGCTTTCAACGCCACGTCATCCTTCTCTTTCAAACGTTCTTGAACCCATTGAAGAGATCCCTTCCTTTTCTTTCCTTCTGTCTCCTTCTCTTTCTGTTCCCGTTCTTCCTTTTTCTTTTTTTCTTTTATTTCCTTTTTTCGTTGATATTTTTGCTTTATCTTCTCTTTACGACTTTGTTCCCTTTGTTCATCGGATGCTCGCGAGCCACAGTCACAGGATTTGTTATTGACAGGCTCGTTAATCGTACACTCGACCGGTGAGGTAGCATCCTTTACTCCCGGCTTTCCTGAAAACCCGTCTCATTCTTTTCCTCAGCTTCTCTTAATACGAACATCTCCGCAACCTCCCCCTTCTGTTCTTCAGTCAATCCTTCAAACATCATCCTCATTGCTTGCCACCCCTTCGGCTTGGCACAGTTACGTGCCATATGTCCCAACTCTCCGCAGTTATAGCATTTCATCGGTCCCGCTCGTCCACGTGCCCGATCCAAATCCATGGGTTCGCCTCGTCCAGGAAAAGTGCGTCCGCTCCCAATGTTGGTGCCCCCGGTGCCCGTGTGACCCCCCGTTCCCGTGTTCGTGCCAGTTGTCCCCGGTGCCCCCATGTTCGGATAGCCTCGTCCTCCTGACATGTTCCCAGGTCTAACCCATCCCGGACCTGCTCGTCCTTCACCAAATCGCCTTCCACTCGCTCCCATTTCACCCACATCACTTCTCTCATTAGCCCTCTTATTCCTATCATATTTCTTCGCGTACTCCTTCCATCCTTCAAGGGTTCGTTCGACTTGAGGTGCAGCTACGATAGCATCGAAGGTGGGTTTGTCGAGATTCTGATGGAGGATGTCTAATAATGCTTCGTCATTGAAGCCGGCAAGGGCTGCGAGCTGCTCGAACTCCGCGAAGTATTCATCGGCTGATTGCTTGACGTTCTTCTTCAACGCATGGAGTTTTACCTGTGCGACCCGCTTCTTGTTAGGATCATCAAACGTCTCTTTCACCTTGGCCTCAAACTCTTCCCAATCGTTGAACGTGACTGTACGTTCCCTCAGTTGCTTCGTAATATTGGTAGCCCATGTACTGGCGAAACCCTTTTTCATATAGGACAGCGCCGTGATGATTTTCAATTGGTCATTGGCGTAAACGGTGGGTTTGCCAGCAAAATATAAATAAAGCTGACTCATGAACGTATCGAAGGTTTCGTGTCGGCCATCATAGTCGTCTGGCTCGGCGACTGAGGCCTTCGGCATAGTGGGCTGTTGCGCAGCTTGTGCTTGTGGTCGCGCTAAGGCCTGGATCATGGCCTGCTCAAAAGTTTGTTGTCCTTGGACCAGCTGCGCTAGGAGTTGTTGTAAAACAGCCCCAGTACCATTACCGTTCGGAGGAGACATGTTTTGATCAGTGTCGAGTGAGTTGGTCGTAGACGACATGATAGGGGTTGGTTCGCGAAAGTCTTTAATGTTATAGATTTGTTTTCGATCTAATGTCAGCAACACCCTTAGCCTGTTGGTAGCGCGCTAATGGCGATCCAATAGAAGAACAAAGATAGATCTTGATTACAAGGCTGCGGTGGTAGGATAGATGAGATCGAAAACAAGGAACGACGCCACAAACAAAACGTGTAATAAGCATACGTTGAAGGTCCGCTAGTCCCGGAAACACTCGGACCGTCTATTTCATCACAGTAAGTTTGACCTCGTTTGGAGAGCTTTCAGAGCCTATATTGACTTCTGAAATTTCAGCTCCGCCGTCATCGACGAATTTCAGGGCAGCGGGGAAGCAGAGCCACAGACACTCGCTTACTTCTATTGCAATTTCCGGGATGACCGGACGACAATCGCGGCTGCAGTATTGCGTTCCTTGGTTGTTCAACTGCTTCGACAATCTCAACACGACTGGATAACCAAGATAGGCGAGGAGCAAGAACCGAACGCCGAAGGGAACCTTGTTTCTCTGCGAAAGCTACGGGAGCAGCAAAAGAACGGAGAGCCATGTCCCACAGATCTTGGTTTTCTACGAAAGCTTCTTGTTGAAGCGTCTATGCTAGTTTACCTACCAGTTCTCGTGATCGACGCCTTGGACGAATGCAAGGACCACTGCTAGCAGATCACCTTGTGAATCTTGCTGAAGACGCTCAACTACGACTTTTCGTCAACTGTAGAAAGGAGCTGGACATTCAAGACGCCTTCAATAATCTCCCCACCATATCGCTGAAGGACAGCACAGAACAAATCAAAGCAGATATACAGGTCCACATTACCGAGCAGTTGAATACTCAAAAGTGTTTGTCACGCCTACCCGACACACTGAAGCAGATGATTTTGGAGAAACTGTTAGAAAAGGCCGAAGGCATGTAAGCAAAGCCCCTTTCGCTCACCTCTAGGAAATTCATTTGATCGCATCCAGGTTTCGCTAGGCTCAGTGTCAACTGGATGAAATCATTGCTTGCAAAAGACTCATCAATATTGAGGCAGCCCTCGACAACCTTCAAGCTGGACTATACGAAATATATGATAGGATTCTTTTCGTCATCAAACAAAGAGGACGAAGCGATAACTAAATTGCCACGAGTTGCCTGCTTTGGCTGGCTGGCGCACTCACCCCTTTGAGGCTTAACCAGCTCAATGAATCGATAATGATCGAAGCTGGGCAGCTGAGTCTTAATCCGAAGCTTGGCGTCATAGACCCTATGGATATCGTGGCCGCGTGCGGAAGCCTTGTGACCTATGACGAGAAAACCGGCGTCGTTGCTCTATCTCATTATAGCGTCAAAGTATGATGTGTCAACCTTCTTCATCCTACTCGGCCGCCGATGCGCTACGTAACCAGGAATACCTGATCAGTCGTCGCCCCAATAACACCCTAAAATCGATTTCAGATATGCATGCGCGTATCTGCGAGCTTTTGTTGAACGCGTCTTGACCTTTAACCGCCACCATCTGCTTTTTTCCCACGGTTCAACAGAACATGGGCGACGAGCTAGGAGGCAGTATAAGCATAGCTAGAAACCTTGACAATCGTATACCAGCAAGATCATATTCACAAGCAGCATCCCTTAGTAACACTAGACACCGTATGAAGGAGTCCCAGCCACGTCGGACGTGGGATGAGTCGGAGCCCAACGATCCCCTCCCACCCCCGGAATTCCCATACAGACCAACCAATGCCAATTACACGCCAGTCACACCCACATGTAGAGGGTTAGGATACAAACGTCGACTGGAAACAACCACTTCTCCATCGGCCTCACCAAACACCGCGAGACAGACCAAACGCCGTCCTACAGAACACGTGGCTATGGTAACCGATGTAGACCAACGCGAATACGACTCAGAAATGGAGACGGACATCTACAGTGAAACCCGTTCGGAGCAAGGATGGATCGCTGACTTAAACCACCATCTTATCAAAGCTGCAGAGGCATTAGACAACATATCAATCCACGCTAAGTTCCCAGATAACATGTATGCCACTGCTCAAAGAATTGCACAGGCCATCCTACCCCCTAAACCGGTTGAAACACCAAGGAACAATCCCGACGACATAATGCCGATACTCAACCAACTCGTCAAAGACGTCCAGGAACTACGCCAAGGCAGTAAACCGGAAACCAGTCAAAACCCTCGTACTCAAATCGCAAATGGCCCCACCATAGTCCCCACTCCGAAGACCAAGACAAACTCAACTAAGTTAACGGAACAAGAGAACCGACACCGAAACAACCCGCTAACCCGACACCACCCCTCTAGACTCATTCTTCACATAGAAACCCCTCCGGATCCTACGCAACGGCAAAAGGACCGAGGGTTAGTAGAAGCTATCAACGAAAGGCTCAAGGAAGTCACCAAAATCACGGTCAATGGCGTAAAATGGAACACCAAAGGTAACTGTATCGTCATCACACATCCTGATTACACAGCGGATGACTTGCTTCCATTCAAAGATGCGTTCGCAGATTTAATTGTAGGAAACTCCAACTACTCAGCTGCACCAGACAAGGAATGGTTCTGTGTCCTCCTCAACAGCGTGGACACTGGAAAATCCGATGCCGAAGACATGATGGAATTTGAACCTCGATCCGGAGCAGAGGTAATTTACGAGATGAAAACTAACAACCCCAGTGTACGCAACATCAATTTCAAAGCAGAACCCTCATGGATGGCTAAACCGGAGACCCTCGAACACAAATACCACTCAACTATGCTCTTAACGGTCTCGTCACAGGAAGAAGTCGATTACCTCCTCAAACACGTCAGCGGAGTCTTTTTATATGGACGGTACGCCTCATTTTCACGATTCCAAGATCTGAAACCCGTCCGTCAGTGCAACCGATGTTGGTCTTTCGACCATCATACGTCCAAATGTCCTAACTCCCCTAGGTGTCGAGTATGTGCAGGCGATCACACTGAACTGACGCACACCTGCAACTCATGCCCCAGCACGGCCAAGGCTCAAAAAGGATGCAACCACCTACCGATTAAATGTGTCAACTGTGGAGAAGCGCACATGGCAGACTCAACTAAATGCCCCATGCATATACTAACCAAAGGCTCTGCGAGAGACTCTCGACCAAGTGTCCAAGGAGGACGACGCACGCGCCGACCTCAAATTACTAACAATCCAGTAGCGCCTACAGAGACCCAGACGTCAACCCCACCCACAACTTCTCAGACTCATCTTGCAACGCCACAACCAATGACCGACGACAATATGGCTGGATGGCAATGATAGTCCATACTACGCAGCCCATAAAAATGATTCAACTTAACACTAACCGTTCAAATATAGTTTGTCACGCCCTGCTCAACAGCACCATTCGTGAATACGACATCCTGCTCATAACGGAGCCATGGTATGGCGACATTGGAAATGGCACAAAGGGCCCAGTATCATTGACCGGTTGGCAGCCAATTCTGCCACTACCATCCGTCCCCGCAAACGTCATTCCTCGAGCCATGGCATACATCAAGAACAGACCTGACTTCACGGTTACACTTCGCTCTGATCTTGCAATGGATGCTGACATACAAATTTTACAGATCAACCAAGGGACACATACACCGACAATACTTGTAAATATGTATAACCAGAGAGCAGGCGAGGATCCATCAAACTGGTCATCAGACCGTCTATTCAACATCGAACTACCAAATGGAATGCCGGTCGTCATCTCGGGAGATATGAACCTACACCACCCAATGTGGTCAAACACAGCTGAGAACCCCAACCCTCGAGCAGAAGCTTTCGTTGACTGGCTAACTAACCAGGGTTTTATAATGCTAAACGAACGTGGAGCAACGACTTACTTTGCCCACGACGGTGAATCATCATCGGTCCTTGACCTAACATTCATCAACGATAAAGCATACGAACTCGACACGATCAAAGACTGGTCAATAGACCACCATAAAGCCTACGGATCAGACCATGCGGCGCTCACATGGACACTAGACCATGAACGTGTCCCTATCGAGAACATCACAGCTCAACGGTTCAATTGGAAAGATATTGATGAAGACACAATCAGCGCATGGAAGGGAGCGTTCATGAGAGAATTGATGGATAGAGAAGATGCATGGATACCGCTACGTGACTCAACACGTCCCAATATTGACGATATTGAAAGAACAACCACAGCGCTTCAAGATGCACTCGTACAAGCAACGGAAAGCTCAATTCCCACCCGCAAATCTAGTACACATGCAAAACCATGGTGGACTCCTGACCTCACACAATCACTCAATCGCATTGCAGAGACTCGTGAAAGGGCTAGACAATATCTCATAGATACAGGCTTTGCTGACCACGACCTTATCCAACAGATTCGCCAACTACGCAATCAGTTCAAACGGAAGACGCGCCTTGCTAAACGACAGTGGGCAAACGAGACTTTGGGAAAAGCTACCCCCGATGACGTCTGGAAGTTCACTCGATGGCCCAAAGGGATACGAAACTACCCCACGCCACCACTCAGACGAAACAACGGTCAAAACATGGCAATAACACATGAGGAAAAATGTGCTGCATTACGAGGTGAACTGTTCCAACCACCACCGAACCTAGACTTAGCTGCACCAGATTTAGAACAGGACCTACCAGATGACATCCCATGGGAACCCATAACGTACGCCGAAGTGAAAAATGGTATCTACCGGCCAAATCGCAAAAAAGCTCCTGGACCCAGCCAGATCAACTACACAGCTCTCCGATGGGCCTGGGAGGCTGCATCAGAATATATCTACTTACTGATCTCACGTTGCGCAAATGTAGGTTACCATCCCATTGCCTGGCGACGCACAATCGCAGTGGCTCTACGAAAGCCCCGAAAACCAGACTACTCGAACCCGAGAGCTTACAGACTCATCCAGTTGGAGGAATGTCTCGGAAAAGTCCTCGAAAATGTACAGGCAAGTAGACTAGCATACTACACAGCGAAATATCTGCTGGTACCCTCTTCACAGTTCGGAGGCCGCCCAGGGAGCTCCACAGTTGACGCAGCCCTCTCATTTGTTCATGATATCGAAGCAGCCCGCAACCATGGACTCGTCACGTCGTGCATCACGTTCGACATCAAAGGGTATTTCGACTTCGTCAATCATACACGGCTACTCCGGATACTTCGAGATAAGCACCTCCCACTCCCTATGATAAAATGGGTAAAATCTTTCCTCAGTGAACGACAAGCAGCAATCTGTCTGGACGGAGTACTATCACCATCAGAACCAGTTGAAAACGGTATACCTCAAGGATCCCCAATCTCACCGGCCCTCTCGATTATCTGCACGAGCCCACTAAACGAAGCCTACAACACGAAAGCACGAGCTCGTGAACCACGCCCGGACAAAGCCACACCGACCACGTTGGCCTGCTACATCGACGATGGAAACTTATATGTTTCCTCCCCATCGTTGGACACCAATGTCGCAATACTCCGGGAGGAGTTCATTTTTGTAAACAATTGGCTCCGCGAAGCTGGACTGATGGCAGAAATCGACAAGTCTGAGCTCATCCATTTCACATGGCGTCGCGCACCAGACCGACCGCCTATCTTGCTACCTAGCGACGAAGGACAGGTGACAATCAACCCCCGTGATTGTATCAAATGGCTCGGCATATATTTTGATTCTAAACTCTCTTTTCGCAGAAATGTATGTGAACTGACAGGGAAAGCAGAAAATATTGCTCAAGGACTACATATGCTTGCAAATACGGTGAGAGGTCTCTCGCAATCACTACTGAGAACTGTATATTCGGCTTGCGTTCGCAGTGTAATGACATACGCCAGCCCCGTCTGGTGGACGGGCATGAAAACCCATGCAAATATGCTCACCCGCGTTCAAAACAAATCCCTCAGACATGTCTGCGCCGCTTTCCGGACCACCCCAATAAAGGCCCTAGAAATAGAGGCATCAATTCCCCCCATTAACCTTTTCCTTGATCACGCAAATGACAACGCCGCCACTCGACTACTCAAACTCCCCTCATTCAACCCCATTCTACAGAGACTCGACCAACCGTGGCGACAATTCGACCTTGCTGATCCCCCACCCGCTCTTCCTACCGACAAATACCGTCCTCGCAGCCGTAAACCACCAAAGTCGACCAGACTCATCCATCTGTCAAAACGAGCATCCCCGGACGTGGAACGCATCAACATATTCGCACTGCCACCTTGGGCAAACACAGCGGAAACGTACCGCGGCCGCCTGATGATATCGGACAAGCAAAGAGGAAGCAAGAAAGAAGCCGCCAAAGCGCACATTCAAACCGCTCGGAATCTGCAAACGGAGGACACGCACCTTCTCGTTTACTCAGATGGGTCAAAACAATTGGTCGGAGAGGAGGAAAGAGCCGGAGCAGGATGGACCGGCTATCACAGAGGAAGAGAAGTTTTCTGGGGCCAGGAAGGAATGGGCCCTAAGGCAGAGGTATACGACGCAGAGATGTTAGCGCTCCTTCACGCAATATCACGAGCTATCCGCTTCGCGCAAGACTCCCAGGTGACTCATTTACATTTCTTCGTAGATAATAACTCTGTGGTGCAGGCTGCATATGCAGCTGCACCCGGACCCTCACAATACATTGCGTTACAGATCAGACGATCGATTGAAGACTTCCTAACCACGTCACCCCTCCATCATGTCCAAGTTGCATGGATCCCAGGACACCACCATATCGTCGGCAATGAACGTGCTGACGAGCTCGCCAAAGAAGCCACTGAACGTAACGACACGTCCCACTCGACCTATGCAAACGCGCGCCGAAGAAACAAGGAAGGGATCCGGCAGAAATGGACAGAGAGTTGGAATAGAGACGTGGCAGCACAGACCGGACGCTTCGCTATCGCAAATCGACTCCCACCAACGCTCAAACCTCGCCAACACTTCACTCATACTCCTCGAGAAGTATACGGCCGTCTTATACAATGTCGCACAGGACACAGATTCATTGGAGAATACTATGCCGCATTCGTCCCCACCGAACCCACCCTCTGCCCATGTGGAGAACTACGTCAAACACGAGAACATATCCTACGTGACTGCCCGCAATTCACGCGACAGCGCATCCATTTACGTGAGGTATCCTACAACATCATACTCAATGAAATATTGGGTACGGAAAAGGGCATAAAGGCATTAGCGAAATTTATTGAAGAATCCAGCGCATTCAAGAAGGTCGCACTGGAACGAGAAGGGGACTGGGAAGAAAGGAGAGGGATAGAAGCCTGAGAGAGGGAGGGAAGGGAGGTGACGAAGGAGGGAGGGGAGGAGGAGAGCGCACAAGGAGGAGGAAGGAGAGAAATTGTACCATATTATACTCAGCCTGGACACCAGACGAACTTATACGCACACCGAAACCTCTCAAACACGGACCGCTTGGCTATTTGTACTATACTTACACCCCTTACCTTGTTACAACATCCCCCAGTACAGCCTAACAGGGCACCGCGTCTTAACAGTTTACTTTGTTTGTTGCGGTATATAAATATAGAAGTTCTCTCTCTCTCTCTGCGAGCTTTTGATTACGTATTTGTTATGCGACTTTGTGGATGAGATCTGTGCAGAAGGTGCACTATCTTTCCCGTGTTTGAGCTGAGAAACTGATGTTTGTATATATGAAGCCATCAGGGAAAACCTCTTCCGGGAAATAGGGCGAATTTGTGTAAATGATGGTGTTTTATCGAGTTTTATTGTGTTTTATCATCATGTTTCAGATTAGTGACATTTATGAACTAACCAACAGCCCCCTGACGCCTTCGTTGGAATAAAGTGGGCAAAAGTGCAATAAAATGCAATAAAGTGTGCAGCATTAATAAATTTTTGTAATAGATGATCCTCGAGCAATATCACAATGACGAAGGTGAAACAAATATTATATTGTCATTCAGACTCAATATACAATATACTACATAACTGCTAATCAGACAATGGCCACACTTGAACCCTGAAATAAGATCATAATTGCGTCAGTCAGCAAGGCTCGAGATTAAAGAATGGCCACACTGACTAGCTTCGACGGAAAAGTGATTTCTGTGGTCAGAAAACCTCAAACTCGCCAGAGGATCAAACTGGATCACTCGCGTCAAGTAGTGCACCGTCCCGAGTATCGCTAGCATGTACAACAGTGGCCTTCAGCGTGAGCGAAGGATTGACACCACGAACGGGTGGGAAGGACAGTTCTACGCAATATGAGTAGATACGCATAAGTGAGAAGTAGATTACTCACCGAATTGTTCATCTCCATGATCGAGCAACTCATCCCACGATGGTTGAAGTCTCTTAGTGGTGGGTGGAATGAGCAGTAGGAGAAGACGGGGGTAGGATATGTGGACTGTAGATGGAGTTTGGCGACAGCGCGAGGGTTCGGTGGTGGCTGATAGGTACACCCAAGGAGTGTGCGACTGAAAGTGCGTGCGCTTTCATTGCTCATGAGTCGAGCTGGAAAAGCACGTTGTAAGGAGACATTCGACAAGGCCAAGGTTGGTTGATGTCGTGTTGTGGTTGAACATTGAACATTGAAATTTGAAAGTTCGAACCAAAAGTCATGTGAGTGCACGTGGGAAGTAAACAAACATGTGCAAATGTTGGACTTCAGAACATTTCAAACGTGTACAAACATTGCAAGCGTCTCAATAAGCATCGCTTTGCCTCAAACGTCCTCGCCTTCTTCGCTACATCCGACAGCGGCATTGTCAATGAAAACCTTATTGAACATTTCTCCAATGAAGTCTGGGTCGCGCTTGGTCGCATTCACTGCCGCGGAAGGCATATTCTTGGGCTCCGAGTCCCTTCGTGTCCATATTCTGGCTCAAGGAACACGGTCTCATGCCTGGTCTTACGTTCTCCAACGAGCTTATCAGCTGTGAGTGAGGGTTTGCATACTGACTTTGCTTGCTTGCTCTTTAGCCACCTCAAGCATTGCCTGCACCCTGAAGTGACTGGTGTGTGTGTTGTCTGTATGTGTGTCAATTTTACGTGCGCAGAATAGTTGAACAGATCCAGCGCCATAGTCTCGCAGCAGGTGAGTTCGCTATGTGGCGAGCAGCTGTTCCTGCAAAACAGACGAGCTTAGATGTTCTTAATGCTTCCCCCTTGTTTTTTTTTTAATGCCTTAAAAGACATGTATTATATATACTTACTTCAATGTAGGTTAATATACATCCATATTTTCCGTGAATATGTATCTTTCTGTAATAATATGTGATAAAGTTGAGAAAGTTGACTAAAACCAAGTAATTCTGCAAATTTCGCATGGGAGCTTTTCCCTGATGGCTTCAGCCAAAGAAAAACCAGCCATATATTATGATGAAGATCATTGTGATTCTGGTGATGAGACTGTCCTTGTTCGTGATAGCAAGGATCATCCGTTGCTGAGCTATGCGATTCGTGGATGGCAGCACCTTGGACATCTTTCGGATGAAGATGTTTGCGTTATGAACGCCCTATCACTGCTGAACTCGGAGTTTATTCGAAACACCAAGAAACATCTTGCGCTTGCAGCTCAAGATGACGACGACTGGCGTGGACCTATGTGGTTGACGGTCGATGTGACTTTGCCCTCCCTTCTATTCATCCCGATTAAACACGGAAAGCCATGGATAGTCGAATTCCTCGTCAAGCAGCAACCCCATCTACTGGACGTGGATACTGCCTCTGGTTGGGTTTCTCCTTTGATTTTTGCCATGGCCATGCACCCTGACTTCCTCAGTATTATCCTGAAACTGGGCGTCGATCTCAACAAGCTGTCTTTCATCAGCTGCGACCAATATCCCATTATTGACGGCTCATATGCTCCAATTTCGTGGGCAGCCGCGATTGGAAGCGAAGTCGCCGTGGATTTCTTGCTTTCACAAACGGAGGTCATCCTACCTAATGATATTCTGCAAATGACCGCTATGTCATACCAGCCGCCGCCCGAATGTATCCGCAAATTTCGTGAGCGCGGTGCAGATGTCAATTTCACTGCCAACGGTTCTACCCCTATCCATACTTTCCTCCCCAAGCAACCCTATATATTTATTGACGAAAGCCGATCGCTATCTGCCGTGAAAGCGCTCATTGAGCTGTCGTATGATATTTCCTTACAGGACCGGACTGCCAGAACAGTACTACACATTGCTCTTGATCACAATCTGGACTATATTGTCGCATACCTCCTCGAGCAAAACGCAGAACTGTCAGCAACAGCGACTCTCCATCCAGACATGCGGAGCTGGGCTAAAAATGAGACGTGATATCCCAAGATTCAAGCAGCGGCTCTTGCTGCTGATAAACCATGCACCAGATTTAAGGGGAAGGTTATTGATGCTACAACGGAATTCCAACTTGTCGAGTTTTCATCGGCAATCACTGCTGACCGTGGTAACCCTGATCCTATCTGTGCTGTTGTTGTTTCAATGATAGTCCATGACAAGGTGTTACGTGAGTTGCTGCCTTTCTCCCAGCCGTGCAATTACCGTTTAGCGAAGACTTCTGCAATAACATTCGCGCCGACTATCAGTCACTTCAAAACAAAATACAAGACTCCCCGAAAGATGATTCCCTCAGACTTAAGATCGACATTTCATACTTCAATTGTCAGCATGTCTACAGTCGCTTGTTCGACTATCATCAAGGAGATGAAGTATCCAGCACGTTACGACAAATGACTGAGGACAAAGGGTTGGGTGGTGTTATCAAATGACACCTGTCACCGCCATTTTTCTCATTCGGTCTCAGTCTCACATCCTGACATGATGCACGATGGCCAGACGTTGTCACGAGGCTGCACAGCGCTGAAACTAGACCATGTCAATCGCGGATCGTCGAGGTGTTCTCATCTTTCCTCTCACCACTTAGCACATCTCCGCTGCAAGTTCATTGTGCTCGTCAACGTCTCAAATGGTGCATTCCACGCACGATGGTCGCTGGTTTGGTAGCTGCTGGAGTGCTTTGGGGAGATAATGCAACATTGTCGTGCACCTAGACGCTCACACAGTACAATAATCTTGTGCTTGATGAGGCCTTTGCCGTCCCTTTACGTACCACACATACTAACTAGGGTACTGCGGCCTATTCGCATCAATTCAGACGACTTGGAGCTGATCTACTACTTCCTAAGTAGCAGCTTGTATCTCTACATCACAGCACAAAGTCAAGATCTACGCTCGAATCGTGCCATGCACCACGCTCTATTTCTCCCTGAGATTACATCTAATATCTTCGAGTTCCTAAATCCGTTTCTATCGGGACCCGAAGGCTCTCATCAGCCCAATCCACTTCGTCTGCAGGATCTCGCAGCCGTTGCGACAACGTGTCATGCGTTGAGCGGTCCAGCACTCGATGTGCTATGGGATACTTTAGTATGCTTCGGACCATTGCTGATGTGCATGCCACCGTCCGTCATTGAAGTTCGCGTTCGTGTTGTTGAGGAGGTCGATGATGATTTCGACTATTCATTCCAGGAACGAAGGATCGTAAGTGATCATATCTTCCCCTGATCGGCATGCGTCTTCCTCATAGATGATTCTAGCGCTTGACCCGAGATCCTTTGCTCTCGGATGTGTTACGAATGCTTCCTTACGGTCGACGGATCAAGAGTATACGTTCGCCTAGAGCCAAATGTCGATGGCCTCTCCCCGATAATTTTGTGATCTCCAGTCATATCATCAATTGGCTTTTTTGGGTCTACCCTATAGAGCTTTTTCTACCCCGTCTCACTCACATGCTCTGTCCCGACAGTATCATGAAGTATAAGAATGAGGATATTTCATGGGCGCCGTTATCTCGGAGTAACCTTGCGAGTCTCGAATTTTATCTCGCACTCGACATCCTTGTGGAAAGCTGGTTCTCATTATCCACTCTTGTTGATGCTCTTCCTCAGCTCAGGAGGATGGTATTTCGAGGTAAGGCATAATTGAGAAGACACACATCGGTTAACACCATCCCGCAGTCTATGTTTGGGAACGCTATATGCACGTGCTCTACTCTGGGGTAATCGCTCCTCTTTGTTTGTTCCGCAACTTAGAGCACCTAGATCTCACGGTCGGCGGAAAGGTTCCCGAGGGTCTTGGCCCCGCTGGCCTCGAGATCGTGCTCCCTCGTTTACGGAAACTGAAATTGACAAGCAATACCAATTTTGCTGTTGGTTTCTTGATAGCGATACAGTCGACAATGCTCCACACACTTGACTTGGTCATAAAGGAGCACATCCCATTAACTAGGGATCAGCATGAGCATTTGGACCATCCAAGTCATCGACTTTTTTCCTCCTTGCGATGTCTAACGATCTCAAGTGATTTCTATCTCATGGTGTCACTCATAAAAGCTATTCATACGAGTGTGCTGGATAGCATTTCCTTGACCATCGCTCCCTCACGTGGCGAAAAGATGGCGCAAACGCTTATCTCCCTGATCACGTCGAAGAGAGGATGGGACTCGTCCCTGAGGACTATTATCATGGACCGACAAGCGCCCCGCCGATTTATCGATGACGGGCCCCGGGACCTTCGTCCCACTCACCCATACTTCCTTTCCATAGAAGACCTGCTTGTCTTCTCCCACTTGCAATTCATGATACTGCATGACTTCGCGATGTCACTGAACAATACTCTATGCAAGAAACTTGCGACCGGGTGGCCAGACCTGGTGGAATTTTATTGTATACCTGCTCTCACATCGATTGATGTGCCTGGCAGTCTGATCATAATCATACCGGCTCTTCAGCCACCTCCTGTCGCGGCTACTGTAGATCTCGGCAGTCTGGTTACCTTTGCCAGGCATTGCCCACAATTATCGCATCTTCACCTTGGTATCCCGTCGGATACGGCAGAGTTGCCAGTACTTGACGATGAAACACTTGCCATTCTTTCCTCGCGCCCCACGCGTTCCGCCTGCATGCGGTTATCGGTGGACGCGGATCCATCTCCCGCCAATCCAAAAGAAGTGGCGACATTTCTCGCGGAGGTGTTTCCTGGCAGAGAAATTAAGATCGTGCTTGCCGAATCCTTCTGCCGGCAGAAACTACGTGAATCTTTCAATGGGTGGCATGAAGTTGTGGAATGGCTCAGGAGGTCACAGCCAAGCATTCTCGAATTCGGCCCTTGCTATCGTACACAAATTTGTTCTGTATGTACTCGATGATTGATGTTCCTCACCAAGGCGGAACTGAGGAATTTGGACCTTCACCTTTCGTAGCCATGTAATTTTGCTCACATTCGAGTAGCTAGTTACTAGGTCTATTCAGGGTGGTCGAACACAACATACACAGCCAAGTCGAGTCTCTGATCAGTCACCTTGAATATCTATCAGGCCTAGTAATAAAACCCTGGCAGACATCTTGTCGTAAATGTAAAGAGAATTGCCAGAAAGAAACCTGGAAAGAGGAAAAATCAGCATATATATTCAAGCTCGAATGAATCAGTTACTTAGTTACTAGTGGTTGGCTGCGAGACATTCCGCATAGTAATATCAGCTTGCCATGGCACTTGGTGCAAGTGTGCGGGACAGCTAGTTCCAGTACCATTGCAATGAAATATCGGTTTGCCAAACCTATTTTTCTTTTGAATTCTACTCCCAATCGCCATTATATGTACCTCGAGTAAAAGTAAACGCCAAACAAAATTATCCTGCAAGTGCCCCTCTAATAGTGTTTATCACATGGAGCATCCCCCGCTCTACACATCACCGCCAGTTGACATGCGCTCCTGGAAAGCAATCGAAGTCATCCCAGTTCCTCCGTCGGAGCTGGCCACAAGCTTGGCATGATATTTTCTAACGCTAAAGATTAGGCGTGGTCCCAGCACAAACATCTGCATGACCAAGCAACTTTGACGAAGACCACCATACATCTCAGCTCCAACAGGAAATAAGTCCTATAGAAACGATGAACAATGGTCATCAATGACAGATTGGCGTACCATGAGGCTTAGGCAAGAAACAACAACAAAGCTAACACGTGCAGAACTTCAGTAAGAAAGATTACCACATTGAAATTACTAGCTCACCTTGCAAAGTAAATTACGTGGGATTTTATCAACACCGTGAAACAGTCCCCGATGATCCCTCCTGCCGATGTTTGCCGCAGTTCACGGAAGTGTTTGACCACAATCCAGACTGCAAGACACAGGGCGAGAATCTCCCATGCAAGGGTTAGTGTCCAAACGATTGCTATCAGAAGCGTGGCTGCTTGCTCCGAAACAATTATGCACTGATAAGTGCCGAAGAGAATGAACTCCTCTGTTATGCGTCCAATGAGCCCGGTGCATCTTTGGTCCATAATTAAAGCTTACCCCCCGAAATATACCTCAGTGCTATTACGGCGATCACTAAACAGGGAATGGTGACAGCCAGAAAAATGACAACAAGAAAGATGAGCATCTTTCTCGATCGCTGATACATTGCGTGTAACCGAGTGATCATGATGACTTGCATGACGTTTAAGTCACTGAGGCAATATCACGCTGAGTAGCTCACCGCTCAGCATGGCATTTATGACCACAATCATCACAAGTCGTGTGAAGAAAAACATCTTGCCTGAAAACCCCAATTGATGAGTACTGAGTCTTGGAGGGCCAAAAAATCCAAACTCACAGCTATTGGAGTCATTATATTGCATCAACATGGTAATCGAGAATTTCACTCACCCCTGCATATGAGTGCGGTCAGTTAGATAGGAATGGCAGGTATCAGTACAAAATACGCACTGCATCTGTCACCGAGACCGACGGAAGCTTTTCTGCATGCTGACGGTCAGGAGAAACAAGGGTAGTGCATGTGGGGAGATGTACGCAGCAGGGTCAGACTGATCGTAGAAGGCTCATTAGCGTAGCACCAATTTGCTAGCCTTCACATACACAATATAAGGTATTTCAAAGTAGCGCACCTAGAATATCAAAGTCAGCACAACTTGCCAATCGCACTTATAACAGAGACTACGAACGACGATATATAAAACAGACATAAGAGACCAGTGTTGCTTCTGCACTGAATGAATTGTCGTGATCTTCTTATATGGGACTCTGCTCACCCAGACCAGTTCGACCTACAAACAACATCATTATTATGTAGGAAGATAGCTGCACCGGGAATGGAACCAACCCACCTCTTGTCCGAATGTCAAGGCTGGAGAGATCATAAGGATATCAGTAGTCCTTCAGATGGCTTCAATACAATCTTGCTCACCCCAATCATACATCACGGCAACAGAGGAAGCAACTGCAGTCAACGTTAACTTTTGAGACATCACCGACATCATCCGAATGGCCACCTCCACGAACCTATCCAATAGCTGGAAAACCGATTCGAACTGATTAGCAGCCACCAACTTGAACTGGAATCATTTGAGAGAAGGCTCATATTCGAGGGGATGGGTACGAGTCCGAGTCAGTGGTGAACTTGGTGAATCATGATATATATTGATGGTATTCATCCAGCGCCTTTGCCGCGCATAATAGGAATGCACATACTATGAATATATATTTCTGCGATGATTCATTGCACTGCTTCGTGTCATGTCAACGTATCAAACGAGGACAACTGCAGCACACCTGTGGTGCAACACCCTTCCCCTACCTGGTGATGCATGCGTCCCACTCCAGTATCCCTCTGAAGTCTGCATCAACTACAACACATTACCAGAATGCCATTTATGCTGACAGTGCATCACGCATCACCTTCCAACTGCGCCCAGTCGCTGATGGCAAGGGGTGGCCGCTGTGTGAATGATTTTCCACCCCCCTCTGAGTCTGAATCTGTCTCACCTAGTAAGCCATCCACAGTCTGCTGAATATGACCCATGACCGCAGTGATGCCATTCCACAGCCTTGGATTGCTCATCATGCCCAACTTCGACCTCCATCACCGCAGCACCCATCCTAACTGTCCAGCCTGCGTACACCCTGCCTGATTAACGTGATTTAAGGAGTCAGCGCATCGCCTTACATTGACACAACCTCTTGGTAGTGCAGTAACCAATCGACGTTGACCGCGAGCGTACGCACTGCGCACTGCGGTAGAATGAAATTTGAATCAAAAACACCACGTGACCAATGATACCAAGTACATAAGAGTTCTCTGCCAGTGTTCGTGCTTGGGCGCATATTGCACACTGCAATGCTAATCATCCCAATCTCACCAAACATGACTCTATCCTCAATATTATCATATTGGCATCTGATGCTTATGAAAGTTTTCGTATCATGAAAACCATCTACGCGCGCTTTGAGACCCGCAGAACGAACCGCGTGCGGTCAGTGCAGATAACCATATTGCGACCCTTGGTTATGCAGATTCGGAAGTTCTCATTCATTTTCATCTTTTCACTGAAACTTCTACTACGCGCTTTGCCCTCGTATTACGGAACATGCAAATCGAAGACAAGGTTCCCTCTCGGGCTCGTGCCGACTGTGGTGGGCAGTTGTGATTTTGTTCTTGCGAGGTCACAAACATCCGAGAACAAACAGCCTTACCGTTTGCCAGAGAATGTCATAGCAAGTCGGGTGTGGAAACGAGTTCAGGTTCAGGTAAGAGCTGATTCGTATCAATCCATGGTCTTGATATGAATTATTGGCGGCAGAAATATCATGAACGCCTTTTGGACCAGGGGCTTATCGACGACAACATGGACTCGCCAGAACTTTCAAATTGTGATTTCCGCCACTCGCGGCTCTTTCATTGTGGATGTTGTCAGATAGCCGACTGTCCCCATTGTGATGAGCATTCTCTGCCTTCCTGGCGGAAGTGTGCCAGGGTAGGGTCATCCTGCCTTTTCGGTTACGGTGATATCTGCACCGAGTGTGCCAATGGCGGGCCGCGGCGCACCCTGCATGTGTCAAGCAGTCTGGATATGTAACTGCTGCATACCAAAATCCGCTGAGATCTTTTTCCACTGTCTCCGCTGCGACAGGCAATTGTGCTGCGATTGCTCATACAGTGATAGATGTTCCCGATGTAGAGGCTCAACCCTTTGCTACAACTGCACCGAGGAAACATCGGAGAGTATGGCAGACGAAAGTGAAACCTATGTCAATGTTGTCTCCACATGCAAAAGGTGCGCCTACACACTTTGTGAACACTGCGCACGCACGTCTACTTGTGCAATTTGCGAAAAATCTCTCTGCGCAATATGCGAGACCCGTTTGTTTGCGGCACATGTTTATTTAGCTAATCGTTGGCATGTATGAGTACAAATGGAGTATATCACACTGCACTTTCTCAATTGACTGCGTCTCCACGATTTTATTTATTTGCTTTCCACAACATAACTCTGCAGCAAGATGCAATGCAATGGTCATTTACATAATGGGACTGCAATACGTAACGTGACCTGTAGTAGTGCCCAGGCCCTTCGATGCTCTTCCGCCCCGATGACGACGTTACAGCAGTACAAGTTACCAAGTTACCACCGCGGGACGACCACGAATCTCGGGGCAAGCAATCACCGGGACGTGAGGCTACTCTTCAACGTTTCAACAAAGATCGCCTTCTCATCGTAATGTGTACGTATGAGAATTTCCAGCATGAGGACTCGGTTTTGGGGTGTCCTCCCTGACAACCTGATCCACACACCCCGCGTGTAAGCCTCATCTCCAGAACTTTGTGAAAAGCTGGCAAGGTGAGTAATGGCTGAAGTCGCAATTTACATCATGAACACTATTACATGTTTGAAAACATTCTTAGCCGTGAAAAACACCGCTTGTTAGCGCTGGGTCCACTGGAGCCCATGACTGCCAAAATGGACTTTGGCACTGATCAGTGGGAAGTCCTTCTCGGGCAATCCCCGGGAACAGCCTGTGTTTGCCCTCACAGGCTTGACAACAAGAATCATACCGTAAACGGTCCTGCGTTACCGGCGAAAGATTATGATAACACGAGGGAGCCACGATGCAGCCTTCTCATCCCCACAAGTGCTCTCCTGTGTCATTCACTGATATATAAACTCGCGTCTTGTCTCTGTTGTTACTTTGCGCGATCGATCACCAACTCCACCAAACCATTGTATCTTTTCCTGATTACTACGACATTTTACGCAGATGCATGACCCGTCAGCTTTCACGGCTGAAGACAAGCAACGCCACCCATACATTTCATCCGTTCTCGAACCCAGCACGCAGAAAGTGGTCGCCACTGCTGCGGTTCGAATCTACTACGCGCCTTTCAATAATCCTCATTTGAACTGGAGTTACTCTAAGCTCAAAGGAATTTTAGTCTTTGGACGCGACCGAGACGCACACCATGACACGTCTCCCCCGAAGCGAGGCGAACATGGTGTGCGTCTCAAGGAGAAATACTGGTTTCGCCTCGTTGACATCAAGACCGACCGTGTAGTTTGGACGTTCTCCGTCCCCGAGGTCTTCGAGTACACGAGAGACAAACCATTCTTTCACTATTTCTCAGGAGCAGTACGTCTGTTACCTTTTTATCTCATTACAAATGAATTGAATTCTGCGTCAGAGTCGCATGTTCGGACTTTGCTTCGACGAAGACGAAGAAGCAAGTGTCTTCTACAAAAAAGTCTCGGATCGGACGCGGCACCATTGTGAGTATCTACTCGCCTATGCTACCATGCTATAACACGTGTTTCAGTCTTCCAGCCCTTCCTCTTCAAATCCGCCAAGAAGGATAAGAAAGAGAAGCAGAAGGCCCCAAAATCATCTTCAGCAAACCCTCGGATAATCTCCAGCCCAGCGCCCAACTCCTTTGTCCATGTGGCCCATGTCGGAATCTCCACTAGGGGCATCATCGAATCTTCCAAGAATATCAAGCCGGCCTGGTCGACGCTGATCGCGGACCTTCAGGGTCGTGGGGTGGCGCCTGAAACCGTCGAACAGGACAAGGATTTTGTGAAAGGGTTTCTTGCCGGTGCTAAGGCTATGACGGACAAACCAGCGGCTGTGCAGCACCAGCGTGAGTCCTAATTCCCCCGTCCCTACGGGATCTTGTCTTGCTGATGTCGGACCTGTGTAGCAATTTCAGCTTCCCCGGTGCCCCCCGAAAAGCGCAAGATCCGCAGAAAAAATGTCACTATTCTTTAACGCGTCCTTCTATTCCATTGTTATAGTTATCTTTTGACAATCCTTGGTTTTTCCTAACAAACTCGCTAATACTTTTGATTCTTGAATGATGTCTATGCATTATTTCTTGTATCCCATCGACCACATATTATTGGCAGTAACAATAAACATAACAACACGAATTCTTATATATGCTAATATCTCTAAGTCTATACAGTCTGATTATCAAGTCAGCCCAAGGTGGCCACTGTGACAGAGAATGACTCGCCTATGAGTGAAATGAGCGTGGTGTAGGTGGCGCAGCCATGAAAATCAGAAGCGTGTCAGATCGCGTCCGAAAATCCCTGCATTAAATATTAGCATCACATCACCGGAGTACGCGGCCAAGAACATACAATTTAGGAACCTGTACAGGAAATAGATGAGATCATAGAATACTGATCAGAATGACCCAGAACATACCAATATGTAGGGACCAGAATCCTAAGCAGTATACATCAGACGCCCCAGTCAACTGCAGAAGTAAAACCACGCACTTATTCCTGATACTCAGAGTCATAGTAAAATACGCGGAACGCCATAGGAGCCATGCTAAGCGTCCGGTCTCCTTAGTCTTGACAGTATCAGCGCTCGACCGATCATAGATTGCTTTCCTGTGGAGCCCAATCAGAGTTGTTCGTTTTCTGCTTCTGATGTCAGATTGCCACGCACCAGTCTCCCAGATAAGCCAAGCTCCCTTGGTTGTGGAATTCAAAGGGCGCCGTGTGGTCCTGATCTTTGACAATCTTGTTCAGCTTCTGCGCCAGGTATTTGCCTTTTTGATTCGCGACTGTAAATAGGCGTTGTCAGGATAGGGAGCCCGCAGCCCATGGGCGCCAAATAGGGTCATGGGCAGACAGACCTTGTGCAGTGGCGGGAAGAAGCTGGCCTCCTTTGATGATAGCAGCGTCACCAATAGCCCAGACATCTGGATCAGCGTGGCCTTCTTTTGTGATGACGTTAAGGTTTTGGTCAGTGAAAAGGCTAGAGACAGCCACATGCGTCAGCCCCGGCTTTGCGGCTAATCAAGCGTGACTACAGACCTTTGTGTCTTATCATGTTTCTCAAGAGAATCAATTGACTGGATAAGCGGATTAGGAGCTAATCCAGTACTCCAGACAAGGAGACCAAATGGGACTATGGCGGCGGCGGTGAGCAAAACTTGTACTAAACGATCAGTAGCATCAACTGCGGACCTTCTCCTTGTTCTTTAACGAACATGCGATCCTGTGTTACAATTAGCGTCAAAATTTGGGACAATAGCACCGCGTTATACGGACCTTCTCAACACGCTCCACATGGTGTCTTGTTTTGATGCTGATACCGTCTCTCCGGAACTTGTTTTCAGCATAGCTATCAGTTGAATGGTCATCAGAGATACCAGATAAAAACACGGGTGACTTACACTCCCAGGGACTTGTCAAAACCTCCGAGGATGTTTGGCGCAACGTCGTAGAGTGTGATTTTCGCCATACGTGCAAGTGACGGATAGTGTCTCTGTATCTCAGCATGTAGCAAATCGTGCAACTCTGCCGAGAACTCGACACCCGTGGGTCCGCCACCTATGAAGTGTCGTATCACCATGAAGGGTTAAAAATATCACGGGAAACCAGATGCTTACCGACAATGCAGAAATTGAGTAAGTTTCGGCGTTGAACGTCAGAGAGGACAGGTTGATTGGCCTGCTCGAAACCTATATAGAGTAAGCGATGTCTGTGAAAACTGGTAGGTGCACATACAATCTATAATGCGTGTCCTGATTGCTCGAGCATCTCGCACGTCCTTGAGGAAATGTGCGTGCTCCTTGACGCCAGGTACGTTGAATGCTATCATGAATTTTGTCAGAGTGATATGTATCACAACACTGTTCACGTACTCTGCGAGTAGGCACCGACAGCGATCACTAACTTGTCGTAACGTAACGTGAACGAATTACCCATAGCCGGGTTCGAAGACTCCTTTGTGGTTGTCCCCACGAGAGGGGCAGAGGCAGATCCTTCGAATTCCAAAGGAGCCGTGGCAGGCATCTGAAATCTGTTATTTAATATATCATGGGCTTTCGAATGAGACCTACACATTTCAGGGTCTTTTGCTTGAAGTCTGAAGAGACTAAGAGTCAGCTCCCTACGATGGTCAAAGAAACGCATAGACAGACCGATTGTATCGCACCAGGACTGGTAACAAGCCTAAAAGTCAAATACACATTGATTCTCGGTGGCATACGGACCTAGATCTGACTTACCACTTGTGGAGAAAACCTCCGTACCTGTCATCAAATTAGTGAGGGGACATTGTCACGGAAGTATAATATGACATACCGGTTCGACCGCACAGCGAAATTCGAGGGTACCAACAGCACAGCTGGCAAGCAAAGGCGTAAAATTGAAAGCATTGGTTGGTGAAACCATCGTGACATCTACAAATTTGGGGGCCATCAATTTCACCGCCATTCTCGCGTAAATGCAGTCAGAGACTGACTCCAACGCTTCTTATCGACAGCTCTTAGGATCTCGTAGCCCCCCCAGCCTGAACCCAATATGACCAGACGTTGTTTACTTCGTGGTGCAGACGAAGTAAACGTTCGTGCCGCGGCGACCGACGGTTTTGCCGGGTGAGGTTGCACACGACCACATACAACACTCAAGCGCGCCTTGAACATGGTCTAGAGGAAACGAAGACTAAAATTGCTGTTCCTCAGCAACTAGCTTTTAAATAGTTATCGGTGGTGGGTTAGATAATGGATGAGGGTGATGGTGTCATAAGTTAAACTGGAGCCATATTTTTTCAATCGGGTCATGTCGGGAGGAGAATTGGCGCCCTATTAATATGCCTACTCGCCTCGTTTGATCGTAAAAGCGACAGGGTCATATTTAATACTTCTGGGAGACGCCCCGTGGAATTGATTGGCAACCTCAAACTTGCCTCAAACAACTTGCATCATGGTCTGGAAGTACTAGCCACGGCAAAACGCGCCGCGTAACTTGATCGTCACGTTACGTCACGGGCCGTGACAGCCTGGGACTCCTTGCAACCACATCGATGCATGTTTTCTGACCCCTAGTAAGTATTAGCACACATTCCTTCTCGCCTGCCTTCGACCTCGGAGTTTGCATTTAATGAGCGTTTAGCCCGCTTCACATACTTCGGTATGTGACTAACCTGTCAAGTTGGACCATTAGTATGAACTTGATGGGATTGAAGTTTCTTTTCATTTTGACAAGTTGCCCGAGCTCGACTCGGAACCTCATCGCCTCCCAGGTCACTCATGATAAACCTAGGTATGTAGTAAGTGTGTAAGTATGGCTGAGTTACTATATATTAGTGTTCTAGGTGCAGCACTGACTCTGCACTGTACAGTAAGTCTAACCTATATATGTTCTGGGTTTCAGGTTGCCGAATGTCAAGAAGATCAAATCCAAGCACTCAAGCTACGATAGATCGACACATTGTAGCTGAACTAGTGCGTGACCAATGGCCATGCCACCAGACCTCCACCCCGCCGTGTATGTCACTGTCTTGTTCATTCCTCTCTTCCTAGCATGGAGGTCGGCGAGCAAGAACTCGAGTCGACTGTCACTTTTGCCGGGTCCCCATTTTCTTCCATTCGCGAATCGTGGGCAACGCTTTTGACATAGACATTTCTCGGCCTTACGTATACTAACCGGAAAGAAAGCATACTAGGGCATCTGACCCCCCTCAATGCCGTCTGCGGATATAACGTCCCAAGCTTTGAGCACAAAGCATTGCTGCCCTACATCGATCGAAGCCCGAGAAGTTTTGAAGTTTACATTCTCTCGAGTGTGAGCAAGGAATGATATCAGCTTCAAGATCGCTACATGACAGAAGTGCTCCAGGTACAAGTATCACTAGTATAAGTATCACTAGTATAAGTAGGGCCTAATCTATAGGTATTATCGATATCTGCGGAAACACAACGGTATGCGGGCCTTACCAACATGAAAATAAATAAACCTCGAACTCCACTAAACCTGTCTACTCATCTCTATATCTCTTAATGAGATATTACTCCTCTCACACATTCCGCGGAAAATTCCACCCTCCATGAAGAGATTGGATGGAGTGTCAAATTCCTTCGATAGAGTGAGTATTACATGCCGACAGGCGTCCAAAAACAACCTACCGCAACAATGCCAGCGTCGAGGACCAAAATCCGGTCGTATGAGATGATAGTTCGAAGTCGGTCTGAAGTATTATCACATTACAGGATTGCACAGAGAACGAAAAAGATAAAACGCACGGGCAATACAAAGTAGCGTGCGATTTTGGAATTCTCTCTGGATAGTGCGCTGGATCTTGCTATCAGTCTCGAGATCGACAGAGGCCCTGGTTAAAATCAACATTAAGCATCCAGGAGAAGAGTACATGACTTACGTGGCCTCGTCGAGTACGACGACTTTGCAATCTTTCACCAGCGCGCGAGCTAGACTGAGCAGAGATCTTTCCCCAACACTGAGGTTCGCGCCCTCACTCTCAATAGTGCTGTCCAGGTTGTGGCGGCTGGGGGAAGTTTGTTCGCTGCTAACGAAATCGTCAGAAGATGACTGTTCCAAGGTGATGCTAGAATCAAGAAGACAAGATCGATGCAGCGCGTCCCATAGCTCTATGTCACTGTGTTGGCAGAATGGATCCAGGTTGGAGCGTATGGTCCCTGGTAACTCTTTAGCGCTTCAAATAAGAACATGCAGATTAACGACACTGACCGCTGAATAGAAGAGGCTATTGAGTCCGTACATCAGTCCTGTGTTGGCTGGTAAAGGGAAACTTTACAAACATCTTGTGGGATAATAGAAATCTTGGAGCGGAGGTCTTTGAGACCAATAGTAGATATGTCGACGCTACAAGGGGTGAAAACCAATATTCATCACGAGCGATGACTAACGTACCCATCGATAGTGATTGAACCACCAGACAACTCAACAATTCGAAACAGTGCGAGCATCAGTGAAGATTTTCCGGCACCAGTCCTGAGGGGACACCGCATTAGCACACATATGTAAATCCAGCAGACCGTCTGACCTTCCAACAACGCCTATCTTTTCGCCTCCCCTGATTTTGACCGAGATGCCCTTCAATACATTGGGAAGGCCCGGCCTGTATGCCATTTTGATGTCGTTAAATTCGACAGCGCCATGTTCGGGCCAATATGCCGGTGGCTTTCGTTCTTCGATCTCATACGGAGCCTCTTGAGTAATTGTGTCGCCTTCGACGTACTGTGCCACTGCGAGATGTAAGCGAGAGTTAAGGTATCACATAAACTTCGCGGCTCACATCGTTCCACTGCATTCATGGCATTCTGAGGTAAACGACGATTGAATAGCCTCTAATGTAAGATAAGGAAAGTCCTACCTCAACATCTGCTGTCTGTTTGGTAAGGAGAGTACACATTTGCGACAGCGAGGCTTTGATACCAAAAGGTTAAACATGTATACTTTGGTGGTCCGATTGGAAGACCCACTTGTATACGTCAGTACCAACCCTATCTGGGCGGCGTTAATCCCGGAGACGTCGATCACTGTGAGAAGAGCAACCTATCAAGACCGTAGCATCGGGTGAGCACGAGGACTTTGTAATTGAATAGACGCTTACAAGGAAGACCAATATGCCTCCAATGAAGTCCAACCTTACTGCAAGCCATCTGAGTGAAGGTGATGAACCAACGACCGCCACAATATGTATAAGGTCACTTGCCTCTGGTTTGCAACTACGATGAATAGGGCTCTATCCTCCACATCAACATAGTACCTATTGGCGTCAATGAACCGCCCCATTTCTCCGTAGCTTCGGATAGTAGGAAGTCCTGTCAAGCTCTCGGAAAAGTGGGCATACATAAGAGAGCGAAACATAGAGTCTGGCGGTCGATATCAGATTATTTCGGTCAGAAACACAACATCACGAACCCAGGCGCTTGACCTCACGGGCACTAGCTCGATAAAAGGCAGTGAAATAGCCGTAACCGAGAGGGATGAAGAACACAGCAATAACTAGACAAGCATGAGCCATGTCCTCACAAATAATATCTATACGACTGACTGACCAAAGTATGGTTCAAGGACAGAAACGATGACGACAGAGCCCATAACGTTGGACAGAGAAAGGAGAACTGGATCTCTATAGTTAGTCTCTGTAGACGATGCGTGCGGCTAACGTACGCCATTTCATTGATTCTGGACCATGCATAAGTAACATCTCACCCATGCGGTAACAGATGACTCACGTGGTAATTGATTGTCAACACCTGTAGAAAAGGTTTCAGTAAAACATAGCGCATCACAAATAAATGAGATGCTGACTGTCGATATCTTTGCCAAAAATGCTCAGGATTCGGCCCATAGGCTACAGGAACATGATGAGCATCGGTTTTGGTGCTTACATGTACAACCACTCACTGTAGTGTCGAAGAAGGACATGGACGCATAAAAGACGTTACGTAGGGACTTGTGGTGCAGATTTTGTGACACATGATAGGAAAACAAGTCCATTCCAGCACCACTACAGCACATTGTGCTGAGTGAGCATGCCGTCTATCTGCAATAGGAACCGAACCGACTTACAGCAAGAATGTGAAGATAACTTGGACAGCCCCGAGGCAGCCATACAACGTCTGATAGAACGAGATTGGTCGGTTGAATGTGCTGCGCCAGTATTTCAGAAAAGAAATCAAAAGTCAATGAAAAGACACTGACTTGGCCTCCCACCAAACTAGCGTGTACGAGTTTAAGATCAGGCTTCCCTGCATCGCGAGCACGAAGAGAAGAACTAGAGGTCCTAATGTTGAACCACGTCCCGCATTCAAGTAGGTCCTGTATACTGTGGAACTGTCTCGACCCAGGAAAACTCAGTAGATGTTAAACTTGATCGCACCTCCCCAGGACACAGAGCCCGTCGACCGCTTCTCCTTGACCATTAAGCGACCTTCGAGTTTACCACTGCCGGTAGCCTTTCCTTTGGCTCGTTCTGACTTCAACTTCACATCCTGAATGGTAACGCCTGTCTGCGGAGTAACTTCATCTGCCTGGTCTGCATCTTTCCCCTCTGACGCATGACCACCGAACTCCAGATCCAAATGCGCAAAGTCTCCGCCGCTGGAGATCAGTTCGTTGTAGGTCCCGCTTTCTGTGATGCAGCCATTGTTCATGATATAGATGTGATCCACTTGAGAGAGGAAGTGAATCGCATGCGTAACCAGAATGACAGTAATACCACGATTTCGCAGGGCACCCACGATGGCATCTTGGAATAAAGACTTTCCGACATGAGCATCCACTGCAGGCATTCATCAGTATGATACACATACGATAAACTACATAGCTCACCCGCCGAGAGCGGGTCATCAAATATGACAATTTCAGGGTTAAAGTACAGAACGCGAGCAATGTTGACCTGGGTGGAAGATAAAAATGAGTCTTACAACGGAGGCATGCCACGAACTCACTCTCTGTTTTTGGCCACCGCTGAGATTGATACCCTTTTCTCCGATCTAAAATAGAGAATAAGCGATGGTATCAAGCTGAATTCATCCACCATACCTCAGTTAAATCTCCATCTGGGAGCAGTTGGAGATCAGGAAGTAGACAGGCAGTCTCGATAACGTGCCAATATCTGTCTTCCTCGAATGGTTGGCCAAAAGTGATATTATCACGCTGGGGTAAAACGTTAGATGTGTTCACTCTTAGAGCGACACTATGCTTATCAATGTAACATTCTGGATCCATGCAGTCTGCGGACAATAACCAACGCGACCGCCAAATGAGACATGCCCGGAGACCTTCCTCATCTCCCCTATCAGTCCCTGCAGTAAACTGGACTGTTCATGGGTTAGTAGTCGCCTCAAGATTTTTGTGCGACAAGATTACCTTGCCGCTCCCAACAGGCCCAACTACAGCGACGAGCTGACCTCGTGGGATGGCCATAGTTATATCCTTTACCTTAAAGAGTGGCGCATCCATTCCAAGAACGGGCTTTTCCTTCGCCAAGTCTTCCTTCGCGCTCCTGTCGTTGCCCTTCTTCGAGCTGGAAGCTTCACCAGCATCTTTCTTAAACGACTCCCACTCAAACGTTGCGTCCATCACCAGGAGTGCGGGTTCTTGGTCCTTGTCGATCACGAATGTATCTCCGGAAATGAGCTCTGCGTGGAACACGGAGGTAAGCCGCTGGATCGCGCTGGACGCGTCGGAAATGGACGATAGAGAGCGCGGAATGTATAGCATTGGTTGCCGCAGTAGCTATTTATTTACTGGTTAGGTGCATGTTTATGTATGCTGCTAGAAACGATTTTACCTGGAACAAACTCAGCGAAGTGAATATGACAGCAACGTTGAAGTTGTGCACTGTAAGAGTGTATGTGACAAAAGCTAGTGTAGCAGCGAGGACTGGGAGCGAAAGAGCGAGCGCAAAGCTGGGTAGATTGAATAAATAGGCGTCTTCACGCTACACACACCTGGACTCACTTCGCTGAACTGGAGTAAAGAATCCATCGGACACCGCGCAGTTCCTTCTTTCGAAGCTCGAAGATTTCTAAGCGGCGTCCGTGAGCATGCTGTTGATATTCCTCGACATCATGCTTACTTTGAAGGAAGGGAACCTCGTATGAGAAGTACTTGACAACACGTATGGCCCCTGTGAACATCTTCAGCCATCCTCGTATGTCCCAGCTTCCCCAAGGATACGTACCGATTATCTCCAGCAGGGCTTTGGCTCGTTGATCAGTCCACTTCATCGACCCCAAGCGAATACGGTACTGCAATGTCATTAACCGCTGTTGAATTGGAATCATGAGGACGAATAGCGAGAAACCAGCGAGCGCGGACGGCCCGAGCTAATTTTCAAGTGCTGTTAGGGTAAAATAGTGCATTCTTCGTAGCGTGCAACAAACCTCAATTATAAGAATGATTAGACAAACTACGACCTGGATGGGCGCGGTCCAGGCTTGAAGGCAGTAAGTCAACTCAAAATTTGGAAGTTATAGGTCCTATCCACTGACCTGCATGCTGGTAGCGAGGTACAGGCTACAGTTAGTCGACATCATGAGTGTGCTTGAATTTGCAACTCACAAACCACTGCGCACACGAATCAATCCTGCTCACGTCCGTAGAAATATGGTTGACAAGCGCAGCGTTGTTGAGTTTGACACGTGCCTTGGCTGTGAGGTTCACGCCACGCTCGTAAATGCATGTTATCAGTGCGGCTCTAGCCAGTACGCCTGTTTCCATTGAACGCCAAAAGAACTTGAAATACATCAGCATAGTGTATCTGCAGCTCACAATCTTTTACTAACCTGGTGGTTGCAGATGCTTGTTGCTACAGTAAGTGCGAAGAGTCCAAGAGCCATGGCGATACCGTGACCGACATTGGGGACAGGTTTTCCAGCAACGATTGCAGCGGAACGCTCCTCCGCGAAGACGATAATTTGCTGCAGAAGTACAAAAATATTAGAGGTTACCACAGCCAAACGCAGGTTCTATTTACCCGGAGGACGAGAGGACCCATGAGTTGTGCCATATCACTGAAGACCTGATTGGTTTTGTAAATCTATCATGACAGTGACGATTTATGAAGAAGACACATGCCTTGAATACACCTCCGATCCAGAACATCCTACTAAAAACATCATTCAAAGCCCAAGTAAGGCTGGCCTCTTTCCGCCCTGCGGATTCTCGCCAACGATTCTGAAACAATGCCCGTCGTTCGGACCAAGTCGCGCCTTGCTTATGTTCTTTCCTGGAAATTGCACGTAAGGCCCAGCCGGTACGCTTGAAGAGAGATGGCTTGAGTTCTTCATTCTGAAGACGCGCATTCCAGTCGGCTGCTGCCCTAACACGCCGCTGCCATGCAGCTTCAAGTTTAGCGGCAAGGACGGCTGACTCTCGGGGTGTGTCCATTTTGTATAGATCAGACGCCTGTAACGTGCGCTGATATCCGAGAACCTGAATATATACGTCAGAACAGTATACATTGAGATCGAGGTTCGATAACCGACCATAATATCGGTTACCCAGGCGTAGGTGAGCTGAGAGAAAATGGAAGCATTGGCCAAAGGCGTCAGCTGTAAAACAGTTATTAGGATGGTCCTTTTCAAAATTAGTATAGGGAATTCGCTAACAACTGCATCCTCCAGAGACGGGGGAGCTGGAGGTGGTGGGTCCTTGGGTAACCTGCTCTCGCCTGGATGAAGGAGCGCATGGCTTGCAAAAGTAGCTTCACTCACCACAACTGCCACCATTTTTGACGAAAGTTGATATACTCATCACCAGTATCGAACTGAAGGTTTAAAGGTTGATGAAAAATGGCTGCGTTAGCTTCCTTGATTTTTTCCTTTTCGCCCAGCAGAGCCCCTTCTGACGGTTGGGACATCACAAGGAAAGAGGCGGGGACAGTAAATACTGGTCCAGATGACTAGCGGCTAGCTGAAAGAGATTCGGAGGGATGGCAATTGTAGAATTGGGGCCCGTAATAATTTATAGGAATAGGGATCTTTGACCACTGACACATACACAGCTCACTCTGCCTCGCAGTGGCGGGTTTGCACTTTAATCCCGGCCATTTCGATCGGAGTGCAGCGAAGCGGGCCCAACACAAATGACCCTGTGGACAATCGCACCTAAAAAGAAATAAGCCTATCATGCGGCTGATTCGTGCCCAAGGCCTATGTAGCGCTGTCCTCCAGGAAAGTTCAAACTGTCGAAGAATTAAGCAAAAACCTGTTATTTAAAGTCGAAAGAGGTCGTGCCATGTTAGCCTTCATACGATTCCACAGTGATTTTGATTAACTTGTTGACAAGGTCGCTAGAACTGACAATTGTGGTTGTGGCTGAACTTCCGAGCCCAAGGGCTTATTTGTGAGGTCACCATGGGTTGAATTTGTCCACGTGACGCTTCTGACAACCTATGAGGGGAGCTCAAAGTTATGTAAAATACCCAATGCCCAATGCCCAAAGCCCAAGTCCAAGCCCAACGCCCAAGTAAACACCGAGTAAAGATCAGTACATGACGAGATAATGGACTTACCTAAAGCTTGTCGCGCGAAGCGCCTAAACCTTCGCCAATTGTCCCCACCAAATCCTCAGTAAAAGACGTCACGCGTCTAAACAGACATAGACTTGGTAAGTCCTGTACTAGTAGTCAGTAAGTAATGTGAGCATCACGGAATGAGACTTACGAGTCACATAAACAGACTAGGGGAAGAAGAGAAACGACGAACAGTTGTTTTGTGTGCAGAGTTACCATATATGGTATGTACGTGAAATTAAAGGAACTCACGGCAAAACGCGAAAGTATAGAAGTAAGCGAGTGTCTGTGGCTCTGCTTCCCCGCTACCCTGAAATTCGTCGATGGCGGCGGAGCTTTGACGTCTTCTGGAGATACATATGTATCTCCAGACGAGGTCAAACTTACGCAAGGATGGTTTTTCCGTTTCCAGCTGTTCCGTGTGTCAGTGACCTGCAATCTCTGGTGAATCTAATCAAACTCACGCTGACCATTCAATCATAGGAATGCGGAAGCCGATGTATTCCACATCTTATACTGATCGTCCTGGAAAATCCAACGACCAGTCGCGGCGTTACGCTGGCGACGGGAAATATCATGCTTTTCGGTACAAAATATAGGGTTCATCCATTGAAGGAACTTTTGACGTTCCTCGGCTATGCATGTTTAAATAACGTGAGGCAGGCTATACTGTCATAATGATGCATCAAAACAGGCTAACTAGCAGATTTTGATGATGCATCAACTATGATAGCGAGCAGTGGTGGATCATGGTGGATCCCAATGCATCAACCTCAACCCTATTGGGAATGTGATGCATCACCATCCCGCACCAAATTGGGCTGCACCCAGCATCCGTTCGCTGGCATTATACCCGGTACCTTGCTTCCGTTGTCTGTACCTTGCTTCCGTTGTCTGTACCTTGCTTACCTATGCTGTACCTTGCTTACCTACACTAGATCCAGGCATCCGTCTGGCCATCCGGCTATCTAACTCGTTTTTGGGAGACCTCTTACCTTTCCACAGTCTTCACTGAAGCTTGCGCTCAAGTCAAATACGTCCATGACGTCATTTTTCAAAATTTTATCACAAGTCCAGCTCCCTTTCTAAAATATGTATGTAAGGACGAATTTATCCCGCAGAACTGAAACACCGCTGCGCCTTGAATGTATGAACTTCGAACTGAGCGTCTTCCTGTACGTCTGCTTGCACCGGGCATGCAGAACAAATTCTGAACAATATGATAGCGCATATTTACATTTCGTTCTCGATCATTGTACAACAAGAAACATTCAATTTAATCACTATTACTGACATGGATACTTGCAACAAGATATGTAGATGAGACACTATTTTACTGATTATGTATGCCGAGCGCGCCTAGGATGTAGTCATCAGTGCGATGCAACTTGAAGCACATAAAGGACTGACTTACTTCGTTGGCCCGCCAATATCGTTGTCACGTTCTCTTGCATTGAAGGGTTTGCGCACTCGGCGATGCCCATCTGGGAGTGGTTGGATTTCATCTGCCGAGGAAGTGGGCACGGTCAGTTGTGAACGTTGTTGTGTGCGCCTTCCACGACGACGCTCAGCTCCAGCTTGGACTGATGAAGTTGGTGCAGCGCCAGCACCATCAGATTCATTGGGTGTTCCCATATTTTCAACATCGGCACGAGGAGCCGGAGGGATTACGACTTGAGAATATTGGGCAGATGATGCATCATCAGCGGGAGGAGCCGGAGGGATAATGACTTGCGAATATTGGGCAGATGATGTATCAGGAGCCGGAGGGATAACGACTTGCGAATATTGGGCAAATGATGCATCATCAGCGGGAGGAGCCGGAGGGATAACAACTTTGGGATATCGAGTAGATGATGCATCATGGGCGTGAGGAGCCAGAGGGATAATGACTTGGGAATATTGGTTAGATGATGTATCATCAGCGCGAGGAGCCGGAGGGATAAAGACTTCAGGATATTGTGTAGATGATATGTCATCAGTGCGAGGAGCTGGAGGGATAAAGACTTCAGGATATGGGTTGGATTGAAGGGGGGGGGCTTCGGGGAGAGCTTCCAGAATGCTGATGTTGAAATCTGGGTCATTGATGAGAGCAGTAAACACTTCGTGGTCAAACACGGGTAGGTTGGGAGGGTTGTTGAACGAAGCCAAGTGGGAATCACTCGGGAGCTGAGAACCAGATGATGCATCACCCAAGATTTGTGCACATGGAAGTAATGCATCAGTTGATGCTATGGCGGCGCCAAAATCGTCGATGGATGACTCAGACTGAGGAGTCATCCGGTACATGCCCGCAGTGTTGATTCGATGGGCGCTGTTTGGTAGGAGATCATCCAAGTCCTCTTCTTCCACACGACGATCACCATGCTCACTGCCACTCGTTGTCGCCCCCTCCTCACTATGCTCACTGCCGCTCGTTGTCGCCCACTCCTCATCTGAACCATCATGCGAGTCTGATGATGAATCTTCTGCATCCTCAGCATCTGAGTCTTGGGGCAGTGTCGACTCAAATGCTAGTGAAAAGGTCAGTGCATGCTTTCGAACTGACACTTATATGGACGTACCGAGAGCGTCTTTGACGAAGGCTAGGAATGCAGCCTGCACCACATCAAATTTGGCGTAAGTCTGATCAAATTGTGCCCCACTCTCAAGTTCGCCAACATGATAGCTTCATAATATTAGGTAAGCGCACTTCCTCATCAACTATCACGCATCACTCACTTGAACACAGACACCTCTCCAGTGCTAGGATCCTTCCCTCCCATAAGGATTGTGAACTTCCACCCACCCGTGGCATGTGCAAGGTATTTAAGGATCCGATCAAGCATAGGACCGAGCTCACGGATGGCCCTGCAGTTTTTAAATGCGCTTCAGATACGACCATGTAATCAACGACAGAAGTACATACTTAATCTTGGTTGCGTTGTCAATTTTTTGCATCTTCCCCGACTTCTGGCGTAAACGTGCTTTTGCATGCTTTGCCTTTGCCTTCTGGTAACGCCTTTCAACCTTATTCTTGATGTCCTCGCATTCTTCAGAGTACAAACGGCGCGTGACCTCACGGCGCTTATTCAGCTTTGGCCCGCGGTGAGTAACATTCTGTACTCTGATTTCGGCATCTGCGGTGTCCTTGACTTTTTCTTCATAGTATTTGTAGGAGTAAATGTCCAGTTTTTGCGGTGCGCGGGTCCCCTTAAGTTCCACACCACCAGCTAACACAGTGTCGAACTTCAAAGCTCCTTTAACACCACTCGTGCGGCCCAGGCGAGCAGGGTTTTTCCGCCAACGGTACCATGTAGTTATTTGCTAATCAAAATGAGTTGGTACGTGTGTTTCGCATGCTCGCAGATGGTAGTGCTTACCTGTTCATGACTTTCCACAGCGTTTGCCAAATCTTTTACTTGATCTGGCGTAAGGACGTGGTCAGCAGGCAAGTCACCAAAGAGGGCCCTTCGCTCTGGCCATTTCTCAAAAAATGATTTGTTGACTTTTTTCCAGAACTCCTCGTATTTCTTGCCTGCGGCGCGCGTGCGAAATTCTTCCAACATAGAGGTGAGAAATTCCTCTTGCTCGTTGCTCGTCCATTTTTGAGGCATCTATTACTGAGATCAGTAGGAGCAGAGGGACAGCATCCTGGCACATACAGCGGTCAGACCTGAGGGTCAGTACGTAGTGAGTTAGGGAGGGAGGAGGGATGTTTTTCTTCGTCTTCGTCCTTTGAATATCATAGAGCCCATTTTCGATGGACCGAATCGCAGGACCGAATCGCTAGACCGAATCACTGCCTATCGCTAGACCGAATCACCGCCTTCACTACCAGTCACTCTTTTTTGACGTTTTGAATCTAATTTAATTCAGAGGATCCTCGTTTCTCAGATGCGACATCCACATTACCATCTCCGGCAGACCCACAAAACGATGCTATTTAGTACAATGATATTTTCAACCTTGATATCTACAATCTCTCTGTACATAGTGTTTGTAAAAATAAAGGCTTTGATCTGTGTCTCGTCGTGAAATATATAAAACTCCTGGGTGAAAAAATGCACGGTCCGTACCTTCACATGTAATGTTCTGAAAAAGATCAGCCCAACCCATAGCAACAAATAGCCACAAGGCGGACCTGAGGGACATAGACCTACATAGACGCTGTAGGAAGCGCCACCGAAGCAGACTCGGAAGCACTTGATCATCAAAGCAGGGCCTGGACCGGAAGGTAACAGTGCTTCAACCTAGTGAGTGTCGGTGCATACCAGTAGTTAGTCCGTATGATACTTACCTGTAAATATTCTGTGAGCGCCATGTTTGAACATTTGAACAATATCATTCACTTACGGATGAGTCGGCTTGTGAGAGCGCTTGCTTATGTGAGAAGTTAAAGTTAGCGATCGGTACATTGAATTGCAGTCAATATGGTCCTACCATGCTACTAGTATGCAGTGATATCTCCTCCAGACGTATCATCGCCCAAGAAATCGGTTGAGGTATGATGTGTCCTAGTAGCTCAGTCATGTCTGCTGCATGTTCAGCATCAAATTGTGAGTGAGCATAGTTCATTCTGAACCGGACAACTTAACTTGAAACTCATTGCGGTGTACCAAACATTCCGGCGCTAGCCTCACAATCACCTCTTATGTTCAATCCGGAGCCCACCTGGTCAGGTATTAGCATCCCCACCCATCCAGCCTCTTCCGTTGGAATCCGTCCTTCCGGACACCTATCGGATACGATACCGACAACGGACTCCCTTGGTTCCTGCCTATCCATGTCCATCCATCCCCATTGGTGCGTCATTTGTCTTCTTTTATCACCCTAATCAACCAGCAGTCTGTATTACCTGTACTTCCCATACATGAGGCCGCTTACCGTCCTTTACATATTACCGCGCTACGGACTCGCCGATGCTACCGCCGCTTAGCGGATTCCGAGTTCTTACGGATTCTGATAAATAGTTGCGTCGTATTCTACCAATATCACTTCCCTTTTGCTCCCTTGGATTTGTATCTAAGTCTAAGTGATCAAGAAAGTCCCCTTAGTCTTCCGCGTCGCAACGGACATCTTCCCGCACCTCGGACCACTTCCGGTAGCTCGTTACCTCGAGACCTTGAAACCTTGACACCTCGAGACCTTGACACCTTGACACCTTGATCATCGTACCGCTAGATATCCGTCCTACACGAACCATCCTCCGTCCGGACACTCCCTTCCTTAGACCGGACTTCACCCGTGTGTCCGCCGCACAGATCTTAAGCCCGCCGGATTGATTCCTTCGCATTTATTGCGAAGACTTCCTTCAGTAGCAATCCCCTTGGGACGAGCTATTATACTCGCACTCATATGGATCGGTAGTCTACTCTAACAGGCTACATGGAATCACTTTCGCTCAGCGATCCTACCATGATTAGATCAGGATTCAGTAGTACTACTTTACAGGTAAAGCTATTAAGGTCCGACCTACATGTCCAACCTACTCCGGTGATGATTAACGACTACTCGTATCACAATAGTAAGTCACTGAATAACGACTCAGCAAGGTCAGTTCACTCCACTTGAAACTTCAATATTGAATTGCGGATTAAGGTCCATCCGATAACGCTCCACTTGCGCTGCACTGGCAGTGATGCTTTAGCAGGTGTGTGCACATTGTCTCACAATGAGTAGATGTGCTGATTATCATCCATGCCATGCACTGCACTTACAGCAGTTCCTTTTATCTACAGCGTGTTCTCAGCACATGCATGGGCCATCGACATTTGAACGGAGGCTCGTAATCTATACGGTCCGACGAACCAATGGAGGCTCTTAACTCAATACAGTCCAACCACAAATCGAAGCATCCGAAGCTCATCCTCTTTTTTCTCTCCACCACACCAAACGACACCGCAAACGACACCGTTGCTCGCTATGGCCCCCCCAACTAAATATAAAACCGATGCGGCTAAGCTTCAGGCTATGAGAGCAAAGCGTTCCCGGTACTACGCTAAGTAAGTATCGTCTATTTCGTTCAGCCTACGATGCCCTGATTACAGATGCAGGTGCCGTGAGGAGATCCTTGCAAAGAGAAGAGAGAAATACCACCTCAACAAAAAACCGTCGAAAGGACGATGACAGCAGCGACAACAAGGGTGCGGGTGACAACTTGGATAAGGGCAACGATGGCAGTGACGTGTGCGAAGCGATGACGATGAATCAATGTACGTGCTGAATATTATTATTGTCGCTGTGTTTTTAATATAAATATCAGAGGGACATTAGATGAATGTATTGCCGTGGTGAAGTATGCTAAAGACGACTTCATGGCGCACATCAAATCTCCGCAAATATTCACCTTGGGCGTCCTTGCCGAATACACGAAGTCTATCCCAGATGCTCCCGGAACTCACGGGGATAGAGAGATTCTCAAGCGCGCGATGTCGAGCATCGAAGACTTCCTTGACAGGGCTAGTCGAGGACAAGACGGTATCCTCCAATTGTGTGGGGTTTGTGACGAGTGGCGTGCCGCAGAACAAGTGTGCAGGAGCATGAGGGACACCATTGCTATGGTGGAAGATATTTATTGTCATGCGCTCAGCGATGGAGATGCTGAGTTAGCCGTAGTTCATTTACTCAAGGGATTCTTGTACCAGAACTACAACGAATTTTGAATAGGCTCGCGAGGCTTGCGCACTAATGTCACTTTGAATTGCATATTTCTTATTGAGATTCACGCTGCGCTACTATGTAAAAGCTTCAGGTATATGTTACGTCAACACCTCCGTTTCGCCGCGGCCAATGGCCTCTTTCATCAGCTGAATTCCTTCGGCAACTGAGCGGACCTTCGAAAAAGACGCCCTGCTCACGCCAATGACATGGGACGAGGTCTGCTGCCTGTTGGCGGATCACAAATCAGCTGCCGTTAATCTAAATAACGCGAATCACTTACCAAGTAGAGAATACGCCAATACGGCGGCCACGGGTCACCCAGTAGAAGGGACCCGTAGCGTCAGCCGCTGGCACATCATAGTTCACAACAGGAGTCAACGCTGGCAACGCTGGGATGAGTGGAGCTGATGTCGAAGTGGTCGAAGGAGTCAATGCTGGGACGAGTGGAGTTGATGCTGAAGTGGTCGAAACAGCACTGATAGCAGAAACGGCGGCGACCAGCGCGTTCTGGACCGCATCATGGATCTTGGACAGTCACGTCAGACGCCTCCTGCCCAGTGATATTCATCTGGGCCAAGAGCGCAATGAGACTATCTGTGGAACATTAGTAAGAAGCAGAGCGTGCTTAGGAATATCGTTGCTTACCAGTGCCATTGTCACCAGTATCGTCAGCGATGGGCGCCGCAGGCAGGTCATCTATCCTGCTAGTAAGATCACCAGTACCGTCAGTGATGGGTGCCGCAGAGAGGTCATCTATCCTGCTAGTAAGTACCAGAGCGCGCTCGGAGATATCGCTGCTTACCAGTGCCATTACCATCATTACCATCAACGACGAGCGCCGCAGGCACGGCAGCTATTATCGTGCTGGGGGAGATCATCATTGGGTGTAGTAAGTATGGGAGGAGAATTGATGTTGAAAAGGGAACTGACCTCGGGCTTTTTGTACAGGGAAAGCCATCCATATTGGGTGATGCAGTAGCCTTGGCCGCTGCAGTCGTAGTTCTTGCATTGCACTGGCAGTGAGTAAGTGAGTAGTTCGATGAGTTCGACTTCGATGAGTTGCAAGCTTCTGTCACGCTAACCTGTCACATTGTGTCACACCTTCTCATGCACAAGCCCATTGCCTGAGCCCATTGCCTGAGCGATGTTACCTGCTAGAAATTCTTCAAATGCAGGCTCCACCCGAATTGATGGTGTCACCGAGCGTGTCGCCCCAACCAGTCATGCAAACTATCCAATGTGCCCCTTCACGTTTCACTTTTCGACAAGTCAACAATCGAAAACGACCCAAGCTCAATCACTATGTACCGCCTACCTCACAGTTGCAAGAGACGGTCCATACCACCTTCAGGTTTTCAGGACGTCGAGATGGGAATATGCAGGTGTCTGCTGCCCATCTGATTTGTCGCCCGTCACCTTCGTCCACACACCAGTCTTCCCAATTTGCAGGGCCTGAGGATGGAAGCACCGAGTTTGATTTTGCGATGTTTGATGAACCTTCAATGGATGCTGGCGAAGACGGGACAATGACTCAAAGTCAGAAAAGCAAGCGCCCAGCTGGTGTGAGTTATTTTATTTCTGTCACATCATTCCTTACTCACTGTCTTCGTCAGGACAATCCTCTGCTTGTTTGGAAAGACGAACGTGATACATATCTCTCGGAGATTATTCGGTTGGACGGACGCGGTGAAAATGCAAGGGACTCGTGTGCAGGCTGTTGCGCCAATCCTGCAGAATTCCGATGTCAGGATTGTGATGACATGCAACTGTACTGTGGTACATGCTCACTGGCAAATCATGCCCGGTCTCCAACCCATCGCATACAGGTATGTGATCTCTTATGAGAAACATGAAATATATTGATTGTTTTGCAGCAATGGAATGGTATATTCTTCGAGAGCTCTTCCTTGAAGACGCTAGGCCTTCGAGTGCAACTCGGGCATCCCATCGGTCAATCATGCATCCTCCCGCAGCCGGCGTTTAACGACGACTTTGTGCTTATAGACACGAACGGAATACACGAACTAGGACTGGACTTTTGTGGTTGCGAGACATCCGAGACACATGTTAAACAACTCCTTCGTCACGGATGGTTCCCTTCCACGCCAACTAAACCTAGGACAGCGGCAACATTTCGACTTCTGCATTACTACCAAATCTTATCCTTCGAGTCGAAGGCATCAGCCTATGAATTCTACCATTCTCTTGTTCGACTCACGGATAATACAGGGATGATGAAATGCATGCCGGTATGCTAATATCTACATTTGTTCCTTCAGTCTCTTACTGTCTACCTTAGGACCACTATGAAGGATTCATGCGGATGGTGCGTAAGTGGCGGCATCTCACAATGTTGAAACGTTTCGGACGTGGCCACGATCCCAGTGGCGTAGATGGTACATCACAGGGCGAATGCGCGGTGCTATGTCCAGCATGCCCGCAGCCAGGGAAGAATTTACCTGAGGGTTGGCAAAATGCTTCGAAAGCAAAACGGTGCGTTGTACCACAGATATTGATTCACTAGGCTGATGTCTTTAGGTGGTTGTATGCAGTATTTTTAGCTATTGACGCGAACTTTCGATTGAAAAGGCGGAACGTATCGAGCGATCACGCAGACCCAAGTCTTTCAAGTGGCTGGTCATATTTTGTCGAGGAGAAAGAGTACAAGGCCTTCCTGGCCGAACATCTCACTGAGGCGCAGGAGGTATGTGACCGTTTGGTTTAATCAATTGACGTGTACTCACACTATCTTACAGAAAAGTACATGTTCGAGCCACAGCGCTGTCAACATGGCAGATACAAAGCAGGCACAAGGGCTTGCTGCTACTGGCGTCGGTACAGTAGACTGTGCCCGTCATAATTTTAAACGGCCAAATGGAGTCGGTGATCTGCAAAAGGGCGAGAAGTAAGTCACGGTCTTGTTGTGTTTGTATTTACTATGTCTTATCGCGCTTGACAGGTACATCAATATGGATTATTTATTTTTCTCGACTTTGCGTGGTACGCAGCTCGAAATGCTCAACGTGTCGTACGATATTGCGTGCCAATGGCACAAAAACCTCTGGGCCCGCATGAAGTCCTTTCCTCGATCCCATGCCTTGGACCATTTCACCAAGTATATACGCTTCTTCGTGCCAAAGTTCCACCTCCCCGCACATGTTGCAAAATGTCAGACCGTCTTCTCGTTCAATTTCACGCGTTATGTCGGCCGGACGGATGGTGAAGCCCCGGAGAGGGGCTGGTCGAATATCAACCCTGTGGCATCAAGTACGAAAGCGATGGGTCCTGGTTGTCGTCGTGACACGCTGGACGACCATTTTGGCGATTGGAATTGGAAAAAGACCGTCGGGTTGGGCGCGTCTCTCCTGTACAAGATGAAGGATGCTCTAGCTGAGAAGGCTGCGCATGCACTCGCATTTGAGGAATTTGACGCTGTCATCACTCCCAAGCATCGCTCTGCATGGTTAGAAGAAATGCAAGCTTGGGAAGATAATCCGAACGACACATCGATCTCTAATCCGCTCGAGGCCAAAGCCATGGGTGAGTATTTTCCGCCACCAAAGTGACCTTGGACTAATGATTTTGTCTAGCTATAACGCAAGCAGGAGTAAGGCTAAAGCTCGCGGAGCTGGAGGCCGAGGACCTTCAGCGAGGTATAGACTGCTCGTTGCACCCACAAATCTCACCTAGTGTGCTTATTGCTTCAGGCATAGACCTGGAGCAGGAACAGTGAGCATTTGCCCTTTGACGGCCACAAACAAGCTGACATACTTTCGAAGGCATCGTCTGGCCAATATCGCCGAGTCGATGGGTCAACATGCTACCGACACGCAGAAAGGCAGTCTCACGCAGATGCGGAACTCGCTTCATCGTAGGATCGATATGTGGCGACGCACACAGGTCCTTTACCTCCCGGCCGTTCAAGGCCTTATTGATCAGGCAGCCACGCGTGAAGGCCACGAGAACGCCGAATGTATACACCTCTGGTTACCTTCAGAACTGAAAACCAAGCCGTGCGATCCACACCTACAAGAGGACAAATGGGAATTGCGCTACGCGCAGGCTCACGATGCGCTAGAAGAATTGTGGCAGTGTCTACGCATTCACTGCTCCTTACTGACATTCAAAAGGGAATGGGTGCGTGGTCAAGGCGCGAATACCCGTGCTCAGAATGCCCTTGCCCGCATCCACCGAAGGCGTACGGCCTGCATGAAACGTTATCGGTCAGCATGGATGGCGCTCAAGAGCCTAGCTACAATCATGAAGAAGACCGGTTGGCAAGGAAGGTTGCAGGAATTGGCCGACACTCATGTCAAGCCCCTCGTGGACCCATATGCTACTGGCGAAGGGAGACGTCATGTATCGTGGATCTGGATGATGGATGGCGTTGACCATGGCAATGAAGGTGACAACGATGGTAAGCACTCGTCGTGGTCTATATTTTGCGAACTAACATACTATAAGGTGTACGAATCGAGTGGTGCAAAACCCGTGCGAGGGCACTGCGGTGGTCGGAAGAGGTCGAATTACTCACGGAAGAGATGCGCAGGGTGCTGGAATTTTTTACCTGGCAGCAAGCGCGGTGGGAAGAACAGGGAAAGGCATGCGTTGGGGAGTGTGCCGCTGACATTGAAGGTTTGCGAGCTTATGCTGCCCGACAGGCTAACATCCGTCGCAGGCTTGCAGACCATTTTCGGGTGCTGTGGGCACCCTTTCTTTCACTGGAAGGTCCCATTGACCCGCCACCTCAGTTGGCCGAACATTCGTTACCGGACCTCATGATTCCCGACATTCTCTAACCTACTTCTGCGCTGTACCTGATCGATGTTCCTAGCTAGTAGTGTACCTGATATTCAATCCATCACCGGCTGTTATTTGACATTCGAAGTGAATTAAGTTGCCGAAGACTCGACTGGAAAATTGACCGAAATACAAATGACCGAGCTGCAAAGTAATTGACCGAGCTATATATACTATAGGACTGCTAACTAGCATGTTTTAATGCATCACAAGAAGGCTAATTAGCATAGTTGATGCATCACCTCTGACTGGTAGTTAGCAGACTTGATGCATCATAGCTACAGGGACTGGTGGGACTGCAACTTTAATTTTTATCGGAATAATTCCCACGGTGTACCATATTGATCGTATGAGTAGATTATCATATTTTATTCTAAGTCCCATGGGTATGGTATATATATCAATTGCTGCATAGATATATACAAGGTTATGTAGTCTAGTGGTAAGTAATGCTCAAATGTGTGAGAATTGATTATGGGATTTCAGCTGAGCTTGCGTGGTCGGGAGTCGTGAGTTCAAACCAGGCAAGTGGCAAAGATTAGTGGATTTCTTTGTTTCTTTTTTTGACAAAATAAAAACTTGAATATGACAATGAATTTGGATCAGACAATGATTATCACCCCAACATTAAATTCATTGTTTGTCAATGAGCGATTCAGTGTCGCACAGCGGCACTGATTTACATCAACTGTCAATTAATTTCCTAGCTTTCAGCACTGATCATAAAGGTCTTTAGTTTTGATATTCATTGTCTCCACTACCCTCAGTGCTCCTGGGCATCAGAGAGTGGGGTCTCCAGCGTCCACGTTTGGCTGCATATTCATTCGGGTGGGTCTCTTTCATTCCATTCGACACTCACGTGCTCCACAATTTCCCGCAGCTCGTACCAGATGATCCGTTCGAAGACGATGCCCCCAACATCGATGACTTGCATCCCAAAGTACCCTGATTTACCGTATGGCTCGTAAGTCGGGATACTTTGCTTCCCTGTGTCACTCATATCGTCTTATACTCATTCCACTATTTTCCCCTTTCCTATCTTTGGGCGATGTGAAGGTGGACTTTTCGATCCTTACGGCTGATCGCGATGTGGTGGGGGAAAACCCATTAAAATGCATACTACTTTTTTTTTTTTTTTTCTTCTCCAAATTAATGTCCATTGAGAGTGAAACTCTATCTAGGACAGTACTTGATAAGCCAAGGAGCCCCATGCTCCGTACTAAATCTCTAAATCCCCAGATGCCTTGGTGTGGAGCGTACTCCCACCAATCCGCCATTCCCACCGGCCGTTTTAGGTGGGCGATTTATCGAAGATAAAGTGACTAAGTGATACGCTTGTGTGTGTATGGTATAGCGAGTGTAACAAGACGCATGCTCGGCTGCTTTCGCAGACCAAACAGAGAGAGAGTAAGGGGTGCGGTAGGTTTATATGATGAAACGAGTCTTTGAGGAGGGAAGCACGAACTTGCTTCCTCATTACGCGATGAGGTGACTTTTGGCGTAGTGTGTCAAGGAGGGATGTTCCATAGGCCTACCGGCTGAGGCCTTAGGGGTGAACTGTCTATCTCGTGTGTGCGAGCGGGGGTATAGTTTGGGTTATTATAGGTGGGTATGCAATTAGGGTGGTTGTGGTGGTGATGGTGTAGGTTAATGCGGCGTAGGGACAAAAATTGCGGTGATTAAGGCTAAGAGGTCGAGACTGTCAGACTGCTTAGGTAGATGGAAGCGAAATTTCACCTAACATGGGTTTCATACATCGTGTGGCGTTTACGAATCTTGCTAAGTGAGGTATGGCTTCGGAGGCTGCTAGGAGATGAGGTAACGAGGTGGATTTTCGACCTAAGGCGCAGGATAGGATGTGACGCTCGCGTTGATACTGTGGACATGCGAATAGATAATGATGTATGGTTTCTTCTGTTTGCGGACAATGGGGGCAGTGGGGGGAGTCGACCTTAGTCAAGCGATGCAAGTGTTGGTTTAGTGGGATGTGGCGCGTGCAGAGGCTGATTATGAGACTGGTGAGACGTTTAGAGTATTGAGCGGTGAGTTTGAGGAATGATCTGTTGGGAGCGTTGGGTTCTATTTCTTGAAGGCGTTGAAAGCGGGGAGATGAGGGCCATATCCTTGTCCATCTGGCTTGTATTTGCGCTCGATGTGCTTGTTTCAGCGCTGCGATACTTAAAGGTAGCGGACCATTGCGGAGATATTTAGGAAGTGACGCACGGGGGCTTGAGCGGTGTAGTCCCTCTGCCGCTACTTTCGCTGCTTTATCTACTTCCTCGTTCCCGTGGACCCCTTCGTGACCTGGAACCCATCTAACCGTTATATCGTAGTGCGGGTTGGACCACTTTACTGCTCTTAGTAGCTTTTGAAACTTGAGGGAGAGGTAAGCTCCTGGTCCTGAGTGAAAGCGCTCACCTGATACTATTGCTGCCTGATTGTCGATAGATATTGACAGCGGGAATTCGATCTGCTGTTCGGTGGCTATGAGTTTGGCGGCTAGGGTTAGTCCCACCATTTCGGCCTCATAGACCGCGTGCTCGTCACTGGAGCCTAGGTGATAACACAACGTCCAGGGTGTTCTTCCCGCTTGAAAGAGGATGGCGGCTGCTCCAATACCTCCATTATGGCCCGAGCCATCGGCGTAGACTTGTATGTGGTCTGGTAGGTCATGATGTTCATTGACGGCTTCTGTTCTCGATTCTGCGATGTGAACTTTGTATGGGCAGGTGGAGGTGGGGGCTCGTGGGGCGGGAGTTAGCGCTTCTATTTCGTCCGGTTTGATGCTAAGGAAATGGGTGAGTCGGTGAAGTGACGAGTGATGAGACGATATGTAGCGGCTTGCTGCTCTTTGCACTGGGGCATATAAGGGGTGAGTATTGGGATGGGCAGCGAGTCGCACTATGGCGCGGTGACAGGTGGTTTGCAAAAGGAGAGCTATGGGGAGGAGATTAGTATGAACTTCTAGAATATCTGTGGCGGAGCTTCTCATTGCTCCTGTCATGGCTATGGCAGCTAGGCGTTGAATGGAAGTGAGTTTTTTGATGACGCCTAATGATCCCCGTTGCATCGTGTCTGAGTTTCCGTGGAAAGCGGGTGTGAACCATAGATCGGCTGCATACAACATCTTAGGGACTGCTGTAGCTTGGTATAGTTGCCTCATCAGTCGGAGCGGGATCCCTTTCGATGTGGTGGAGAGTCGCCTTAATTGCAGGACATAGGCTAATCCTTTTGCGAGGGCGTTGTATTAGGAGGTTCGGCAGCAGAGCAGTCTTAGGGGCTATTCTTAGTTAGGTTCAGGGTTCTGGGGTCTCAGACCCGGTTGGAAGGTTCATTAGAGTAGCAGATTCCCAGGGCAATAAACATCACTTCCATTGCCAGCAGCCACCAGTGTCAAGGCGTAGCCTTTCCAGCGTGATCGACTTGCTGCTTCCAACGAAGCTCCTGGTCAATGATGACACCTAGGAAGCGGTGAGTGAAGGATGGGCGTATAACGGCTTCCTGAATGTTCATTGCTGGGCGAGCACGTTGTCTGTTCATTGAGAAGTCAATCAACACAAATTTGTTAGTTTCGAAGCGGGAGTTGTGAGCTCGTGACCACTCAAAACCCCCGCCAGGTCGATCCAACATGTCTTGGAGGGTTCTATGGGTGTCTGCGAAGTCTTTACCTATGGCCACTAGGGCGGTGTCATCTACACAAGCAAGGGTTAGTTCCTTAATAGATTCGCGACCTCGTCGAGGTCGGGCAATGTCCACTAAGTCAGCGCTATAAATAACGTATAAGATCATTGAGAGGGGATCACCCTGCCCGATCCCGTTGTCGATGTCGATCCAGTTCGAGGTGTAGCCGCCATCGAAATGAAGTTGTGTTTGCCTTCCTGTGAGAAGTCGTTCAGTGAAGTTGACGAGTTCGCGTGGAAGTCGACGCGAGCGCTTGTTGTGGATCAGCCGCTTGGTGACGGCATTTGGGAAAGCGCCTTCGATGTCTAGAAACAGGACTGATGCGACTTTGTGCACTCGCCAGGCGTTCTTGATGGTGTCCTCCAGGAGGTGGAGTGAGTCGGTCGTGGACCGGCCTGGGCGACCACCAAAGTGGGTGTTGGGCAGGAGCTGATGGTTTTCTGAGATAAAGGTGAGTTGGTCAGCGATGATGGAGGTGAGAAGTTTGCATGTGGAGTTGAGTAACGCTATGGGTCTGTATGCTTTCGCGATGTTGTAGTGAGGTTTACCGGGCTTCCTTAGGACGACAGTTGTGGACCTCTTCCAGGGCTCGTAATATGTGCGGTACGAGAACACCGTGTTGAACAGGTGGACTAGATGGGGGGTTAGTATGGCTTCGCACTCCTTAAATACTATGTTCTTGATGCCGTCTGGACCAGGGGCTTTGTATCCGCTCAGCCTCGAGATTGCGCGTGATATTTGATCTGGGGAGATTGGGGTATGGTTGGTCACTGGGTCTGGGTAGAGGTGGTCAGTGGGGACAGAGTCTTCGTCAGGAGGGGGGGGAAAGAACGCTTCGGCGATGACGGCGCTTTTCGTGGCATTGGTGGAGGCTTCTGTCATCGTGCCATCTGGGAGCTTGGATATGAGGGTCGGGATGCGAGATTTGCCGCCGTCGCTCGGTGCTGTGGAGATATATTGGTTAGCTGTCCATAGATCATTACCTTCTAAGTCCTCCAACCACTCGACCCAGTGTTGCTTCTTCATTTGCGTGATTTCGTCGGCGTAGCGGTTCTTGAGGGCTTTGTACTCGTCGTGACACGGGTGGAGCGGTAGGCCTCTGTGTTGATGTGATTTCCGGCTGAGTCTACCCACCTGCTTGCGTAGGTCTGACAAGGTGCGTGTCCACCACCTTTTTGAGTGCGGGCAAGGTCTGGATTGAGGAATGCAGGTCTCCATTGTTGACGTGATGGCTTGGGTGATGCGTCGCGCCGATATCTGAAACTCCTCCGCTGAGCTGAGAATTGAGGGCGGGAATGGGGCAAGGTTGGCAGTGAGCGTTTTTTTTGAATTTGGACCAGTCGACCTCACGCCAGTTGAGGCGTGGGGTGGAATCCGCATGTGGGGCTTCTAGACCGAGTTCAAGGATGATGGGCAAATGATCCGTTTTTGGGCCTCAATGGGACGGGTCGGTCGAGCAGGAGATGACAGCCTTGATGATGCCTTCCGTGCCGAAGGTGTTGTCGGGGCGGGTCCAGTTTCCAGAGCAAGAGGCTTGAAGGGTTGGGATTCCAGCGGGGAGCAGCTGTAACATTCCATAGTTAGCTATTAAGTCGATGAGAGGGTTACAGGTATTATAATTAAAAAGGTGTCGATTGCGTGTGTCCTCCCACATGGGATGATGGCGATTAAAATCGCCCAGCCAGAGCATGTGATCTTTAGCCGAAGGTTGGAGTTCAGCAATGTTCAGAGCGAGGAACGTATCCAGCACTATGAGGGTATTTTGGTGCGTGCAGTCGTTGTAGACATTGATGATTGAGCAAGTACCATAGTCGCCCGTTAATTGAATGACAATGACGTCCGATGATGGGAATGGGATTTGACGCCAAGTGTTGGTATCGAGAGAGGTGTTGACGAATGTGATAGCTCGTGACCGGTCCTGTGGGTGTGAATAATGGTTAGTTGGGTATAAGACGTGCCAGTGATGGCTGGCACAAGTGTTGCGAAGGAAGTTTATGTGCGGCTCTTGAATGATTAGTAAGTCGTAGTTAGAGGTGTTTGAACTGTTCATCAAAGATTCTTGTGCTACTAGGGAGGTGTTGAGGTTTTGTTGCCAGATCTTGAGACTAGTGTTAGTATTTTCTGGTTGTTCAGGCATTGGTCAATGGGGTATGAGGGGGCGCGCTGGGACTCGATGGGGCGGAGAAGAAAGGGGAAAGCGGTGGGGCTGGGAGGGACGATGTTAGGTCGGAGGGTATCGAGGGAAAGTTAGGTGTTGATGGGTTTGATGGGTTTGGGGGGTGGTGGGGTTGAGGTTAATGGGGACGGCGGGTTGGAGTCAGGTATGGGTTCGGATATAGACTGCGAGGTGGCTGGGAAGCTGAGGGTAGATTGTTTGGTGTGGGGAGGCGGTATGCGCAGGTTGGCGTTGACGAGTCGCGAGATTGGGCTACTAGATGGAGTGTTAGAAGGGTTGCGTGCGGAGGGTTTAGGAGGGAGCAGGGCGTGAGTCCACGAGTTTTCTGTAGGGAAGAATGGCATCTTGTTCTCCGGGTACATTTCGTCCAATGTTGAGCATCTGCGGATAAATTCTGGGCATTTACGGCTCCAGCTGGTATGGGTTTGACTCTTGCAGTTGACGCAACATTCTGTTCGGAACGCGTTGCATTGAGCGGTCCAGTGTTTTCCACTGCATGTGCCACAGGTGTCGTGGGGGGCTGAACAGTTGCGAGCTATGTGCCCAAACTTCTGGCATTTGGTGCAGCGCATTGGTTCCTTCTTGTCTTTGTTGACAGTGTAGCGTTGGGCATCGATACATAGACCTTCCTTGAGGGTGATGTTGGCGGTGTCTGCATCTCGTAGTAGGAGAAGGGCGAAGGCGTTGCGTTGTTCCCGTGATCAGCGTTGGGGTGGTTTGATCCATCGGATGGAGGCAATGGAGTTAGGAGGGAGTTTGTTTTCGTTTTCAATGAGGTGAGGAAAGTCTTCGCGGTCGATGTCGTACATGATGGGTAAGAATTGAATCACTACTGCGTAAGTCCTGTCCCGAACACTAGCCGAGGCGTCAAACTTTGATTCTAGGGCTTGACGGCCAGTGGAGCTGCATAACCATCCTGCCAGTTGCTCATTGTCGAGTTTGAGTATGATGCCTCCATTCCGTAGGCGTTGTACCGCTCGTACAGTCCCTTTGGGGATGTTTTCCGTGCATATCACTGTCAATATGTCGGAGATTTTCTTGGCGATGGCGGCGTTTGAGGCATCTGATGGGAACAGTGTGCGATCTGGTGTGGGGTCCAGTAGGATCTGTTTAGCTCTTATGGAGGCTCTAGCTACCGCTTGATCGACTTGAGGGGGGAGGTGTGAAGCTGCAACTGAACTATAGGTAGGATGGGCTTGCGATGGGGTTGCAAGTTGTGAGGTTATAGGTGGGAGTTGGGACATTTGAGTGGACAGGGAGTTAAGATGATCTTGCGTGGAGTCGAGTGAAGGGGTGAGGGTCTTGCATGAGTTGTTGCAATCTTCAATGGATTCATATAACATGTCTACTGCGTCTTCGATTCTTCCAGCCGTTGTCTGGAGGTTCCCTTCTTCCTCATTCCTTTCTCTCTCTAAGGCGCCTTGAATCTTCGTGGTTTGAACTAGAGAGTCCCGTAGCTCTTCGGATACGGAGTGAATTGCTGCGACTTGGGGTGAGATGGCTGCTACCACGTTGTTTACTATGCTGTTGGTAACGGAGTCAGTGAGGTGAAGGATCACGGCTTCTGCGATTTCTGATGCGATCATCTGTTTTAGGATAAAGGCTAGCGCTCGGATGGCATTGATGACTGGGAGAGGGGTGGATTTGGCCATTTGTGTGATTTGAAAAAGGATGCCGGTGATGTGAACCAGGGTGAGTGGTTCATCCGCTTGACGTAGGAGTACGCTGGCCAGGTACTTTTCTGCCGAGTTGATATTTGTCACTGCTCCAGGAAGTGATTCAATTTCGTCTTGCTGCATTGAACCTCTTGTGTTGCTGGAGTTTCGGGTAGTTGGTGGGCTTGTCCCATCCCTTGGGCTCTTTTTCTTTTCAGGCATCGTGAGGGGTGCCATTTTCTGAGGAAGTTAGTATTGTAGTATCTATAGTATGTTTTTGGGTTTTTGAGAGGTTTTATTGGTTGACTGAGAGTCGATTGATAACACTGTTGGGCGACGTTGACGCCGTTGGGCGCGTTGACCTGGTGTGGTTTCCGGGGTCCTTGTTTGGGGTGCCACTTAGTGTGGGACTAAGAGGCGATTCGTTGCATACTACTTAGTATGTCGCACAGCGTACTATATCAAAGGCTGGACCACAGGACCACTCGAGTGCAGCCGACTCGCACACCAATCTGCAGTCCCACTGCGGAATTGAAGACATTGAGTTGATTTGCAAGGGAAGGTAGCTACACACCTCAGGCTTATTAGTCGCACATGCACATGCATACACCGCGATGATAGTCCTGAGTATGGCTTCTGAAGGGAGATTGGTTGTCCATGTACAAGCATGACAGAGGCGGAGTTCCGGCACCCAAGACCAACTCAAGTAATGAGCTGGGCCACTATCTTGGCACGGACATTAAACATGCTATCGATCCCATCGCCTGGTGGTACGAGCGCCGTGATACTTATCTACGTCTGTCACGGATGGCACTGGATTATCTTACAACTCCTGGTGAGTCCAATTATTTCTCTCGTTGCCAATTGTTCAGAGCTTCTGGCATTGTTTTGTAGCCACTCTAGTCGATGTGGAGTGTTTGTTCAGTTGCCTGATGCTGAAGGTGACGAGGAAGAGCTTGAGGCTGGGGGGGATAGAATTCAGTTGTCTGAAGTTTACAGTTCATAGTTTTTGTTGTATCCTGCCATATGACATTGTACCCGTGGCGCTTTCCCCTCTTACCTGTGATAAAACCCATACCTGCGCTGAGGGTATGGGTATAGTGAGAGCACCGCTACCCGAGGGTTTACCCATGCGGATCCCTACTTGTGAACAAACGATTTTCCATTGCAAGCCTTAGATATGGAATGAAGTATGGTCTACAATTCTGTGTTCTGTAGTGCAAGAAGTAATTTACTAGAAGTACCCGGAGCGTTGTAACCTAATATCAAGTTATGTATATACACGACTTAGTAGATGATCATATGTAATCAGCAATCAAGTCATAGTGAGCTACCTTCTATGTAGTAATGTGAGCATCAGACAACAAGCGCCTCCCGAGTCCCGTGCTACACACTGCTGCTAGTTGTCACATGCACACGCTCCTGGAAAACAATTGAAGTCATGCCGCTTATTGCATCGGAGTCGTCCACGAGCTTAGCATGATATTCCCGAACACCAAGGATAAGGCGTGGTCCCAGCACAAACATCTCCACGAGATGGAGAATTTGAAATAAACCAACAAACACCTGAATGTCCAGGGATTTAACCACATCCTATAGAAATGATGAACCATGGGCGCATATACATACTAGAGGTCAATAACAATGACATACCTCAGACAAATTCGAAAAGAAATAACCGATCCTGAAGGCAGAAGCGACAACAAAGCTAGTGCGTTGCAAAGTTTCAGTGGAAAAAGATAATCATATGACAATGTGAGCTCACATCGCAAAGTAAACCACGTGGGTTTGCATCAACACCGTGAAACAGTCCCCTATAATTCCTCTTGCCGATGACCGTCGCAGTTCACAGAAGTGTTTTGCAGCAATCCAGGCTGCTAGACAAAGTGTAAGGACCTCCCATACAACGCTGAGTATCCAAGTCATGGTAGATAGAAATGCAGCGCTTCCCCCAGATTTCAAACTGCACTGATAGGTGCCGGAAAGAATGAGGGTCACTATACGTCAATGAGCCTGGTGCACTAAAGTCTTGCATCCTTAGTAAAAGCTTACTTGCTGATGAATCCATTTCTACCATTATGCTGAGGGCCATGCCGGCAATGTTGACAGCCACGAAAACAACAACGAGAAGAACCAGCACATTTCTGGATCGTTGATACATGGCATGTAACCGAGCGATCATGATGACTTGTGTGATGTTTCAGTCAAGTCCACATGCCTGAGGGTATCGCAGCTGCGTAGCTCACCGCCCAGTATTGCAAACACGGTCCCATTCATCCAATCCAATAGCATGTACACGATAAAGCCTGGTACATTTAGTCGATGATCAGCGATGGAGGATCACATACTTAAAACACACTTACAGCTGCGGAAATTATTATATTGCAAGCTTGTCAAGAATCTCACTCACCCCTACATGGTAGCGCAGTTAATTGAACGGCAAGGATGGATCAGTGCAGAATACTCACTACACCTGTCACCGTTATTGTCGGAACAACTGTATGCCGCCGGTCAGAAAAATCAAACGAGGTGAATGTGAGGTGACATACTCAGCATGTTGATACTGATTGCGTGAGATGGGTGATTAGCACAACACCAACTGCTTAACCTTCAAAACATACACAGCATATAATACTCCAGCATAGCGCACCTGTGATATTTCAAGTCAGCACTTGCTGATCACACTTATAATGTAAAGTACATACACTGAGATACAGAATGGTCATAAGGGACCAGTGTTGCCTCTGTCACAGATTTATTTTATTTTCATGTTTTTTTTTGAAGTGGGACTCTGCTCACCCAGACCAGTTCCACCTATGAAACCATTATTAGCGAGATGACTGCACCGGCAATAGCATCGTCTTACCTCTTGTCCGAATGTGAGTACTGGAAATAACATCAGGATATCAGTGGCACTTTGATACTGTCTTGCTCACCACAATCGTACATTGTCCCAACAGAGGCAGCAACTGGCAGCCAAGATTAGATCGAGACATGAACCATAACCATCTGACTGGCTGTCAACGAACCTATAAAATAGCTTTCAATACGATTCATATTGATAAACGGCCACCAGCTGGGATTATTGAACATAACAATCAAAGTGTTAGAGGATGGGTAGGAGCGGGTGGTGAACTTGTTGGACTTGTGACAGTAGTGTTCAAGCTAGATATACCTCCATACAGCGCTTTCGTCGTCGTACAGGGAATGATTTGTTCCTGCTTGTATTGAAACATCATAAGTATAGTCAAGCAGAAAGGGGAATTCAAAGTGTTGATCACGAAACTGCAGGTAGTCACACGTACGGCATGTTTGAACCGCCAGCACTCCCCTCCAAGCATATGTCTCAAGTTGTGATGCCTCATGCGCACCTTCTCCGAGTCGCCCCTGCCCCCGGGTCATATCATGGGGGTGCCAAAGTTGGTACATGATGATCATTGATAATGGATCATTTTCAAAGCCTGAGCAAGAAACATCCTGATTCATAATGGGGCCTAATCCGTGGTCGGTGAATAGTATAAGACACGATCAAGTTCACATTGTAGTTAGTGTAGAAGTGCCTGAGCCTCCACCTACCTCCCTATGACAATATCAGTCTATCAGAGGCTGTCAGCGGGTCAGCTGCTGAAACGGTGACTCATACACTGCCATGCGCAAAAATGACGCACTGAATGATCTTCCTACCAAACTTCATTGGGTGAGAGTCAGCGGATTCCGTGAGTCAGTACAGGTGGCGGTGAACAAAACGAAACAAAGATACGTGGCATTAATGCTTCGAGAGCGGAACAAACCGCCGTGTTCTTGTAGCAGTTCATTGGGAATTTGGTGTTGATGTTGGTCTTAATCAGCGGCCTTTTCGAAACGGAGAAAAAGAAAACAACAACCGGATGGGCTCATACGACCGGAGGAAACGTACCAACTGTCACAATTTTAAGTACTATATATTATGTAGATTTATATATAAAGTTGAGAACTTCGGAAGTACATCATATCGCGTGCGTGGCAATCACGTGATCATTAATGAAGACTCAGGACAGTTACTACTATGTAGTCGGACGTGCCATGAGCCATCCTCCACAGAGCTACTCAAACGCAACCAACTTGCATACTAATGGGTCCATACGCAGGACCAAAATTCTTTTCCTGGGCACGAGAAGGTGCATTTCTACGTTTCGCTAACTTCTCCCTTTGTTGGTCCTAACTACCCGATCCCCAGGAGTGGAAAGACCTCCATACTCCAAGTCCTCTTCGATGATCTCCCCGTCAAACAGACTTTCTATCTTGAGCCAACCATGCGCGTCGCAAAACATTATATTGAGTGTGCACTCATGCCTGACTTCTGCAGGCGCCCAGCACTGAACACAGTCTCTCAGTACCGTCATCCCGTTGGAGATATGGGACTGTCCAGGAAACGCCACCGTCAATACGCTCGGCACATCCCTCGCCGATGTTTCGACCATTATCTTCGTCATAGACATTCGAGTATGTGCTGCATTTAGCCGCTACCCGCTAGCCTCACAGAGACCCACAGGATCTGTACCAACAACCTGTCTCAAAGCTCGTAGAATTCATAGTTGCAGCATGCCAAATGAATCCAGACATCAACTTTGAAGTTTTCGTGCACAAAGCGGAAAGGCTTCAGGAGGACGACAAGATTGGTACCCCCGTCCCCCGTGCATGTTTATTGCTTGTGTAACTGACACGACACCCAGAAAACTTCCGCCAGATACATGAGCGCGTCATGGACCGTCTCCTAGATGAATCCCCCGAATTTGAGCAATTCCCGCTTAACTTTCATCTCACTTCCATATATGATCATTCTCTGCGAGAGGCGTTCCCCCGCGTGCTTCACAAATTGATCGACTCCCTACTGTATCTGGAAGATCTGTTGAACATCTTCTGCTCTGTACGTGATTTCACCGCCCGTTCATCTACCGCTTCATCTAACTGTTTGCAGAACACCGCCTCCCCGAAGGCTTTCCTATTCGACACATCAAGTAAAATTCACGTTGCTACAGACGCCTCACCAGTAGACCAAGCAACACACAATCTTTGCTGCGATTACCTATCCATGCTGAACTCTTTCGGCCCCTTGTACAGGTGCGTATGTATAATTCGACTCTCTCCCATCCTTCAACCATCACACCAGGTCCAACTCTAACGACCCATGGATAAGTCGATTATCTCCAACAGCAACGCCCCCACCCACAGCCATCGCACCAACCCCCGCCTCCAGTACCACTCCTGCCGGAACACCACCACTCACTATTTTATCCCCCATTCCTCCATCAAAGCCCAATTTCTTCCCCTCCGCAGCGACATCGCTCTCAGCTTCACGCCCAGGGACAACGCTCACTTACCACCTTCTTACGCCGCACCTTGCATTACTTGCACTGCTTCCGACGACGGTGTACGAGATGCGCAGAGGCTTAGTGGAATGGAACATTGTGTGGTTCAGGGAGGGTGTTAGGGAGATATGGGAAGTGGAGCGGGAGTGGAGTACAGGGGAAGTCGTTTGATGTATTTGATATTTACTACTCTTCTTGGGAGGTGCTTCGAATTAATTGTAATTACATTCAACGTCCATGTGTATAAAGAAACCAACTATATCCACAAGATGAACCGCGCAGCGGCAATCACTTCTATTTACAATACCAGGCTATACTGTCCAAATTATGCATAACCATGTGTGGTAAGAAACAGCATGGTTATGCATGGTGGACTCTAGTCCTTGATGGGTGAGCCGTTATGCATAATGGATTCCCACCATGCATAACGCTGCCAGTAATGATCCGCCACACCATTTCTCAATTCGTGTACCCACTTTGAGTAGTTCTTAGCCTAATTTAGCCCACCCCCCTTTTTGTACACCCTCGGCAGGACACGCCTTATATCCCCTGGTTCCCCGCACCCCGAATTGGCAGGAGATCGAGATTTTACGTTCGCCTTACCTTTGATGGCCTACCGCACCCCGAATTGGCAGGAGATCGAGATTTTACGTTCGTGTACCTTTGATGGCCTAGTCCTCGTCGATCTCTGCGCATCAGTGGAATCTCAATTCAGCTCTAGGTATCGGTATTGCCTGAGTGTTAAGACTGGCTGCTCTCGTGCCTGGATATGCAAATATTCACGCTATGTCCCGTCTGCCTTGCAAATATCAATAAGACTGGTTGCTCTTTTGCCTGATCACGCAAAATTTCATGCTTATGTCTTGTCTGCCTTGAAATCTGCCTTTCATCTCACAAATCGCGAAGTCTCAACAAGAAATATGCTCGTATTCTCAATATTCAACAACACAAGACACGTAAACATCACTTGACAACTCAGTATTATCGACGGAACACAAAACATAGTGTAGTATCACATAGCCTTTCTCCTCCTAGAAATTGAGTTAGTGTTCGCGCTTGCAAATAATAAACACTCGAAATCACAAACCTCTTTTGAGAATGGCCACCTATGCTATCAGCCTGTGCCAAACGTGTCGTCTGCTGGCGCACGCGCTTTGTCTTCCTAACAGCAGGAGCAACTACGTCATCGGCTTGCACAGCGGAGCCCGATGCACTACCAACATCAGAAGGGAGGAGCGCCGGCTGTTCTGAAACCTGGGCAACCTCAACAGTGGAGGGCGCAAGAGCAGAATCCAAGTCCCCAGCACAGCCGGAACCGCTAGCAGAGGATACTACTGGTGGCGCCAAAACCTGAGCTGTTCCAGCGGCTGGAACCACTGGAGGATCAGGCGGGTATGCAGAAGAACTGAAGTTATACTTTTCCGTTGATACCGGCAAGGGGGCAAAAGACAGTAATGGGGTAGCAATAGCGGATGTAGTGCGGAAGCGAAGGCGAGGGGGTGTCATGAGGGCAGATGCGGATGTACTGTACGTCTGTTTCCTCCATGAGGTAATGGGAGTTTCCGGCATTGGACTAGATGATGGCATTGGACTGGATGAAAAAGTAAGATCTGGCAATGAGTCTCCCATAGTGGACGCTGGGGTGGTTGCGCCGGATGATAAGGAGTGGGCAGGCAAAATGAAATCGAAGTTAGATGCCGGGGTTCTGGGTACACTGGCGTCATAGGGATCAAAAGACATGGAGGTGTCGGTGGTAAAGCCAGTGGGTATTTGATTGTCAAAGGTAAGGCCGGCGCTTGTGTCTCCCATAGTGTGTGCCGGTGTATTTTCGCTGGATGACAAGGAGCGGGCAGGTAAGGTGAAATCGTAGTTAGATGCTGATGTGCTGGTGAAGCAGGCGTCATATGGATTGAGGGACATGGAGATGTCAGTGCCGAAGTTGGTGGACATTTCGTTGTCAACAGTAAGGCCGAGGGGGTTGCTGAAAGGCAGAAGCCCCTGCATCTGAGACGAGTCGACACCTCGCAGGGTGTCCGAGAGTGTGAGGGGGGCATGCAGGGCAGTTCCATATGATGCTGGAGTCACAGTCGATGACGCACCCTCCAGTGACCCAGATCCTTCACCCAGGGGGTTGCTGAAAGGCATAAGTCCCTGCATCTGAGACGAGTCGACACCTCGCAGGGTGTCCGAGAGTGTAAGGGGGGCATGCAGGGCAGTTCCATGTGATGCTGGAGTCACGGTTGATGATGCACCCTCCAGTGACCCAGATCCTTCACCCGAGGGAGATGAAATCGTGGGTGGTAGACCGTTCGCGATTGAAGTCGTGGGTGATAGACTGTTTGCGAGTGGGGCGACAACGTCAATGGCACGAGACTTTCTGACATGCTCGGCTATTGAATCCAATGAGTATGCGTGACCGACCATCAAATGGGAACATTACTCACGAAACAGTGTTCCAACAAATTCCAAGTATGGATTGAGATGCTTCTCAACGAATTTTGGGGTGGCTTGCTTCCAATTGTGTCCATCCCCATTCACTCCTGTATGGTAACTAAGAAGTCTTGAGCATTCTGAAAATGAGCGAGCGAATATGAGACGCTGTGCGAACAACAATCCTGCTGAGCTGCAGGGAAATGTTGGGTCTTGCTGGCCTAGGCTAGTTCGACCCTAAAGGGTCTCTGCTCTAGGCTCAGTGCTCAAGGAGAGAGAAACAGACAAGGAAACAAGACAAAAGGACAGGGGACTTTCAGACTGATACTGGTACTAGGTCAAAACTTCATTGGATTATGTCAGCAGTAAGAGTACCAACATAAAGTAAGTAAATCATCAATTGTGAGGCCAGAGAAAGAATGTTTGGTACAACGCACCTCATCGCATTTAGTTGGCCACCAAGATGAGGGTCAGGCCCAGCACCCATAACAGTCCATTCCCACCCTGTCATGTCCTTGATGACTTGCAAGAACTGCGCAATGGGAGCAGTACACTCCTGGAGAGCGCTAATAATGTATAAGCAATGGGAAAATGGTGTGCGGGCAAAAGCCGAAACTTACGTTGCATACTGTTTATTGGTAGGTGCAGATTTTTCATTTTGCACATTAAATGCGACTTTCGCTTTGTGCTCTTCTCGGACCTTCTCCTCACACAAAGCTTGGACTTCTGGCGGTGCGGCTTTGTATGCTTCGCGTGTAAGTTTTCGAATAGCTGACAATTTTTCCTGTTTAGTCACGAGCTCGCCGGACTTAATGGCGTCTTGAACCCGCTCTTTTACTTCCTCCTTATAGGCAATGGTCGAAAAGATCTCGGCAGGGGTATGAACCCGAGTTCCTTTGGCTTTATTGGTTAACGTTTTCTGGATGACTTTAGTCATCGCGTTCACAGCTGAACGGCCACTTCGTTGGGACCTATAGTTGAACCAGGTTCGTATTTGCTGTTTTAAGCATATCAGTATGTACATCATCGGTGAGGGCATCATGAGGGCAGTGCTTACCTGTCTCCGCTTCTGAACTGCTGCCTTCAGAACTTTAGTTTCCTCGTCTGTACGGGGATCACTGGCAGGAGTATTTTTAAATACTACATCCTCTTCAGGCCATCTTTTGAACCATTCAAGGTATATTGGATCCCAGTACTGGGAAACCTTTGCCTGTAGCTGCGCTAACAGAAACCCGCTATAGTACGTCTCAAGGAAGTCTTTTTGTTCAGGTGTGGTCCAGACTGTTCCTGCCTGCCATCCTATCTGAGCTGAATTAATGATCACTCAATGAGACACAATTGTCACCGCTTGCCTTGGTGAGGTACGCGTTTTTTTGAATAACGCGATTTTAGGTTTTGTGCGGTCCTAGTATTACCGCAGGCCAAGCCTGAAAATTTAATGCTGACCACACATCTTCAACCAATCAGCAAGTGTATTTGCTGATCGGAGTTGAAATCGCCTGGTAACTGCTGCCGTCTGCTATTTTTTTACTCACACTCCCACCTCATTTTGAATGCAGAGCCCAAGGAACGATAATACGGCTTACCGTCGTTTTCCACCCCCATTAACATTCACCGTAAATGAGCTGGCTGCAGCATTGGGGTTGATTAGGGATCAAAGCGGTAAATTTTATTTTCAACCATTCATCTGATGGCTCATTAGACCTTTTGCTGCAGACCAGGGATATGATGATGGTGACCCCCCAGCATTCACATTGCGTGAGCTGGGAGGAGCATTGACGTTAATCAGTGACCAAAATGGTATGTTCAACATTTCAATTAATCTGAATCTCGGCTCATCACACTCACTCCTCATCAATAGCCATATTTGCTGCACACGATGGACATGATTCAGAGGAGCTGCCGAGTCCACAGACTGAATATGGAGCATGCGCGGCATGCGTTTTCCGGGCACACCGCCACAATTGCTATGCTTGTGGTATAGCAATCACTTCGAGCCGCGTTGCAACAGGCCTCTCCAAGTCGGAAACCACCGGTAAGTTTTCATAGTGCTACCCTGGAGTTTACTGTTTAATATGTTCACTATACCAGTCACTGGCACCACGAATCCCACCGCTACCACATCTGCAACAGAAAGTGAAGCTGTGCAGGAGAGAGGGGGCGACTTTTGTGATGTAGTAGTTGTGCGATGTTCCTGTAGGGACTGATACATAGATTTCAATCGCATTTTTTACATATATATGTTGAGAGAATTGTGAATGTCAAGCTCTTGGGGAGATGGATTACTAGGTCGCATCAACAGCCGTCCCAAAGTCATTGTACAATATGCTTTCATTGAAATTCACGTCTATTGGGTCGCGAGTCTATAACATAGTGATATCGGGAGATTTCTGATACGGTAGCTCATTTTACCTGTCCTGCGCTAGTCAGAATGCATAATATATAAATCAGACTGTTGAAACTATTGTATTTACAGCTGCAATGAAACTTATGTGCTATGATTTAATGTGTCCCGAAGTGGTGGCTGAGGCATTACATGAAATCTAACTCGAGTGCGGAAGCTTACCTACGCCTTTTCACACATTCCAGTTGACTGACGCCTTGCATGACTCGGAAACGCAAGTACAACACAACTGAGCAGTCCCATCAAGCTCGTTTAAAATCCAAGAAAAAACACTACGCCAGGCAAGTCAAGTAATGTGGTTCATTCTTTGCGCGTGCACTACTGAACTCACAATCAACAGGAATCGGCAGCAAGAACGTGTCAAATCCCGCACTCGCTGGCGTCGCCGGGGTGGAGCTTCAGATGTGAGTCAAACATTTTGGTTGATTTGTCAAATTTTAATGCACACTGTTTGTAGGAGACACTCGCACTCCTTAATCATCTGGACGATATCTGGTTCAATGCTGGTTATGAACCAGGTTCCAATCTGTATCAACGATTGGAGTCTGAAGGATTGAATGCTGTCTGTGCTGCTGATCGTGAAGGATGGGATTCACTGAAGCCAGAATACGAGAACGACGTTCGCGAGGTACGCAAACTCTTGGAGCAAGCACATGGGTTATCCACGTCAGCCGGAAGCTTAGAGGGTCCTTATACCGAGCAACTACGAGTGGGGGTATGTTCGGTGACTCGCATCTTACAATTTCGCATCCAGGCATGTGAGCAAATGATCCAGAAGATGGACTTAAGTGTAGACTCATATTTGAAGCTCTTCGCAAAGGGACACTTGATTGGCAATTAGCGCTTAGCACTGGCAAGTGATTACTGTAGTCTTCTATGTATTTTGCATCTAGTGTTGAACATCACGTGATCCCTGTGCGGTATGTTGTTAATACTATATCTCCTCATTGTTTCAACGCTGTAGCCCTCATGGGAAAAAGACGCCGTGAGCTAGACAAGCTTACGCGTGACTGGTATGTTCTCAATGCAAAAAAGCACGCAGCTCAGCAGCGAATGCAAAACACTACTCAGGCTGAGGATCCAGAAAACAGTCAGGTCTCAACTCACAAACATCGATCTTACACTTTGAAGGGACCGGCACAGGTCTCGACTCAGACAGAGTACTTTGGTGCTCCAAGAGGCTCTCACACTGCGCCACCACCATCTGCTTTCCATACTTCTGATACTGTCGCCTTCGATTACGAGGCTCTTCTGGACTCTAACGAAGACCACGTCTACAACGAACACTTGGCTGAAACATCACTCGAAGTGAAAGTTTCACGGGGGAATCGAAATTTAGGAGTAAGTGAAGACAATTGATCTTGGATACAATTACTGACGTGTTGTTTTGAAGGATAACCCATTGTTGACTTGGATGGATGATCGGGACCATTTTCTTTTAGAACTCCTCCGTCTGGAGGGTCGCGGCGATTTTTTACATCAGGAAGCATGTCGAGGTTCTGCAGGATGCATGAATGCCCCTGAATTTCGATGTGAAGAGTGTCTTGGTACTGAGCTCTATTGCAAGGCGTGCACGGTAGAAAGGCATATAGAAAATCCAACCCACAGAATTGAGGTAGGTGGGAATCTAGCAGTGCTCACTACTTCGCACTGATTGACTTGCGCAGTACTGGAACAGCCAACATTTCGAAGACACTAACCTGCGGGATCTTGGGCTGCAAGTTCAACTCGGACACCCCCCTGGTGAACGTTGTTGCAACCTGTCATTGGTTCATAATGACTTCGTGGTCCTCGATATCAACGGAGTGCACAATATTACACTCCACTTCTGCGAGTGTCAAACAGCTCAATCTCGTACGACACAACTCCTTCGCATGTGTTGGTTCCCAGCAACTACACTGGATCCGAAGACTACCGCAACATTTCGACTTCTCCACCACTTCCATGTTCTTTCGTTTGAATCGAAGGCCTCCACTTTCGAGTACTGGCAGACACTCGCACGCTTGACCAACAACACAGGCGTTAACCCACCAAAGGTAAGTTTTCAATTTGGTTTGACTTGTTCATTCATACTTGCTCACAACGGCTCACAGGATCGCTATAACGCTCTCTTACGGATGGTAAAGGAATGGCGAAACCTCACCTTACTCAAGCGTTCAGGACGGGGCCATGACCCTGGTGGGGTTGCGGCGACACAACATGGTGCTTGTGCAGTACTGTGTCCTGCCTGCCCCCATCCGGGCAAGAATATTCCAAATGGCTGGGAAGATACACCGTTTGAGGAAAGGTATGTTATGGATTGGTCTAGTCCGTGTAGCGTGTTCACTCACAGAATGATCTAGATGGAAATATTCCTTGTTTCTAGCAATCGATGCTAATTTTTGACTGGCACGCAAAAACGTATCATCCGACAAGGCCGACCCTGGTCTTAACAAAGGTTGGGCGTACTTCGTCGAAGAGGGGGCATTCAAGAAGTTTCTCCATGACACTGGAAAGCAGCCGCAAGAGGTGCGGCCATCTATCTTAGCCGTATCACACTCGCTCACCCACTCATCACACAGAAAAGTAGTTGTGCGAGCCACAACGCTGTAAACTTGGCCGAGACTAAAAACTCTCGCGGTTTGGCAGCAACAGGGGCCGGCACGGTCGATTGTTCACGCCACAACATGAAGTGTCCTTGCGGTGTCGGCGATCTCCAGAAGGGCGAGCGGTAGGCGAGAGCTTTACTAATTACCGCACCACTCAACGTGTACTATAGATACATCAATATGGACTACCTATTCTTCTCTACCTTGCAATACTCGAAGGATGTAGTCACGCTCAACGTGTCCTACGATATAGCGTGCCAATGGAGCAAGAACATATGGGATCGTATGGCTACATACCCATGTCAAATGCACGTGGAACGCAGCACGAAAGAGTTTGTGTTCCTCGTTCCGAAATTCCATCTTCCCGCACACGTTGCATTCTGCCAAGTAACCTATTCACACAACCTTATCAAAGGGATGGGTCGGACTGACGGGGAGGCACCGGAGCGCGGGTGGGCGAATATAAATCCTGTAGCAACGAGCACTCGGGAGATGGGCCCTGGCTCACGCCGCGACACCCTCGATGATCATTTCGGAGATTTTAACTGGAAGAAAGTGACCAACTTTCGTGAGTGGAACCTACACCGCACGATTGGAACCTCTTACTAACATTTTGGTTTCAAGACATCAGTCTATTCCGAAAGCTCGTAGCGGCCATACCTCAACGTGATCAGCACCTCATTGACTTCAACGATTTCAATGACACATTGGTTGCCGAACGACCAGAGGAAGTCGCTCGGTGGAAGCAGGCTATCGAAGGCTGGGAAGCCGATAGATCACAGACGAATCCCTTCGAGGTTACAACTACAAGTGCATTTGTTCTTTTATGACGATTTTATATTTCTCATTCTTTCGCAGCCATGTCTCTCGCAGCGGTACGACTGCGTCTCTCGCAGAAGGAGGCAGAAGATTTAGAACATGGCCTCAACTACTCGCTGCATACCGAGGTATCCCCAAGCGTTCTCGTGTCATCGGGTATTGAAATCGAGGACCATCAGTAAGTTTATATCTCCCTTGTATCTTTATCTCAATGTTTTTTTAGACGCCGGCTGGAAAGAGAGTATGCTGCCTTGGGAGCTCACGCAACGGACCTTCAACTTACGAAATTGCAAGAACGAAGCAACGCACTACAACGCAAAATCGAGCAATGGTGCAAGGTCCAGGTATTATACATGCCTACAGTCGTCCGTGTTCGCGCATCCGATACAGCTAGTACCGTAAGCTCATGGGAAGAAAAACCCTACGAGGTCAAACTGTGGTTACCGTCCCAACTCAAAAGGGCTTCAAACGAATTCTGCGAGGAGCGTCTGTGCAGATATGAATGGGAGCTGCGACAGGCACAAGCATTTGATGCTCTCGATGATCTCCGTCGACACCTCCGACTGCGCAGCCACTTATTCAAGTTCAAAGACAATCAATTGCGTGGCCAGCGGGCGAATACACGTGCAGCGGGAGTTCTCGCTAAGGTGGATCTTAGCATCAAGACAGATGCAGAACGGTACCGTAGGGCCTGGACTGCTCTAGTTATCCTGGGCGACATTTTGCAGGAACATAGCTGGCGAGATGATCTACTAAAGCTAGAACCTGAGCACGTTCGGGGAATGTCTGATGGCCACATAGGCCAATCCGAAGGTAATCGAACTTTATCGTGGATTTGGAAGGCACGTGGCGTCACTACTGGAGACAGGGAAGGAGAGACTGTTCTTGCTGAAGGTAAGAAATTGTCCATTAAATTGATACAAGCTAAAACACTATTACACAGCGCTACGTGTAGAGTGGTGTAAATCTCGGGCACGCTCACACCGTTGGACAGAAGAAGTCGAGCTTCTCCAGGAGGAGATGCGGCGCGTGTGCACATTCTTCGACTGGCATGCGGCATGGTGGATGGATCAGGCAAACCGGAGGACTGGGTTGGACGCTGCAGAGTTAGAAGGCCTTGCAGCGTATGCAAGGCGCCAGGCGGTCCTTCGGATCATGATGCGGGACAACTGTCTAAGAAAATGGCGTGCAGTTCCTGCGGCAAGCTTACCCCCAGCAGTGGCTGCGCCCTGAATACTAGTAGGATGACATACATTGCTTCTTTTCCCCTATGTGTTGGTAGCACTATATATAATCATTGATTGCGTCAGTCTCCGAGATTGCGATCGTAGATGCCAGGAACATGGAAAGAGAAGATCGGAAGCATCCTGTATGACAGTCGAAGGCATTATGCATCACGGACACCAGTGGGAACATTACTATACATACAGTCGAAGGGATTATGCATAACGTCAAAAACTAGAGGTAACCATGCATAACGGCCTGTGTCTAATCAGTGATGATTATGCATAACCCGGTGTGGGAGAAATCGTAGAAGTCCGCTATAGTGATAGCGTACCGATCCTGCTGGGTGCGAGAATAGTAGTCGACCCAAGGGGATAGCTCTGAGAGCAGTTCCTCAAGTATGAGCGAGGGGAACAGTGAAGAAGGAAGTGATGCGCTGAAGACAGAACGGCTGTGTATGCAAGGAGATGCGGAGATGCGAGAATGCGCGGAGATGCAAGGTATGTGGAGATGCGAGGTATGCAGATGCGGAGATGCGAGGTATGCAGATGCAGAGATGCGAGGTATGCAGATGCAGAGATGCGAGTGAATGTCTAGAGGGTACCAGGTATGCGAACGGGTAGGGTACCAGGTATCGGAACAGGTAATCGGGTAGAGCGAACTAGGTACCAGGTATATGCGAAGACGTGCAGAAACCGCCTTGCAAGGAACTCAACTAGGACTAGCAATAGTCAACTGTCAATGGCGATGCGAGCGTTCGCACGGGATGAGAAGGCAAACAAGTGATTGCTCAAGCAAGGAAGGACAAGGTAAGACTAAGCTAGTGACTCCGCAACACACAACCAGAGAGGGAATGTAGGAAAGTGAGGTCCGTACGAGTCTGCGACGTAGTATATAACAGAGTCCGTAAGAAACCGGAACCATATAAGCGGGCGCATATGCAAGCGAAGTCGGAAGGAGATACATGTAAGTAATGGTACGCGGCCTCGTGTATGGGAACTGATATGCAACTGGCCCAGTGAGGACGGACGGATGCAGACATGACATGGACGGATAGTGCATTGCGATGCGATGAGTGCGAGGATTCCGCAACCTCGTGTGATGGTCCGCAACGGCCTGTGGGAGGTATGCGTGACTTCGTCCAGTGAGGGGAAATGGTGCCATACGGGGCTGCAGCCTGGGCGTCTCCTACACCGGTCAAGTACAGGTGACAATACACAAGAGGTGTGCAAAAGGAGAATTCCGAACACATAGCTCGATATTAATAAGCATGTAAACCTTAATTATACAGCCACCCGAACTTTCAATACATATGTTCTGAGTTTCTCAATAGCGCCCTAAGTTCTTCACCAAATCGTTAGTTGAGTACCGAAACCGTGGTATAATCAGTACTTTAGAATACATCTAGATAGTCAATTTAATAAGAAGCGCGCGTTGAGGAACGCTGATCAAGAAATGATCATTTCTAAGTGTAATTTTGAGAACATGTGACGAAATAAGTAATACGCGTCGATATCAATATGACGCGTCTTGTCAACGCGTCCTCAATATCTCATACCTCTCCGTCGTCCCAGCATCATCGGCTCTCATCAAAGCATTAACTTGTATCATTCCATTGCACTATGTATTCTACAGCACAGAACAGCTACAGTAACGGTAATTCGGCTCATATTAATAACGGAACGCATATATGCGACTCAGATCACACGGTGGACGACGGATCAAATTTCGCTGATACAGATCAGTCATCTGGATATTCTTCTAGTCCGACCATAGACTTTGCTGTGCTACCAGATAGCGAAGGACCCTCATCTTACTGGCTTCCTGATTCATCTCGTTGTGCCTCACCGGAAGAACGGACAGATTCGCCTATCTCAGGGATCAATATTGCCGAACAACTGGCATTACATACGACCGAAGGGCTTCATCAAGCGTTCCGTGCCGGTGGGTTACTCACACGTGTTAGCGCTCAGCAACGATGGAGTATCTGCTGCCCTGACTGCGAGGAGTGGTGTCAAACAAGTCTCCCGTCTGGAATTCCTCTCTGGGACACTGGGCATTTCAACGCTCTGAATTCCCATCGAGGCAGTAAGAAATGCCTGCGGACAATTTCTCGCAGAAGCCAAGAAGACAGGAACATGTCCGATGAACCGATCACACGTTCCCCATCATTTACCTCACATCAAAGCACGTACGTTTCATTTCGGTTCCTTTTCATCTTTATTGATCATATCACTGATCGATCACAGAAATTTTACTGCTGCTCGTCCTGACAACTGTCCTGGACTGCTGGTCGTCTGGCCACAGGACCTTCCTCCCTTCGTCATGTTTCTACCTTGGGAACGCTATCATGACGGCCTGGATGGGCTTCCCTTCACCATCGATCTCACCCAGCCTAGCACACCTTGGATTCGGTCAAAGCGATGCTTCATGTCCGCATTGATTGAGGGTTCACCCTGCGGCGAATGCGCTGAACTCTCTGCACATGTCAACCACCTCTCCCAAACCGCACGGGATCCGAAACCACACACCAATTACAAACATCTAGGCCTCGCGAATATGCGAGACATCGCGCAAAGCTATGCCGATCAAGCCCGGCAGTTAAAGTTACAGGTATGTTTACTTACTCTCATTACTTACATGTGTTTTCATTTTACTCACACCACGCAGGGCCTAAACGATTCCCGCAAGCATATAAACAGTCTCACACAGCTGGATGATTACCACCGCCTGCTCATGGCGATTTCTGAGAACGACATCCCCCGCCTACAACAAATCATCAATGTTGCCATGGGCAATGGCGCTAGCATCCGCGAAGTTGTCAACAAGATCGAGGACGCCATAGAGGGAACCTACCGACCACGGGGCTATAACGCTTCTGACCTTGATATTGCCATGCTCATCTATCGATTGGGCGGTCGGCAACTTTTATTCGCGCTCTATCACAATATCAGCATCCCCTCTCTCCGAACTCTTCAGACCAGGGCCGTATTCACAACCATCATGCCTACCATTGGCCCTATCCGGGACCAGAACTTCGACGACAACATACGTGCCCTCATTCTTAATACCCGCATCGGCATGACATCACCCCGCGGTGTGAGTTTGATGGTTGACGAGATGGCAATTGAAGAGATGGCCGTGCACTACAGCCAGTACAACAAGATAGGTGGTCTATGTTGGAAACACTCTAACCTTATAGACCCCGTCCTTCGCACATATGATTCGGCTATCCGGATAGCACAGAAAATTCACGACGGAGATGTCCACCTTGGAAAGGAAGTCACAGTCCTTGGCGCCGCATGTTTTGGAGAGGACGAGCTATATCCAATTTTAGTCGCGCCGACCTGTAAAACTGAGGACACTGCAGATATGGAGAGTATCCTAGCTCGCGCTATACAGCGCTGGAGTGCCTCAGGTGCCAATGATGCAGTCGGACCAGTGTGGTCTGTCGCGACCGACGGTGATGCTACCCGCAGAGCAGCAGGTCACAAGCTTTTCCTCAAGAACCCGCTCTCCTCCGAGTCTCCTTTATACGGCATACTCTCCAACATTCCTGGTCTCAATACATTCACAGGGGATGCCGAGATCACGTTGGATTTCGATACGAAGCATATCATCAAGCGTAAGTGTGTTTCTTTTTTTGATCTAGTCTACAAAGCTCATAATGTCTTTAATTTAGGTTACTGCACGCTCATCCGCTCTCCAGGAGGTATAACTCTTAACAATGGACGTGTCATTAACGCCATGATGCTCTCACGTTATCTCGTCTGGTTGCCCGCTTATGACGAAGCCAGCGTCACCAAACTGCTTCATCCAGACGATCCGCAAGATGTCCCTCGAGCTGTGGAGCTCATGCTGGCCATCATTGAGTTCTCCAAGTCGCAGCAGTCCATTGTCCAGGACCCATTTTCCGCTGATGTCGACACACGCGCTGACATCATATCAATTGCAGTTCTGAGCAGCGTCCTCGAGTCCATCATCCTTCCGTTCACCGACGTCAACCTCTCGCTCACGGAGCAAATCCAATACCTTAGCCGCCTTGCACATCTTACATTCACATTATTTCGCTCTCACCGACGCTCATTCCTATCATATCAATTGTACTACGACACGCACACCATGCTGAAGAACGTCATCTTCTGCGTCTCCAAACAGCAAATTCTTGATCCGCAGGCTTCTTTTTTTCTCGGCGATACAGGAGACGATCGGTTAGAAGTTCATTTCGGTCGCACCCGCATGATAGGCGGGCATAATTCGGCATGCACATTTTCTCAAGTCATTGATCGTTTGGGTGCCGCCAAGGATATTGATGGTGTGTTCAAGCGGCATCCCGCCCTTGATCCAGGCCATCGTCGTCTTAGGCTTGGCACCCGCCTTGAACATGTTGACCACATAAATCGCGACATGTGGTCTGGAGACATTGTATCTGGCCGATGCGATCTTCCGACAGCTTGGCGTAATGGCCGTGAGATGGCCCTTACCATTTTTACTTCCACTCAGATCGATCCAGAACACTTCTCATATGACGACATATTCCGTGATCCGTCTGTCGACATGCTACGCCCTTTCGGTCAGAATAAATACCTTGGAATTGCGGATGACGACGCTGAAGAACCTGGCGCAATCATTGCTATAGTGCCGCAGGTGATAGCATCTGGTGATGACAGGCCTGAGGTAGAAGAAGACGCCGACGAACTAATGTTAACATTCGAGGAAGCGCTGACTGCAGAATCCACATCCAATGCCCCCTCCGCTCATCCCCCTCCTTGTCGTACAGATCTTTCTGCCCCTCCATTGCCACAGGGTCCAGGCATACGCCCCGACGACTACCTTTTATTTCAAGGTCGATGGATCCACAAGCAAACGATCTGCCGCCTCGTCATCAACAAGGACTTTATCTCCAAGTCCAATAATCGATTGGAGCGTGTCCGTTCGGGCTACACCAAAGTGAACAAGAGGATCGATATGTCAGCGGGCCGTATCACCGACAACAACCTTTTCCTCGTCGGTGATATTTTCCTTACCATCATTCGTTCAGGTCTTACTATCTCTATCGCTGTGCTTCGTTCAACGCTTCTTTCACTCAACACCGTCTCACGTGCTTCGATCGACACGGCCGTCATGCAAGCTTGTCGGACAACGGCCAAGATAACTGGCCAGCTTCTCACCCTTATTCCATCCCATCCCCCACCCGATTCCGCTCAACAATTCCTATGGAACGGGGGCTATGTCAAAGCCCGCTCCGTCGTCCAGGGCACATCGGGATCAATCACGACCGATCGTGTGGTCATTGTCACTGTGCCTGGTTCCCTCGTGGAACCGATCAATCCCGAACCTACCTTCTTACGCCTTCGCAACGACATCAATACCGACGACTTCACGGAAATTAACGGAGGCCAGAGCACTTGGCAAGTCTCGCAATCCACACTCCAAGCTGCATGCGAGCTCTTGTGGTTGAAGGCCGTGGAGACCAAAGTCCCTCTCAAGAGCATAGTGTCAGTCACTCCTGCAGACATCAAGACGTTCCCATATCAGTTGTCCAATGGTATGTTCTGTGTTTTCCTGTCGCGACTTATACTGATATTTTTAGGTACTCCTGCAATAATTTCCGTCGAGGGAAGCAACCTATTGACAGCCTCCGAAGGGGAGCGCATTTCTACATGCCCCCTTTGCCTGGCTAAGGTTACCGACATGCGTTCGCATACCGGCATGCATATCCTTCGCTCACTCAGGAACACGCCCGAGGAGATCACATTGACAGAAAAGGTATGTTTTTTATATATATTTCTACACTATTGTACGCTAATACATATGTACTAGGTCGGCGCAGTTTTACCGTGTGGTTTCTGTGGCCGGTCTGGGCTGTCCGAATGCTCGATCACGATCAAGGTGCCTTCAAGCGGTGCTCCAGTCTGGGAGACGAAATGTGCATACCAGCACCCATTCAGATACGGATTCGCGGCGGGAGGGTCGAAAAATAAACCATGTCGCAATGTCCCAGTCAAATGTGAATTGTGCCATCCTCAGCTCCCTCCTGAACCCGGGCGATCTTCAAGAAGGGTGCTGGCTGTCCCTGTGGATGCAGTCTGGCGTTACAACCTGGCCGAGCACATCGCCATGGTACACGAGGAGTATTTGGTCCCTGGGGACAATCCAGGGCCTGGACCGGACGTTCACAGAGTTTCTTTGCCTGCTAGCATGAAGGAGACGATGAAGATAACTGACCTTGAATACACTACAGCTCGTATTCCAAAAGAACATTGGCCGGCTTCACATATCCCCTCCACTGAGCACGACAAAGAAAATGTGCCGTCTTCCAGTTCTCGCATCCCCAAACACTCTGCATTGAATCCCGCAGGTTCTCTTCCTTCCAAACGAGCTCGTATTGCTGTCCCTGCACTTCAGTTATCTCGCACTTTAGTTGTTTGATCCGTTGTTCGTTCCGTTGATCGTTTCATTCTGAAGTCACTTTTACTAGTTTTCCTCATGCAGAATCACGCTTTCGTATCGCACACAGTTAGGTTATTGTTTGCTTTCACTGCTACTACAGTTTTTGTGTTTAAATTACTGTTTTGCGTCCAATGCGCATCAATTATATTGGATGAGTGGTCAATTGCGGTTGATATCATTAAGGTTTTAAATTACTATATATGGTTATATTAGTGTGACGGTCACGCTATCACGGTGGTGGTAGTGGCATCCGAAGTTTGACCCGGTTGATGTCTTAAACTTTAGTTTCCCACACCTCTTGACAATACATTATAATTTATTAACGCACTGACGAGCACTTACTGCAGCTGTTGGAGCGAGTATGCGCTGGAAGCACTTGAGCAACGTGCAAGAAAAAGATATAAACATCGACTGCCTTCAACATTGATGACGTTCCTATTCCGACGCACAGGTAGGTCAGGTACCGAATCGCTAAAATCGTCGGAAAAACACGCACCTTCACAAGTTTCTGTACTTCTGGTAAAACGAACTTCTGCGCTTCGAAAAAAATAGAAAGGCAAGACCGGAGGCCCTCTAAACACCACTGCCTTTCAAGCCAGCAGAGGATATGGCGGCTCAAGAAAGACTTGAACAGGTGCTTGAGCGTGTTGTCCCATGGACTGGGAGCCCGGGAGAGATGGAAGGCCCAGTTTTGGCACGCATAATTGAGAGCGTCGGAAGCCGATCGGCTTCGTTCCTGTGCTCTGTGTGCAAAATCCTCAAAGGCCATCATAGCATGGAATATCTCCATGTCTGGCGGGAAACGATATTGTGGTGAGGCTGAAGAGGAAGAATCCTGATGCCTTAGCGCCAGGAACGCCGGGAACATCAAGAAATCCGGCAAACTCTTGAATTGCTGGATTACTTGGAAAGCTGCTAGTAAGAGCAGTTCTGGGATGATCGTGTACTTGTTTACTGCTTCTAAAGTCCTCGAGAATTCTTCCATTGTCACCCAGACAGACGCCGCAGCAGTCGACTGCCATGCTTGACCGTTGGGCGTGTACAGCCAGTCTTGACCGCTTTGGGTTTGAAGCCATTCTCGTCCGCTCTGTGTCTTCAACCAGTCTCGCCCACCCTAGGTGTGCAGCCAGTCTCGTCCGGGCGGGTTCTTTAGCCAGTCTTGGCCAGCATGGGTCTGCAACCACTGTCGCCTGCTCTGGGTTGGCAGCCAGTCTCGCCGGCTCTGGGTCTGCAACCAGTCCGATCCGTCCCGGGTCTGCAGCCAGTCTTCTCCACCCTGGGTCTGCAGCCACTCTTTCCCGCTCTCGTTCCTCAACCACTCTCTCCCGCTCTCGGTCTTCAGCCAGCCTTCTCCGTTCAGGGTTTGCAGCGAGTCCCGCTTGTCCTGGGTATGCAGCGAGTCCTGCCCCCGCCGGGTCTGTAGCCAGTCTTGCCCCCACCGGGTCTGCAACCAATCTTGCCCCCACTGGGTCCGCAACCAGTCTTGGCCCCACTGGGTTTGCAGCCAGTCTTGTCCTGGCTGGGTCTGCAGCCAGTCCCTCCCGCTCTGTGTTCCCAGCCAAGATGGCCAGGCCTCAGTCAGCGAGCCCTTCCTCCCCTGGGTCAGCAGCCAGTCCCGGACGCTGTGGGCTTTCGGCCAGAAGGTTTTCCCCTGGGTTTGTAGCCAGTCCTTCCTCCACCGATTCTGTAGCCAGTCTTTCCCCCCTTGGGTCTCCAGCCAAGCGCACCCATCAAGGGTCTCTAACCAGGATACTAAATCTGACCTGTGGCCTCCCCGAAGCCATTGCAGGGCAGTAAGGACGGTGAGTGGCGTCGGTGGCTCGACGATGAAGGCCAATGCTTGTTTTAAGCTTTGGGGGTCGTGGGGTTTCATAGCCCGGCTATGCGTCTTCAATCGCGACAGCGCGTCCAGCAAGGCCGTGCTTGGTGGAATAGCTTGCATGATCAAGTGGAGAGATGAATGAACGAGTAGGGAGTGGGGGTATCTGATATGTCGTACGTCAGGGAGGCTACAGTTCGAAGGGTCGAGCACATAGTCACAAACGGACGAGTGAAAAATATTCACTGGGAGACTGCTGTGTGTAGGAATGTCCACGAGTGACCGTAATTGCACCAGTATTGTCTCAACATCCTTGCCCTCACCAGGGCCAAGAAGTTCCGAGAGTTGAGAAATCGAGAGAGGGTCGGCAAGGGGCGGCAACAACGGACAAATGCAGGTATGCCCGTGATGGGTCACTGCACGTAGCGAGGATACGGTCGTATAACTTGTACACCTCCGTTCCTGGTAAAAGCTCGCTCGTAAACTCGAGCATGAGTTGAAGTCGATCGTGAGGATTATGATATTCGTCGTCGATGAACTTCATCATCGTAGATGCTACAATGAAACGTCTGCCCGCTCGACTCGCCAGCCGTGCAAGTTGATCCCTCGATGGCTGCGGAAAATCCGAACATCGAACCCGCAGCTTTCTGAAGGAATGCGCAAGGAATATATAAATGTCATGATCATCATCCGCAACCCCCTTCCCAGTGATTTTCACTGGTATCTCCCGCACCAGGGGGCGCACCTCTTTCTCCTGGATAGCTTCACGGATATGCTCTTCCGAGCGACTCGTGAGGAGGATGTGGATCACAGGCAGATCTGGTTCACGAAGCGCCTCGCCCAGTAAAGATATCAGATCGGCAGCCTCGGTTTCAGACACACATTCGTCAAGTGCATTAACAATGAAGGTCGAAGGGAGACACTCTCGCAGTCTGAGTCGAAGCTTCCGCAGAGGTTTCAGTAAAAGCCACTCCATCTGGTCGCGAAGGGATTTATTGGGATCCAGAAGAGCAGGATTCTCGCGGATGGCTCTATTCAAGTCCTCCCGGATGCTGGGAAAATTGCAGGCGAGCTGGTAGGCGAGCGTCGCAAAAAAATATGCAGTCGTGCAGCGTTCGGTGTGCTTGTGCGAGAAAAAAAATGTTCCCGCGAGCCGCTTCTCGACATTTGTCTGCTCTGTGACTTTCAAACTTCTCATCCTTTCAGCTACGGTGAATGCAACAGCAGACTTTCCGACGCCTGCCGTACCATGCAGCCAAATGAGTTGGCTCTGCTTTCGGTCATCTAATAATCTGTAGATGTTGCCGAGAAGGTCCACCCGCGTCCCTTCCAAACACTTCGGATGAGGCTGGCGTTCGCGGGAGTTATACTCGGCACCCTTAATGGCGACTCGGGACAGACTCTCCCACGTGCCTTCAGAAGATCGAGGATCCCCAGGCACTTGTGAATGAAGTCAGTGATCGAGGTACTCTATATAAGATAGAGATACTGACATTGATAGTGACTCATTGCCTAATGGCGTCAGAAGTCGCAGCAATGATTATCTGGAGAGTACTAGTTGGTTGGACAATGTAGTTAGCAACCATACGATGATGCCAATTTCAATGGAAGACGTACGACGACGTTAATCAAATGATTAAACTCTAAGGTTAATAGAGCTTCTGGGGCTGGGGGAGGCCGTAAGAGTGATGAATCGTTGTTCTGGCGTGGTGGGTCTGTTCGTGGGTGGTGGAAAGAATGAAGAACAAGCGGCCACTCGTTGAGCTGGCCTCCCTCGTGTTAACGTGCGGGTATCGATGCTGTGTCAGGTAGTGTGGTACGTAACATTGTACATGTGCGGGAGGACACGAGGCTGCGGTGAGCACCAAGTTGTTGTTAACATTTAGCGGCTTTGCCGATACAGCATGAAAAAAAACTCACCACTTGTTAATCTTCACTGTCAGAGTTCCATGGCACAGTGATTCTCACCCAAGACTGGTGTTCTCAGTCCGATACTTTCAATATACCTGTGATGGAGATCGAATGGATGAATTTTTCAGCCATTGCGGATTCAGTGCTATAGAAATTGGCACTTGATCGCACCAATCCCTGTTTCATTGCATCCCATCAAAAGTTTCACCGCAAATCAAACAGTTGCAAGGTATCATATCTGGCGGAGCTTTGGTACATTGCCACGGTATAGCTGTATACCTTGACGTGACGAGGAAGAGGTTGATCGGAAGGCGCCGGGAAATTTAGGTTTCTGAATCATTACGTCACTGGCCTTCGGCGCTTCAGCTGCTAAATCCTAAAATCACCGATCAACATGGACTATTCAAGAACTACACCGCCGAGTGCCGAAAGGCTATCACACAGGTCTAAAAGTAGTACCCTGTGGCTGACCTCACTCCCGCCTCGGTCTAAGGTCTTTCAGGACCCCTGATAATGCCTTGGGAACCCAGTCATCGATCCGGACAGAAATCGACCCAAATGACCATTTGTCCCAGGTTACAATCCGGACTTTTAGGGTCTGATTTTGGGTCTACCTGGGTCAACCATCCGGACATCAGCAAGGTTGTTTGCGAGCCAGGTCGCCATCCGGACACGGTGTTCTTGTTCGCATGGTACAATAGTGTAGTGGGTGTAATGTATGATGTCACGTTTGACTGCTGGAGCGGTGGAGCTCTGGAGTTCGAACCACACTTTTACCATCTGCCGCAAAACTGCTCAATATTAATCGTTATGATTCGGAGTATGTTGTCCGACGGAGGCTTCATATTGGACAGATTGGCCTGTCAGACATGCAAATTGAGTGAAAAAAAACAAACCATACTTTTTCTTCAACACTCCTAACATGAATGATGTTATCGATCTCATACAACCTCCTATCTTTAATCCTCACGAGTGGATTGGGAAGGGAAAGATATACGATAAAAATACACTTCCGATGTCAGTACTCAACGCTCGTTCCGATGCACTCGTTATTCCATCCACCCACACCCAACACATTCCTTCTCATCACCTTCCTGTTGCCGATTTTCTGAAGATATCCTTGCCTACTCGATCCCCAACTATTGTCGCTGTGAAGATCAAGTGTTGGTTCAGTCACGACCTTCCGGACCGTGACTTCTCTTACCTAAATACCCGGCCAACCACCTGACTACAGCTGACTACATAGTACTATGTAGTCCGTGTAGTCAATGTAGCTCGGTTGCTACATGCCTTCTACATAGCAACTGAAGTAACTATGTAGTGCTACATAGTGCTACATAGCGCTATGTAGCACCACATGGTGCAACTGTAGTAAATCAGTAGTAGATTGTAGTTCATAGGAGTGGGACTCCAAGCAACTATATAGTGCACCATAGCGCACCATAGTAGTGACTCAGATTATAGCACATGAAATAGCAACAAATCAATAAATTCAGATCAGTCGATACTAACGGCGGTACTGCTACGACCCTCGGCTCCCGCTCTCACTAGCCTCGCCGCCCACTCTCCTCCTGAAGCTGGTGTTCCCGGATCGCATCTTTGAATGCCTCGTCACTGATCCTGGATTCTGAGAACGAGTTTGAAATCAGCTCTGAATCAGACAATGGCTAGTAGCTCCAAACGCACTTGAGGATGGGATGGGCGAAGGTGATGCATGTGTAGCACTGCAACGCATAGACACTCGAGCGCACGAATAACTGAGGTGAACGAGTTCTGCATACTGCAAAATGGTAATTAGAATGTAGTATGCGATAGCGGACGAGGATGGAAACCGATTAAAAAGCTGGTAAGTAGTCGTCACAAATTATCTCGTGTCAGCGAGCAGCAATTCCAGTAGTGTCTCACGCGAAGCTGTAAATATTTTGAAGATTAGGCAGCGGAGGTCCTTGCAGCAGATTAACCTATCAAAAAGCAAAAGCACACCTAAGCAACTCGAACAGAAAGATGAGCATACATGAACCTACAGGATAGACAACTTCATCTCGCGAAAGTTGAATTTGGTGTTGGGGTAGGTAACCAGCGAGCATGGTTCGGGTATAAGGCAGGGAACTGACGACCTCCTCTGCAAGCAGGCGCCCCGGTCGTAGAACACTCGCTTCTGTCACCAAAGCACCATGTATTCCACGACGTGCCTCAACCTCCCCTCGAGCCCATCGGACACTCGCAGGACTGAAGTCTAGAACGAAAGCTGCAGGACGTGAATGCTCCTCGGAAATTCCAATGCAGGCGCCCGTCGCACGAAGGGCTTCGTTGATCAAGAAAAAATGCGACACCTTGGGACCCCACTCGCTCCAGAGCAACGCGCAGTCAGCGGCATTGTTGCCACGAAGATGGAAAGCAACGTAGAGACATCGATAGCAATGTCCAGTCGAGCTTTCTCACCACCTGTTGCAAAGGGTATCGACAGAGCCATGATTCCACTATCCGGGGAGAAGACTTCGTGAGGGTTGCAAAATTTGCTCTTGAAGCGCTCTTGGGAGTAGAAGGCGACTAGGGGATATGGATACATGGGTTTCAATGCGAGGTGACTGCAAAGACAATCGGAGTGTGACGAGACCAGATCATCATAAGTACTGAAACGCAGATTAAAAAATGTGTGAAACCTACCCAAAAATTCTCGAACCTATTCACCGTCAGCCGAACCTCTGGAGAGGTTCAGTTCTGAGTCTTCTCCGAACCTAGGACTGGACCATGAGTCCGGTTCGGAAAGGATTTGTCTGTGGAAGGGAGCCTGAGAGCCTGTAGGTGTTCGGCAGCGACGACAGATGCTAAAACAGAACAATGAGTAGCAGGTATGTATGGTATACCTTCAGCAGCACAACAACATTCAGACGGCACAGGTGTACAACTGGAACGACGAGCGAGAGGTACCTCGAGAGGATTGGGAAGGGTCGCCGCAGCCGGAGGACCTGGAGGTAATGGCTGAGTAACCTGCGGAGAAGTATCGACATGTCAGGGAGGGGAGGTGCATCTGGGTGCAGAGAGGCTGGTGGGTTGTTGCTGGAAGGGAAACATGGATGGTTTGAAAAGTCGAACTAAAATCATGTGAGCGCGCATGAGAATAACCAAATGTGTGCAAATATTAGACTTCAAACATTTTTTTGGTTAAGAGCAGCTTGATTATGGGCCAACCATCTTCGGTGTCCAGGTGGGATCGAAGGACAACCTTGGATGGTTGAGTATTCATCGACATCGAAGAACCCCCAGGATCACCTGGCGCCAGCATAAACAACTTGATCGTGTCCGACCAGTGCTCGGTAAGTGACACATTCAGCATTTGCCATTCAAAGCCTTGAGTGTGTCCGACACACGATGGACTGTACGCCGCTTCTTGAAATATTCCTAAACCCGTTGTGAGAAAAACTACTACAAGTGTGATTCATATCACAACCCACCTGGTATTCTTGAACTGAAATTTGCCAGCATCGACAGCAACCAAGCATGAGTCTAAAACTCTTGATGAAAATGTGCAAGCTCTCGATTGGTAAAACCGCGCAAGCTGGAGAACGCGCAGATAATAAATGTGGAGTTAGGACATTCCTGATGTACAGCGATGTGATTGCGGATATTGGCTACTACAGTGAATACAACTACTCCCAGCGCCTCCCGTAGCTCTACATAGCCCCGTATTTAACTACATATCACTACAGTGACTATGTAGCAATATGTAGTTGTCACTGGAACTACACCAATATTTGTTTTTTCCTGATGAACATTGCATGCACCATTCGGATCTCACCAGCATGGACAGTTGCAGTGAATCAGGTACATTCACCCCAATACGAGAGTCAAGCATCCGAGTAAATGAAACGGGTCACAAAAACATTGCATTAAGACGGTTAAGATATAGACAACATTAGCCGTAGAAACGAGTGTGATATATAGAGCGACGGAAAAGAAGCAGCATCAGAATGAACATCACAGATCCTGATTCCACAGGAGCTTGTTCTGAATGGTGGTCTGCCACTGGGGGCTATTATTGGTGAGGAGCTTAGGAACGGACATGTTGCCGGGAAAATCAGCGAGGTCCTCCTGAAAATATTCTACAAGCATTCTTGGCAATAATGAGCAACAATGCACGAGGTTCAATAATAAAACACCTACTGCCGAAACGTGGTTTCGATTGATGTATGAAGGGGAATGGTTCCTTGATGATTGTTCGCTGCCTCCTGCTTGGCAACTTTGCGAATGTTCTCGAGCGAGGTATCAACAAAGTTCCAAAATTTTCCTGCAGTGAAAACGGCGGGCTTGCCATTGTCTCCAAAGCCGGAGTCGTCTTCAGCAAGAACTTGGCTATCCGGGGTAGTATCAGGCCCCTCGCTATCCTCAGGCTCGTAATCCTGGTCTGCATCACCGCTGTTACCTAGATTCTCCTCCAACCCTGTACCATCAACTAAATCGCTATTGTCGATGGCTCCACTGGCAGCGGCTCCCACGTTGTATGTATCATGGCCTTCATTGTCCTGGTTAGTATCCAGAATGTCTTCATCTTCTCCGCCTAGCATCTCACGCTCGATGCTGTCGATGTCAATGCCAAGCAGCGGTCCAATTCTGGCACGGACAGCAGCATGGAGAGACGGAATAAGAGAAGGTGAATAAAGGGCTTTGAGTGAAACAATCCTGTAGTTGCTGATACCAATCATGAAGACGCGCAAGCAGCGCCGCTAATTTTCGTAGATCATTATAACTACAATGTCCTATAGTAGGATAAAAACGCACCAAAAATGCAAGCCTGTTCCAATGAGCGGAGTCAACCTCGATAGAGCCATGCGCAAGTGATTTTGCTGTGTCCATGATGCTCATGCGTTTGCGGATAGACGCGAGTAACTGAACAATCATTTTAGCAATTCTTAAGATAAATTAAATACCATTTGCATACCTTGCTCTTCATGTTACCGCGAATTGATGAAAGCAGCTCACTGACGATTTTCGCCAATATTGCAGTCAGTTCTACATCCTCAAACAGCGATGGTGGAACTTTGAATACGCCACTGTTGTCCTTGATGAAATTCTGTTGCAGTGTCAGTTCACGTGAAAGAGTCGTCATAGCTCGAAGGGGGTTACCATGATGTGGGGATGTGTGTCCGTCACATATGCGGTAATGTTTGGTGACAATAGACATGCTATCAAACGATTTTGGAGTGCGGACTGCATAGCACAATTAACCTAGTGACTTGTGGGTGGAGACGGCAAAAAAATACTTTGAAATCTTTAGAGTTTAGCAACTCTTTCAAATCAAGGAGAAGAGCAGCCTTTCGGCCTGTATCACTCTTCATCATAGACACTTTGAGATCAATGAGCATGTAATATATTCCTCCGGTCTAGAGGTGTTTCAACAAATGGGCGTTCGTCCAGCAATACAGCAACTCACATCAATAAAGTCAAAGAGACTCTTTTCTGAGACATCGTTCTCCTCGGCCATCTTCTTCGCATACAATTTGAGCCGTTTTGTGCGCGAGGGCGTAAGGATTGTTGGGTCATCCTGGCCAGCAGCAGAATCTGTCCTTCGGCGACGTATGCCAGCAGTAATTGCCTCATCAAGTGAACCATCAGATGAGCGGGAATACGGAACAGTAGAACGTGCCACGCTGTCACCAACAGCAGTCCGGCTGTGAGAAAATGATGTACTGTCGACCGGAAACGCGCCGAGTGGTGAGCGTGCGCGAGTGATGTTTCCCATTGCCTGAGAACCACTTGCAGAAGGGGCTCGTGTTCCACCACGTTGGCTCCTGCAGCTGCTGGCACTTCTGCCTCGAGACCGCAGCAAGTTGATGTCTGGAGTCAACAGACCGTCATTTTCTGACCTACGGGCCTGTGAATTAGCTGAAGTCTTTGAACCTTGAGAGCGCACAGGAAAACGCGAAATCATGATGTCAAAGGTGAGGGAAATGCACGAGACCTGGTGTTGCCCAAGGTTGACGGTGATGAACAAGAATCAAGTCAAATCACATTAAACTTTGCACTTAACGTAAATTCGGTAAATTTGGGGCACACAATGAAACCTTTCAATCCGACTTGAAGCTTGATAAAAACAGAGCAGCAGAGAAGGCAAACCGAATTATGAATAGCATTAGGTATACAAGTGGTATCAAGGGTGCAAAGGCAGCAGGGAAAGATATAGGGAACATGATGGATAAAAAAACATGCAATTGCGATCAGTGTTCTTGAACGAGCTTCAAATAACATTTCAATTGGTGGAACTGTGGTGAATCTGCGTGGAGGTCCTCACCTTGACCGTTGTGTTGTCGAACTGTGGTGAATCTGCGTGGAGGACCTTACTTGTGTTGTCGAACTGTGGTGAATCTGCGTGGAGGTCCTTACTTGAGTGGCAGGAGGAAAGAGCCCAGGTGAAATACGAAAGAAGGCGCTCAATCCTTCTTCTCCTCCTTGGTCTTCGAGCTGCTTTCGGAGGAAGCGTTCTCAGCATTCCGCTTCTCATACACCTTCTGGAAGAGGCTGAGCAAGGCTTGTTGAGTCTCGTTGATCTTCTCCTGTATTTGCTCAGCGGTAACATCGTCACTGCCGGCCTGACCCTTGGCAGCAAGCTCGCGGAGCTCACCAACGAGCTTGGTCACCTTCTTCTTCTCGGCGGCGTCGAGCTAGTCCTTGTCGAATTGTGGTGAATCTGCGTGGAGGTCCTTACCTTGACCGTTGTGTTCTCGAACAGATGGTTTCTATTGGCAACCAAGCCTCGAATCTGTTCAAGGCCCAGCCGGTGGACCACCAGGAAGGATATGTGGCCCCATGCGAATATTTGAACCTGATGCCATGGGACCCGGCTGTGCATAGGTGGGAGGGGGGTGTGTACTTGGATGACAGCCCGAGTAAAGATGCGGGGGCAGTGGCACTGGTAGTGGACGAGGGTATGGCTGTGGCGGAGGAAGGTACAGTTGTGACGGAGGAATGTATGGTTGTGAAAGGTGCGGTAGCGACGAAGGACGGTATGGTTGTGGCGGAGGAAGGTATGGTTGTGGTAGAGGGAGGTATGGTTGCTGCGGAGGAAGGTATGGTTGTGGCGGAGGAACATGTTGTTGTGGTGGATGGTGTGAAGGAGTCAGAGAGGGGTGGAAGGATTGAGACGGAGGAGGGTAAAAACCTGAGCCTATTGGCGGCGCAAAGTGGCCTTGGCCATGCTGACTGAAAGCAGCAGCATTAGCCTGAGATTGAACCGCTGGATTTTGCGCTTCAAGTTGACGAGTGCGAGATGACGCAGCCTTCTTGCCCCGTGTGCTGGAGCTGCCCCGTGTGCTGGAGCTGCTTGCTCTTGCTTTTGCCTTGGTGGTCCTCGGTTTGACGGAAGGTTTATCGAAAGCAGGAACTGGTACCGACGAACCCTGAACATCATTCACGGTGCTTTCGGCTTCTTGAGGGGTGTCGCCAGATTTCTTTGAGGCTTTCTTCTCCTTCATATGTTGTACAGCTGTGGCTCAAACTTCCGCCGCATTTGTAACTCTTAGTGGCGTTTCACGAAGCGTTTCGGGAACCACGAGATGGATATATGCGTAGTTATGAAGAGAGTAGGCATTGAGAAGAAAGTTCGGAGTGGACTTATGGCGAATAATGGGCTTCGTCCGAGATGTTTCGATCCGTTCTTGACAGACATGTTGTTGGAGGGTGTCCGTGCATTGTGAGTCGATACAATTATGCTGTAGGTTAACAATACATATGATATCCTGTTGGACAATGGTCAGAATGGTTTGCACATTTGTAAAAAAGACTCGCCGATGCTGTTACAACTACTTCATCATCCATAAGACTCAGTTGTGGGAGGTGGACAGAGGCATGTAATGTATCCAGAAACGAAAAGAGCTGTAATGCGACATGAATCACTGTTTCGTGGTCCTCGGAGGATATGAGAATCTCGCGAATACGACCAATGCCCATCTAGTAGCATGTCATGAATCAACAGTCACGAAAAGTCGGGAAAATACTCACCTGCCCATTCGCGCCTTGACGAAAGATAACGTGGCTATCTAAATGAGCGACGTCACCCTCGCTCGCCACAACCGATTTGCCACAATAATAAACGACGCCAGGCTGTGTGGTCTTCAAGGTCTTCGCACAGCGAGTGTTCTTCCAGGCCACCGCATCATTCCTCGTTGTTTTTCCATTCACGCCAGCAGTCGATCGAGCCTTTCCGGAACCTACAAATAATATGAGTGAGGATAAAGTGAGGCACGATGTGCTTAAATACCAGGTACTGGGGGGACTTGAACGAAATTGGACAACCCAAGAAGTCGGGCTTGCTCTGGGTGATCGTGCAGGTACTCGATGACCACTTGACCACCCTGAACCCATTTTGCTACCTTAGGGTTGTACCAATATCCACCGGTGGCAACATGTTTGATGATGTCTTGGTGAGCGAAGGTTCTGCAGCTGTCACGGCTCGGTGCCTGACGGTTGCTGTATATGCATGACAAACGAAAAACATGGTTGAATGACTCATATCTTTCTGTCGAAAATACAATTGCGGGGCCAAACCGACGGATGTAAGCTGGGAGGTGGATTAAAAAATGAAATTTTGGTTTGCTGATAATGATGCTGGGCGAACATTGAGCTGTGACATTAAGGAAGTCCTGGATCGTTCGAGATAACTTCGCCTGAAAGACTCGAGTCAGCATGAGACCTAGAATCTACATTTGTGTATGAACTTACAAGATAAGCTTCTGTATTCAATATGTTGGTGTGCCATACGAGCACGATAAGCTCTCCAATGATAGTCCATGCATCGAGAACAGTTGAAGGTACGAGGTCATAAATTAAAAATGGCATCACTTGCGCCAAACTCTTGAAATGTTTTCCAATCAGGCTGCCTTTATAATGGCAGATGTAGTCTGCACCGAGGCACGGAGCATTCAGTCCGTCAGTATCAACAGAATGGAGACGAGTCTGAAAGATGTCCATGAGCTTTGCTTTTTCGAGTAAAAATACCGTTTGTCCCCAAAAATATTTGACAACCCCAAGTAGCACTGTGTGCAAAATTTCTGTTGGCGTGTCCATGTGCATATTGAGGCCTACCAGCAGTGTTAACGAGAGGGTCAACAACATGGAAAAAAACTGACCATCCATCCCCAACAATGGGTTGATGGTGTCGTCGATCGTGTTGCCTCGCAGAAGTTCCTCGAATTCTTTCTCCAGTGCAGCTGTGACGTCAGCTTCGGACATTGCTTGAGTACCAGCTGCTCGTTTTCGAAGTTTCTTCCCAAGTTCCACGAGGGTGTTGATGATGGAGATGGAGGCCGAATAACGAATACCTGTTGTCGATACTGAGTTCTTGATTTTCTCTGTTGCACCAGACTTCAAAGCCATCTCAAACTGCTGTCGGATGTTCGCTGCAGTGCCTTCTGGTGTTCGCAGATTTCCCGACTATGGGCACGTCGTCAGGCATTAAAGTTTGATTCAAATACATGCTTACCGTGAACAGGCTACTGTAACCATCTTCGGACGCCTTGAATTCTTTCGTTCCGCCAGCATCGCACGTCCGACAGAAATAATTGCAGTTTAAGCCTGCGTGGCTGCATTCCTCTGCCTGCATGGGATTATCCCCCGCAAGGAAAAGCCCGCACGGAATCAGCAAAACTTCCTCGTTGCCTTTGCAATCCCATGCGACGATGCCGGATGTAGCTGCATCACTATGGATCATGTTAGAACTTCAATTTAAGCAAATCAACAAACCAACAAACGAAATCGACTGTTTCATTGCCCGCATTAGTTCCATCGGAGCGGCGTTGGGCGAAGATGTGACGAAGCGCACAAAAAATTCCTTCTCCAACATCTCACATGGTAAATTTGCGTTTGACATGTAAATTGTGTGGTGTTTATTCCACTGTTTGGATATGTTACCGGAGACGTCGTCCATGAAAACGATGAGAGGGACTGTATATACCATGCGACCGCTCGCTTTTTTGCGCATCGGACTTGCCGAAAGTGATGCATATTTCATTGATGAGGCTGTTATCATGTGAGTCCTGCGATCGCTGATACAAACAAACACATAACACACCTGTTAGCCCGCAATCAAGTTCGCCCTGTGTCGCAGCTATGTCTTCAAATGACCGCATAAACGCGGACGTAGGAATGATCTCTTGTTCATCATGAACGATGAATCCGGCCTGTTATTTGAGTAGTTAGTATATTAGCTTATATGTCATTATAGATGAGCGACGACCACATACATCCGTTCGTTCGACTGCCCGACCAAGTGAGTATAAGAGCTTCGTGTCCGCATGCTTGTGGAGTTCGTCGTCGTCGTCGTCTGAGTCCACGGGAGGTGAAGCGTAAAAAAAGCGCTCTGGAATGAAGTAGTCTCCAGAGTTATCCTGTAGTAGTTCATCTGTAAAATAAATCGTTCCGTTCACTCGAATTGCTGGCGGTGACGGAAGATCTAACAACATCTTCGTCCCGTTGAAGACCTGTGACATGCCCTTGCCACCATCTTCGGGGTAATCCTTCATTGCGAACCGAGTTAAGGGATTCGAATAGTCCTAAATTTAATGTCACCTCTGCGCTCGCGTGGAGACGTGTAGGCTGGACACACCTTTGCAATCGCTTCTGCGATGTTGTTGATGTAAAATACATCACCAGAGCGAGATGTAACTTTCTGAGTCGGATTGCCGACTAGATTATCCAGGTATGTGTGGCACTTCTTCATCGAACCCAAAGAGGGGACATTCTGAGCGCCAAGATCTACAGCCCAATTGAGTATAGCTCTCTTCTGGGTCTCGGAGAACGGGAGACGGGGAGAGCCAAAAAGCAGGGACGTGAGGAAGTGCTTGACAGGGATGTAAGTAGTTGTCATGCAGATACAGCAATAAACATACGGCTTTCGAGGGCCACGGATATGTTGGGCTGTTCATCGAGACCGTATCGAAGTTCGCACTCGCCTTATCGTAGATATCATCTGGTGATGTTACTGAACACACGGCCCCACGAAGTGAACAATGATGTTACTCACCGGGGAGTTCAACACCGAAATTGGGAGCACTGTCGTCGAAGAGTTCGTGCTCCTCATCAGAGGACCGGGAAAGTGGAGTCGAGAATGGTAATTCACCCGACGCGAGGGTTGCTTGAAGTTCGGCGAATAAGTCCGTACATCCTCCTTCGAATTCAAAAGTGCGATGGCCGATTATCTTTTTCACGAGCTCTGATAATCTAACATCAGAGTCCACATCATTTGACAGTACTGTAACAGGTGCTGTAGGCGGTGGTACACCAGACTGCGCACCAGCAAGCGGCACATTAGAAGTGTCGTCCATATCCATGAAAGAGTCATCAGCATCAAAAGAGAAATCGATGTCAGCAGGCGGCGGTGATCCGGACTCCATGTGAATGACGTCCGAGTTGGTACCCTTCTCGCCCTGGACTGAATGTGAAAGCCTCCTCCTCGTCTGTCGCTCCGTGAAGTATCTAGTGTGACGAACATGGATTCCTTGTAGAGCGTGCTTCTCGGTATGTCATAGCTCCATTGTACGGTAAATACCATTTTTCCGAGGGCACGCTGTACAGAGGACGCGCTTTCGAGTAGTATCGCAGAATTGCAGAACTGTGGCCACCAAATCAGTACACATATAAATTGCGAGTATTTTAGGGAAAATATACCAGCGCCATCCACAAGATCAGCTGGATTCATGATGGGACAATAAGTGCTTGATTCTGACTTGACTTGAATCTTGATGGCGAAGCGCCGGTCACGTGACTCTTGACCGTTGAAATCAACAACTTGAAGTCCGACGCTCTCATGTCCCCTGCTCATCGTCGTCTTTATTCAATCCTCAACCAATGGAGTCTGAACTACGCACAAATATTGTGACCGTTTATCCGGATATTAAATACCAGGATGTCAGCACAGGTCCGCTCCAGTCTGTGCTCCTTACTATATGCTTTTCAGGGAGACTCCCAAGGCAGGTTATTGAAAGAAATATTGTGAGCTCTCGCCGTCCACCATCAGAACTGTTTGCTGATGATTGGTGTGCAACAGCCTGTTCAGATTGCGGTCTCTTTTTCAGAGGAGTATGGGATCTTTGCCTCGCCAGTTGTGGAGGCCGCGTTGATGGATCTCTGTTCCAGTACTGGAGATTCGATGCACTCAGACTGCGCCGTAAGTCTACAGTCTTTGAAATTTCTTCTGAAAACTTACATTGCGCAGTCGGCCTGCAGCCATGGTCACGATGAGTCTCCTGCGCTCCCGGATGACATTCTTATCCCATTCCTGCCCCTTCAACACTTCAATTACTCTGACCAGGCTAAATGGGCCTTGCTTATGAAGGATATCGAAGGGTGGCTTGTTTCTCAGGTGAATTGCCAGACGCAGCTGTGGACATGGGGACGCGATGCGTTTTGGCTTGCTTTCATCGCGGCATATCCATCATTCCCAAGGGGCTTGTGGCCGAAGTGGGATTGCCGAATTCCTTTGGAGGGTACGTTCATCGAGCAATGGTTAGAACGGTCAGGTGATGTCCCTTTGACGGAGGATCAAGATGTTATGAATGTATTGGCCGACATCTGGGCCGAGTTTGGCAAACATGCCGCCCTCTTCTTTCCCGATCCCCTCGTTGCCTCTGATTAATTCCAAGACATTTTTTCCTCCTGCGGTACAAATATTTTAGTCTGTTAGATAGCTATCAGTGCATACTTTGAGTGTGTATACTACAGTACAGTGCTTATCTGCAATGCATACCTTGTTGTATCCTTTTGAGTAGCCCCAATCGCACCGCCAGGACACTTCAAAGAGATTTATTCGAATATCCGTCCGTCAATCTTCAATAGTGGCTTGCAGAGGAATTAATGGTGAGTGCTACATATAGAGGTCACTCAAATATAAGTACGAGCTCTGTCATAGGTCTGGCACAGGTATGCCGCGCGACCTGTGCCATATGACTCATCTCGATGTGCCTGACATGTGCGACCGCCAGGTCTGGACAAGCCCAGAATTGGGCAGCAAGATAGCAATAATCAATGTATTGTCCAGGATCGGGACAAAAGCTTCAAAAAGGACCAGATCTGTGAGCTTTACAGGATCAATTTATTATTTATGGGCCCAAGTCTGTATTCGAACTCGTATCAACCTGGTTGCCAGGCCATTTAAATCCTTTTCGCGCTAGCTCGGTTTCGCCCAAAGTGGCAATTGGCGGTGTAGTGCGTGCTCAGTAGCGGACGCTCAAAACTTTTCAATGACTTTTCACTGACACTAGTTGCCCAACTCACCCTGTCATGAAGCACCGCGAAATGCAGCCCAAATCAGGGCTTTTGTCTCTTGCTCAAGAACTCCAGTTTTACATTCTGAGCTTCCTGCCTTGCCGAGATATTCTTCGTTGTACATCTGTGAGTCACAAATCATGGTTGTGTTAAAGTCCTAGACAGACTTTTGTACTGACGATCCTCTTTCAGGTATGTAAGGCCCTTCGCCAGACGTACATGTCCTCCTCTGAGCTTCAGTACATCATCGAACTCAGTGGCCAAAGGTTGCTTCCTGTCTCTAGCACAGACAACCACACCCCTGCTTCCAACCGCCTACAGACCTTGAGGGATAGGGCCCACGCATGGTTCAAGTTTGACATGCACTCTTTCGAATCAATCGACTTACCAGAAAAATTGTACGCTAAGAAAAGGGCCGTCACTGATGGTCATCTCTACCTGTGGGACGAAGGTGGAGACCTGGCCATGATTACTCCAATACTTCCAAAGCTCTCACAAAGATCAATCGAGCGCAACTGGTCTCCAGGAACGTTGTGTTCTGTGCCCCACTCAGTCACCCTAGATGTGTTGATGGACCCAGCACAAAACCTGATCGCCATCGTATATTCTGTTACTGACTCGGATGATCCTCTCCAATCGGATGAGACGGTCTATATTGATATTAGAGCCCTGGATAATGATAGTTCTCATCCCCAAGCTGCTGGACGGGAAATACTTTCATCGAAGCCGGCCGGGTACGCTGACAACCGCATTGAAACTATGGAAGCGAAGCTCAAAGGTTGTGGAAGGCACATCGCTTTGCAGCGCATGTTGGTGGTTGTAGTTGATGATAGAGAAACTGATCTATACGTATGGCATCTGCAAATTTGGGACTGGCAAAACTCGACGACATCAAGCGTGAGTCTTGATCTGAAAAGTTGAAAGAGCTGACCGATCATTTAAAATCTAGAGCGACATCAGCAACGTAGTACAATACCCATATGGAGACTCGAACAATTTTTGTTTTCTGGGAAACAATAAGCTGCTCGTTGTCGTTAGCGATCTGCGGCTTTATTCAATTGAGGATATGTCCCAGACGCCACAATTGCTAGCGTGTTTCCTGCCGCCCCTCCCATTGTCGGCACCGTGCCTCCTTCCGATGGATGATGTTGAGCAGCTGCAGATGCAAGCAAAAAAAACGATGTACACCCCAGACCCTACACATCAACTGCTATGCCTCACCTCGTCATATCCTCTCACGCTAATCTTCGTCATTTCCACAAGGATTTTCTTCCACCTTGACGGGATAGCAGCAACAACGCCAGTACCATGGGAACGTTGGGGTCCTTCAAATGCTCGTATTATCCGAGACCCGTATCATTACCAAACTCGTGTTAGCGGAAATCGAGTTTTGCTCGTAGTCGGCACGCCAGACACACGTCTCATGGAATGGGAAGTGCGTATGTTGGACTTCAGCCCACTAGCTGTGACGAACAGGAAGGGTCTCGGGCGTGTGGTGAAAGAGCCATCTGCCATAGAGGCGACTATTCTCAGGTCTAGCACGACCAAGGAGAACCGGAAGATTCCAACATCCCTACCTTATGTCGAGGTTGTGTCGGACAGGAAGTTCAGTGTTCACGAGTTGGAGGACATATGGCTTGATAAGGATAGGATTTATCTTCTCAACGCAAATTTACAGCGCGGGGTGGCTGCAGGTACTGAGTATCTTGTATCGCAATCTAGCAGGCTTGAGGTCATCGATGTCTAAAGCAGAGTACTTATGTTATCAGGTAGTATCAGGTGGTCCTTTACTCGTAAAGATACATCATACGGGCTTATGGGCAGACATCAGGATAGTTGTGTCACATACCCAATCCGAATATCTCTTACACATACCCTGGCAAGCCTCAGTGTGCCGTTCCGGTTGCTTTGCAGATCCCTTGCAGTTAGCACCTCATCCTCGCATCCTCATCCCACCCCAATCGTTCAATACACCTTTAATACGGTATTCCATCTGCATCGTCCCGCATTCCGCCAACTGACTTTCGCCGTGCACAGCTTTTTTTCCTACAATAGAATCGCCGCACTTTTCCAATGATGATCATCTCCATACTCGATCCGCCGGCGATTCCATGCACCGCCACCTCTGGATATGATCCAAGATAAAAGAAGGCCCCGAACAACGATAGAGTGGCTATTCTGATGATATTGAACCAAGTAAGGCCTTCTTAGGTGCTGCACAGTGTCGAGACTGGTTGACTGATCAATAGAACACAAACACTATACCCACATCTAAACTCGCTACCGTTACGATTACAGGACGCCCCAAAGAACCCAAAGCGTCATTCGTGTTCGACTTTGAACAGCAGATCATATTTGTTCATATAGCAGCGAGCCCATGCAAGAGCTGCAATCCTCAAAACACCAATTACGCCTCACTACCAATCACTGACAGTACACCTGCCGAGTATCCGCTACCACAATTCGCCTCCCCACACAGCTTCTGCGTTCTTGATTCACTTCTTGAGAATGCCTCCAACTTGCATGTGGAAATGACTTTGGATGACACAGGTCTGTTTGCGGATTATTATTATTGTGGAAAAGTTGGAGATGGATTGATCATGATCATCGGTAGGAGGTCTGGGGTGCGTTCATGTCCACCCACATACATACACAAGGCAGATATGTATAGACGTGAACAGATCGAGCCTAAAATGTAATTGCAATTTGCAAAAGAACGACCTAATCTGATTCTAATCTGATTCTAATCACGCACATCTCATCACAAGCTATATACAATTCCTATCTCATCCCGACGTCACTCATCAAAAAATTATGAAATGAACCTGAAGAACATTTGAAATATTCCCCGATCACAAGTGCGTATTTTTTCTCCCAGTCCCCTGTCATTGCTAGCGTGTATATATACATATAGAGATGGTGTCGCATTTTCCGAGTCTATGACAATGGACACATCGCTATCCATCATCTGCACAATGCAATTTGAGTGTAGTGCATTTGCAATCATCAGTATCCTTGTGGGATGGCGGCCCAAGGCAGATAGCCAGAATGAGCGCATAAGGCGAGTGATGCTGATAACGAGGGACAAACATCATGCGTTGAGATCTGTGCTTGCCAGGCGGGGTGGGACAGGTGAGTTGTCTGTCTGCTCCATTTTTTTCACTTTTATGGTGTCATATGGACAGAATTTGCCCTTGTTGAATGAACTTGAAAGTGTTGTTGCGCTCCCAGGCCCGATCCAGCGAAGTGGAGAAAATGCGATGTTAATCAAGAACCATTCAGACGACAGGTCACATCACACCCAGGCTTGTGGATTTGCTGTTCAATTTCACTGATATCATGGAACTGAATTGATATATCTTACGTAGCAAGCATCTATCTGGATAATGGAAGTGAGTCGCCAAAATGATGAACAGTTCTTCGATCTTTCACGGCGTTCAAACATTCTGCGCATGTGACTGGTTTGCAGCTTCACAACCAACATAGACGTTGATTCAATCAAGGGACCCTAGATCGAGTGTCCATTTCTGCAGGACCTCATGCGAAAGTACTTACTTCGGTCAATCAATGCAGGACCGGATATCGCCTCCACGATGCTCATTTCGGCGATGAAAGCGCTGGGTGGTGGTATATCTAGCACCCACCAATTTCGCTGCTCCCTCGCCTCCATCCTCTAACAAGATGACTCTAGTCTTAAATGATCCCAATCTCTGGCCGGTCATTAATGTGTACCGTATTTACAGCTATTTTGTAGGTTCGTGGAGAGTTAGTCGGACAATGACGGCGATACTCGATCTAACGTTTCACAGTTGCCGGCTGTGCTGGGGTCATATACGATTGGGGTGAGCAAGATTGCTTTCATGAATGGCTCGTGTACATTCTTACTATGGTTTCTGCAGCCCTGACTGTCGGACAAGAGGTAGGTTGATGCCATTGTTGGAGCATACATCTCAATCAGAATTGTTTACCATATAGATAGAACTCATCTGGGTGAGCAGAGTCACGCATCATAAGAACACCATGAACATGCAATGAATTTGCGGCAGAGGCAATGATGGTCACTCATGACCGCTCTGTATCTGAGTGTATGTTGCTTGTTTTGTAAGTGCGATCAGCAAGTTGGGCTGACTTGACAATATCCTAGGCCCGCTATCTTGGAATATCATATGCTGCGTATGTTCGGAATGCTAAGCAATTGGCACTGCACTAATCAACGATTTCCTCACCATCAGCATCCAGATTATGGGTATGTCTCCTGATATATGCCATGTTTACTTCTGCTGACCGGCAGCATACAGAGTTTGTTCCGACAATATCGCTGACAGATTCAGTGAGTATTCTGAACCAATACTTGCCATTCCTGTCTAATCAACTGCACTCCAATGCAGGGGTGAGTCTGATTCTCTACCAGCTGGTGCAATATAATGACTGCCACAGCTGTGAGTTTCTTTTGATTGCGTGATCCTCCGATGCTGATCACCACCTGGATTTGTCAGGCCTGATTGTATACATCGTGCAATATTGGGTGGGCGTCATCGTGAACGCAATACTGGGCGGTGAGCTGCATACCTGCAATGAGTCAGTGATGTTGTTTTGACAGAAACATCACTCAAGCCATCATGATTACTCGGTTACACGCCATGTATCAATGATCCAGAAAGATGCTGATACTTTCCGTTGTAGTCTTTCTGACTGCCACCATCGCCGCCGGAGTGTTGAACGTTGTATCAACAATAGACACTTCAGCAGGTAAGCTTGATTATGGATGAAATACTTGTGTGCAACAAGCTCATTGACGAATACCAGGGGAGGTCATTCTCTCTGGCACCTACCAGTGCTTTTTTAACTACAAAAGAGATCTCCAATTTCTGATGTCCATTACTTGGATACTCGGCACTATATGGGAGGTCCTCGCACTATGTCTCGCAATCTGGATTGCTGTAAAACACTTCCGTGAATTGCGACGACACTCGGCAGGAGGGATTATTGGGGACTGCTTCACGGTGTTGATAAATTCTCACGTGGTTTACTTTGCGAGGTGAGCTCACAATGCCAATGTGGCTCCCTTCTTCCGCTGAAGTTCTGCACCTCTTAGCTTTGTTATTGCTTCTTGCTTCACTATCGGTGGATACTTGTCTCCATCGTTATCAGGGGTATGCTGTTCTGTCGATGATCTCTGCATGCAATGGTTCATCATTTTTACAGAACGTTTCCCTGGAAAGCCAGATTTATGGTGGTTTCCTTCAAATTTTCTTGGTTGTGCAGATGTTTGTGCTGGGACCACGCCTGATACTTAGCGTTTGAGAGTATCACGCCCAGCTCGTGGCCGACTCTGACGCAGCAACCGGCATGACTTCAATTGCTTTTCAGGAGCGCGTGCATGTGCAAACTAGCAGCAGCGTGTAGGACGGGAAATGCTCGAGGTGAATACAGGTCGGGTATTCCTGGTTAGGTGCTATGCGGGGAGCCGGGAGGATTTCTTTTGGTTCCAAATTTCGTCACTGTACTTATTTATTCAAGTTAGTTATGTTCCGAAGATTTGATTTGACAGAGAAGTGGGGCTGGACAAACCGCCCCGTACATTGTTTCTTCACTGCATATCCATCAGGGAAAAGCTCCCATGCGAAATTTGCAGAATTACTTGGTTTTAGTCAACTTTCTCAACTTTATCACATATTATTACAGAAAGATACATATTCACGGAAAATATGGATGTATATTAACCTACATTGAAGTAAGTATATATAATACATGTCTTTTAAGGCATTAAAAAAAACAAGGGGGAAGCATTAAGAACATCTAAGCTCGTCCGTTTTGCAGGAACAGCTGCTCGCCACATAGCGAACTCACCTGCTGCGAGACTATGGCGCTGGATGTGTTCAACTATTATGCGCACGTAAAATTGACACACATACAGACAACACACACACCAGTCACTTCAGGGTGCAGGCAATGCTTGAGGTGGCTAAAGAGCAAGCATGCAAAGTCAGTATGCAAACCCTCACTCACAGCTGATAAGCTCGTTGGAGAACGTAAGACCAGGCATGAGACCGTGTTCCTTGAGCCAGAATATGGACACGAAGGGACTCGGAGCCCAAGAATATGCCTTCCGCGGCAGTGAGTGCGACCAAGCGCGACCCAGACCTCATTGGAGAAATGTTCAATAAGGTTTTCATTGACAATGCCGCTGTCGGATGTAGCGAAGAAGGCGAGGACGTTTGAGGCAAAGCGATGCTTATTGAGACGCTTGCAATGTTTGTACACGTTTGAAATGTTCTGAAGTCCAACATTTGCACTTGTTTGTTTACTTCCCACGTGCACTCACATGACTTTTGGTTCGAACTTTCAAATTTCAATGTTCAATGTTCAACCACAACACGACATCCGCACTTTCAGTCGCACACTCCTTGGGTGTACCTATCAGCCACCACCGAACCCTCGCGCTGTCGCCAAACTCCATCTACAGTCCACATATCCTACCCCCGTCTTCTCCTACTGCTCATTCCACCCACCACTAAGAGACTTCAACCATCATGGGATGAGTTGCTCGATCATGGAGATGAACAATTCGGTGAGTAATCTACTTCTCACTTATGCGTATCTACTCATATCACGTAGAACTGTCCTTCCCACCCGTTCATGGTGTCAATCCTTCGCTCACGCTGAAGGCCACTGTTGTACATGCTAGCGATACTCGGGACGGCGCACTACTTGACGCGAGTGACCCAGTTTGATCCTCTGGCGAGTTTGAGGTTTGCTGACCACAGAAATCACTTTTCCGTCGAAGCTAGTCAGTGTGGCCATTCTTTAATCTCGAGCCTTGCTGACTGACACAATTATGATCTTATTTCAGGGTTCAAGTGTGCCCATTGTCTGTCAACCTCAAGTCTTGCTGACCAGAGCAAATTGATTGTTGTTATGGTGTAAGTGTATTGCTCTGTTGATGTTGAGCCTTGCTAACTGCTCCTTCATGTCTAGTGATTTTTTTTCATCTGTTGCTACTATCCGCTCATTTGTGTTCATTGCAATCTCCCCGTTCATTAGCAGTTATGTAGTATATGGTAGATATTGTATATTGAGTCTGAATGACAATATAATATTTGTTTCACCTTTGTCATTGTGATATTGCTCGAGGATCATCTATTACAAAGATTTATTAATGCCGCACACTTTATTGCATTTTATTGCACTTTTGCCCACTTTATTCCAACGAAGGCGTCAGGGGGCTGTTGGTTAGTTCATAAATGTCACTAATCTGAAACATGATGATAAAACACAATAAAACTCGATAAAACACCATCATTTACACAAATTCGCCCTATTTCCCGGAAGAGGTTTTCCCTGATGTCTTTGCTTCTTCGATAACCCTCAATGTGAATATTTATTAGTGCAAGTAAGTTACATGTAAGGTGTCGCTACATATATCGCAGATTGGGTTCGCAGGCTCCCGTCGCAACATGATGCATGGTAACGATACTGGCCATCACATCACCTTTCCACTCCTCATCGTACCTCTATTCTACGTCCACGTGCAATTGTTTGACTAGCTGAGCGGTAGCACCAATCTTTGTCTTGCTGTTCTCGTTGTTCTTGATCTTCAGCGGCCAAGACTTCAATGGTATATCTGACAAAGAAATTATAGATAAGTTCTCTCCAATTGAGAGTGGCGAAATAGCAAGAATAGTCAGACGTGAGGGACGAACATACACAAGGAGGCCAGGTGGTCTGCGTGGTGCCGTCGAAGTGACCTTTGGGGTGTATGAGGTGCGGCTGGGGAGAAAATCGTGGTGGAGGTCGAGGGAGTTGATGGTATTGGTGGTGTCAACCGTAGGGTCCGAGATATGGGACACTCTAGGGCAAGTGAAAGTCAAATGAGAAGGATGAAAGAGGCTCACCTTATGTGAGCATGTGGGGAATGTTCATCCGCACATATACAGTGCTATAGCAGCACCTTGTAACAACACCTGGAGGACAAATTCTACCATTGCCGCTGGTAAGTAGAACATAATGATATCATCACTCCCGTCCGCCTGCAGAGTATTGGCACCATTCAACAAGGACTCGATTGTTCTTTTGAGAAATCCTGGAAATAGTCTGTCATATGCCCGTTTGGGGTATGGTGGTGGCGGCGGCGGGTGGTGTCGAGGTGTCCGATAGTCTTGATGTTGATTGTAGCAAGTCGGAGGGGTTGTGGTGATTTGCGTGGGTGTGCAGTGGCCGTGGTCGTGATACAATTGACAGCACTGAAATTCGAAATATAAAAAAACATATGCAAGAAGTTAGTAGCGGCCTAGCGGGCGCACGAGTCCAAAAGTAGAATACACATTGATTGCAAAAACACCGAACGTAGCGTGCAATACTGGTACACCTGACGAGGGAGAGTATACAGGGCAGCAACCAACAACGGAGCCTGAGGATGTGGCGAAAGTCCACGTAGTAGTAGGTCCACATGATGAAAAGGCCTCAAAGGTGCTGCTGCCTGCAGGATGCGGGATGTAGATACAGGAAGCCAAGGGAGGGCGCTAGAGGAAGCGGGGAAAGGGAGGAAAGGACTCGATAGACTCAGCAGATACCGAAGAAGACACCAGAAGCAAAAAAAAGGTGTCTATATTTATCCTCGTTAGTAAAAATAGCCATTGAACAAGAACTTCACGACGCTCGGCGACAACTCGGCGAGGTGTGCCGTTCCGGTTGTTTTTCAGACCCCCACCCCCACCCCACCCCAATCATCAAACACGCTTCTAACAAGGTATCCCATCTGCATCGTCCCGCACTTCGCTTACTGATTTTCACCATGGATGACTTCTGCAGTCTTGCATTCAGTCACGGACCATGCGGAAAGACTTTGTGGATACGTGGAAGAGATATATTGATGGAGACGGTCTATCAAGAGATGTGGAGTGTCGGTGTGGTTCTGTGGTATCGATGTAGTTGGCTCATGAGTCATGCAGCTCGCGAGATATCGACACTGTTATTGCAAAGGCACGCTCAACGCAAGTTATACAAGTCTCTACCCACTCATTGCAACAGCATCCAAATTGGTTCTCACCACCTTATTCCACAGCCGTCCTACCATAGAATCGCCGCACTCTTCCAATATATTTCTCCATACATGATCCGCCGGCGATTCCATGCACTGCCGTCTCTGGGTATGATCAAAGACAATAGAAGATCTTGAACAACGATAGAGTGGCTATTCCGATGACAGTAAAACAAGTAAGGCCGGGTCATTCTTAGGTGCTGCACAGTGTCGAGACTGGTTGACTGATCAATAAAATATAGACACGATACTCGCTACCATTACGATTCAAGGACGCCCAAGGGAACTCCAAGCGCCATTTGTGTTCGACTTTGAGGCAGATCATATTTGTTCACATAGCAGCGAGCCAACGCACGGACCACCAACGCTGCAATCCTGCCATATACCAGCATGCCTTAATACACTAATTACGCCTCACCACCAATGACTACCAGTATACCTGCCGAGTATCCGCTATCACAATCCACCTCCCTACACAACTTCTGCGTTCTTGATTCGCTTCTTGAGAATGCCTCCAAGCATGTAGAAACGACTTTGGATGAGACAGGTCTGTTTGCAGGTTATGTGTGGAAAAGTTGGAGATGGATCGATCATCGGTAGCTATAGGAGTTCCGGGGTGCGTTCATATCCACCTACGTACACCAGTTGAACAAGGGCAGATATATTTTTGCACAGATCGAACCTAAAATGTAATTGTATTTTGTAACAGAACGACCTCGTCCGATTCAAGCGTGCACATTGCAAGCTATGCAAGTAATATCCCTTCCAGACGGCACCCGAAACACTGATGCCATCATCAGCTGCAGGTGAGTTATCTGTTTTAGGCATTTGCTTGCTCATTTCTGACTTTTCTGACGGCGTGCCAACACAACGCGACTATCTTGTCAAAGGACTTGAATAAAATGCTGCCGGCGCTCCGACACTCATCAAGAACATCGCCAGCAAACTTTTATGAAATGAACCTGTACAATTTGAAGAACATTCCGCGATCGCAGGTGCGTATTCGTTTCTCCCAGTGCCCTGTAATTGCTATTTGTATACATATAAGTCGCCGAGATGAAAACAGGTCTTCGATCTGTTGCGGTTTTGAAACATTCTGTGCGTGTGACTGGTTTGCAGCTTCACAGCCAACAACGTCGATTCAACCAAGGGACCCTAAATCGAGTATCCCCTTGGCCTTATGCAAAAATGATTCCTTTGGTCATTCAAAGCAGGAACGGATGCCGCCCCCAAGACGCTCACTTCAGTGATAAAAGCGCTGGGTGGTGGTATATCTAGTACCCACCAACTTCGCTGCTCCCTCGCCCCCATCCTCTAACAAGATGACCATAGTCTCGATTGATCCCATTTGGTGGCCGGCCATTAATGCGTACCGTATTTACAGCTATTTTGCAGGTTCGTGGATAGCTAATCGGACAATGACGGCGATTCTCAATCTAACGTTTCACAGCTGCCGGCTGTGCTGGGGTCATGTACGATTGGGGTGAGCATGATTGCTTTCAAGAATGGCTCATGTACATTCTTACTGTGGTTTCTGCAGCTCTGACTGTCGGACAAGAGGTAGGTTGATGCCATTGTCGAAGCATCTATCTCACTCAGAATGGTTCACTATATAGATCGAACTCATCTGGGTGAGCAGAGTCACACGTCATAAGAACAATATGAAAATGCAACGAATTTTCTTAAGAGGCAACGCTGGTCACTCATGACCGCTCTGTATCTGAGTGTACGTAGCTTGTGTTGTAAGTGTGATCGGAAAGTCAGGCTGACTTGAAAAAATTCTAGGTGCGCTATCTTGGAATATTATATGCTGTGTATGTTTGGAATTCTAAACAATTGGCACTGCGCTAATCAATAATCTCCCACAACAAGCATCGAGATTCTGGGTATGTCTCCTCATATTCATCATGATTTCTTCTCACCGGCGGCATACAGGGAACGTTCCGACAATATCGCTGACAGATTCAGTAAGTATTCTGAACCAATGCTCGCCATTCCCATGTTAATCAACTGCACTCCAATGCAGGGGTGAGTCTGATTCTTTACCAACTGGTGCAATATAATGACTGCGACAGCTGTGAGTTTCTTTTGATTGTGTGATCCTCCGAGGCTGATCACCACCTGGACTTGTCAGGCCTGGTTTTAAACATCACAAAAGAGTGGGTGATTATCGTTTTGAATGCAATACTGGGCGGTGAGTTGCATAGCTGCAATGAGTCAGTGATGTTATTTTGACAGAAACATCACTCAAGTCATCATGATTACTCGGTTACACGCCATGTATCAACGATCCAGAAAGGTGCTGATACTTTCCGTTGTAGTCTTCCTGACTGCCACCATCGTCACCGGAGTGTTGAGCGTCATAACAACAATAGACACTTCAGCAGGTAAGCTTGATTATAAATGAAAGACTTGCATGCACCAGTCTCATTGATGAATACCAGAGGAGTCCATTCTCTCTGGCACCTACGAATGCTCTGCTGGCTTTGCAGGAAATCTCCAACTACTGTATCCCATGACTTGGATACTCGGCACTATATGGGAGGTCCTCGCACTATGTCTCGCAATCTGGATTGCTGTAAAACACTTCCGTGAATTACGACGACACTCGGCAGGAGGGATTATTGGGGACTGCTTCACAGTGTTGATAAAATCTCACATGGTTTACTTTGCGAGGTGAGCTAACAATTCCAACGTGACTCCCTTCTTCCGCTGAAGTTCTGCACCTCTTAGCTTTATTGTCGTTTCTTGCTTCACGATCGGCGGAGACTTGTCTCCAATGGAATCAGGGGTATGCTATTCTTTCGATGATCTCTGCATGCAACGGTTCATCATTTCTACAGGACCCATATTCCATGGGATCCCAAATTTATAATGGTTTACTTCAAATTTTCGCGATCGTGCAGATGTTTGTGCTGGGGCCACGCCTGATTCTTAGCGTTCGAGAGTATCACGCCAAGCTCGTGGCCGACTCCGACGCAGCAACCGGCATGACTTCAATTGCTTTCCAGGAGCGCGTGCATGTACAAACTAGCAGCAGCGTGTAGGACGGGAAATGCTCGAGGTGATTGCTGGTCGGGTACTCCTGCTCAGGTACTATGCGGGGAGCCGGGAGGATTTCTTTTGGTTCAAAATTTCGTCACTGTACTTATTTATTTAAGTTTTTTATGTTACGAAGATTTGATTTGACAGAGAAGTCGGGCTGGACAAACCACCCCGTACATTGTTTCTTCACTCGGTAGTAGTTTTTGTAATACCTTGAAAGGAGACTTGACAATCGTTCCTCAATTTTGGTGGTATGATCGCAGTGTGAACAGTCAACGTGATCAGAATGTGCGAGGTCTGGCTGGTCTGCGCGCAGACTGGGACGAGGAAGAGCCTCGTCGGTCGGAAGGTGCCGGGAAATGTAGGTTTCATTACGTTACTGGCCTAAAGCTGCTAAAACAATCGTGCAGTTAAGAACTACTAGCTATAGCTATAGGGCGTGTCCGGTAGCAGGCGCGCAAAACTTTTCAACGACTTCTCACTCATATCCAATCGTGATAGTCCACACAAGTTGCCCAACTCACCCTGTCATGAAGCACCACGAAATGCAGCCCAAATCTGGATTTTTGTCTCTTGCTCAAGAACTCCAGTTATACATTCTGAGCTTCTTGCCTTGCCGAGATATTCTTCGTTGTACATCCGTGAGTCACAAAATCATGGTTGTGTTAAAGTCCTAGACATACTTTTGTACTGACGATCCTCTTTCAGGTATGTAAGGCCCTTCGCCAGACGTACATGTCCTCTTCTGAGCTTCAGTGCATCATCGAACTCAGTGGCCAAAGGTTGCTTCCTGTCTCTAGCACCGACAACCACGCCCCTACTTCCAACCGCCTACAGACCTTGAGGGATAGGGCCCATGCATGGTTCAAGTTTGACATGCACTCTTTCGAATCAATCGACTTACCAGAAAACTTGTACGCTAAGAAAAGGGTCGTCACTGATGGTCATCTCTACCTGTGGGACGAAGGTGGAGACCTGGCCATGATCACTCCAATACTTCCAAAGCTCTCACAACGAGCAATCAAGCGCGGCTGGTCTCCAGGAACGTTGTGTTCGGTGCCCCACTCAAACATCCTGGATGTGTTGATGGACCCAGCACAAAACCTGATGGCCATCGTGTATTCTGTCACTGACTCGGATAATCCTCTCCAATCGGATGAGACGGTTCATATTGATCTTAGAGCCCTGGACGATGATAGTGTTCACCCCCAAGCTGCTGGACGGAAACTACTGTTATCGGTGCCGGCCGGATACGACGACAACCACATTGAAACAATGTATGCGAAGCTCAAAGGTTGTGGAAGGCACATCGCTTTGCAGCGCATGTTGGTGGTTGCAGTTGATGATGGAGTAACTGACCACTACGCGTGGCAGCTGCAGATTTGGGACTGGCAAAACGCGACGACATCAAGTGTGAGTCTTGATCTGAAAAGTGAAAGACTTCACTGTTCATTTTAAATCTAGAGCGTCCTCAGCGACATGATACAGTACCCACATGAAAACTCGATCGACTTTTGTTTTCTGGGAAACAATAGGCTGCTCGTTGTTGTTGGCGATCTGCAACTCTATTCAATCGAGGATATGTCCCAGACGCCACAATTGCTGGCGTGTTTCCTGTCGCCTCTCCCATTGTCGGCACTGTGCTTCGTTCCGATGGATGATGTTGAGCAACTGCAGATGCAAGCACTACAAACAATGTACAACTCGGACCCTACACGTCGACTACTATGCCTCACCGTGACCTGTTCTACCACGCTAATCTTCGTCATTTCCACAAGGGTTTTCTTCGACCTTGATGGAATAGCAGTGACAATGCCAGTGCCATGGAGACGTTGGGGCCCTTCAAATACTCGTATTTTTCGAGACCCATATCATTGCGAAACTCATGTCAGCGGAAATCGAGTTTTGCACGCAGTCGGCACACCAGACACGCGTCCCCTGGAATACGAAGTACGTATGATGGACTTTAGCCCACTAGCTGTGATGAATAGGAAGGGTCTCGGGCGTGTGGTGAACGAGCCATCCATGATAGAAGTGGTTGTGCTCACGTCTAGCACGACCCAGGAGAACCGGAAAATTACAACATCCTTGCCCTACGTCGAGGTCGTGTCGGATAGGAAGATCAGTATTCACGAGTTGGAGGGCATATGGCTTGATAAGGATAGGATCTATCTGCTCAACGCAAATTTTCAACGTGGAGTGGCAGGTTCTACTGAGTATCTTGTATCGCAGTCTAGCAGGCTTGAAATCATCGACGTCTAAAGCAGAGTATCATGTCAGGTGGTCCTTTACTTATAAAGATAGATATCATACGTCTCCTAATTCCAACGCAAGCACATCATTAAAATGGTCCTGTGAAACTGGTGTTATCACTGTTCCGTATGTATCTAGATCTTACTCTCGTGGTGTTGCGAGCAACGCATAAGGACGCGTTATTTTCAAGTTGATGTTTTGTCTGACGCGGTAATGATAGAGGAATCATGTAAGGATTCACACTTGTTCGATTCCTTAACAACAGTCTTTAACAAACCCGTCATGCTACCGCGTCTACTTAGTACACGCCATGTTCGAGCTTTACCATGTTATTTTCTCAAAATACTAGTTACCACCGCCCCAGCTTCCGGTGTGTCACTATAGCACATCCAAAAGCCGCATCTTCGACCCCCCAAACAGCACCTCATTCCTCACGCAAACACGTCCATGTTAACGCAGATGGCGTAGAAGTCGAACTCAGATTGTGGAGGAGCCTCTGCAGACCAAGGGCATGGCTGTCTTCGTGTCAAATTTGGCGAATCGGTAATTTAGAGAAGGGCTTCACAATCATCCGCAAGATCGGGTGGGGCATGAATTCAAGCATCTGGATGGCGTTCGACGAGACGTACGTGCCAACTAGCAGTCGTACACGTGTTTTTTTTTTGACGATTCTCGTAGAGACAAGAAATATGTCGCGATTAAAGCTTTGAAAGAATATTCATCTGGCCTGTTTGAACTAGGCATGATGGTGGAGTCACTTGCCCTCGAACGATCAACTCTTGCGTCTCCGGCACCTGGCCTCACGTCGAGTCATTGCCTTCATCTTCTCTGTTTTCTTTTCAAACGACCTGGAAAGGATCGAGATGGGCGCCATCTATGCTATGTCACGGATGTTTTGGGTGGAGACATTAAATCTGAACTTGTTCGGCCTGCGCGCAGAATCACCAGAACTTTCATGGAGATGGACATGGAGGGGCCAAAGGAATCATCAACACATTCAATCCGGCAACCTTTGGGACCCAACAGAAGATATAAGTCTCCCGAACTTTCTCGGTTCCCAGGAATTGCCTCTATTCAAGGTTCAAACTCAAAGTGACCTCCAATCACAACAAACCGGCCCGCTACCTTTTCAAGTCCCGGTCGACTTCCCAAAATCTCCTTTCCTACCAGTGGCTGAGGATTTTATTTGCAAATCATCCACGGCCGCCGAGTCACAATGAACTCTATAGTATGGCGTATGACATACCCGGACATGATATCCGTTTTAGATCCATGATGCACCTACAGCTGATAGCCTGTTCGAAGGTTGACGAATCGCTAACACCTGCGGCTTTACCCGACTTCAAGAAGGATGTCTGAACACAATTCATATCCGAGGTCAGTTCCGAGAATGTTGTAGTATAAAGGCAGTGAAAGCCCGAGCTTTGCAATTGACTCAGCGTCAAGTCCAGGGAGCCTCCAGTATGGTTTTGGCTGCCGCTACTCTCTTAGGTCTTGCACTCCGTAGTGCTGCTTGTGCGGGCGATCGCTTGTACGCTCGTGATGGCCATGCTCATGAACATTTGCAAAGGCGCGAGTACCCACAGGTTTCACTCGTGCCTCCATACCGTCCCCTTGTATGGGGAGACCTGAACGTGATCCATACCACCGATACACATGGCTGGCTACTCGGGCACCAGAAGAAGTCCTGGGCTGAACCATACTACAGGTCGGTGTTCACAGTGGAACTCGTTCGACTCAATCTTGTTACCTTGCGCGTGTTGTAGTGGGGATCTCGGAGACTTTTCTAGCTTTGTGACACACATGAAGCAAATTGCCATTGTTCGTCCATGAGTCTGAACTTTGCTTCATTGCATACAATTTCTATCGCAGGATAAGGATGTCGACCTTCTTTTGATAGACTCAGGTGATCTACATGACGGTATGTGTAACCATTTGCTGTCTGAGACACGATCCAACTCATGTCTTCCAGGAACCGGCCTTTCGGACGGCTATCCTCCTGGCGGTGTCGATGCACATGAGGTCCGTTCTATGGGTGATGCATGTGCGAAACTGATATGTTACATGTGCATTTCATAGTCAAACAAGTTCCTTGAGCGCCTCCCCTACGATCTCATGACCATTGGAAAGTGGGTGCTCAGCTTTTGATCCTCTCCTAATCTGCCTTCTGACGGTTGATCCAACAATCTCACTCCATAGTCACGAATTGTATGTTTATGCGGATACGTATGACATGTGCGTGATTGATATTCTGAACGAGTCTTGACTTGACTGACACTATTCTATATCTGGTCGCCTTTTTGATGCACTTGTTTCAACATCTTTCGCGTTGTTGTTCAATACATATCCGACGGGCGAATACCCTGTGGAAATTCGTGAATGGCTTACTATGAATGCTCTGCAGGTACACAAACTTTGTCCTCCATCTTGATGGGCGGTACTTGACCTCTAATGTCAACATCACTATTTTCGACTCAGACGGCAAGCCTAAAAGTGTTCCAGTGGGCGGTGAGTGTTGGATTCAAAATAATCCTGGTCGTTACCAATATTTCTCCTACAGACCGTTACACCAAATTCACCACAAGGAAGTAAGCGGACTTGTGAATTTCGGGGTGAAATTTAACTCACTCGATCCGGCGGGGGCCGTCGTATCACTTCTCTTGGAGTGATATTCAATTTCACTCAGAACGATGTAAACACGACTGTACAAACCGTCGATGATATGGTCAAGGAGCAGTGGGTACGTTATTCTACGTGTGAGAGTGATAACCTGGCATTCTGATTATTGTTCACAGTTTGCTGAGGCCATTGTGGAAGAGCCTGACGTGTTTGTACTGATAGGGTAAGCTGATTCCATTGTTGTTGAAGGAAGAATTACATTGACGTGACCGCAGACACATGCCAGTCTCTTATGATAGCTGTAAGCTAATTAAAACAATCGCGAGGTTTTTCAAACGACGATCTAACAAATTGGTCATCTAGGGCCTACTGTCTTCAACGCTGTGCGGGCTGTACACCCTCTGACGCCCATTCTAGTATTTGGAGGTGGAGGTCATTGTTTCGATTGTTCCGAATAACGTCCTCACCGCAGACTTAGGACACACCCACATTCGTGACTGTCAACAATATGATGGTCGTTCTATGGCGCTCGAAAGCGGACGCTACATGGAGACAATTGGTGTGTAAACCTTAAAGATGAGCAAGGGATATTGTCTGATATGATCTTCTAGGCTGGATGAGTACGTCGTGGTAACAATAATATTTACCTCAGACACCTAACCCAAGAAAATCAGGCGCGGACCTCGACGCTGCCAGGGGAAACCATGACAATGTTACTTTTACAAGGAGATATCTTGACCAGAATCGTGTGACCTACGAGGTAATGTGTCAAACTCTCAGTTTCGCTGCGGTGGCCTCATACCCACTTAGTACCACACGCAAACCTCAAATCAAACATTCGACACCGACGACGGGAGGTCGATCACTAATGGCCTGCAAGAGCTTGCGACCGATTTCGATCTGTCTTATTTATATGGAATAGCCCATCAAGATTATACCATGAACCAGTGGGTGTCAATGCAGCGATATCGCTTAAGCCACCAGCTCAATCACGCACTAGGAACCCATATCCTTCCAATGGATCTCTTCTATCTCTTTTCATCGAAAATGTAAGTGCTAAGTGCTAATTTTGACGTGACGTGAATTGACAGGTATTGACGCGGATGCACTTATCAGGCCGTCCCATATGCACTCGCTATTAACAACACCCGCGATTCCATTCCAAACTTGATCATAATCAATTCGTGGGCTCTACGCTTCGACGTCTTGAGGGGATCGTTCACCAAAAACGATCAGCTAACAACTATGCAGTATAAGGATTCATTCTTATACATTGCCAATGTCACATCTCGCATTGCAAATCAGGTGCTTCCCACTATGAATAACCCGATAGCGGCCAAACGGAAGCGAGATGATATCGAAGAGGAAATCTGGAATCGTGAAATCGATGATACTCGGTACAGGGCCTGGTTGGAGGAGATGGATCATCGTCCTGGAGTGGGTGGACGAGAAGCAACATCAAGCAATTGGACATTCGGATATGTCACGAGAGATGTAAGTGTTCCATGTCGTACTTGTTCAATGCTCATAATGCTTGACTAGTCATGCCCCGACGCTGATGATGCAGACGACACAGTGCACACGGCGTTACCATACTACACGGCTCCATACTACATTGGCTCGAACCCCCCTAATGTAACAGCCGACACGCCTATTGATCTTGTCTTCCTTGACTACCTTGGAAAGGAGATCATCGGCATCCTCAACAGCCTGCAGAAGGAAAAGAACTATACCATGAATGATATTTCATTGTACAGTCCCACACTGACTAACGAAGTACTGGGCCTGTATGCTCGGGCCATGTGGAACTGATTGTATGGCATGTAGTCATACTGCACTGTAATAGTTAACCTTCTTCTTCTTAACATGGATCCCAGCAACGCAGAGCCACCTTGCAGCCACCCATTACTTTGTGTTGGCGCCTTCACCTCACTCTCACTGCTTGAATTTGTATAGCAGGCTTGGAAGCCACAAGACCAGGCTCACGGGCAGATATCAGGATAGTTGTAAGTCAGCGCAGAATTTAAAGCCGAACTGAAGTTGTATGCCTACCACCTGTGAGACACCCCAAGAGCAAATAGTAGCACGGTGAACCATGTGAACAACAGTACTTGACGTGGGTAGTAGGCACCTTCTGGCGCGGGAAAATCGCTCATTGAAGTCCGAGTCAGTGACGGCATAATATAGTGGCTCTCGACCCTCTAGCAAGGCAAAATGAGCTCTATCCACCTCAAGCCCGTATTCACAATGTCTACCATATTTCCATTGCTCATCGATATTCTTGGTATTTCTGTCCTGGAGTTCTTCCGCCATGTGGTATTCTTGCGATCCAATGCGACTTTCGAGCTGCATGAAAGATCAACAAGAGCGACAGTAACGAGGACGGTCATCTCGCGCCGAGTCTTCAAATCTCTTCACCTCATTTTCAGCAATCTATTTTACATGTCTTCGCCAACATTATCGATTCTGATGATGAATTTCGTCGGATTTTCATATTCTCGCTGGTAAATATTTTGCATCAAAAGTCCGGTGTTTCAACATTCCGTGATGAAAGCACTGCTGGATGGTATATTTAACATGTACCACGCCATCGTTCTACGTCCACCAAGTTCGCCGCTTCCTCACACCCATCCACTGAGAAGATGACTCTAGTCTCCAATGATCCCATTTGGTGGCCGTTCATCAATGCGTATCGTATTTCCAGATATTTTTATGGTTCGTGGAGAGCCATTCCGATAATGACGGTGATTCTCAATCTAATGTTTTGCAGTTGCCGCCTGTGCCGGGTTCATGTATGATTGGGGCGAGCAACATAGTTTTCAAGAATGGCTGATGTTCTCATGGTTTCTGCAGCCCTGACTTTCGCGCAAGAGGTGGGTTGATGTCATTGCCGGAGCAGCCATCTCACTTAGAATGGTTTCTATAGATTGAACTCGTCTGGGTGAGCAGAGTCACGCGTCATGGGAACAACATGAAATGCAATGAAATTGCGGCAGAGGCAACGCTGGTCACTTATGACCATTCTGTATCTGAGTGTACGTAGCTTGCGTTATAAGTGTGGTTGGCAAGTCAGGCTGACTTGACAATATCCTAGGCACGCTATCTTGGAATATCATATGCTGTGTATGTTTGGAAGGCTAAGGAGTCGATGTTGTGCTGATCAGCCATCTCTCGTGTTCAGCATTAACATTCTGGGTATGTCTCATCGTATATCTACTGTGGTTCTTTATTCTGACCGGCGGCATACAGTCAATGTTCCGACAATATTATTAACAGATTCAGTGAGTATTCTGCACCAATGCCTACCATCCCTGTCCAATCAACTGCACTCCCGATGTAGGTGTGAGTAAGATTCTTCCCCAGCCCGGTGCAATATAATAACTGTCGCAGATGTGAGTTTGAGTGTTTTTGGAGCGCGTGATCCTCTAAGACTGATCACTGACTGGATTTATCAGGCCATATTATGTTGCTTGCACGAAATTGGATGGGTTTTATAGTGAATGGAATACTGGCAGGTGAGCTACACATCTACAATGGGTCAGTGACATTAACAATAGAAACACCACGCAAGTCATCCTACTCGCTCGGTTACACGCTATGTATCAACATTCGAGAACGATATTGATATTTCTCTCTGCCATCTCCCTGGCTGTCGTCATCACCAATGGAGTGCTCGGCACATTAGCAACGAGGGGTAGTGTAGCGGGTAAGCTTAATTATGGACAAAAACTTGCATGCATTAGGCTCATTGACGAATACCAGAGGCGCTCATTCTCCCCGGCACCTATCAGTGCACTATTGACCTTGGGAGAGGCGCCAATCTTCTGGCCATAGCTTGGATACTTGGCACTGTATGGCAGGTCTTCGCACTGTGTCTCGCATTATGGATTGCTGTAAATCACTTCCGTGAATTGCGACGACAATCAGCAAGAGGGAATATTGGGGACTTGTTCACGGCGTTGATAAAATCTCATGTGGTTTACTTTGCGAGGTGAGCTCACAATGCCAATGTGGCTCCCTTCTTCCGCTGAAGTTCTGCACCTCTAAGCATCGTTGCTGTTTCTTGCTTCGCAATCAGCGGTTTTTTGTCTCCAACGTTATTACAGGTATGCCATTCTGTCGATCGCCTCTGCATGCAACGGTTCATCATTTATACAGGACATATATTCCCTAGAAACTCAGATTTATTATGGTTTACTTCAAATTTTCCAGGTCGTGCAGATGTTTGTGCTGGGACCACGCCTGATCCTTAGCATTCGAGAATGTCACGCCAAGCTCGTAGCTCACTCCGACGCAGCAACCGCCATGACTTCAATTGTTTTCGAGGAGCGCGTACATGTGTCGACTAGCAACAGCGTGTAACATGGGAGATGCTCTGTCTTTGAGTACTCTCTAGAGAGCGGGGACTTTGTTGTGTTGTTCCAAGTTTCGTTGCAGTACTTATTATTTATTTCAGTTATTAGGTGTCCGTGGATTTGAAAGAGGACTAGGTCTATACAATCGGATATATATCTCGTTGCATCATTGCAATCACTAGCTGCTCTATCCACGGTTACACTGACGGCCAGCTGAAATCATTTGGAGATTCTTGCAACCAACTTGGTGCTCGAATTGAATATTGAGTACCGAAAGGAGTAAAAATTGAGATCATTTATTACTTAGTATCGTCTACTATCAAGTCTCACTAAGTGCTTCGAAACTTCGTGTTTGTACGATGAACCATGTTTTTGGCAACTTCCAGAGTCCGTAATTAATCCTGGTAATATTGAGCACTCGCCACGTGGCACAACAGCGGCGATATTTGGACATGATGAAGGTGCATGCAGCTGAGGGTGTCGGTACCAGGACATGTGAGGATGAGAACGCAAGAGATGAGAAGGGTGCTGCTGAAATAGCCCAGAAGGGGGCAGCCGAGCATGGGATTGCCGCTAGTACTCCTTCTACATAATCAGTTTCAGACGGACCAGGTAAGCAGACTTGAGTTCTCGTCATCGCATAGCGGTGTCTTGCTTGAGATCTCTGGGGTCGCATTGTGGGCTTGGGGTGTCAGTCAAGCGGAGGTCTGAAATGCACTGATCGAAAAGTAAGTGCACGCTTGAGCTTGAACAAACTCAATAAGTGTGTATGTCCGTGTGGTACGTGTCTATGAAGAATCATCACGTACGAATTAGACGACAGGAAACAAAAGAAGGATCGAATCCACTGTGTGGGCATTCCTGCCGCAGGGCAACATTGGAACAGACCCAAGAAAGACGTACCTGTTTGTCCCGTGCTACAGCAACTTTGACAGCATGAGGACCATGACGAGGGGAGATACTTCGTGTTTGGCGTCGCTGGGTTCGGCTGATTGATTTGATTGGGCAGGAGATTGAGGGAAGGCGAGGAAGGAGCGGACGTAAACGTGATATGGAGGAGGATGGAATGAGTGCACCGCGGCGGCGATGTACAAATGAATGAGGATAAAGACGACGCGTAGCGGAGGACTGAGAGAATAAAAGTCAGAACAGAACATGGTGATGCACAGGACCATGGTCTTGTGCGTTGTCAACAAGCCTTGCTGGCAGTCAATGGGAGTATGGATGTCATGTAGCCTAGAATATTCCAATGGCACAATAAATGGCACGGTCAAGAAATGTGCGACGCATCTGATAAATTCTTTGACTTGTGCGGGTGGAACATGAGTGTGCTCTAGTAGTATTAGGGTTTGACGAGTTACCGGAAATTTCCTGTTGCGGGCGATGCCGTCAACACAACAGGTAAAATTTCCCCCGCCAAAGGTCGAAACTTAGGAGTCAGAAAGAGTACTTTGGTCTTCAAATCGTGGCCCACACAAGTTCTTGACCTCCCCCGTGAGCAGCTTTATCATCAGATCAGATCAGGTTCAAGGAGCGCGTGCCCCGGTTCCATTGACTTAGCTCAAAGTCACAGCTCAACACAACTGTAACTTCAGTCTTTACTTAAATCACTTTGTCTCGGAGGTTTGTTTCCACCAGATCTCCTCCAACGACATCCTTAGGTACGGACGTGAATGAATTAGGTATTAAATTTTCAACAAGTCTCTGAATCCTTGACTCTGCTTCAAATTCTACTAGCAGTACTAGCCAGTGCACAACTTGGCCCCTGAAGCAGGTTACTGTAAACCAACATTAACCGGTAGGTGCGGTCATTTAGCCTCCCTCGTTACAAAATATATATTCCAACTTTACTTACCGTATATTCCTCAGCCAATGTCTAGCACAGACAACACGAAGTGGTACAGACTCTCACATGCTACGCGTCAGGCAGTCGTGCAGCGTTACACCATCTCAGGATATCCTGTCAATGAGGCAGACCCGAATTCGGTCCTCCATTGGAGAATCTTCGCGAAGTGCGTACTTCCAGATGACAATTCTCGGATTGTCACGCTGGACATGATGCCCGGCCAGGACAGTAGAACTGGTGTCCTGGCTGTCACCGAAGCCCCCGACGAGTCATCCCAAGCAGGTGTTGCAGATGTTACTGAACGTGCTGCTACTGAGATTACAGTTGAATCTCTTTTGGATTTACTGGAATCTAAAGGCCGCAACCGCTTCATATACGACGACACTGGCTCTGGGTGTCGGTTCTGGTGCCATACGGTCCTCGGTGACCTAGAGAGGATAAAATTGGTTTCCGATGGTGCCATCTCCAGGTTTGATACATACGTCGCAGAACAGAGCCAAGAAAATACCGCGCGGTTCCCACTACCGACACGGGAAGGCACGTTCTACTAGTGCGAGGTTGAATCCATTTTCGCCTCTCTGATGCAGACTCACCCGACTCATTTGTTGAAAGAATACATCTACAATTCCAATGTATTAATATTACAGAAGTGAAGAAGCAGACTGCCTAAATACTATCACTAGTGTCCAGTCCGAAAGATCCGCAAGTCCAAGAGAAACAAAACTGCCTATAGGGTTTCCTGTGCCACTTTAAAGGGCAAACGAGAAAGACAGATATAAGCAGCAATGAGACCCAAGAAAGTACTTCACCTCATCAGGATCCCCGAGGGAAAGTATCCCAACCGAACGATACAACTGGAACCAGGACCACCGCAAACCAAAGGAACAGCTTAAAACAGATATAAAAATTGGCGACCGAATCGTAAACACTGAAATCAAGACGCAAAAAGAAAGTGAAGAGAGGAAAAGAGGGAAGAAAGTAAAGAGAGGGAAGATATAGAAAAATACTACGGAAAGAAAAGAAACGAAAAAAAAATCTGCGCACTGCAAACTTGATGCATCAACGATGTTCGTGCTTACGACGAGTCTTGGGCGTCGCATCGTCCAGATCCAGAGTGAACTTCCGCTTTTGGGATGCTTCGTCAAGAGGGACGACAACAGAGCTAGCGGAGGGTCAATAAGGACGGGCGATGGGAATACCAAGACCACGACGAGTAACGAATGGTCGATGACTGACATCAATAGTATGCTGGTGGCTACTGCATACGCGGAAATCGCGTACGTGAGGGCTGAATCCGAAACAACTTCGAATGCGAGATTCGTGCAATCTGAGTCAAAACACGGAACCCAAGAGGGCATTGTAAAAGAGGGAGAAGGGGTGATGAGGGAGGAGAAGGTAGTGAGGACGGGACTGATGTATGAGGTGTAGGAGGTTGAAGAAGCGATGGACTCGTCGTCAGTGTCATTTTCAAATGCCGAACGACGGCAGGGCCTGAGCAGCCGGCGAAACTTCGGATATGGCTCGAGTTGCAACTTCGGGCCCTTCCTCCTCTTCGATGACTGAAATCGCGATTCCTTGACGAGGAGTAGTGTTAACGCCAACCACAGCAAAGAGACAAAGCAACTGACTTGTTCGCTTCTCCGCCTTGGTTAGCTCTGAGCTCCACATACTGGTGAAAGTACTTCTTGTTTTCCTCGTCCAGCTTGTGGCAGGCGCTCTTGGACGAGTCGACTTGATCCCAGAGATCCGAACGCTGCGCAAGAAGCTGCTTGATGTCTTCCTACAACTCTGCGTTTTCGTCAGCACGACGACGCAAAGCTTTATGGTTTCTGAGGCCGACGACCTCTGCGTAAGCGAGCGTGAGGCATTCGCTCATCGTGATGCTCTGATCTTCGGTCAAGGAATCGGTAGCTAGGAGGTTATCAACAAGGACAGCTGTGGCAAGACAAGGGAGCAACGTACCACTTGAGGTAATACGACCTTCCTATCCCGAGATATGATCTTCAGTTCAGGAATTCCTGTTCGCGATAGTTAGAAGACAGCGAGAAACATGAAGAAAAAGCCTCACATGCAGCCGCGCTCTCCAATGTCCTAAGCTCTCTCCTAGTTCCTTCAAGCCCCTTCTTCGTCCGGACAAGCGTTCCTTGCAACGCTTCGACTTCTTCGTTATGTTCCTGTTGCAAGTCGGATGGTTCCTTCCTCTCGGCTACGAGTTCGTCGCGCTCGGCCCTAAGGTTTGCTATCTCAAATCGGAGCGCAGTATTGGCAGATTGAAGGGAGGAGAGGGTAGACCTTTTGGAACATATCTTGGCTGTGGTATCCCGGAACATTGAATCAGCCTCGTCGCGACGGACCTGTTCAATCTCCATGTCGCGTGAAAGACAGTCTATAAGGTGGCCCAGAGTTCATCGATATCGGCATTCGCTATGTCAAGATCGTCCTGCGCACGCAGGAGCTGCTTCAGGAGAACGGTGTTCTCGTTCTATGCATCGGAGAATAGCGCATGGACGTGGTGACTAATCGCGGGCTAATACCAGATATCTGATGCGCCAGCGCAGTCGAAGCTTGGGGACCAGATGAGGACTATCCAAAGACAATTCCAGGATGGCCGGGGATGGAGACAGAAGGAAGCCAGGTACACATGTTGCTGACGAAGAAGCAGCCTTGAAGGGCGGGCTGCTTTCTCCGCTTCCCGAGTCCTGGAGGTGTTGACGGCTAATAAAGCAGGATCCTGGACTGTCAAGAAGACTAGGCAAACAACCTTGAGGACACCGAGGACGAAGGCAATCGTGTGGAACGCGGAAGATCGAGAAGGAGAGCAGGAATATCGGCAAACGTCGTGCTTGTCGGAAGACATCCATTAGGTGCATGTAAAATCGTCTCTGCATGCTTTGAATTAGGTACAAGACTCTCCTGCCAGCTGGCGAGGTTTGTCCCCTCCCAGTTTGAAAGGGGAAGACTGGAACAAGCCTGATATCCTCTGCCACGTAGCATGTACTTGTAAGAATGATAACAAACGCCCAAAAAGGAACGAGTCTGAGCCTTGAGGCGTTGTTTGGATCAGAGGGTGTTGTCAAACAAACCAACTTAGTCAGCAATTTTGAACAGGCTGGCTTGGGGGCATTCTTCGCTCATTTATTCAGTTATTGAACTTCCTGTACATTTAAGTTTCACCGTGACGGTCATCCGCCAGTGCAGACGTTCGATCCCCACACTATAGAACATCATACGGACCTATTGGCTAATACCTGCCCAGCAAATGATATTCCAAGATAGCACACCTGAGATAATTTAAATCATGTCAGCACAACTTGACAACGAGAAAGCTACATACACTGAGGTACAAAAGTGTCATGAGGGACCAGTATTGCCTCTGGAATTAAGATTAAGTGCATTTTGATATTTGTTCCTCCGACCCTCTGACGTGAATCTCTGCTCACCCGGACCAATTCGACCCATAAACAACCATTCTTAGCGAAATGGCTGCTCCGGTTATAGCATCCTTGTCCGAACGTAAGTGTTATACACGTGTAGGGTGTCAGCAGTTTTTGAATCCTATCGCACTCACCCCAATCATACGTCATTCCAACAGAGGCGGCAGCTGTGAAACCGCAGTCAAAGTTAGATCCAGATATCAGCGTCAACATCCAATTGCTGTCCACGAACCTACAAATAGCTGGAAATACGCCACGAATTGATGAATCACAAACTAGGCTCGTTTGAGACTAGAGTCCATATGCTGTGAGAGGATGTATATGAGGGAGCGAGGAACTTGGTCGATGTATGACGAGGGAGTTCGTACTAGATATACAACTATCCAATTTACGGCCAAAATCAGCATAACAGAAGGAATTACATCTGTTCCTGCCCTCATTGAGGGTTTTTGGTCGTAAATAACAAGGGGAATTCAAACCAGGAGTCCCCGACAGATAGCCGTGACAGTAAACGTTGGAACACTGCAAAGAATTGAAGAACACGTGGACAACCTGATGTCGTTAAGTTGTTCCTGGTACCATTCGCCACTACCAGTTCATAAAAAACAACCACTCACGAGTCATGAGTGAAACGAACCACATGATAGTAGTATCGATAGAGAGCGAGCATTCATTTGCATAACAAAAGCCGTTGACAATATCCCGCTGCAGAATGGCAAGTGCCTGCACACATACACTCATTTAGTCTAAAATATCTTGACAATGGTGGAAGCGGAAAGGATTGAAGTAAGTTGGTAGGTTCAAGGCTTCCCTGACACAGCTGACGGATTCCGACCATGTCAGCCACGGCTTACAATATCCCTGAGTCTTGACGTACTTGTTATTAACTCGAAGCGCAACCCTGTCAGCTGAGGAACAATACTGCCATGGTACAATCGCAACAATGTCGCATACCTGTGGCATGAGCTCACCGACAAGCCATTTGCGATTGGCTATGTTTGGTATACGATGCCACCCTGTGATTCTTTCTCAAACAGCTCCCGGAGGCAAAAGGCGCGATGTAGCGTTCAGTCTCGCTGGCGAAGGAGGTCTGTGCACCGAGCTCTCGACCGAAGAATTTGGTAGGATAGGTGGGAAGGCGACATTGGGCACGACTCGGACTAACATCTGCCATGTTAGAGACGGCAGTTTTGATGCCATTCATTGCCTTTGCCCTCGATTTTGGTGAGAAGGAGTGGCATGCAGTAGCGGTACAACTGTCATCGACATCGTGACGAATATTCACAATTCCTGCGGAAGTCAGTTGGGTAGATACATTTAACCTAGAGTTTAACAGTCAATTGACGACATGTCGAAAAGAATGGAAACGACATACATTCACAAACATATTTGCCGAAATAATGAGTCGAAGTCGAAGAATGAAATAAAACTTTGTGTTTGCTCCTTGATGGTCGAGTGGAGAAATCATGAGAGTTCGAGAACAAATCGTGGGCTAGAGGGAGACCGTGAAATTTCTGGGCGAGAGGAACGTCAAGTACTTATAATTAGCGCTGAAGACAAGTTTACAGGTCACGTGATCATGATCACAAAAAATTAGATTCGCTACTCATCATCACAAACGATGAGCAACCTCATCTCCTGTGTATCATGGTAACTAAATTACGCCCAACCATTGCACACATCTAACCTCCATCCCAGGGTAAAACGCGGCGTCTCAGCCCACCAGCCCTCCAAATACGTCCTCGACGAGAAGGAACTTGAACGCGTCAGTGCACTCGCACGTATCGAGCTCGAGGATGCCCGGGTAGAGCTTGAGCGCGCGCATAATGCTGCAAAGAGTATGGGGAAGGGCGCGGAGGGCGCTGAGGCGGATGATGCAGATGAGGATGGTGATGAGGATGCATGGGTCGAGTGCGTTATTTTGCTGTTATTCTTTGTGATGTTTGCTGATGGCGTTGGAAAGCGAGGAGGATGCATCGATGGAGGTGGATGGCGATGTGCAGGTTGATGAGCCTGAAAAGGGCGATGATCTCGCACAGTATAAATTGGATGAGTATGACGAGGACGATGTAAAAGAAGATGGTATGTCTGTATGCTCTGCCTGCTCCTTGAGCGCTGATGTCTTGCAGGGATGGGTCCATTCAGCAACATAAAAGGACTTACATTCTATAGAGATAATCAGGAGGATCCATACATCACACTCAAAGATGTACGATTGCTTTCTCTCTCTTTTACTTGCATCTAACCCCACGCAGGATGCCGAAGACGACGAGCGTTCAGAACTCGAGATCCTCCCAACAGACAACCTCCTAGTCACCGCCAAAACCGAAGACGACGTCTCCCAACTCGAAATCTACGTCTACGATGAATCCCAAGACAATCTCTACGTCCACCACGACCTCATGCTCCCCAACTTCCCCCTCTGCCTCGAATGGCTGGATTTCCCGCCCACATCCTCAGACATGCAAACCGACACCCCACCAAAATTCGGCAACTATATCGCAGTCGGTACGCTCGATCCTGAAATTGAGATATGGTCCTTAGACGTCATGGAAAGCATGTACCCCGACATGATCCTCGGCAGACCGGACAAAACAGCTGCACACGTACCCGTCCCAGCAGGCACGGGTAAAAAGAAGCGTAAAAAAACTAAACACCGTCCTTCATCGGACGCATACCACGTCGACGCAGTCCTCGGACTCTCATGGAACCGCACCCATCGACACATGCTAGCGAGCGCGTCTGCGGATCGTACGGTGAAGCTATGGGATTTATCTCGTCCGATCGTAGATGGAGAGGGTGCAATAAGGAGCTTTGGGGTGCATAAGGATAAGGTGCAGGCTGTGCAGTGGAATGAGAAAGAACCAACGGTGCTTTTATCTGGAAGTTATGATAGGACGGTACGGGTATTTGATTCTAGGGCGCCGGATACAGGTGTTGGAGCTGTGCTTGGTGCTGATGTCGAGGCTTTGCGATGGGATCCTTGGGAAACGCATGCGTTTTATGTGAGTGTTGATCTTGATCCGTTGTCAGATGTTTTGATGGGCTGTTAGGTCTCGTTAGAAAATGGCCTCGTACTCAACTTTGACACACGGGCGCTTCCTTCGGATCTCAAATCTCCTTCACCTGCACGGTTCACGCTCTCTGCTCATGATGGGGCTGTATCGGCTCTTGACGTCAGCCCATTGCTGCGGGGTTGTATATGCACTGGAGGAACAGACAAACTCGTCAAAGTGTGGAATGTAGACCAGACCGCTGGAGGCAAGCCTTCTGTGAGCATGGTTGCATCGAGGGATATGGAAGTGGTCAGTTTTATTATTATTATGCAAATGCAATCAAAATTGCATGTGCTGAATCGTAATTTTAGGGCAAAGTCTTTTCAGCGGTATTCTCGCCAGACGACCCTCTTACGATCGCTGCTGCTGGCTCTAAGGCAAAACTACAAATATGGGACGTTGGCGCCAACTCCGGCGCACGGAGAGCATTCGCCTCGAAGCTCAGCGAAGCCGGACGCGTTCTGAAGGAAAAAGAAGGCGCGGGATTAGTCGGCCTCGTCAATGATGACGAAGCGAGCGAGGACGAAGGGGACGAGGACGACTGAGCTTTGTTATACCAGCTCGTATTAAAAACACAAATCTACTCAAACGCATTATAGTAGATGCACAGGTACTATTCTACATGAAATCATCTTGGTTAGTACCGAAATCATCCAGCGCTTCCTCGTATAGCCCAGTATCAAATCTAAATCACAATCAGCGATCGTTCAACGACTGATCACGACCAAACTCACTTATTCGAGACTTTCGCAGAGCCCAAAACAGGCTTCGAAGCAGCTTTGACTTTCTTCTTCCCGCTCGCCTTGTCTCTCTGTTCCTTCTGCTTTTCATTCGCGAGAGTCGTAAGTCCACTTGCAGCCTTCCTGATCTCTACGTCCTTCAAAGGCTGACAGAGCTCCCGGACATGATGCTCCACGAACGACGCGTACAGAGGCTTGGTCTGATGTCGCTTAACGATGAACTCGATGATTCTTGTTGAGAAATCCTGGAAATCCTCTTTCGTGCGGGGGTTGGCGGAGATCAGCGCGTCTAGCTCGGATGACGATGTACCTGCAAAATTAAACAACGGTGGGATCAGCTCAAACGCCCAACCCAACATCAAGACCAAGACCAAATCTAAGCACAAACCCACCTCCAAGTCCAGCAGCACCAAAAAGCGCAGCAGCATTATCCAAATCAGCTTTAATCTCCCGCTCCCTATCCAACCTCGCTTTCTCGCGTGGATCAAGGACAGAGTCTTCATCATACTCCAGATCATCATCGTCCCCCCGCGCGGCTTTTGCGGCTTCTTTCTCTGCTATCTTTTGTTTGACCGTGCTTTTCTTTTTGGGGGGCGCTACGGGTGCTGCTGCTGGTTTATCGTCGTCTGAGGATTCGTCTGAAGATGCGTCCCACTCGCTCTAGTAAGATCGGTTAGATGAATAAGGGTAGAGAGGGTAACAACGTACGGCTGGAGACGATTCCTCTTCGTCTTCACCTTCCCATTTACTCTTTACGGGTTTCTTGGTCGCGATCGATGGCGCAGCTGCTGCTGGAGCGTCGTCTGATTCTGTGCTTGATCGTGGTGAGCGTTGTAGTAGACAGAATTGAACAGATTCTTGTTTTTACCCCAGTCTGACATGGTATCGGTTGTCCCTTGCAATGGGATGGGTAGCGCTATGGTACAAGTGCGTCGTGGTCTAAGCTCAAGAATCAAGAGACACTGATACAGCAAGTTGATCAAAATATTAGGTCACGTGGTTGAGAGTGATTAGCCAGCACAATTTTGGTCGAAGACTCTTTCCTGTAAGTCAGTGCTTTGTTCAAAGTCAAACGTTTAACATTAAACGCTGACATTGGTTGGTCCAATTTTACAGTGCTAAACTAGGCCTAAAGCTCGCGCTTCCAAAACACATTTGTGTTGTTTGCGCTCGTCAAAACACACGGGTTTACTCGGGAAGCGCTATGCTTATCGACGTTGTCCTTACCGACACCGTTAGCTCACCCGCTTCCGGATGCGAGACGTGACAGCGCTGTTGGAGGTGGAGGGAGGGAGCTGTTGCAAAGGTTAAGTACCACATTTGGCCCTCAGATGAGGTGCGGTAGGTGGGATTCCTGCTGAGGTTGCTTATTGTTTGTAATGAGCATCCGGATCACCACCGAAGAAGCGGGAGCCAAAGATGAGAAGGATACTGTATACAGCAAAGGGGGAAGAACCAGCAGCCATCACCGGATAATACAGAAGACGCACATCTCCTTGTGTATTAATCGAAAGCTGTCGTCCGTCGTCTCGTTCTGTCAACAATACCAGACTCGCATGCTTTAGAAACAATTTCCATTAATTGCCTTCGAATCTACTGGTATCAAAGCTTCTCAATTTGTATTTACATTGCTCACCTACCAGCAGTTTAATGACCATACAATTGTCAGAGATCTGCTCTCACACTCAAATAACATACTTGCTGGCATTCCTCAAGCATCCGAGTCCTTCAAAAGAGCACGTACCCTCAGCAAGTCATCTCGTGCAAGAAATATGTACTGCCGAGGTCCGCATACTTGCATCCGAAGAGAGTGGATCACACTTTGGGGCTTCGAGCGCAACCATCAAACAACCGGAGGATTTTAGTGTCGGAGACATGGCACAGGAAATGATTCGGAGTGTGAGGGGATAAGATTATGCTGGGATTGAATTTTGTACGTGACTGGAAATTATCATCATTATAATAATAAGCCCACACTCCCTCGCAGTCCGCCCGTCACACTCAAAGCAGTGGTGGGAAGGAGCCTGCCACTATGACCGCACAAGAGGACCGCAGATATCGTCATATATGCCGATATATGATAAGCCATGTATCATGTCGGAACAACCCTGCAATCAACGTAAAGCATCCCTCGCGAGTTCTCTGATGATCCCCAAATATTTAAATAACTGGTATTTGTTGGGGAAATTGGTATATACTCGATTGTGCCCCGTTTCCATTTTGTGATCCTGATGTCCTCATTTGCCTCGAATTTCACGACCCTCATTGTCGACATCGGCGACGTTTTGTTCTCTTGGTCCTCACAGACCAATACCTCCATATCCCCAAAGGCTCTACGTAGAATTCTCTTCTCTCCCACATGGAATGACTACGAGAGGGGGAGGATTTCCCAAGCTGAATGTTATGCTAGGGTCGGCGGCGAATTCTCTGTAGACCCTGCAGAGGTTGGTCGTGCATTCCAAGAAGCTAGTGACTCGTTGCAGCCCAACGAAGAGCTCATATCGGTTATTCGACAGCTCAAAGTACGCTCGAACGGAACGCTGCATGTCTTCGCCATGTCAAATATTTCTACGCCAGACTATGAAATTCTTCGTACGAAGCCTATTGATTGGTCATTGTTCGACGACATCTTCACCTCCGCTGGGGTGGGTGACAGAAAGCCTAACCTTGGCTTCTACAAGGTGGTGCTTGCCAGGACAGGGGCTGATCCCTCCCGCACCATCTTTGTGGACGACAAAATAGACAATGTCCTATCCGCGCGTTCGCTAGGAATGCATGGTATTATTTTCGACGATCATCGTAAAGTCGTCCGCGCGCTCTATAACTTACTTGGAGATCCTGTCGAAAGGGGCAGACAATACTTGACCTTGAATGCGAAGAAACACCTATCCGTAACTGAAAACGGCATTGTGTTACGGGAGAACTTCGCTCAGCTCCTGATATTGGAGGCGACTGACGACCGGTGAGTAAGAGTATTACCTTTTTTCCCCACACTCAATGAACATCCATGTCAGGAATCTCGTCAATTTGACTGATACGCTCCGGACGTGGCATTTCTTCCAGGGTGTGTAACAATTCAATTCTTTCCACCATTATTTAGTCGGCTGGCTTGGTATCAGATAACACTGAAGAGTATCCCTTTGATTTGGATACCACTTCCATTGGGTTGACCGTAGTGAGGAATCCTGAGGATGTAGCACACTCCATCATGGATGACATGCTTGACTACATCGATGACGATGGGATTATTCAGGTACGTGCATTCAGCTGTCTTTCCCACGCGTTGGCTGACCTGTTAAGTGATCGCAGATATACTTTGACCACCACCGACCTCGGTTTGATCCGATCGTGTGCGTCAACGTACTCACATTGTTCTATTCTTATGGACGTGGTCATCAACTCGACCGCACTCTTCAGTGGATACGCGAGGTCCTCCTGCATAGGGCTTATCTCGACGGTACGAGATATTATGAGACTCCAGAGTGCTTCCTCTATTTCATTGGCCGGCTGCTTAAAATTAGCAACGACGGCTACTTGGCAATTCACATAAAGCCGCTGCTGATCGAACGTGTTCAGGAGCGCATAGGGGCTGAGGGTGATGCTATGGCGCTCTCCATGCGCCTCTGCCTTTGTGCGTACCTTGGATTACGCAACAACGTCGATTTTCGCACTTTGCTCTCTCTGCAATGCGAAGACGGAGGCTGGGAAATTGGATGGGTCTATAAGTATCCGAGCTCCGGTGTCAAGATTGGAAACCGCGGACTCACAACATCCCTAGCCGTGAAAGCCATTCTGGAGATGCAACGCTTCCCTAGTCCCCCTCCAACCCCTTCCATGGCACCCGCAATTCCATCGTCAAACAAGCTTATACCACTGCCCAATCTCCTATAACATAGGCGCTTTTGCTGTGCAAAGTGGCTCCTCAATCGCTGCCAGCCCTATTACAACAGAATTGGTACGTACCAGTGACAAAGTGCAAATTGTTCCTTTGGTTCTAAGATGATTGATAGAATAATGAAAACCTCGGATGAGGCAGGATTCTGACGGTATATTTTCGGCCGTGTTTCGTGGCACTCTTTGATTTTTCTCATTGTCCAGTATTTCTATTTAACAGTAGAATACACTGATCCTGTGTGCTACAGATATGTTCAAATACGCATTCAAATACGAATATGTACCAGTACCTCCTTTTGTTTTGTTTTTGTAACCCAGACTGAATTCGGGTCCGTCTTATCGACAGAAAATCATGACAATACCTCGAGCTCAAGGAAGCTACCAGGAACTGTGATAGAAAACTGATGGCCGTTCACCATGCTTATGCTATGATAGCCCAATGACCGAGGCAGAGAACGCGCTGCACATGAGGTCACGTGGTTGACTCGGATGACGAGTTTTGATCAGACTTTGAAATTGCAGCTCTTCTCTGTCTGGGATTATAACTAAGTAGGAAACACTCAGCCACCCGTACTGAAAACGCCCCCGCCGAAGAAGAAGCAGGTCACGGTATCGGGTATTCGACGATATTAATGTTATGCATTTTGACAGTTGATTTTTGAAGTTGGTCACCGACCCTAGGATCACGAGTCGTGCGGCCTCGTGCCGTTTGAATTTATGTGCTCACTCGAGGAGTCAACAGGCGAGACTCGGAGTGAGGTTTTGGACACTCTTGAATCTTGATGGTAAATGAGATTCCAAGTCGTTATTCTCCCGCACCCTACATGTAAGGGTCATCAATGTTGGATCAATGTTACGGCATTTTGAGGCTGTGCAATGCGAAGAACAAAACACTTACACCGGCCTCAAGTTGGGCTCAGGCATCCATCGCGGATTATCAGTATTGTATCGCCATCGCGTCAACTACACAATCATGATCATCAGATGTGGTGCGTTGTGTATCAGTTTCGAACTATTCTTACCATTGCTATTCAGCGTCCTTATGATATGATCGCTTGATGGATGAGGCAGAGGACGAGAAGGTGTTTCAGATGCTGAAGATGAATCGGAGCAGGGAGATTAGGCATCGAGAGATGTGCTTGGAAGGGGTATTGGTAGCCCAGGTGAGTTGTTCGTTCATAATGCTCCAATTCCTCCGTTTGAACCTTCCCTGTTTCCATGTCTGGTGTCATGCAGAATGTAACCTTGTTCAATGTTGACCGAGCTCTGAGAAACTATCAAGTACGCTCCACGAGCCTTAGCCAGCGAGGCGGAGAGTGCTGGTGTTCATCGAGAACTAGTGAGACAACAGCCTTTTCGATGGTCACATCGTTGGATAAAGGAAATACGATGATTTCACTGATATCATGCAGGTATGATAACAATATCTCGAGAATGACATCGCAGAAGCAAGTTGCCGATAGCACCAATAGTTCTCCGAGAAAAATTGTGTGCGTGTGACTGCTTGTTTCACAACCAACATCTACTTTGATTCTCCTTTCACTCAACATCATGAGATAACGCTCACTTCCGCCAATCAAGGCAGGAACGGATCCGGGACATCATCCCTATAATGCTCGTTTCGGCAATAAAAGTGCTAGATGGTGGTATATGTAGCACGAACGCCATCGTCCTACGTCCCTCAATTCGCCACTCATCCACCCCCATTCTCAAGTAGTATGACCCTAGTCTCAAATGGTCCCGACTGGTGGCCAATCATCAATGCAGATCGTATTGGCAGCTATTTTCTAGGTTCGTGAGGAGCTAGTTGGTGGCGTCTGGACCTAACCTTGGCTACGGTTTACAGTTGCCGCCTGTGCTGGGTTATTGTACGATTGGGGTAAGCATGATAGTATTGAAGAACTGCTGATATTCTCATCGCATTTCTAGTATTAAAATTCGCACACGAGGTAGGTTGATGTCACTACTGGAGGAGGAGCCATCTCGCTAAGCATGATTTCTATAGGTTGAACTAGTCTGGGTGAGCAGAGTCCCACATCATAAAATTATCATGAAAATACAATTTATTCGCGGCAGAAGCAACGCTGGTCCCTCATGACTGGTCTGTACCTTAGTGTGCATAGCTTGTGTTAGAAGTGTGGTTGTAAAATTCTGACGTAAAAACTTTCTAGATGCGCTATCTCGGAATATCATATGCTGTGTATGTTTCGAATGCTAAGTAATTGGCGCTGTGCTAATCAGCTATCTTTCACATCAGCACTATTTTGCTGAGTATGTCTTCTCATCCTCATATGCACTGTTTGTTTCTTCTGACTGGATGGCATACAGCCGCTGTTCCGACAGTCCCAACGACAGATGCAGTGAGTATTCTCCATTGATGCTTACCATTCCGATCTAATAGACTGTATTTCCATGTAGGGGTGAGTGAGAATCTTGACCAGCTTGGCTCAAGATAATGACTGCCATAGGTGTGAGTTACATGGAGTATGTATTCCTCGGTGGGCGATCACTGACTTGATTGTCCAGGCCGAATTTCTTATTTCGTGACAAATTGGATTAACACGGTCGTAACTGCAATAGTAAGCGGTGAGCTAGCAATAACTCTGTGATATCGACTTGACTGAAAATCATGGAAGTCATCATGATCACTCGGTTACATGCCATGTACCAGTGTAGAAAGATGCTGATATTTCTCTTCATCACTTTCCTGGCTTTGACCATTATCAATGCAGTGATCACTGCAATGCTACTGAGGGATATGGCATCTGGTAAGCTATGATTATGGATGAGAAGCTTAATGCATCAGGCTCATTGACGAGTACTAGAGGAATTCATTATCTCTGGCGCCTATATGTGTTTTATTGACTCTGGGATTAGCCCATTTGTCTTGTCCATTTCATGGGGGTTCACTCTAACATGGGAGGTTGTCGCAATGTGTCTTGCCATCTGGATTTCTGTAAAACACTTTCGGGAACTGCAACAACTATCGACGGGAGGGGTTATCGGGGACTGTTTCACAGCGTTGATAAAAAGTCACCTGATTTACTTTGCCAGGTGAGCTTATAATGCAAATGTGGTCATATTTTTCTGCTAAAGCTTTACATGTGCTAGCTCGGTTGCTGTGCTCTGCTTCGATCTTGGTTCTGGCTCTCCAAGCATCTCACTGGTATGTTGATCTGTCATTGATCTCTGCATATAACCACAGTCCATCATTTCTATAGAACCCATTGACCCTTGAAAGTCAGATTTATTTTGGACTTCTTCAATTCTTCACGTTCATACAGTTGTTTGTGTTGGGGCCACACCTGATCCTTAGCATTCGTGAATATCACGCTAAGCTCGTGGCTGACTCCGATGCAGCAACCGCCATGACTTCAATTGCTTTCCTCCAAGAGCGCGTGCACGTGTCAACTAGCAGCAGTGTCTAGGGAAATGCTCGATCCAGCGGTTCACACATGTCAGGTACTATACAAAGTTCAGGAGATTTCTTGCTTTTTGTTCCAAGTTTCGTCGTGATACTTACATAAATTATTGATTGGTGTTTCCGAAATAGATTTGAAGAGAAATATCAAATATCTTGTTGCATCGCTATTGGGCGTAGCTCGCCTCTTATTTCTGTGCCGCGGTGACTGTTCACTCTCGTGCCCTTGTCGCGATCGCCCTCCTCCTTCGATTTTCTGTTCATCGCGTGTTGGCATACAGAAGGTAGCCTGCTCGTAGCGAGACGGTCCCGCTCGGGGTTGAGCTGCAGGTCACCTTTGTCTAAGTCTTCTTCAACTCTGCGCATTCGCCCGACACCTCATGATCATACCGATGGAGCAGGGCCAGCGGCCTCAGCCTAGAGCAGGGAAACCAAGCTACGATGATGGTGATCCTAGTAAGCTACTAGTACGAACATGCAGGGACCCCAGTCCATCGATCTCTGCACATACACGCACTTCTTCGTACCACTTAGTTCGGTCTGAAAAAGATCGATATTATTTCAGTGCTCCTTCAAGACGTTGGAGTGAATCAAAAAGAAAGTCATTGAAAGATGGAAGCCTTCTCAAGCTAGACATATCAACATCTCACAAACTTTGTAACTGGGATCCGTATCCTCAGGTCTCGGGACTCGAGCTCATAACCTGTATCCATATGAACCTTGAATTTGTTGCCTTGAGCAAGGTATGTAGTGCTGTTATATAGGACTCATTAGTAGGCTATGTACGCAGTGAACAAGATAAGTTATCAAGATCACTCCCTGTAACGATAGCCGCTATCGCATCGCTAGTCCATCCTCCATTCTCCATTCAACAGCCATACGAACTGAGAAGCAGCAGCAATTCCCCATATTCGTCTTCAAATTCCCAGAAAGGATCCCGACGGTACAGCTGTGGAAGAAATGATAGCCAAATTCTCACAGTTGCTACTAAGATCTGTGCGAGTATGAAAATATTGGGGGTAGTTAGACATGGTGCGAATGATGAAGGCACATACGACTGATGATCTTTGGTTGAGGACGTTTGAGTACCAAGAAGGCGAGAAGGGCGTCGTTGATGAGTCTGAACTGGATATGCACAAGGGTGTAAGTTGGCTTTTTGGTCTGAGTTTTTCGAAACTTTGGGCGTATTGTTTGGTTCATTGCAACCGAATCTCACACTAGTACTGCTGATATCGTTATTCAATCTTATTTTGGTGATCCAATCAATTTGCACTGGCTGGATGGTCGCTTATTTAGTACCAACACCTTCAACCTACCAAAGTTTGTCACCCCCTCACGCCCGATGATCCTCTAACAGTATGCCCATCATCTCGAATGATCCCATTTGGTGGCCGCTCATCAATGCGACTCGTATTGGCAGCTATTTTATAGGTTCGTGCCATAATGACGGTGTTTCGTCTGGCATTATCTGTGGTTACTGATTACGCAGTTGCCGCATCGGCCGGGGTGATATAAGATTGGGGTGAGCAAGACAGCACTACACAACCGCTGATATCCTTATGGTAATTCTAGCCCTGACACTCGCACAAGAGGTATGTATATGCCTGGGAACTTGGATTTCTTCAAATTTTCATGCTCGTCTAGATATTTGTGCTGGGACCACGCCTGATCCTTGGTATTCGAGAATATAACGGTAAGCTCATGGTAGACTCTGACACAGCAACTGCCACAAGTTCAATAGCTTTTCAAGAGCGCGTGCACATATCAACTAGCAGCAGCCGTGTAGCCCGAGAAATGTTCGATATGATTGACGCTCGCTGGGCACTCTGCAGGGAGCGAGAGAATTTCTTGCATCTATTCCAAGTTTCGTCGCAGTATTCGTTATTTGGTGTTCCAATGTAGAATTGACAGATATATATCTATGTAGGTCTGGAACCCCGGAGATACCCAACTAGTCCCCTGTGGCTAGCAGACCCTGGAAGATGAAAAACGGCCGTCAATGCTTCTGTCATTCATTGATGGTACTACCAGGTGTACCCGCCACGGTTGTGAGTCAATTCCCGCTGTTAGACTCACCTTACCAGAAAGATAAGAAAGATACTGTATATAGCAGAGGGGGGAACCAACAGTCATCACGACATAATGCAAAAGACGCATGGGAATCCGGGAGTCGGCTAGACCCTTTTCCGGATCCAGGAATGTGATAGCCTCCTTCCAGCTTCACAGAACGGCGACCGCTCAGTACTCAGTACACCAATGAAATGAGCATAGTTTAGGGTATTTTTGTTGTAGGTCCAAGTGATAACAGGTACCAGAAACTGACTAGTATGAACTTTCGACTGAAGGGGTTTGCTAATGCTAGACAAACAGCACTGGCCTACTGCCACTTCCGTCTTGGACTATTTTCAGCATTTAAATAGTTGGTACCTCTGGGGATACCTGAATACCCTTCGAGTCGATCGCGCCCCGTTTCCATTTTGTGATCCTGATGTCCTCATTTACCCCGAATTACACCACCCTCATCGTCGACATCGGCGACGTTTTGTTCTCCTGGTCCTCACAGACAAATACCTCCATATCCCCAAAGGTTCTACGTAAAATTCTCTCCTCTCCCACATGGAATGACTACGAGAGGGGAAGGATTTCTCAAGCTGAATGTTACGCTAGGGTCGGCAGGGAATTCTCTATAGACCCTGCAGAAGTTGGTCATGCATTCCAACAAGCTAGTGACTCGTTGCAATCCAACGAAGAGCTCATCTCGGTTATTCGACATCTCAAAGCGCGCTCGAATGGATCGCTGCATGTCTTCGCCATGTCTAACATCTCTGCGCCAGACTATGAAGTTCTACGCACCAAGCATGTTGATTGGTCGTTGTTTGATGACATCTTCACCTCCGCTGGGGTGGGTGACAGAAAGCCTAACCTTGGCTTCTACAAGGTGGTGCTTGCCAGGACAGGGGCTGATCCCTCCCGCACCATCTTTGTGGACGACAAAATAGACAATGTCCTATCCGCGCGTTCACTAGGAATGCACGGAATTGTTTTCGATGATCATCGTAAAGTCGTCCGCGCGCTTTATAACTTGCTTGGAGATCCTGTCGAAAGGGGCAGACAATACTTGACCTTGAATGCGAAGAAACACCTATCCGTAACCGATAGCGGCGCCGTGTTACGGGAGAACTTCGCTCAGCTCCTGATATTGGAGGCGACTGACGACCGGTAAGTAAGAGGATTACCTTTCTTACCCCGTACTGAGTCAATAAACATCATGTCAGGAATCTCGTCAATTTGACTGATACACTCCGGACGTGGCATTTCTTCGAGGGTATGTAACAATTCAATTCTCGCCATAGTCGGCTGATTTGGTATCAGGCAAACCATTGCTTACTACTGAAGAGTTTCCCTTCGACTTGGATACCACTTCCATCGGGTTGACCGTAATGAGCAGCCCTGAGGACGTAGCACACTCCGTCATGGATGACATGCTTGACTACATCGATGACGATGGGATTATTCAGGTACGTGCATTCAGCTGTCTTTCCCATGCGTTGACCGACCTGCCAGTAATCACAGACATACTTTGACCACCACCGACCTCGGTTTGATCCGGTCGTGTGCGTCAACGTACTCACATTGTTCTATTCTTATGGACGTGGTCATCAGCTCGACCGCACTCTTCAGTGGATACGCGAGGTCCTCCTGCATAGGGCTTATCTCGACGGTACGCGATATTACGTGACCCCAGAGTGCTTCCTCTATTTCGTTGGCCGGCTGCTTGAAATTAGCAACGACGGCTACTTGGCAATTCACATAAAGCCGCTGCTGATCGAACGTGTTCAGGAGCGCATAGGGGCTGAGGGTGATGCTATGGCGCTCTCCATGCGCCTCTGCCTTTGTGCGTACCTTGGACTACGCAACAACGTCGATCTCCGCACTTTGCTCCCTCTGCAATGCGAAGACGGAGGCTGGGAAATTGGATGGGTCTATCAGTATCCGAGCTCCGGTGTCAAGATTGGCAACCGCGGACTCACAACATCCCTAGCCGTGAAAGCCATTCTGGAGATGCAACGCGTCCCTAGTCCCCCTCCATCCCCTTCCACAGCACCCGCAATTTCCTCGTCAAGCAAGCCTATACCACTGCCCAATCTCCTCTCATGATGTAGGCGCTTTTTCTATGCAAAGCGGCTGCCAGCCCTATTGCATCGGCATCGGTCCCATCCGCATATCGTTCTTTGGTTCTAAGATGATTGATAGAATAATGAAAGCCTCGGATGAGGCAGGGTTCTTACGGTAGAATTTCCGCCGTGTTTCGTGGTGCCCCTTGCTTTTTCTCTCACTGTCCAGTATTGTTCTTCAAGTGATAGTAGCACACACCGATACTCCCGCTGACCTTGTGTACTACAGATATGATATGTTTTCAGACACATCACATTCAAATACGAATATCATAGTGCCAGTACTACTGTGTTTTTTGGAATCTAGACTGAATTCGGGTCTGTCTCATCGACAGGTAATCATGATAAGATCTCGAGCTGTCGGAAGCTACCAGGCACTGCGATGGAAAACTGATGGGCGTTTACTGTTTACCATTTTGGTATTCTTATGCTATGATGGCATGATGATCGAAGCAGAGAACGAGAAAGTGCACTGCGCATGAGGCGGCACATCGCCTGAGGACGAGGGGCAGGGAGATTAGGCATCAGCCATGTGTTCACTTGAAGGTATTGGTAGCCTGGGTATGACGTGAGTGATCTGTTTGATTCGTGCGGTGGGGTGTCGTTGTGGATCTTAGACGAGAAATCGACTCAGATACTGCATGAACTGGTGTTGCGCCAATTCACATCCCTACACAACGAAAAAGCAAGTTAAATTATGATGTTCAGATCAGGTGTAACTGTAAATGCATGAGTGGGATCCAATTCTAAGCAGGCACACCACAAGCTATACAAGTCCTCCACCACCCATCCTGACCGTGTCCAGAACCGCCCTCACCAACTCATTCCACAACTGTCTCGCAATAGAATCACCACGCGCTTCCAATAGCCTCCTTCGTACCTGGTCCGCGGGTGTTTCTATGCGCCGCCGCCTCCGGATAATCAAAGACAGAAGAGGGATTAGGAAGAACAGAACGGATAGAGTTACTATTCTGTTAGCGGTGAAATAATGGCTGAAATACGACCGGATGAGCGATAGGGAGGTTGGGGGCTGCACAGTGGCGAGACTGTGATCGACTGGGAGATTGCGAGGGATGCGGGAGGCGCGAAGGAGGCTGGTACTTGGACTTCCTCGGGGTGTGCTTTTGCCGTGGCGGTGGCGAGGGGATCTGGTTACGGTGGCGTCTGAAACTGCTGATGCAGAAGACGTGGATTGTCGACGGATGATCTTTGGACGGGGGGATGCTGGGACCGCGGTGCGGGTGGATGTGGTGGAGAGAGATGAGGAGGAAGAGGCGGGGGATAGAGAGCGGGGTGGAAGCGCAGGCGTAGGGGAAGGAGGAGTTTCGGGTTTTGGCGTCTCTCGCCTCGTACTTTCTTGCGCTTGAGCATGTAAAGCCTCGAGCGCCAAAAAAAGTTCCTGGCAATACCACGTTCAGTACGCATAGGGATCATAAAAATAAATAGACTCACGCGTCTTTTATCAGACGACAGTTCGTTTTCGTACGACAGAAATTCTCTAACATATTCCCACTCGCCTAAACGCGGCAAGACGTGCAAGCAGTAGATTTCTAAGACTTTGTAGTATGCTTCGCCTGCGGAAGGAATGAAGTCGTATTGACCGCGCTTCGACAACCAATCTTCTGTTATCTCGCGACCGAAATTTGGGCAGTCTACTTTAATGCTAGACGCGACGAGGGTGATAAGAATTTGGTGCGGAAGGAACGCGGAGCTAGGTTTTCGAGGAAGGGATGAAGGAGTAAACAGTTTGAGAGAACGAGCATATAAAGTGGAGATAAATGATTGGGGAGACAAGAGTAAAGATTCTCTGAGCGGTTGTGGTAAAGTAGCGAGGTCTGGGGCTGATGAGAATACAGTGGTCTCGAGGGTGATACGGAGGATGTCCCACTTTCTTCGGTGTGCATCTAGGGGTTCAGGTGAGGGCGCTAGTGGAGGTGAGAGGAGTGCGAATGCAGTGTTCAACAATGTGAATGTCACTGTGACGTCTCGGTGAAGGAACGCTCTCGCCGCACGGTTGTACAGTGATTGTAGTGTTGCCTCCATCGACAACGAACCTGTGCTTGGTGCGCTGGACACTTTGTGAGGCAGCATGTCCGCTGTCGAGACGGTCGTCGTCATCGTCGTTGCGGTCGCCGTGACTGTTGGCATTGGTCTGTCTGGAACTGAACTCGTAGGGGTGCAGTGACAAGAAATTACACCTGATTATTGCATAGCAAGCGTTGCACCGGCCCATGCCGTGACTCGGCAATTGCCTTGAGCGCTTTCCGGTAACTCCGTGCGAAGGTTCGAAGTCGAAATCGTTCCGAACGTTGAACTGAGTTCAAGGGCTACAACTTGCGAGACGTCGATCTAGAACTCTTGAATGGGGCGCACCAATTGGAAGCTCTCCATGCTCCTATGGTACGTTGTTCCACACCCTTTTCAAGCTTATATGTCCACGTATAGGTGACTCTGACTCACAACACGGTAGCCTCGATCCTCTACAAGAGGAAGTCAACCTCCAGTCGTTGCCAACTCTATCTCGTACCCCACTATCTCCTCAACGACGCATACAACACCCTCGAGTTCCTACGCCTAATATTCTTTCCTAAGATGGACCTGGTACTAGGCGATATGCTCCAAATCGAAGGTTGATTTTACTGTATCTGAATACTTGGACCACCTTGCCTCTCTGCGTATGCCCCACTATCATATCCAACTCTTCCCACTATTTTTTACTCGCATAGTTTTCAACAGCGCTAATGTCATCTCTTCCACATTTATGCAACCGGAGTCCTACCGAGCGAAAAGCAAACAGTGTAATATTGATAATCTAGCGTAGTCCCAATAGTGATGCAATAAGATATTGTTGGCCCAGATCTATTTATCACAATACTACATTGGAACACCAAATAACTCACAAGTATACACTGCATGCTTCCCCTGCGCGCATTAACCACATCCGATATTTCGCGTGCTACACACTACTGCTAGTAGACACATGTACGCGCTCCTGGAAGGCAAGTGAAGTCATGGCAGTCGCTGTATCGGAGTCGGCCACGAGTTTAGCGTGATATTCTCGAATGCCAAGGATGAGGTGTGGTCCCAGCACAAACACCTGAATGATCGCGATGTATTCAACACCAATATAATAATGAGTTTTGAGAGAATATGGGTCCTATAGAAATGATGAACCAGGGCTGCGCGCAGAGGCTAGGGACATATCAGCATACCGCTGAGAGCGTTGGAGACAGATAACCGAGCTTCAAGCAAGAAGCAACAACAAAGCTAGGGCGTGCGGAACGTGAGTGGACAACTTAAGGGAATCACAATCACATTATGAGCTCACCTCACAAAATAAACGATGTGAGTTTTCATTAGCACAGTGAAACAGTCCCCGATAATCCCTCCCGCTTGTTGTCGTCGCAGTCCACGGAAGTGTTCTATAGCAATCCGGATTGCGAGACACAGTGCGAGGACCTCCCATACAGTGCCGAAGATCCAAGGGAGGTTACTCAGAAGTAGGCCAGTGCTCTGATTGCCAATGATGCACTGATAGGTGTCAGAGAGAATGAGCTCCTCTGATATTCATCAATGAGCCTGATGTGCGTAACTCTTTCATCTATGTTCAGGGCTTACCACTAGAAACGACATCTGTTCCGACGCTCACTCCATTGACGATGTTGACGGCCAGGAAGATGACAACAAGTGATACCAGCACCCATCTGGACCCCTGATACATGGCATGTAACCGAGTGATCATAATAACTTGCATGGTGTTTCAGCGAAGTCAGGATGATCCTGAGATATTTAACAGATGCACAGCTTACTGCCTAGCATCAGAAATACTACAACATCTGCCCAGTCCAGTGCGGTATTCATAACACGGCCTGAAAAATTCAATAGTTAGCTTTCAGCCTCGGAGAATCGCACACTCGAAACAATCTCACATCTGTGGCAGTCACTATGACCCAATGACTCTGATTTAGTCAAGAAACTCACTCACCCCTACATCAGAGTGTGGTTGAATGGACAGGATATCAGGAATCGGTGCAAATTACTCACTAGGTCTGTCACCGAGATTGTTGGGACTTCAACTGTATGCCGCCAGTCAGACTAGACAAACCTGGTGTATGTGAGGAGACATACGCAGGATGGTCGTTCTAAACGTGACAGATGGCTGATTAACACAACACCGATTACTGAGCTATTCAAACATACACAGCATATAATATTCCAATATAGCGCACCTAGGATATTTTGGAGTCAGCACGACTTGCCAACCACACTTAGAATGTAAAAAACATACACTCAGATACAGAACAGTCATGAGGGACCAGCGTTGCCTCTGCCATGAATTTTGTATGTTCACGTCTTCTTTTGTGATGTGGAACTCTGCTCACCCAGACCAATTCAACCTAGGAAGACCATTATTAGCAAGATAGCTGCTCCGGTGGCATCAACCTACCTCTTGTACGAATGTCAGTGCTGGAAAGAACATAAATATATCGGAATTTCTTGAGTGCTATGTTACTCACTCCAATCATACATCACCCCAGCAAAGCCGGCGACTGCGAAGGTGAAGCCAAGTTAGATCAAAACATCATCATCATCTGACTGGTTCTCTACGGACCTACGAAATAGCTGCCATTGCGACTCGTATTAATAAGCGGCCACCAACTGGGATCATTTGAGACCAGGGTCATGCCAGTCGAGGATGGGTAGGAGGGAGCGGCGAACTTGTGGTATGTGGGACGTGTCACGTGTGGCAGTTGTAATTACTCAGTACTATAGTAGTACTAATCATAATGCTGTTACTGTAGAACGTCGCGGCGATATAATTACCGCAGCAGTTGCGCGCAGCAGAGGCGTAGTATCATGATTTTCCTATCCGGAGATAAGCTTCTCGATCGACTCATCCAACAGCCTCGTTGTCCCACCACTGCGGTGTCCGCTTGCAACAGCGTTGCCTTTCGGAGACGCATGCTATCGTAGCGTGTCGCGAATACCTATAATTATGTCCCTCATCTCGCTGGTTGTCGCCTATACTAGGTGCACCGCTTTCGAGTATGAACCATCAACACTCGACACGACTCCGACGGAACTCTCACCTGATTGGTATGTTTTGGTATGTAGGCCCCGCATCTTCTGGCGGGACTGTATTGCTACCGACACATGTTAAATATCACTGACAGCAGCAGCTAACGTCTGCAAGAACTGGCAGTTTATTGAGATCTGCGGGTTGTTAACGCTGTTGTCTTGCAGGGACCAAGATTCTCGGTGAGTTGAGTACTGGTTACGAGTCTAATCTTGAGCGAATCAACAGTTGTTTGGCTTTTTTTGTCTTACGTCAGCCATTCACAGTACTTGATTCACTACTCACGCAGGGTACCGGTCAAAAGTGCCAACCCCGACTTTACAGAAGAACGAGGCGGACGGACGGATAGCGGAGACAGTGGATGTTTTGTTTGGAGTCGAGAGACTTGTGTTTGCAAAGGTGCGTCACGGTTATCCTCGTGTTATGCTAGCAGCTCAGCAGTACTGTACAGACGAAGCACTCAGGCTGCACCACGGCTGGCGCCATATTGCACCGTGCTTTATCCTGACCTGCGGTAGTGCTATGAGCCATTCCTGAGGGCCATTTTGGAGGCCGCGAGAATTGCGCTGGCAGACCTACACGGGTGGATGACAGCTCATTTTGTGCATGTTTTCGTCGATTCCCCACCTCTGGCTACAGCACGATGGCTCTCCACCAACATGCTCTTGTATTTCGCGGTTTCCTCTTCTGTGTCAATCGCTAGTCACTCGATGTATTCAGAGTGTTACATCTGCAGTTGCCACGGGTGTCCGGCCCGCGCGGGTTGTGGCTGCGCGCCTGCTGATTGGATCGTTACGTTCGAAAGAATCCCACATTACTCCTGACATTGCTCTTTCACAGTTGATGAGTGTACGAGCTGCCGTTTTCGACAGCATGATATGATGAGATACGTTATGGGTGGTTTCCTGTGCCGACTTGCTATCCATTTGATTTTTCGTACGTCTCTCCCATCGTACTCCTCAGTTATTCACTACGAGGTATTCTGTTGAATTTTAGTGACCAATCCGTGTCTTCTTAATGTGGCTAGGGTTGAACATTACCCCGCTGATAGGTTCTCGATGTGTGGATCAGAACATTTCTTTTAGGGAACGTGAATGATGGTTACTGTATAGGTGCCTATGGAAGTACACCCTTTATAGGTGGTGCATTGCTATGCACTTGACATGTTCTGATGCAACTGAGGCTGCAGCTGTCGCGACCACACTGATGAGAGTATGTTCCATGCCACAGTTTGCGTTACGACAGGATCACCGGCTCCCAGATGTTTGTCTGGCCAACGTCCACGGGGTGCTGCATCGCTTGGATCGTATACATTATAAACAAACCGTAGCGAAGTGATTGGTCGCCATTAACCAGTATGAGTGCTTCGTAAGGGTTTCAAGCTGGCGTGCTCTTGTGGTCAAACGTGAGTACCACTTCTGTCGTTGATTCAATCCTAGATTACCAACGCCTCATCCAGTGCTATTATGGTGCAGCTGTGCCCATTGGACCGGCCAGACCTGCAGTCTCGTAGAGATGTGCACAACAACGTAGATGTCTGAGCTGCCTCGTGTCTACCAACTGTCCTTGTCTACCTAGACCCCCGAACCTCCTCTGACCTCTGGCACCCTATCCCGTGACTCTATCTCCCCTGGCTCAGTCCCTACGGGACATCCCGTTACACCATTGGATCAGTTGCTTTCGTTGATCTGTGTTTCTTCTCCTAATAGTTGCATTAACTTCACTTTGGGTGAGCGATACAAGTTGTCATGACCTTGCAGTAAATCGACATTTTACTTTAACATTCAGGTATACGACTACATACTGTGTATACCTGACTAAAGGAGAATGCTCGATTCCTGGGGGTATCGGATACGTGGATACAAAGGCAAGGTCTTTAGTGATTGCGGTGTATTTCTCGCTAGTTGTCGCCGAATTCGGAGCTGCTACTCAAATATGAACTCAAACTAACTGCATGCCTTTGATTAAACATGCTTTCATAATTATTTGTGTGCGCGCTATATCGCGCGGTCGAGAGTCATGGTGGTGGGAGGATCGAAAACCGACTTAGCCTATGCGTGGTCTCGGTATCGTCCTCGCTACAATCTTCCTTCCGGTGAGTCACTGTGCACACTCAAAGCCGCCACATTAACGCGAGACACAGTTTCCGGTGGTACACATGATTGCAGAGTTTGTTTATTCTCGTTTGGTGAAGGTGGGGATGACTTATTCAGTAACAGGACTCACATCATTGCTCTATTTCTCTTGGTCACGCGAATGCACAGGAACTTCTGGAGATCGAACCGTGCCGCTTGTAGCATCGATGGGGCGGATCTCTCGCTCACAACGTTCATGGCAGTAACTGCAGATGTTATGATATGGGCACTTCCCCGTCCAAATCATCGTGGAGCTAATATCCGATCGGGCAAAGACTCTCAGAAGACGCAAGTACCAAACAATGGCTAACGGTCGTATCACCAAGTCATGTGCTACTACTTAGTAGATCTTATCGCAACATACAGACAGATTCGGAGGGGTGTGAGTATGCAGGCGAGTGACTGTGTACCTTGCGTGTGGAAACAGGTGGAATTGTTCAACGAACGTATCCGACGTGCGAAGAATGATGTGTTTTCCGATTGACTAAGCTCGCTAAAGTGATCATATGACGGTAAGACGCATCATGTTGCCATCGACAGCAGGCCTTATTGAAAGGAGCGACTCTCTTCCTTCGATAACTTTCTTTCAAAATCTGCCTAGGGTAGATTATACTAAGGCTAACCTTCCGCGAAGTTGAATTATAGGCCGTTGCAACATTGTGCCTGATGGCGGGCGCTCAAGCTCAAAGCTTTCCAGCGACTTCCCACTCATATCCAATAACAGTCGAGACTAGTTGTTTATCTCACCTCGTGAAGAGAGTGGATCACGAAATGACGCCTAACGCAGCATTCCTGTCTCTTTCTGAAGAACTCCACGTTTACATTCTGAGCTTCCTTCCTTGCCGAGATATTCTTCGTTGTACGGCTGTGAGTAACAATCAATCTACCATCGTGCTGTATCAGATGTAATTTCATACTGACGATCCTCTTGTAGGTATGTAAGCTCCTCCGTCAGATGTACATGTTCTCCTCCGAGCTTCAATACATCGTTGAACTCAGTGGCCAACTATTGCTCCCTGTCCCCAGAACGGGAAATCACACGCCTGTTTCCGAGCGCCTACAGCTCTTGAGAGACGAAGCCCACGCGTGGTTCAAAGTTGACATCCACTCTTTCGAGACAGTCTTCATACCTGATGAACTGGACTTCTCGCAAAAAAATTTCGCCAGTGGGCATCTCTACGTGTGCGACCGAGATGAAGACTCGGCGGTGATCATGCCAATACTACCAAAGCCCCCACAACAATCAATCCAGCGCAACTGGTCTCCAGGAACATTGCGTTCAGTTCCCAACTCAACCAACCTCAACGTGCTCATGGACCTAGCACAAAACCTGATCGCCGTCGTGTATATTGTTGATGACGAGAGACTTCACGTTGACCTTAGAGCGCTGGAAAGCGATCGTGTTCATCCCCAAGCCGTCGGCCAGACACTGTTTATGTCGGAGTTGCCCCGAGCTGACGACAACTTAATTGAAACAACGGGAGCGAAGATCAAATGTTTTGGGAGGCACATCGCTGTGCTGCGCTGCTTGTTCGTTGTATCCTCGACTTTATCCTACAAGATGTGGCAGTTGCAGATTTGGGATTGGCAACACTCGACGGAATCCAATGTGAGGCTTGGTCAGAAATGGTTGAAATACTTGACAATCTATTCTCAATTTAGAGCGTCCTTGGCGACATAATACAGCGCCCATTGGACCGGATCGATTTTTGTTTTCTCGGAAACAATAGGTTGCTCGTTGTCACCCACGATTTGAAGCTTTACTCAATCGGTGATATGTCCCAGACGCCGCAATTGCTGGCGTGCTTCCTAATGCCCATCCCACTGGAGGACACACAGTGCTTCCTTCCTATGGATGATATTGAACATAGCTCAGAATGGCAGACGCAAGCCCAACAAACGACACATATCTCAGACGCCAAACAACGGCTGCTATGCATTACTGCGTCTGCTTCAATCTTCGTCGTTTCCACGAAGATTTTTTTCGACCTTGAAGAAATGGTAGCAGGAATGCCAATACCGTGGAATCACTGGGGCCCTTCAAATACTCGTATTTTCGAGCACACAGACGAATGCAAAGTTTACGTTAGCGGGAATCGAGTTTTGCAGACATTCCCAGTCGACACTTCGGTTTTCAGTCATTCCACGAAGTATGTATTACATATGATGGACTTCAGCCCACTTGCTGTGACGAACAGAAAGGGTTTAGGACGAGTGGTGAAGGAGCCATCATCTGTGGTGCAAACATTTTGCTCCACTCTTGGCAAGTTTGAGGTCGTGACAACTGCAACGTCCCTGCCTTACGTTGAGGTCGTATGGGATAGGAAATTTGGTTTTGGCGAGTTAGAGGACATATGGCTTGATAGGGATAGGATCTATCTTCTCAAGGCGGGGGGATATCGGGAAGGAGCGGACCTCCGTGCACCACAGCTCAGCAGGCTTGAAGTCATTGACATCTAGAGCAGAGTCTTTAAAACTTTACATTCCGATCTCCTAGTCAGCTCATTAAAAGTATTATCTTTTAGTTTAGACTGTTACTAGAATGGATGACCACTGGCATGGGTGGTATGTCCCGTTGTGGCGAGCGCTTCACCTGTCAAAGCATTCCTCCTCGCGTCTTCCACACTTATTAATAGTGACTAATTCCCATAAGACCCCTTCTCAATCATCGAACGACGAACTCCAGCATGCCAAGCATGTTGGATCACACACGATGCGCGGAGGACTCCATAGGATGCAGGAAGAGGCAGCGTAGAGTTTGAAATCCGGGATTGATAATACATTGTCAGTACTTTTGTCGATTTATCTCCCCTTATAGTGTTTGATGCAGACAAGGAATTCGAGAAGAAGGACGCTGGTATGTCTTTCGATTTTCGGATAACAGGAGATGTGATCCAGACGCGTGCTTCAGCTATTACTTAAATATACCTAGGTATCAGAAGTAAGGAGCGGTAGGTAAGGTAGTGGGGTTGTAAAGTCATCGCAATGTGACCGAATATAATGAAATTGATTTAATGAGCGTGGTCGAGTTGGAAAGGAAGAATGGAAAGGAACCAATGGTATACTGAACGGAGGCCATACCGACGAAACCGTTACACCTATAGACGAAATTTTGAACAAAACCCAGCTCCCCGCAGAATACCCGAAAAGTGTAGATGACATCGAGCACTTTCCGTGCTACACAATATCCACATACTGCTGGAAAGCGAGTGAAGCCATCGCGTTTCCTGTATCGGAGTCGGCCACGAGCTCGGCATGATATTCTCGAACGCAGAGGATGAGGCGTGGTCCCAGCGCAAACATCTGCGCGACCAAGAAGATTTGAATAACACCGAAGTAAATATGATTTTTCAAGGAATATGGATCCTGCAAAAAACGATGAGCTATGCTCGCATGCAGAATTCAGCAACAGATCGACGTACCACTGAGATGGTTGGAGACAAATGGCTGAGCTCGAAGCAAGAAACAGCAACAGAGCTATCAGGTGCGGACCTTCAGCAGAAAATAGAAGCACATCCACATATGAACTCACCTCGCAAAGTAAACCAGGTGAGTTTTCATTAACTCCTTGAAATAGCCCCCGATAAGCCCTCCTGCTGAGTGTCTCCGCAGTTCACGAAAGTGTTCTACAACAATCCAGACTGCGAGACACAGTACGAGGACATGCCAAAAAGTGGGTACTATCCATGCAACGGAATCCAGAAGTAGGACATCTCCTTCACCGTTAATAGTGCATTGAAAGGTTCCGGAGAGAACCAGTTCCTCTAATGTTAGTCAATGAACCTCATACACTGAAGTCTTTTATCGATAATTAAGCTTACCCCCTGAATTGCGCCCCGTTGTTATAGCGGCAATCACTACATCGGTAATGTTTACAGCCAGGAACACAACGATGAGAAATATCAAGATTTTTTTGGATCCCTGATACATAGCATGTAGCCGAGCAATCATGATGACTTGCATGATGTTTCAGTCAAGCAAAGATATTGCAACCGCGTAGCTCACCGCCCAGGATCGCAGTTACGACGACATTCGTCCATTTCATTGCGTTGTACAAAACAAGGCCTGAAAAATTATGCAACGTTAGTTATCAGCATCTGAGGATCACACACTCGAAACACACTCACACCTGTGGAAGACATTATAATGAGCGAACAGGCTGGTCAAGAATCTCGCTCACCCCTGATGTGAGCGCGGTGGGTGAACGGAAACGGCATGCATCGGTGAAGAGTACTCACGATATCTGTCACCGAGATTGTCTGAACTTCTACTGTATGCTGTACATTAGAAGAAAGTGACATGGTGGTGTGTGAGGAGACATACACAATATGACAATCCTGGTTGGGAGAGATTGTCAATGCCAGTTAGTGCACTGCTAAATACTTGGCCTTCCAAACATACACTGCATATAATATTCCAATGTAGCGTACCTAGCATATTTTCAAGTCAGCACGACTTGCCAACCACATTTGTGATGCAAGCAACGTACACTAAAATACAAAACAGTAATCAGGGACCAATGTTGCATCTGCACCGAATTAATTGTATTTTCACGCGTTTCTTCTGATGTGGTACTCTACCCACCCAGACCAGTTCGACCTTAAAACCATTATTAGCGAGATGGTTGCTCGGGTAGGGGCATTAACCTACCTCTCGGGTGAATGTCAGCGCTGGAAGGACCATAAGTATATAAAATTGTGAATGGTTTTATAATAGTATTTTGCTCACCACAATCAAATATCAACCAGGCAGATGAGGCAACTACGAAACCGTAGCCAATGTTAAATCGAGTCATCCCCATCAAGTGGCTCTGCACGAACCTGTAAGATAACTGCCAACACGATTCGCATTAATGAGCGGCCACCAAATGGGATCATTTAATATGAGGGTCATACTGCTGGAGGGTGGGTTCGAGAGAGTGGCGAACTTGGCGGACATATGACGATGACGCCCATGCTATATATACACCATTCAGCGATTGCATCGGCAAAATGAAAATTCGAGGAATTAATCCTTTCCTGTCATGATTGTTCGAAGCATGAAATCGGATAGAACGGGGACATGAATCCACGAGCCTTCAACCTAACCTAAATCATGGGGCGCAAAGCAGCCACACATGAAAAATTTGAACGCCACGAAAGACTAAATTCTCTGCGACTTTTGCAGTTCAACTTACTTTGGATGCCGTTCTCCATATCTCCTAGTTAAGAAGTTCGATCAATGAAATCACATTTCTTTTAATGATCGAACACAGCCTTGGGTGCGATTATAACGACCAAAAAAGCCTACCGTTAAAATCATTCTCGAAGAACAGTGGTACTCTGCCCCTATTCCAGGCCTAGGGAGCGTAACAGCTCCTCGAAGTTCATTCGACAAGGTCATATGACTTCCGAGGACAATAAATTTGATGTTTTTTACACAAGACAACAAGATCATATTCTGTCGGTACTGAATGAGAAAGTCAAGGATGAAAAGTGGGGAAGGATCAAACGGAGCCAATAGATGACATACCTGTACTACCAGCAACCCCTTTCAAACATACATCCCGGTGCCCGCTCCTCATCCTCGGCATGTGTCGCCGCGTATGCACCCTCGGCGCCCTCCGCCTCAGTCATTGAACTATAATGTCATATGAATGCGCACAATATGGCAAAGGATGTGGCTCGGGTGACAGCCAATGCAAAACACACTGTACTAAATGCATCATTGTATCGGCGAGATCTGGCACAGATCCTCCGTGGGAGTGCCGGGGTCCTGGCGCAGTGGCTGGAGTCCTGGTTCGCAGTGTGAAGGTCAGGACTCGGTAGCATTGAAGTTTAGATCCGGGCTGTTTTTGTTGTCTTGCAGGGGAGAACTTTTGTGTTTGAGCCCGTCCATATCCATCTTGCAGATGGTACAGATGGTGCATCGATGTTATATCAATTTTCACTGCAAGATACCGTCCTGATTGATAGTCTGCGCCACCTGCATGACCGAGCAAGCAGCTCGGCCTCTTCCGTGACGCTGTTGCATACGGCAGCTCGTGGGACATGAAGCTGCGCAACTGCGCAGGTGCAACACCTGTGGCACTGACAGCTGCAAATATGTGGCACAACGAACGTATAGAGCGACTGATACGAACTAGATCCGGAAGGATAGCCCACTAGGGTGGATAAAGCACGCGACAAAACATGCACAGACACATATGCAAAGTTGTAGGGGGAAAATCTGATGAAAATGAACAGCACAGCAGCTGTTCAAGTTTGATCATCAGACTAGTGCATACAATAAGGTTTCGGACGTACCATTTACAGCTGCCACAATGACATTCCAGCGACTAGCTAATCGGCATCATAGGATAACACTGATATCAGCATACGTCGCAAACAGCGCCGTCTCATCCTAACCCTTTCGTACATATTCCACGTTCCCGAAAAGAAAACTCAAAAACGCAGAATGTGGCTAGAGTAGTCAGCCGTTTGGCGGCGAGGTAGATGGTGAAGATGCAAGATGAGTCAGACTTGGTGGTGGAGGTGTGATTGGTTGGTGTTGCATTATCTGATAGGCTGACGGAACAACATGAGATTGTTTGATAGTACATTTAAATTAGTGTATACGTACAGGGTAATTAGGGATACCTCTCGTACTCGCTATGGGCGATCCTGGCAGCAACGTGCTTGATGGTGGAGCGGGGAGCGGGGAGCGCAGTGCAGGGGTTAGGAGCACGAGGCAAGGGCTAGAACGAGACATAGCGAAGAGATCAGAAGTGCATCACGAGGCAGGTGACAGGGGTCACATAGTTCTGGGGTCCTGACGAACACGCATACATAGACATGTACAACATATAGAGGACATCCATCATCCAATACCACTCTAGAGAGCTAGGCTGGCGGGACCAATGATCAGGGTGACTCGTGAGTCTGCAGTAGATGTGAGCTAGAAAGCAAATACCTGGGACATCCACGTCAAGTACGATCACGATAGCAACAGCTGAAAAATTACTTGAATGTCGGATGCCGAACTAAGAAGCACAAGAAACCTGACCTACCTCCTTGAAGAAGATGCCGAAGCGCCGGTTCGTTATATCACACAAAGATGTCCTCTGTGGTCGTTGACTTGCCTCGCAAGGTACGCATGGACGAGCCCATCCGTGGCCCAAATGACATGATGGTGCTTGCCTCTAGAAGAGGATGCATTGGCGGCGTCGGCTCGAAAGAGAGAGCGCCAAAACGGACACCGCTTCCTGACTGAACACACGGGTTTCGATGAGTGGAAGCACAAGTCCTAGTGGATCAGCACTACAAATGTACCTGATAGAGTGTTGCCTCCGTCGACAACAAAACTTTGCTGGCTGGGCACTTCCAGACAGTGCAAGTCATCATCTGGTTGGCATTAATGTTGTTGGCACCAAACGTGGGAAATTTTATTCAACTCTAACTTATTTGTTTGAGTCATTGTTGCCGGCGTCCCGATGCAGACAGGCTCAAATTTCTCCAGGAACGATTATCTTCATATTGTCAAGGTCTGACCACAGGAGACTAACTTTCTCCCCAGGTGAGTCAGGCGAGGTCCGAGGGCACTACATGGGCAGGATCTGTTAGCGAGGAGCGCGAACTTGAACGCAGCGCTCAAGCCAATACAACAAATGTGCTCTCTGTCAAGACCCTCACTCCTCAATTATGATACCTTATATCTCGTACGTACCCCGATTTTCGCCTCGACGACTTCTTCAAATCTTTAGATTTTGTCCTTCTATTTTATTCCAAGTCGGCTTTTTACCGGAGTGACATGCACATCAAACGGTGGCTTATACCGCATCACTCGGACCACCTTTCCACCCTGCCTTATCTTGTACTTCACCCCTTCTCACTGCGGAAAATGCAGATTAAGCCGCTATCCATCTTCATCGTTACGGATATGGCACAGAGCTTCATCAGGTCTTAGATCTGAGGCCGGGCGAGAACACATATCTCCCTTGTTACATTATGAACCATGTGAGACTTCGACACGCTTGTGCAATGTAAAATTGATGTGAAAGCAAATTCTTGTGCACACTCGTCGTCGTCGTCGCCGACACCGATGCTGACAACGAGGACGATTTTTTAGTTCAGACCGCCTCATTTATTACCAGTCCAGTGGGGACTCCCAGCGAGAACACAAATTCCTCGACATAACCGATGTGTCTCTGTTTACGCCAACCAAGATTTTGACCCGCCTACTAATGCTTCTCCCTGGCCTCCTTGAGGCGCGGGAATGTCTCCGCCCAAGTGAAAGCCTCGCTCGCGACCTGAGCCACGACAGTCTCAATCTACGAGGGCCACATGTGACGACTTCCATAATGAAGATGTATCTCGTTTCTATGGCTCACTTATCAATTCTGCATTTGCAATCCCAGTCAACACCTTGGCTGCAGATAGTATCTGCCATCCAGTCATATTGTATGTTGTCTCAGAACTCATCGATGAGGTCGATCCTACATTACCATCGCGGGCGGAGTCAAGACGCTTTCGAAAAACTCAGACCAAGAAGCCGACTAACACCCTTGTGCATATCCGACTCAGACATCAACGATGCCCTTCCCATCGCTCGCCTTCTTGGTACTTAAACACTCATTTTTTTTTCCGCTAAGCAAGCCTATAGAGAACCGGCTCTGTACTATCTGCTAGTTTGCAAGGGCTCTGATACCACAAGACTTCTCAATATCCAACAATAGACACGGCCTTATCATCCCAAAAAAAAACTTTGCCTCTGACGCCACGGAAGTCCTTATCTCACCCCCAATGATCAACCATCTGATCGAGGCTTCACGCGTCGTGCAATCAATCATACTGCGTCAATGTGAAAGCAGAAACACGACTCACTACCACACTAGTAGAAGCATACAAAGAAGATCTACGACGTCGGTTAGTTAAGTGGTTAAGTTCAAGACACAAGCTACTCATACTCACACAAAAGGCATCATCACTGCAGGCTGAACACTGGCTACTAATAATGCACATGACAGGACAGCCTTCACTGCTCTCACTGCCCAGACTGACAGCGGCAGCGGGAGATACTGATGTTGTCAAAGCGGCAGCGGCAGATACTGATGTTGTCAAAGCAGCAGCAACAGCGAGGACAAGGGAGAAACGCATTGTTTATGAGGATGTGATACTGGTATGTCAATCTGAAGTGGACAGTAAGAAGACGCCTTCCTTGCTTTTATGTGCTGAATACTGCCTCTACGGCGATGTAGGACGCACCTGTCTACCTGAAATCCCACTTCAAACAGATGATATCTGCAATTCCAGCGGATTGCCACCTATAATCTACCTTGTGAAGCAAGGTCTATTGGTAATTCAGTATGGAGCGAGATGCCGCCTTGCGCAACATCTATGCCAGCATATTGCCACATACTGAAATCTACCTTGCGGAGCAAGGGCTATATTGGCAATTGATCAAGTCGGCGTGGAACAAAATATCACCTTACGGGGTAAGGTCAATGCTATCTCGCAACAAGGACTGATCAGCCAAGTTCAGCTTGTTGTTTGGAGGAGGGACCGCCTCGTTGAATGCAAGAAGCCTACGTGACGTAGTAGCCGTCGCACATCCATGTCATCCCACCGCGGGCTCAACATATCGTGTAGATGTTCGTGAGTACCAGATATATTGGGGTTACTGTGAGGGTGAGGCAAATTGCGTTACACAAGACCGGTATAACGGGTAAGACGTACCATCAGTTCGTGAGGTACGAAATTAACCTCGCCGAAATCGCCCGCTGAAGACGAACAAGAAGAAGAAGCGTATTGAGGAGTTGGCAGAAGGTCGTCGTGTATGACTGACACTTGAAGAGAGGAAGACTTTCCCGAGAGTGCGAATCGATATATGACTACAGACCGCGGTACACCAGGAAAATCCCTGATAACGATAACCGCCAGCGCATCGCCAATCTATTCCTCATTTTGCCTCCATTTCCCATTCAATTCTCCTATGTCCATGTCCATGTTCATCTTCGTCTTCCGATCCCAATTCCTCCTCATCTTCGATAAGATCCTATGACCACCTCCGATGGTAGATGCGGTGTGGCACCGTGAGCGAGGAAGAACTAATAGGCAGTCATTGTCGAATTTCATTGTCGAATTGGTGTTGAGAACCGTGCAAAGAAACACATCGTTTAGAGTACCTCGGCGTCATGCGGATGATGGAGGCGCACGCAGCTGAGGACCTTGGTACTGGGATGTCTGAGCATTGAGAAGGCGATATTTGTGATGGCCGCTGCAAGGAGAGCTCAGCTAGGGGAATGGAATAGGCATATGAGATACGAGGTCCGAGTGACATTGTAAAAGCGACCTTTGGCATATATATCACCTTGATTTGACTGAAGGAAGCCAGACGGAGGAGAGAATGGAAGGCTTAGGGATTCGGGAATGTTGCAGGCATCTTCGAGATGATCGTCAGGTGAAAATACATGAAATGCTAAAGACGTGCCGGTCACATAACTAAACCTTTTTTCGAAAGACACTCACAAAAATCATACGGGGAACTATCATCCAAAGTGGTGATATTCAAACAGTTTCAAACCAGCACCTAAGCAGCTTTGTTCGTAACGCCTGGTGTGCATTGTGCAATTTCCACGACTTTGTTTGGACGAGCTCCCACTTCCGTCCGTTGCACGTGACCTCAGGATCTCTGGGTTTGAAGCTCTGAACTTCAAGAGGTGTGCGAAAGGGAAATTCCGGATATGTAGCATATCATTACATAAGATTTTGAACTTTAATATACAGCCACTTGATCTTTCGAGCCAGTCCATCTGAGTTATACAATACTGGCGCAGTATGTTAATAAAATCCTTTGCTGACTACTGAGAAGGGGGCATTTTTGATATTATAGAATACATCTAGATAGTTAATCTAATGAGAAATGTGTGTCGAAGGGCGCTGTCCTCTAAATCCAGTATGTTGGATGTCATGAGTGATGTCATGTGACGAAAGTCAATGAACATATGCGCGTCGAACACGTCGTCGTCATTGACACGTCTCATTCAACCTATATGCTCTATCATTATTCTTCACTATGAATTGCGAGTCATTAGAATGGTATATGCGGCATCTATGCCTGCCAAACGAGTTCATGTAGGTACTCAGCCGCTTCTTACTGCCTGTACATTAGTTGTTTGATCATTCCGTTGATTTTGTTGCCTCCGCCGTCATTTTTTGATCTGTCAATCAATGACCTCATGCAGCTTCTCTTACTTTGCATAGCTTCTCGATTTGTTGAATTTTGTTCTCGATTGCCTCTGAATCATACTCATTCTCGGATTCATGCTTTACAATTGTCGTTGTGTAGTCCACATGCTTTGCTCGCTGTCCTATGTACTTGTTACGTTTTGCCTGCTATCAAATTGCACACTCGTATTGCCTCATATGTTTTTTGTGTCATTGAACTTGCATTGAACTTTGTCTACGAAGTGACATGACAAAGCTACTATATATGGTCTAATTAACGTGACAATAACACTGTCACGGTAGGCGGAGGCGTGTCCCAACTTATGCCAGCTCCATGTCCAAAACTGCAATTTCCCACACCTCTTGCTGAACTTTGTTTAGAGTCTGTTTGGGATCACGATTTCGCCCAACTTCGAGAAATTCAGAAAAGAAAAAAACAATGTTAAGTAAGCACACCCTGATCGGAGCTTGAAACCGATGTCACGCTGATCAGTTGTTATCAATATGCGCGTGTAGTATACGCACACCGTGGCCATGCTTTCCAACCTCTTGCTATACCGTGACAAGGTCGATGACGAGGATTCAACAACATCAGGCTCGAGGGATCATGAGAGGGATGAGGAGGACCAAGGAGATGAGGAAGATGAGTCTAATGAGGACTTGGAGGAGAGTGTAGAAGACGCTGAACAATCCGACTTAAAATTTCTCCAAGCCATCATTCAGTTCTTTCAGCGCGTGGTCTCGTCGGCTTCCGAAGTCATCAACATTGCGGGGATCGCTGTAAACGCATACACTACTACCTACTATGACAAACAACCCTATCACACGTCAATCCTGACGGGGGTTGGCTGGGTCAACAAACTGCTGAATGGCCATCCAGAGCGGATTCGATGTGAGCTCGGCGTGCATCACCACATTCATCATCCTACTTCAATTACTTCGCAATGGCGGGATCAACGACTCAAAGCACATCACCCTAGAAGAGCAGCTAGCCATCTTCCTATATGCCTGCGTTACAGGCATTTCTGTACGCCACCTTGCTGAGCGTTTCCAGCGCTCAAACGATACTATATTGAAGTGCGTCCCCCCACTCTTACCCCTAGCTATGCGTACTAATTTTATTCCTTTCAGATACTTCAAACGCATTCTCCTCCCGCCCAATCTATTCCACTTACGTCTGGCTCCCCGACGCAGACACTCCGATACCCCCTCAAATTGTTGAGACGACGAAACTATACCCGTACTTCGCAAACATTATTGGTGCTATTGACAGCACACACATCAATTGCCATCCCTCAGCTGCTGATCGCGATGCCGCTCGTGACCGCAAAGGCAATTTAACTCAAAATTGCCTTGCTGCATGCGACTTCGACATGCGTTTCACGTACATGTTGAGCGGCTTTCAAGGATCTGCAGCGGACGCTCGTGTCTACAACGTGGCACGTCTCACTGATTTTACAATCCCTCCAGGCAAGGTTTACCTGGCAGATGCTGGATTTGGTGCATGCGACGAATTGTTCGTGCCTTATCGTGGTGTCCACTACCACCTTGCTGAATGGGGCCGCACAAATCAGGTGTATGTTGCAGTGAGTTGACTTATCACCCTGGCGCAGTACTTACAATCTTTGCAGGCCTTGCAATGCCCAGGAATTATACAACCTACGCCACGCGCAGCTCCGCAATGTCGTCGAGCGTATCTTCGGTGTCCTCAAAAACCGCTTTCGTATACTTCGGCTCCCTCCAGAGTACAATTCCGACATACAGGCCCGCATCCCTCCGGCATTGTGTCTCGTACACAATGTCATCCGCATCCACAACCCAGACGAATTACTCGACTATCGTGACGTGGAGGTGGATGAGTGGAGCGGTGACTATGATAGCGGCACACTCGCCGATGGACCTCCCACTGAAGCAGCACGCATTCGTGCACACAATGTTTGTGACGAGATTTCTCAGTCAATGTGGGATGACTACCTTACGGAAAGGCGGTGCAGAGGAGCACCTGTGCCACCTGGTGCAAACTGAATAATATTGTCATTTTTTTGCTGTAGGTATCTAGTCCTATGTACAATGTATCTTGTCTTTGCTGCCCAATCATGATGATGTTTGCTGTCAACTTCAAGTATTGTATTGCGCGCAGATGTAATGTAAAGGTATTATAAAAGTTGCTGTTCGTTCGCGCACACTCTCCTTGCCTCCTGCAGGTGCTGCGCTAAAAATATCTTCCTAATACCATCTCTTGTAATGCTATTATACGCGTCAGCGATAGTGATGTCAGCTTGAAACAGCCCGATCATCGCAACAGCGTCATAATCATCCAAGTCCTTCTCCTCTTGGACTCGAAGCATGGCGCGCTGCTTGCAGGATGGAACGGGCTCCATGATGTGGGCTGTGATGATGTCCTGAAGTGTGGATGACGCGGTAGCTATTTCGCCGGACACTTTATCCCCCAACCCTTCCAAAGCCAGCGGCAGCGTGAGACATTGTGATTTTGACAACCCTGACGCACTCTTTGCTTTTGAAGAGTGTGGAGGGCGGGACACGTATCGTTCGCTATCGTCCCCGTCGGCTTTGCGCTTCACTGCGGTTGATGAACCAGGCATGGAAATTGAGGGGGCAACAAAAGGCTGCATTGCAGCATTGAAGCCTCTTGGCGTGACAGGTGTGATAGGCGCGGGGACAGGTAGGATAGGCGCGGGGACAGGTGGGGTATCGTTCGGTATTGGGGTGGTGCGCATGTCGTCGTCATCGAGATCGAGATCGCGGAACTCGACCTGATGGAGCGCGTTCTCCAGCGACGACATGACATCGGCGGGGGCATTGGCGGTAGTATTTTGAGTTATGTCGCTACCAGTTGCTGTAGGAGTTGACGTGTTTGTGGTGAGGCTCGTGCCGGCATGAAACCCAACCCAGCTGCTCGTGTGTGTCGGAATGATCCCTCGCAGCACCTCATAATGTGACCAGCCTTTGTTTCTTAAAGGCTTCGCTGAGGGGTTATGCTGCGTGAATAATTAGTAAGGTAGAGCAGGGGAAATAGATGAAAAAAGACCTTGATAAAGTCCGCCCACATAGTCTCTGATTCTTCGCTGATGTTGGCTCCTAATTCCGGGTGGAATGATAGCCCTGAGGCATGGCTAGTGATTTTGTCAACCACCTGATACATCTTTTTGATCTAGAGATACATTAAATTATATCAGTAACGGCACATGTATCAATACAACAATAGTACTTACCCGAGTCCATTTGGATTGGCAGGCTTCGGGTGTCTTGGGAGCGCCTTCGGGGCATGGGCGTGTTGCCATCTCGGCGGTGGCACCGACCCAGAATGATTTGGTGAAGTTCATACCATCGCCACCTTTGGCGTGGTGTTGTACAGCGTATTCCACGAGCTTCCTCTCGTCATCCAGAGACCATATGCAGCGGTCTTTTGCTGGTGTGGCGGTTTCCTGACTGTCAGTAGTGCTGCCGTGGTCCGGTTCAGTCCAGTTCAGAGGGTCGAGGACGAGAACCAAGAACCGAACCATGGTCCGGTTCTGCAAAATTGTCGAACCCAGAACCGGACCCTTGTGAACGGTTCGGAACGGTCAGGTTCGGTTTTTCTGGGGTTCGAACTCGAACCGAACCCAAAAAAATTCCAATGCGGGCGTGGCTATGTAGCGGACTATTCGTGGTGAGAGCCTGTGGTCAGGTGCTGAGAGGGCGGAGGTGGGAGGAGGTCAGTGCTGCAGGTGAAGGTTTAGGCGCACTGGTAACAGAAGTGTTCCCGTTTATGCTCCCGTTACCCTCCGATAGTTTTTTTCTTCTTTTTATTCAGCTTCGGTTCATCCTTCTTCTGGACTTTTGAGTAGGCGCTCGTTATGCTGTTATCAAGGGTGTATGGAAAGCCAGACAGCCGCACTCCTTTAGTCAGTGTCACGCGTCCACAAGAGGTAACAGGACTTCGTACACCTTTGAGTCATCCTTCGATCATTGCAACTTGAAGGAGGGCGTGGCCAAAAGAATGTAAAGTTTGAACCTGATTGATCTGATGATCAGTACTCAGTACTCAGTTGCCGCATGTAGAGGAAGCACAAACAATGATTCATTGGTTTTGTCCGGACTCCGCACACCACGCGTCACAGCTTGCTTGACCGAAACAAAGAATTCATTCTTTTGTCGAATAATCAGGCTACGGCAGGTCTATGAGTGAAACACCGGTAATAAAACCAGTCAGCGTACTCACCGGCCCACCAAGGAATCTTCTTTCCGCTGGTGTTGGCACATTGTGTTGCTTTAAATTGCCGCATCGAAAGTGGGGGAGCGAGGAAAGGCGAGCGAGGAGTGTACTTGCGGAGGAATGAGGTGGGCACCACCCATTTGGGAGAACTGAGAGCACAAGATCAGGACAAGAACTAAGTGATGGAAATACCGATGAGCATGAAACGGCTTCCATGCTGTCAAAAACCTAGGTGGGAGTTCATTGACACTGAGCAAAGAGTGTTATCAGTGAGAGAGAGGGTGGGTGAGGTGTTGACACTCACAATATTGGTACCAGTGGACAGTAAATCTTCAAGGCCAGCTTCTTTGATGATGGTGTGAATGTCCCATGTGTATGCATTTCTGTTTTAGGAACCTGAAAAACCATAGTCAACCGTAAATATCTGAAGTACGAAAATAAAATTGGTTCGAGGTTCGGGACGGTTCGGGACGCATTCGAACCAACATAGAACCATTCGGCCAATGCAGAACCGAGAACCATACTATGGTCCGGTTCTGGCTAACACCTGGACCGTGGACCGAACCACACAAGAACCGAACCAAAGTTCGGTTCAAACCGTGGTTCGGGACCGGACCACGGCAGCACTAACTGTCAGTGGCTGCTTTCTTTTTACCTTTTCCTTTAGTCATAGTTGGGTGGAACCGGAGAGAGTATCGCGCTGATGAGTTTCGTGTCGAGGGCATGATTGAATCGATAAGAAGATGTCACACTGTGACCAGGGCACACGGCACACCGGCATGCTTACTTAAGTTGTTTTTTTCTTTTCTGAATTTCTCGAAGTTGGGCGAAATCGTGATCCCGAACAGACTGTAAGTTAGTATTTGACTCTTTGACGCGTAAAGTGGTGCTTCTTCATCGAACAAACTGTCTTCAGCCAGCGACCTTAGGAGCCACGAGCGAATGAGACCCTGGGTTACACGCGAAGGCTTGTTACATTCGAGGTCACCCATCTCTTGCTTCCCAAGTTAAGAGTTTCCAGACCATCTTTTCTGGTGGCATCGATGAGGGGTCTTGTTTGACTATATCAATGGCAATGCAACCTTGATGCAACCTGGAGCCTAAATCGTAAGTGCTTACAGGTGCGTATTCGCTTTTGTTTCCTCATCTTGATTTGACACCCCTTGTAGGGTTAAGTACGTGTGCGATCTCATTGGCCCAGGTGCAGTCGCTTCATCGTCAGTCGACCAACGCTCCACTTAGAAAAATTCACTCGAGGCTCCTGCACTCCAGCGCATATTGAGAACATATCAGAACTGGACCGTCTGGTGAGTTTATGAAAAGAGGTTTGGTTTACTTAATAAGGTGAGTTCATAATGTAAACGTAGTTTTATTTTTCCGCTGAAGCTCCGGACATGCTAGCTTTGCTGCTGTTTCTTGCTGCTCGGTTATTTGTCTTCAACGATCTCCGGTGTGTCGATCTGTCACCAACCTCTGTATTCGCGGTTCATCATTTCTGTAGAGCGTGTATACCGTGGAAACCCAGATGTATCTGAGTCTTACTCAGATTTTCACGCTGGTCCAGTTGTGTGTGATGGGACCACGCCTGATTCTTAGCCTCCGAGAATATCATGCTAAGCTCGTGGCCAACTCCGATGCAGCAATCGGCATGACATCGATTGTTTTCCAGGAGCGCGTACATGTCTCACATAGCAGTATTGTATAGGATGAGACATGCTCGATAAGATCGGGGGGAGCAGGATAACTTGCTTTTTGTTTTAAGTTTGGTTTAGAAGTAGATTTGAAAGAAATAGGTTTGGGCAAACCAAAGCTTCGGATTTGTTCTGACGATAACGCTAAGAAGTGATGGCCAATCCACTCTTCATCTTGCCTTTGACATTCAACCGCCGCATCAGGTATCAAGCTGGAAGGCAGGAGCAATTCCCTATCTGACACCAGTTTGGGACGATGTGTCTTCGATAGTAAATTTAAAGGACTACACGAGAACCTGACAACGTACTCTGCTCTAGACGTCGATGACCTCAAGCCTGCTAGACTGCGATGTAAGATGCTGAGTAAAACCTGCCACAGATCTCCGGTCCCGGTTTACGCAGAGCAAATAAATCCTATCATTATCGAGCCATATGCTCTCCAACTCGCCAACACTAATCTTCCTGTCCGAAACGACCTCGACGTAAGGTAAGGATGTTTGTAATTCCTCCCGTGAATTGTCAGATGCGAGGCCGATGATTTCTATCGTAGATGGTTCTTTCACCACTCGCCCTAGACCCTGCCTGTTCGTCACAGCTAGGGGGCTGAAGTCCATCATATGTATTTCATATTCCATGGAGTCCGGTGTGCCGACTGCGAATGCCTGCAGCACTCTATTTCCGCTAATGTGAGGTCTGCATGGATATCGATATCGGTGCCGGAAAATACGAGCATTTGAAGGGCCCCAAAGTTTCCAAGGTATCGGCGTTGCTACTGCTATTCCGTCAAGATCGAAGAAAATCCTCGTAGATATGACGAAGACTAGAGTGCTACCACCAAAGGATGTGGTAAGGCATAGTAGTCGATGGGTAGGGTCTGATGTGTACATCATTTGTTGGACTTGCATTTGCAGCTGCTCAATATTATCCATCGGAAGGAGGCACCGTGGGTACGACAATGGGAGGGGGGACAGGAAACAGGCTAACAACTGTGGTGTCTGGGACATATCCTCGATTGAATAAAGCTTCAGATCGTGGGCGACAACGAGCAACCTATTGATTCCGAGGAAACAAAAATCGATTCGGTTGTTAGATGGGCGGAGTATCATGTCGCCGAGGACGCTCTGAATTCAGAATTAACTGTCAAGTCTTACAATTATTTTAGGTCAAAGCTTACACTAGATGTCGTCGAGTTTTGCCAGTCCCAAATCTGCAGCTGCCACATGTACCGGATGCGAGGCAGTCTTCCATCACTAGCTGCAACCAAGATGACGCGCTGCAAAGCAATATGCCTCCCACAACCTTTGAGCTTCGCCCATGTTGTGCGGCTGTTGTTGTATGCGGTTGGCCCCGATGCAAGGAGTGTCCGTCCAGCAGCTTTGGGGTGAATAATATCACCATTCAATTCTCTAAGGTCAATACGGACCGGCTCATTGATCTCGAGATCATCGACAACAGAATACACCACGGCGATCAGGTTTTGCGTTGGGTCCATCAACACATCTAGGGTGACTGAGTTGGGCACCGAACGCAGCATTTCTGGAGACCAGTTGCGCTCGATTGTTCGTTGTGAGGACTTTGGTAGTATTGGAATGATCGCGGCCATCTCTGCATATTTGTCCCAGAAGTAGAGATGCCCATCAATGATGAGATGTTCCTTGGCGTAAAAAATTTCTGGTAAGGTGATTGATTTGAAAGAGTGCATGTCAAACTTGAACCATGCGTATGCCCTGTCCCTCAATGTCTGTAGGTGGCTGGAAGCAGAAGTGCGGTTGTCTGTGTTAGGGACAGGGAGCAACCGTTGGCCGCTGAGTTCGATGATGTACTGAAGCACGGAGGAGGACATGTACGTCTGTCGAAGGGCCTTACATACCTGCAAGTGGATCGTCAGCATGAATTTACATCTGGTACAACAATCACATCAACACGATCATAGATTGTGACTCACAGATGTACAACGAAGAATATCTCGGCAAGAAAGGAAGCTCAGAATGTAAAAGTGGAGTTCTTCAGTAAGAGACAGAAAGCCTGCTTTGTGCTTCATTTCGTGGTAGGCCACTCTCTTCACAAGGTGAGTTGGGCAACTAGTAGTCTTGATCATCGAATATGGGTGGGACTCGGAAACTGTGGGAAGGTTTTGAGCGCCTGGCGCCGACGATGTCCCGTACGTGCACGTGCAATCACCATCAGCAATCGCGCTTTTTCGCAGGGCAGAATGTGACGCGTTGACGGACGGTGAGCAACAAATCTGTTTCAACTTTCCCACCAATTTGTAAGTGACTGCCAACTCAGAAGGTGCTGATGGCAATGTAAAGGTATCATGTATCTAGTCGCAACGTCACAAAACACGGCACATTCAATGAACCAAATATGTTTCCCACTGGGGCACGCTGTCATTTCGCTGGTTCAAGTGGTGAGCTCTTCCAAATTCATTAGGTATTGATTATTACACTGGCCATTGCCAGGGGCCCAAAATGCATATACAATTATGCATCGGTACATACATTAATTAGGCCGTTGAGCAACCCGCTTACCCTGCAGCTGCCCTGAGCAAGTAGTATCATCGACTTATACATCCCCAGGTGCTATGGCTACATATAAAAGTCTTTCCTCCACCATGATCATGTTGTATAGTCATACCCTTCCAATCAAGGTTGGACATGATGTGGGCCCTTGCGTCGCTCCTACTTGCAGGCATTTCCCAAGCAGCAATCCCCAATGCCATGCTTCGTGGCATGCCCTCTATCCCAAAAACCCCAGTGCCGGAACGTTCTCTCACTTCGTCGAATGGCATAGGACTCCCAAACATTACGACCATCTATTATTTTGATCAGCTCATTGACCACAATAATCCAGGCCTTGGAACCTTCCAGCAGCGATACTGGATGAACTGGGAGTTTTATGAGCCTGGTAGGTTATGAAGATTGATGTGCAGCATTGGGCGACATTAACACGATGAACTGAAGGTGGCCCCATTATCTTGATGACGCCTGGAGAAGGTGACGCAGATGGTTCGTTTACTACTTGATTTGTTGTCTTTCTCTCACGTATTTGATTTTCAGGACACCAAGCCTACATTACCAATAGAACCATCAATGGCCTCATTGCTCAACAACAGAAGGGTTCAGCCATCCTCATCGAACACCGTTTCTTTGGGTTTTCCAATCCATACGACAACCTCACGTCACAATCTCTCGAGTTCCTCACCATCCAGCAGGCCATCGATGATCTCGTGTATTTTGCCACCACAGCTGACCTTCCTATGCCCGGGGGTGATGCTGTGAAGCCAGGTCAGGCGCCATGGATACTGACTGGAGGAAGCTACGCGGGAGCCCTCACGAGTTGGACGATGGTCAAGTGAGTGCTAAAATTTGATTTTGTTGTTCAGCATGGTGATCTGCTCAAAGCAAACCGGGTATTTTTTGGGCTGGATATGCATCTTCTGCCGTTGTGGAGACAATCACGTACGTCACTTGATTGCAATCACCGCTCATCTTCCATTGATGCGATGAAATGTTTTCTCTTCCGTCATAATCTCATTTGACATGCATGAATCCGCATACCATGTGGTTTTTTGTTTAATTCCGGCATCTTCTTGACCAACACAGTGACTTTTACCAGTATTTCACATCTATCGGCACGTACATGCCACAAAACTGCTCTTCCGATGTAGAGGCAGTGATTGCCCACCTGGATGGCATGTACGCAGCTAATGACAACGCCGGAATCCAGACGCTCAAGGAGGCATTTGGCCTCGGCAATATTGTGCATGTAAGCGATTTTGCCACCGCACGTGAGTGGCCCGTGTCTTTCGTTCAGTCTTGAATACTTGTGTTGAGCGGGCAGTATGATACGCACGCCTTCAGACTCGCGCAATGTCTATTCCAGTTTGTTTTGCCTTGAGCTTCTTCATTCATATCGCGTTCCCCTTTTTTTCTGCCTTAAATGTCCCTTCTGACGATATCCTTTTTCTTCAATTTGGCCTGCCGCCTTTTTGTCTTAACTGACTCTGCTCTGACCAACAGTTCAATACAACCTGTGGGATTGGCAATCTATACATCCTTATGACGGCCCAGGAGACATGTTCTTCAAGTTCTGTGATGCACTTGAGGTCAAGGACGGCGTCGTCGCCGGACCAGAGGGATGGGGACTTGAAAACGCCATCTACTCTTGGGGCAACTTCTGGAACACCACATACTATAATTATAGTAAGGCGGTTTATTTGACATTTGATTGCAATGGCTAAATCGGATGGTGTAAGCTTGTGCGGGCTACGATCCTGAGTACGTATTCTTGGGACATGGTGTCGTTCAGACTGGCTGACGATAAATCTAGAGCCTGTTTTGGGTCGTATGACGCGACCCAGTCCTATTTTACTGATGTTACCGTGAATAATGCCAACAGGTCGTGGTTCTGGATGATGTATGTATTCTCGTTTACATCAAGTACCTGGTCTGACAATCTTACTAGTTGCAACCAAATGGGATTCTTCCAGGTTGGCCCTCCTGAAGGCCAGCCTGCTGTCGTAAGCCGCATCCTGCAACCCGTTTTTGTAGAGGTACGAAATTTGATTCAAAAAATCATCATTTATCGACTTTATCATCAGCGCCAATGTGTAAACATGTTCCCTCAAACCTTCACCTCTCCGCCTTCGCCTGCCACGGCAGAGACAAATACTATATACACTGGCTGGAACGTGGACATCCCGCGTCTCTTCTTCGCCAATGGCCTGCGTGACCCTTGGCGCGGTACAACTCTCTCTGCTGATGGGCTGCGTAAGCCTAATTCCACCGGCATGCCGATCTATGTGGGAGATGGATTCCACGCCTCAGATATGATCACAGAGAGTGGCATTGATGATCCGTCGATCGCCATCGTGCAGGAAGCAGCATTAATGTACATGAAGGAGTGGCTTGCTGAGTGGAAGCCTTCCACTTTGGTTACCATAGATTGAATCATCGGGACTTGGGGACAAGCAAACTTTTTATTGATAACTTGTCGTGTTGTGCTACAGGCTGCGATGGATGACGGATCCTGCTGGCATTCAGTACTCAGGAACCAGCACTCGTCATATTCAAAATTATCGGTGATACACGTGTAACTCCAGCGCCAGTGTGAAAGTGTGACGCAAGGCCCGAGTTCTGCACTCATTTCCTAGTTATTCAAGTCTTCCTCACGGTTTCTCGAAGGTAATGTATACCTGCAGTGCAGGTCTACTTCCGGTCGAAATAAATACCATGATGAAACTTGAGACAAAAAACCCGATCCTTGTGTTCCATGCAGAGTTCCCAACAATTGTAAATCATATCGAACATTTCCATCCTACATATTACTTCTAGTAGATACATACACCGCCCAGTATCGCATTTACGACCGTGATCATCGGACTTGATATGACATACACGATATGGCCTGGCATGGTTTCCATTTCTCGCCGGCGTGTGATTCATATTTTGCGCCCAGGCGAGCTTGTTCAGCGATAACTCTAAATGATGTCACATCCCGTGTCGATAGTTGATATGATTGCGACCTCGGTAGATTTGTTTGTCAATGTTTTGGATATCAGATACTTAGCGTTACTCGCCTCTTATTTGCTCCCTCAGTCGTTTCATTCAACGGCTGAGTTCTCGCGTTCTTAGGTTATGAGCCCTGAGGCCGCTCAAGTCTAGTAGGTAATCGACACCGAACGACCCTCCACGAACCTGCGATGGGCGTTGAGTCAGTAACGACCAATGTCCCCATCCTCTCCGAACATAACTACCCAACCTGGAAGATCCGGATCCGAGGAAAGTTGCAGCGGGAAAAGGTCTGGGGCACTGTCTCCGGCGAAGGCCCTGACCCGTCAGCACCGCAGGCCAGCACGACATCACCTGCTGCCCCCACTGCGTCTGCGTCGACGAGTACCACAACTCCATCTACCACCTCTTCAGCCACATCTGTCCCCTCTGACACTTGGAAGATTCGGAACGACAAGGCTCTCGGCATTATCATTGAATATGTTAGCAACGAGAAACTGGACCTCATTGCAGACCAGACTTCCGCCAAGGATGCATGGGAGAAACTCGAGAAAGTGCATCAAGGCACTAATCCGGGGCTAAACGCATTCTTCACGCTCAAGAATATGATGAAACAGAAGTTCAATGACTCCTTGTCGATGGAAGAGCACATTGCTACCTTCTCGGCTGACAACCGCAAGCTCACAGCAATGGGGAAGGCAATCAGCGACGAAATGCAAGCTTTCCTCGTATTGACATCGTTGCCATCTACACCAATCTGGGACACGTTCACGACTTCCTTACTGCAGTCACTGCCTGCCAACTCATCACTCACTTTCGAGACCGTATCCACTCGACTTCTCTCGCAGTCGTTGCTTATCAATGCCAACTCATCAGAACCCTCGTCTGCACTCGTGACTGATGCACGCACCAGTGGTGCAAGCAGCCAAGGCCAATATTGTGAATATCACGAGTCACAGGGCCACGCCACGAAGGACTGTCGGGATCTCAAGGAGATGAAGAAAGAGCGCAAAAAGCGGAAGCGAAAACCCCGAGAACGAGAGAAGTCTGGATCAAAGACTAAGGCAAATAAAGCGGATACAGATTCAGACTCGGACTCAGATGGGACAGACTCGGATACTGTTGAAACTCGGAGTAGGAGCGAGAAAGCACAGCATGCGCATACAAAGCACCGCCGTAATAATTCACAACGTGTATATGTCATGAAGGCTTTAATGAACCGTGTTCAATTGTATGCGTTGACGACTGCTGCAGCTACCAACACCACTCGACGATCAAAGGACATCCTCATTGACTCTGGTTGCTCGCGCCATATGACACCACGCAGGTCATGGTTCGTCGAATCCACATTCCGAAAATTGCGAAAGCCAATTGCAATCCACCTTGGTGACGACTCAACTATCAATGCAACAGGTCTTGGGTCAATACAATGTGTGCAACATCTGAATGGAGAGCGACGTCATCTCATCATCGATGATGTCCTATACGCACCTGACCTCGCAGTCACACTCCTGTCGGTAAAACGGCTCGCGCGCCACAACCGTGTAACATTCGATGGACCCTTGTGCCAGATACATGATCGAAAAAGTAACCAAGTTGTTGCAGAGGGCAAGGAGCACAACAATCTCTACCACCTTGTCTCAGAACCGATAACCGGAGCTTCAAAGCTACACGAGTCGACTCACCTCGCAACTGACATAAACGTCCTGCATAGACGTCTTGGTCACCTCGATCATGACAGCATCAGATGAATGGTGTCCAAAGGGTACCTGAGGGGAATAGATGGGGTCACCGGAAAGGAGATTTTCTGTGAAAGTTGTGTCAGAGCGAAAATGAAGAAGCTTCCATTCAAACACGAACGTGAATCTGCCCTCGCACCACTTGCCCTCATCCATTCTGATGTCGGAGGTCCTATCACACCACAATCACCAGAAGGATATCGATATTGGATCACATTTATAGACGATCACACTCGTTACCCTTGGATTTTCTTCATGAAGCAAAAGAGTGAAGCCTTGGAAAAGTTCAAGGAATGGCAGGGTGCAATAGAACCGCTCCTCAATGCACGACTGCAGCAGATAGAATTCTCACAGAACTGGGTTCACATATTCCGCACGGACAATGGTGGAGAGTACATCTCACACGAATTCCGAGGACACCTCCGGTTATCTGGGATCCTGCACCAGACAACAGCACCTGATACCCCCGAGCAAAATGGACTCGCCGAACGGATGAATCAAACCATTGTCAATCGTGCGCTGGCCATGTTGATTGATTCACGGTTGCCGAAGACCTACTGGGCACATGCTTTTCGCACAGCAACCTATCTAATCACACGCAGTCCAGCTTCTGGAATTGATGGTCGAACCCCCTTCGAAGTACTCACTGGCCGGAAAGTGAATTCTTCAGGACTACGACCCTTCGGATGCAGAGCCTATGCATTAGTACCAAAGGACCAACGATCCAAGCTGGATCCTCATGCCCGCAGATGTGTCCTTCTCGGATACGAGTATGCATCCAAGGCTTATACTCTCCTCGACGTCACGACCCGGAAAATGTTCAAGTCCAGACACATTGTCTTTGACGAAGCGCCAGGGACAGTGCCAGAACTGCAACGTGACAATGCTGAACCAATTGAGTGGGAGCAGGCATTACCAGACACAGAAAGATCACCTCAGACCATGGCTGACCCGAAAACGGTGTTACCCACTGGTGATTCCGAATCTGTGTTTTCAGAAGGGGACCCTGTGCCCATGTGCGAGGATGAGCACAAGTCTCCTGAGATAGGCACAGAGGACCATAATGTTGCTGTGAAGCTCGAAAACGAATTGGCGAAGTCGAATGTGAGAGATCACTCACCACCCCCAGCCAAAGAAGCACCAATCGCGCAAAGACGAGGCCGTCGAAATGTCAAACCACCACCTCGTGTCCCCCAACTGGTGATGGCGCAGAAAACTGCACCACCCAAGCCACCAGTCAATCAGCCACAAAAGCCAAGCGCAGTCGTTGTCGACACATCAGCACCTCCCGTGAAGATGGACCCACCAGAAAGCCCACTGACTGAACTGTCATCTGACGTCGAAGACGACGCAACGTCAAATTCCATCTACTGCCAGTTTGCTGCGTTTGCCGAAAGCGCACCCAAGGCAGCAGAAACACCAAAGAACCTCAATGACGCTTTCAACGGACCAGATGCGACACAATGGAGGGCTGCGCTGGACGAAGAATTAGCATCCCTTGTGGAGAAAAAGGTGTTCAGAGTGGTACCACGGCCGAAAAATGCGAAGGTCATTGGTGTAAGACCGGTGATGCGCATCAAGGTCAATGCCGACGGAGGGATTGAGCGCTACAAGTTACATCTGGTTGCACAAGGATATAATCAAAAGAAGGGGGTCGACTATAAGGAGAGCTACTCCCCTACACTCGGAATGGACGTAGTACGAGTGATTGCTGACATCGCAGCTGAAGAAGATTTAGAACTGCACCAGTTGGACGTATCAACGGCTTACCTCAATGGAGAGCTCGAGGAGGAGGTGTATGTGATGCCACCAGATGGTGTTGACTGTCCGCCAGGCCACGTTTGGGCTCTCGACCGTGCGCTATATGGACTGCCACAATCAGGATATGTGTGGAACGTCACACTCCACAATGCCCTGGTGAAGATAGGCTTCGTGCGAATCAGTTCGGAACACTGCATATACCTTTATCGTGACAAAAACGGGAGAGTTTGCTTCCTCGCCATCTATGTTGATGATCTACTCGTTGCAGCCAAGGGCCTAAAATTCACGGAGAAGATGAAGAGAAACCTACGGAGACTCTTCAAGATGCATGACCTCGGTGAAGCAAAGCACCTATTGGGCATTGAGATCATTCGCGATCGGGCTAAAGGAACCATCAGTTTGTCGCAGCGGCAATACATCACGAAGATGCTCGAGAAATACGGACTCAAGGATTGCAAACCCGTGGCAGTCCCAATGGACCCCAGTCTAGCACTATCTTCTGCGCAATGCCCCGAGTATGGGTCAGACGAATGGCGAGAAATGCAAGACAAACCATACAAAAATATTGTCGGTTCGTTGATGTATGCCATGGTCACAACACGTCCAGACATCTGCTATGCAGTGGGAGCACTAGCACGCTATAGCGCTAATCCTGGATGAGTCCACTGGGTCGCAGCAAAGCGCATCTTGCGTTACCTTCGCGGTACAAGAGATCTGGCACTAACGTTCTCGCCGGTCCGAAAACGGGAGAATGCACTCGTATTCTATGGCTATTCCGACTCGAGTTGGAGCGGAGATGTAGACACCTCACGTTCGACTTCAGGCTATGCGTTCATGATGGGCGGAGGAGCCGTGTCCTGGAGCAGCAAGCTACAAGGACTCGTAGCGCTGTCATCGACTGAGGCTGAATACATTGGACTGTCCAATGCAGCGCAACAAATCGCTTGGTTGCGGGAACTGATGGACGAGTTGGGATACAAGCAACTGAAACCTACACTTTTGCTTGCGGACAACCAAGGATCCATCGCGCTCACGAAGAATCCAGGGTATTGTGCCCGAACGCGGCATATCGGGCGAAAATACCATTATGTGCGCGACGCAGTGAACGAGAAGAAGTGGGCGGTCGTGGACTATTGTCCGACGGGAGACATGATTGCAGATATCATGACGAAAGCATTGCCGAAGGAGAAGCATCAAAGATTTACGAAGGCCCTCGGCTTACTACCTCGTTCGAGTGGGAGTGTCGATAGTTGATATGATTGCGACCTCGGTAGATTTGTTTGTCAATGTTTTGGATATCAGATACTTAGCGTTACTCGCCTCTTATTTGCTCCCTCAGTCGTTTCATTCAACGGCTGAGGTGAGTACTGTATTTACTTGAGTAGGACGTCGCTGACACGCACGTAGTTCTCGCGTTCTTAGGTACAGTACATGAATACAGTCGTTTCATTCAACGGCTGAGTTCTCGCGTTCTTATCCTGGACGAGTTATCCGAAGTTATAACTTCCTTCACTGCCGATTGAAGAAGAAAACTCCCATGAAACTTCGCTGTCCTTCTCAGAGAGTCCAGAGGGGAAGGAAATCCATTGGATGATGACGTAGCTATGTGTGCTTAGGATGAATAAAAGTACAAGAGTTGCTTAAGAAGGATGGACTGAACTCGAAGGTACCAACCTTTGCAGGAACTAAAATGGCTTGTCAGCGTAGTTCCAAGCGGGTACACGGACCCACCCAGGAACAGACATGCACACACTGCACCAGCGATAGTGCAGGAGTCGAATATCTGCTGTTCGATGTCAGATGGTGGCGACTTCGAGACAGGGAGGGTGAATCTCTCCATGTAGTTTTGGACTATGGAGCTGGATGGCAGAGAGCGCATGCGTGATGTAGTAGTAGTACTTGGAAACTGATTGCGTAGATGCGGCGGCCAAGAGGTCCTCAGCAAGTTTGACGATAGCGTCGGCGTTGGGGCCGTTTGTTCGAATGTTGGAAAGTGCTGGGCAGAGTGGTTCAGATCATACCCGCACTCTCAGAGATTCGAGGGCATCGTGAGTTGAGGGAGGGTGTAGTCGCGGGAAGCGCTGGCGACTCGGAGGAGAGCAAAGTGAGATCCAACATATCAGCCAACAGGATGGTGAAGCTAAGGATATTGTGCAAGTGTAGGTCTAGTTTTGAGTGTGCAACAAGAGGAGCTTGTGCAAATACGAGTTCGACAGGGAATGTTTGACTGTGGGATGTAGCGACTTTGCAGGTCTAGCGTTGAAACCAGAAGTTAGCACATTCAAAAGCAGAGACACACTGGGAAATAACCAACTGTTGCACAACGATAGATGTCCCTTGGGGTGGTGAGTAATAGGGTATGGCATATAAACTCTGTAGGAAGGGAGAAAATCCCACCGCCATCACGGTTGTGGTGATTCGGAAGAAGAAAAGGTTTTGGAGATCCGACCCAAATCTGCTGACTTCCTATTTCGGCTAATTGCTATGACTTCGCTTGACGGATTCACACCTGACCGTCACCGCTTATGTTACTACTTAGTAATATTAGCACATATGCTACGACATTCCTAATTAGAGGGAAAAGTCTACCACACAAGACTTCAGCGATTTCCGCAGCATTTACCAGTGACTTGTAAGGTATTTTCTTGCCGGCTATATACCCAGCTATACCCAGTGTATAGCCGGGTGGCTATTATTATGCTTATGTACTAATCAGCAGCCGGCAGTTCCCGTCAGGTCTCCGCACCGTCTCCCACGACCTACCAACATGTGAGCTCATCAGCAAAAACAGCGCTTGCAATATCGAGCCATGGGGCCTACATTGCCCTTGTTGTCTGGTTGCAACCCCCCCCTCAGTGTAGCACCACATACCCCCCAATATTTAGTATTTTGCAGGATATTGCATCCCATACCTCACAGGCCATCCACGTTGCAATGCTATGTAGTTCACCATAGTACCATAGTTTACAGAGTGCCAGTCAATAGAATCAATGCGGCAACAATGCCATGCCATTAACACGAAAAAACGCGCTGACTATTCTACTTGACCTCCATCATCTGATATCCTCCCATCAGGCTGCTCGTCACTAACATACCCTTGCTCACTATCATTGTCCCCGCTACCCCTCTGAAACTCCTCAATCGCATGTTGAATATCGTCGTCGGATAAGCAGTCATCATCCGGAACGTCGATCGGCTCTGCTTTGGCATGTATACTGCAGAATTGAGTGAAAACTGAGTAAATAACATCAACAACGAGCAAGCCACTTACCGGCCTACATCGTTGATCTCCTTCTGAATGGTGTCGAGTATTCCATGGTCCTTGGTGCGCAAATTGAACTTGTTGAGGTTAGCGAGGTGTTTGGCGTAAATGTCCTTGTATTTGTCACCCGAAAAACTGATGTCGACACGTTCCCCATCAGCCCACTCGTCAATACAGCATTCGGCCTGCAATCGATGTCGTGAGATGTAATCAGAACACGAATAGCAAAACTCACCGCTGTGTAACACAAGGCCATGGCTGGAATGGCGAACGGAGTAAAATACTTGGCGAAGACAATACCTTCATCCTTTTTGTTGCGGTACCAGACTAGATTGGCGGCCTTCTGGGTTAACTTCATTTGAAACAGCCCACTGCGAGGCAGGTTCTTCTTTTTATCCCCGAGGCTCTTCCATGAAGTTGTAAGGATACTGTAAAAAACAGAACTTTGAAGACTCACGCGGTAGCACAAGCCGAACTTGTGTTTGAGCTGTTGAGCGAGCTGGCGGTTACGAGATTTGACCGACTCTCTCGCACTTGACTCAAACCCGTAAATGCTCTCGACGAGTGGTCGGACCTTGGCTTTCACCTCGCTAGTGAGATGAGATGTGCGACGTGTGATCTTGAATAAAATAATAGTAGTGGTGCGCATACAACAATAGCAAAGATTTACTTACCATTTGTATAATGTCGTTGTTGAACGCCATCTCGGTCTCATGATATTCGCATGCTTCCTTCCATGCATCCTTCGCCCATGAGACTTGGGTGACGCGATCAGGATAAGCATCAACCGATGCAAGTCGACTGCGAAAGTCACCGATCGCGTGTTTAATTAGTTGTTGCACCGCGTCCTCGTAGTCATGGGCTGCAACTCGTCCCTTGCTGTCGCGAACCTTGCGGGGAAGTCGTTGGTCTCTTGGGTGTGGGGATGACTGATTCTCATGGCGGGCACGCTTACGATCGTGCATGCCGTCGCTGTCTTCTAAGGATGTTGAACGACCGTGTTTGAGAGAATCTATGAAACAATTAAGCAGCAGCTCGCCTACAGATATGAAACTTACACTTGTTGTCAGAAAGGACACCGCCGTCCATCAACTCGACCTCGTCGTCATCCGCCGCTTCGTCATCATGACTTACAAACACTTGAGTATCGCTCTCGTGTCCATCGGCGGGAGCTTCATCGTCATAGCAATTCTGATCTTCATCTCCATTGTCCTTCTCGTCCAAGGTATTGTTGAGTGATCCTCTCGCCTGTCGGAGCTCAACCAGTTCTTGTACCCGGCCTGCTGTCAGACGATGCAAGGGTGATTTCGGCTGAAAGCACATGAGCATGCCAAACCAATAGTACTTTGAAGAGCCCGCTGACTTACACTGTTCACAGGGACCCGCCACTGGTCACGTTTGACGGGTGCTTGCAACTGGCTGCGTCGGGCATTGGTGGTGGTCTTATTGATGAACCCCGATTCCTCGAATAACGGTATATCAGCCCACACAGCGTTGTGGATAACGAGACAAATAACATTACCTTACTGAGTCCGTCTTCTTGCCAGCCCTGAGATGGCCTCTGCGCATCGGGTGTATTTAACTTGCAGTCATATGTTAAGCCAGCGCATTGGAAATAAATAGATAAAAACTTGCCGGTTGTGGTCCTCTAGTAGACCACGGTATTTGCTTCCTAGTCCCTTCAAGTGAACTGTCCGATGAGGTACGATGACCGAAGTTCTCTGATCGCTTCTCACGAGGTGGGATCTTGCTGAACCGGGCCTTTAAAGATCCATCGACGGCGGGCGCACTGAAAAGATTGATGTCTTCCGTAGTGAACTGTGAGTGCATGTCAGTCGCACCATTCCTCCCATCTGAAAGAGGTGCATACCTGTGTTCCGTCATTGCGCGCTTGATCAGATTTCTTGCGAGATGAGTTGCTTTTGGGTTGTCGACGAACCTCTCGAACTTGTTCTTCCTCAGCTGATTGGTACGAAGCTCTGAGTCGCAGAAATGTGTATACAATAGACGCATACCTTGATATAAAGCTCTCTCAGATGGACGACGCTCGCGGCGTTCACGCTGTGAGGGTGTAGCATTGCCCCGGTTGATAATCCTGTTGAGGGCTTCTCGAGTTGGTCCTTTGGATGACATGTTGAATAAAAATGAAGTCAAGATAGTGGTCACGGTATTAAGTAGATAAGATCGCGAGACGCACCAGGTTTTATATGTTGGGTGAACGCAAACACGTCCATATGAGAAAACAAATCAACAAATCAACGAACGCCTGAAGACATAAACACGTCCACCAAGTCAGCAGCTAACAAGAGAAAACAGATCAACAGAGATCAATGGACATCAGATAAATGTGGTTGTCACGCCATCAAGTGCAAACGATGAAAATTTTTTCTAACCCAGCCATGGCGGCACAAGGACATTTGACGGTGTGACAGTAAAATCGGACATGTCGGGTTCAAAGCACGCACCTTCAAACACCACCGCAATCGATTGAATCCAGTGATACATCAGTCGACACCATGTCCTATCACTGTGATTTCTGCCTCAAGGGCAATTTCCGATCCACACGAGCAGTCAGCGCTCACATAACAAACGCTCCTGAATGCAGGCACCAGATGGAAATGTTTCGTGAGCAAGTGAATGCGAGCCCAACAGATAACTCACGATATGAAGAAAACATCGATTATGAGGCCTTCAATCAAGAAGCACCACAGCCATCGACATCACCCACGCCTGATCATGATCGGGCACATGCTCAAGAAGTTGTAGAATCGAATCAGCGGGCACAATCAGATCAGCGGGCACATGTTGAAGACATTGAGGATGAGGAACAAGTCTGGATGCGATTCATTCAATCGTATCCAGGCCAAGTTGCCAAAACACTTGGCGAGGCTCAAACTATGTTCCATGGGATATGAGCTGAGCAAGAGGCCCTAGGGCTGGACCCATGGGCACCCTTCGCGGACGAAGAAGAATGGGCCCTTGTCAAGTGGTTGATATCACGGGTGGGACAGACAGCGATAGACGAGTTCCTCAAACTACCAATTGTGAGTTGTCCCGCTAGTGTTAAATCGTAGACTTACAATAGGAATCCGATGTCCTCCCAGGCACGACACATGCGCACTTCTTTCACCAGCAAATACACATTGATGAAGTCTGTGGATAAGCTTCCACACGGCACTGAGTGGAAATTGAAGAGAATCAATGTTGAGGGGAACTTACTCACAAATGGCCAGTGTGAGCGCGAGGAACTCGAGTTGTGGTTGCGCAATCCTGTCGACTGCATACAGGAGCTCATGGCGAATGCGGAGTTCAATGGTGTGGTGTCATACACACCAGAGAGGGTGTTTGCAGATGTGGAGGGCAAGGTACGACAGTTTGATGAAATGTGGACGGGAGACTGGTGGTGGGAGATGCAGGTAAGTGTCTACTTGTGCCATAAGGGATCAGATGTACTAAGTCCATTGCGACAGGGAAGATTGCCTGAAGGGGCTATGGTTGCTCCAGTCATCCTCGCTTCAGACAAGACCTCACTGTCTCAATTCCGAGGTGATCAAGAAGTCTGGCCGGTCTATTTGACCCTCGGCAATATTTCCAAGGACATCCGTCGTCCGCCATCCAAACACGCCTCGATACTCATTGCCTACCTACCTATATCGAAGCTGGAGTGTTTCTCGCGCGACACTCGTTCTCTAGAACGCTATCGTCTTTTTCACTACTGTATGACCCAACTTCTCGAGCCGCTGGTCAGTGCAGGCAAGGATGGTGTTGACGTGGTTTGCCCTGATAGCCGTGTCAGGCGGATGCACCCGATTCTTGCAGCGTACGTCGCAGATTTCCCTGAACAATGTCTTGTATCGTGCTGTATGGAGAATAGATGCCCCAAATGTGTCGTCGGACGCAACGACCGTGGCGACATCAGACGATCAGCTCCCCGCGAACGAGACTCGATTATGGAGTATCTACGCCAGCACTCGCGGGGTGAATTGAGCGTTGAACGCTTCGAGGGAGAGTTAGGGCTGCGAGCCATATACCAACCTTTCTGGGCCACGCTGCCCCACAACGACATATTCCTGGGTATGACTCCCGACATCCTGCACCAGTTGCACAAGGGGGTCTTCAAGGATCATCTTGTTAGTTGGTGTACAGACATCATTGGCGAGGAGGCACTCGACGCCCGTGTCAAGTCGATGACTTCATACGCTGGCCTTCGTCACTTCCACAAGGGTATTTCGAAGCGGAAGCAGTGGACCGGCACTGATTATAGAGAACTCCAGCGTGTATTCCTCGGCGTTATTGCAGGAGCAGTCGAGAACAGGGTGATATTAGCAGTACGTGCTGTGTTGGATTTCATCTACTATGCTCAATACCAATCGCACACGGAAAAATCGCTGGCTCGCATGCAAACTGCACTCGCCTCATTCCATGCCAACAAGAACATCTTTATCGAACTTGAAGTCCGCGAGCACTTCAACATCCCCAAAATTCATTCCATGGTCCACTATATCGACTCTATTCGTTTATTTGGGAGCGTGGACGGATTTAATACCGAGCTTCCAGAACACCTTCACATCGATCTCGCCAAACGTGCTTACCGTGCAAGCAACCGCCGCGACTACGTCATTCAGATGACGATGTGGCTACGTCGGCAAGAGTCACTTTGTATTAAGGACACATACCTACATTGGTGGGCTTCTCAACGTCTTATCGACAAACCGTCGGACTCTGCAGCTGCGCTAGATCTTTCGGATACAGATTCCGACTCAGACGATGATATTCCCGACCACTCGCGCCAGCTTCACATCATGCCTCGCCAGATCCACCGCTTCACAATGTTGTCTGCCACACGTGGCTACTTCGTCCCCAAGATCTGCTCATTCCACAACATACCAATTCAACGCCTCATCGAAAACCACGGCGCCTCTCAGTTCGTTCCTGCGCTTCAAGCGTTCGTCAACGAGCGCTTTCCAGGTCAGCTGCATAGGCAGCTAAATGCACAGGACCGTGTCGACGTCTTCAAATATTTGTCAGTGCTCTCGCCAGCTCGACCCCACATTACGAACTCCAAGTGTTTTTTCAAGATACGCGCATCACCAGTGGTGGCTTCGAGGGATCCGCGTAAACCGCCAGCACCTGCTCGGTTTGACACCGCGCTTTTCATCGAAAACCGAGAACTGTACACGGCGAAGGGCATATCAGGTCAGCAATCTTGTTTCGCACTGATCTATGTTGCCTCACTCACCTTGTGAGTCAGGGCTACGAGTTGGTGAGGTGAAGGTTGTTTTTAATCTGCCGTCACGTCTTGGCGAATTTTCGCATCCACTTCTGTATGTTCACTGGTTCAGACCTCTACAGACCTTCGACAATAATTTGCAGACCTTCCGACTGGCTCGGTCATCACGACAGCACGGACCTCATGCAGCCATAGTGCCTGCCACAGAAGTCATTCGTGCGTGTCACGTTATTCCACGTTTTAGTCGACAGCACGTTGTTGATGAGGAGCAGTTCTATCTTAACAAGTATATTGACTTAGATTTATTCGAGCGCTTGGTGTTGTAGTAGTATATAGCTGATGTATTCATGTTATTATCTATGGAGTCTACAGAATGAGGTAACAAGTACATTGTAAGAATTTGCAAGGGGGAGTGATATGGACTGGTATAGTGTGCTATGGGTCGTGGCCCGAAGCTCGGTGGTGCTACGGAGGCTACAGGTAGGTATATGATGTTGTAGGTGGCAACTGCCACCCGAGCTTTTTCCTGATGCTCATCGTCAACGACGATGAGCTCGCTTATATGGCTCATATTTATGCCTTTTCAAGCGCTTTTTTGCCTCTGTGCATGGGAGCCTGTCTGCTTTATCTCCACCAGCAATATCCGGCATTAATTTACATTTTTAACGGTCTATGTAATGTAAGGTATGTTCATGTTCTGGGGCAAGCTTACTAAGCTTTTTCCTAGTCATCTCCACCCCACCGTCGACGATGGGGAAGCAGCCCACTCTCTGTTCGACATCGCGCTGTGTGACTATGACAGTCCTCCGTAGCTCTGGTCCACGTACTTCTTCAGCTGGACTCATTCGTATTCGCCGTGATCACCTTAAAGCTGAATGCTTGAGAGAACAACAAGCCCGTGGTAAGCCGTACTCTTGGTCCTTTTCCTTGTCCTTGCATTTACTTTCTTCCCCTCACCTGTCTCCAGATCAGCGCCTTTTCGCTTTCTCCTGGTCTTCTCCACCCCACCCTCTGTTCGACATTGTGTTGTGTGCCTGTGAACAGTGCTTGGATCAGCGCTGGCCAACACCTTTCACGTGCCCATTCATTGATGAGCGGCCCACTCTCCATTCAGTATTGCACCATGGGCCTCTGACAGTCTTCCATAGCTCTAGCGCCAAGCTTCATTAATAGTGCTTGCATCAGTGTTGGCCGAAACCCCAATGCCCACGTGCCCATCCATTGACGGCTGGCCCTATGTGGACACTAATGCTTAGTGCTTAGCCCTGGAGGTCTTCCCCCATGTTGCTATGTTTATTTTCTCGTGTTCACAAGCCCAACTGCGAGGGGAAAAGCACAGCTCCATGTATTGATATTGTTTGCTGATGAATAAACAATGTAATTTGCGCATGTGCCATTGGTTGAAATTTTCAGAAGAGTGTTTAGGGCTACCACTTGTCTTCCGAGTCAGAGGATGAACTGGATGAGTCGTCTGTATCACTATTGACAACTACCGCACTCTTTGCGGTGGTCTTAGCGGCGCGCTGCTTCCTTGGCTTGTACACAGCCTCACCGTTGGCGTGACGTGCCCGATTACTTGTCATCCTTTGGTGGAGCTCGTCCTCTGCAAGTGCTGTCCAGGTACAAGTCTTATTGTTAAGTGCATCGAGCAGTGTTTGCACCTGCTCCCTGTCCACCTACACGTGAGGGATTTCGAACAGGTAAAAGGGCTGAGGGCCAACCCTGTAATGTAACGCCATAGCGCTCGACAATGGAACGCTCGTAGTTAGCATAGTTCATTGTAATCTTGCGGTCGGTAATCTTTTTCTCTCGTAAGATATAGTCTGATAGTGTAACAGTTATTAGTTGATAGACAAAGCGAAGGGATGAACATAGCCCACCTAATTCATCTTGAATATGTGTTCGGCATTCACTAATCAACTTGTTGAGAGAACGAGGTTGGGTTTTTGAAACATTGGCATCTATTGGATATAATGTTGGAAAGAGGGCTCAAATGAATTGAAATAAAAACTCACCAAGCCCCGACACAACAAAAGCTTCAAGCTTTAAAGCCAAGCGCCTTGGCTCCAAGTCAAGAATAGTGTGCGCGAACTTCTCTGCTTTCTCTGAGAAGAAAAGCTTAGGCCCGCTAAGATCCTCGACACCGCCTCGGACGGCTATGTAAAATCCTTCGATTCCAAGTCGCGAACACAATGCAGTCCACTAAATACCAACATATTAGCAAGCAAGTGTAGCAACCGTAAATTAAAACAGACCTCCTGATCCATTGCAGCAAAGGATGCGAGCATATCGCGCTGCACGGCCTTCGGATTGTCACGGACAATTTTTTGCTTTGCAACACGCCTCTGCATGATCTCAATCACAAATGCATTCTTCTGAGCAGCGGTGAGCTTTGAATAATCATGCTTGAGAGTCTCATTGTGATCTTCGATGAACTCTGTCAACTTCCAGTGGTCACCGCGTGAAAGTCCTACATAGTGTTAATTCTACTGGCAAGGAACATACTGAATCAACATACCTTCGTTTACGTCGTTCAAGCGCTGACGAACAAATCTGTTCCATGCGTTTGGAGCGCGCTGACGACGGACAGTTTTCCCACCAAGGTATAACTGACGCCGTGTCCAGCGCTCGGATCTGTAGTGAATCAACATTATTATTAAAACAGCTCTATGAAAAACGTACCGCCCATGTTTTTTTGCCAGTCCTTGGACTTCATCCATGTAGGCTGCTCGTGTATCATTGATGTCATTAGTAAGGGATACAAACTTTTCACGACGAGCAGACTTCTGAATGGTAGTGAGCTGCGGACAGACCCTCTTAACAGCATGTGTCTTCCCAGTGCGTGCCATCGACTCAAAAATTGGTGGACAAGGAGGTTTGAAATCCTCCAACTTAAATGCTTCGGGTGGGGCAGAGGTGAGAGCCGAACGGTAATTGAATTTGTTTCTATCAACAAAATAGTGTGTGAGACGGACTAGTTACAAACGGATGTGTTGCGAAGAACTAAACTATACAATGTTATTACAGGGCCAATTAAACATGATTTGAAACTTTAAACTTACCAGTAATGCTTGCCGATCGAAGGTCATTCATGAGTTTCAAGACAGTGGACATCAAAGGTTCGAACACCATGTTCTCCTTGAGTGCATCCTGCCATTGAGATTTTTCGAATCCGGCATCTTCATTAATGCAGCTGTGTATTTCGCGCAAAACACCTCGTGGAAGATGGTGAATAGCGAACACAGCCTTAACCGTCTCGAAACTAACAGCCCCCAAAGCTAATGGCGTGGTTGAAGTGCCGGTGATTGATCGGATAGCAGTCTCACAAGAATTCATCAGAACCGAAGAAACGGGCGCCGAGAGCGCTGGTGTTTGCATGTCATTTGGATGTGTGATCGAAGTTGTGGCATGAGCGATGGCGCCAAGAGTAGACTCGGGTGCTGGTATTGAAGTGAGAAATAAGATTCAGTTAAAGATCCAGCGTGGATCACTTACTCTTTTGCTGAAGATGAGGCGGTATCTTCACAGCTGTCCAACAACCATTGAAAAGCTCATCGCGAATCCCAGGTAAGACTTGATCTTGGAGTATCCTGGAGATTCCAGTGATAGTGTCTGCAATAGCAGGAACAGGTGGATGGGATGAAGTAGCGAGCAGTGTGATATCCGGTGATCGAACAGTGAGAAAGTCTTGTGGCTTGCCTCGCTTTCCTTTACTGAACACGAATTCTTTTAGGTGGTGGGTATGTGAAGTCAAATGTCGCATGAAATTGGATTGCGAGGTAGTCGCGCTAGCTTTGCATAAGAATTGTGATGATTATGTAGAAAAAAATGACTTACCAATAAGCTTGTGTCGTCGTTAGAGAAAGCAAGATCTAAGTATTGTAGCCGATGAATTGGTCGAGGCAGACAACCATCTTGGCCATGACTCGCAGTATGAGTATCAAGCATTTGGAAGTGTAGCAAGTAGTACCTGCGAGATCTCGTGAGACTCAAACATCCTCGCCTTCCATCTTTTTGTACGTGATAATAGCGCCGACAATCCCTGAGATCTATAGATCGTCGTAAACGTACTTTTCACGTCATACAACACGAAGAGCAGATAAGCCTTGTTAATTGTGTTGTTAGCTACTGTGATGAAAGTACAATTGACCTTACGTTGCGATACTCTTTACATGTAAGTACAAGTGTGATGGTATTGTGAGAATGAATCGAGAAGCTCTATATACATTGTGATACTCTGTAAGTACAAGTGTGATGGTATTGTGAGAACGAATTGAGAAGCTCTATATACGTTGTGATACTCTGTAAGTATTACAAGTGTGATGGTATTGTGAGAATGGATTGAGAAGCTCTATATGTTGCGATACTTGAAGGCAGGGCTTCCAGGTTCGGAGGACTCTATGATAGTGCGCGTGAAACCAGGACCCTCTCTTTGCAACACCTCCTCAACAGAGAAGACTTCCACATCTTCCAAACTCAAAGACTTTTGGAGATACGGCAGTAACTCCTTCGTAATGGTCATATGTCTTTACCTTGAACGCCTGGATGAATGGCATAGCGCGCTTTACATAGAACATTATATCTAAAAACCATACGCCAAGTGTCACACCTTCAGAAACCAATCAAGTTCTTGTACATTGTCAAAGCGACATCATGCTACAACTAGACATCACTGTGAAATCTGCTGAATACAGGACTCGAACCGTGCCGACGCCTCGCCTTCTAACATTGGATCATATTCCTCCTCATTCTCACTGCCAGCGACCACTGTGTTCACTTGCAAGGGGATAGAACCGGTGTAACCTGGTAAGCTATATATGCGTGCAAGGCAGTTGCGATGCACATCGTTAATCCGGTGTTGACGATGGTACAGTAACCACAACTCTGCAGCAAGTCGTGTATCCGTCGAATCGAGTTCTGTAGCCGTCCGTTCGATATCAGAATCCTCCATGTCAACCCATGCCTGCAGGCGTTGTATTTCAACATTCAGTCGAGTTATTTCTTCCTGCGCACGAATGATTTTGAAATACTTATTCGTCATCTTCGCGATGGATGCCTTTGCTCCATGGCTTTGCAAGTATGTCATGGCGTGAGCACTTGAGAATCTCGAACTCGCCGAGAGCCAGCACAAGACATGACCTCACTGTATTGAAGGGTAGGCCGTTGGGGGTTTTGAGAGAGAGCGAGCTTGTTGTATTTGTCGAGCGCTGATCGGATCAGCACCAGAACGCTTCACGATGGCTTTGGAGATCTGTTTCCGAAGTTTGTAGCCTAGAATCACATGAGTGGCAAAATATACATGAAGACTGATAGATACCTGTGGATGCGAGATTTGCCTTAGATAGCTCGAACATGCGTTGCACAACGAGACCTTCAAGATCTTCGATAGCACGAATAAATTGACAGCTTTCGGCTGTATTCCAGTGTTTTGATATACTCCTGAGACTGAGGGGACCATCGTGTGACTACACTCATTCGATCTTCGATATCCTCAACAACACTTATCTGGACTTGCAGGCGTCGCTCGGCAGCACGTCGAGCTGCATGTCCTTGCTTTGTCGCATGCAAAGCATCTTGACTAAGGCCCGAGTCTGGCGTAATGAAGAGGGCGTGTATGACATAAATTGACTGTTATGCGAAGCTTCAAAAGCGGCCCTGGAACACGTTCATGATTTATCATGCAAAGTTAAACAAAATGACTCACTGGCACTACTGGAGCTTCTCGAGCACTTCAACGTACTCGACTGCAGTAGCATCCTGTGCAGGCTCTACGGCCACAGCTTCCAGATAAGCGAATTCTTCCGCAATCCAACTTTCAAAATCAAGTCCCTCCCCAGGGAATGTTGCGTGATAAGCTTCAAGTTCCTTGGTGTAGTCGGAAATCACAGTTAGCGCTTGCTTGTAATTATTCAGAATAAACCGGCCTAAATCAAATGATTGAATGACCCGAAATTATCATACTAAGTGGCGCACTTACTAAGTTCAAGGTACTTATCGATATCCCACTGGTCGAAATGAAGCTCCAGGAACTGAACGTAATGGAAATGCGAAGCATGACGTATAAGTGGCGCTGCAGCGTTAGAGGCTGCGAACACACGCTCGCATGTTTCCAAGTCCTCGAGCCCAAATCCATGAAGGTAAAGAGGGTGATGTTGCAGCTGGCACTTGCGATTGTGCGCGTGGCCATGAAATGCATTGACGGCAAGGATAAGATGATGATCAGCAGCTTTCTCTCGAATTGAGCTTGCAGCAACCGTTTTCCTGAGACTACATCCGATGTCACTACCAATGCCAAGGTGGTCGCTAAACACATCAATTAGTTTATTAATTGTTGCCAGTGGGTACTTTGCCCTAGTAGAAGCAATGAAGACTTGATAACGTAAATAAAAACAAAAAACGTACAGCTCTCCACTGCACCTCATTTCTGTAAGAGTCTGAATAATTCCATGGCGACATGCAGATAAAAATATTCCCATCTGCTCGAATATGCGGATGGTGTTCTCGCTCCCAGACGCAGAATTTGCTGCTTGCCAATTATCTGTGCAAGTAAGAGAATTGTTCAGTTGGTCGGGCTGATTGGCAGCACTCCGTTCACCAGGACGTAAGCGTACATCATCTTTAAATCTATCCACGTCAGAAGACGCGATCATATACCTACTTGGATAAATTCGGCGGTCAGTGAAGCCTACATTATCCATTCGTTTCACAGAATTGTTGCCGTCCATAGCCCTGAGAGATGCGGGAAATAAGGCAACTTCATCAGGTTGCTGTCAAACGAATTCAGACATGAAAAAGAGGGCGCTCATACTATTCACCTTGAAGGTACATGCAGGGCAGCTGTTGCGAAGCCGCCAGTCAGGGTCAGATTGGCTGAGCGCCACATCAATGCGTGATTGAACCTCGCGAATGATAGCAAGATAGACATCAAAAGCAATTGCAAATTGTTCACGGAATGATTTGATATATGTGACCTAAACTAAACAGTGAGCCGATATAGTATCATAATCAGGAGTGGTGTGACATACGTTGTGTAATGCACATAATACTTTCATGAAGGCCTGGATACTGAATGACAACTGTCGACGTCGAAGCTGATGGTAAAGTTCGAGACATTGTAGAGTGATCACAACTGTTGGAGTCGTAGGAGAGCACCCAAGGAGGCCAACTTGCAATAATGCTATGTTGGCTGTTTCCTCGTGATTTTGCGCAATCTCACAAACTGGATGATAATCTATACTGTGTAAGACCTATTGATCATAATGAAATAACTTGGAGTACATACCGAACACATCAATCTTGCTGACGTGGAAGTGGTGTACTGGTTGACGGCCCTCTGCATTTGTGTTGTTGCGAGGGCCATGTTTCCAATGAAGATAGGCATCCGCGAGCGCTCGTATCTGAGCACTCCAGGCTGCATGCATATTTGCATTGCGTGCCTCCCGTGTGCGCTGGTCGTTACGGCGTCGATTACAGCTGTAAAAAAACGAGTGTGATGGTCTGAAATCAACTGTAAAATATTACTTACCTGGTGTTCAATCGCAGGAGTCCATATGAAGAGAAAAGATTCTCTTCAGTTGATCGGAGTGGTCTGGCCCCACTGCTATCGCTCCTGGTACTGGTATCGCTGTCATAGTCTTTGAAATTGTGCGCTGTCGAATCGAAATTGTCCTGCAAGGTGTCATGGAAGTTGTCGGCATCAAACACAGTTCCTGTTTCAATAGCAGCCTCAGCGGCAAGCAAAAGGCGCTGATCTGGAGACAGGTGAGGGGAAGAAAGTAAATGCAAGGACAAGGACAAGGACCAAGAGTACGGCTTACCATGGGCTTGTTGTTCTCTCAAGCATTCAGCTTCAAGGCGATCACGGCGAATACGAGTGAGTCCAGCTGAAGAAGTATGTAGACCAGAGCTACGGAGGACTGTCATAGTCACACGGCGCGATGTTGAACGGAGAGTGGGCTGCTTCCCCATTGTCAACAGTGGGGTGGAGATGAGGTGATGGTGGAGCGGCAAGCCTTTGCTTTGCATGTGACATAGATCACATGATCATTGTGGGAATTTGAGCTCGTCGTTGTCAGGTGCTGACAACGATGAGCTCGACCGCGGCAGCACTAGAGATGACTAGGAAAAGCTTAGTAAGCTTGCCCCAGAACATGAACATACCTTACATTCCTTGAAAAAGGCATAAATATGAGCCATATAAGCGAGCTCATCGTCGACGATGATGAGCTCGCATGTTGGTAGGTCGTGGGAGACAGTGCGGAGACCTGACGGGAATTGCCGGCTGCTGATTAGTACATAAGCATAATAATAGCCACCTGGCTATACACCGGGTATAGCTGGGTATATAGCCGGCAAGAAAATACCTTACAAGTCACTGGTAAATGCTGCGGAAATCGCTGAAGTCTTGTGTGGTAGACTTTTCCCTCTAATTAGGAACGTCGTAGCATATCTAATATATTAAAGTGACTCGGTCACATGATTCTTTCCATTTACATGTTTGTTAAGTAAGCAAACAACGTGGCTTCAACTGCAGCGCTTGACGCTATTTCTGGTCAACAGCTTGCGCTTCGACTCAGGTGCACGTGAAGATAATGAATCGAAACGCATATGGTAGGTGTTTTTCTTATCTGCCAACAGTACTTGACATCAACCATCACTAGCGCGTGCTGCGGACAATTCCTCCGTTGTCCGTACATACTCAAGTCATCTTGATGAGTCGGTAAGCTCCCAAAACTTCTGATTCCAAATTCTGACTCAATAATATCTTGCCTTCACAGAAAAATGCCCTGGCTTCACAGCAATTTCCCCGTGAGGAGGTACAATTTGGCAAGAAGAGGGCCGTGCCTGACTCTGCGGACGAAGTCGCACTTTCACCTCCGCGCAAGCGTATTGCAAGCACTAGCAAGACTGTTTTGCCTACCGGAGGGTTTCTGTCACCGACTTCGCACAGTAACCAAGTGGGAGTTGGTATGGTAAGTTCGAGTTTGCATCTTTTTGGCAGCTGTCATTGATTCCATGAAAGCTACCCCAAGCCCAAGTCCGGCAATCTGTTGAGGAACTGCCACACAGAGAAATTGTGTCCCGTACGTTTCGTTTTACACGCAGATATTTTACTGCAACTTAACCTTTTCATTATGTATAGAGCCGCCTCGAAAACCTGTGACGACCTTTGAGCGGCGGTCCTTGGCTCAGCGCGAGCGTCAGGAACGCGAACGTCACACGAGAGAAGTGCAACAGGCTGCTGCTGCTGCCACTGCTGACAACCGGGAGGTTGGCTCAAGCCATGATATAGCCAGTCTCTCTGACGCAGTTCAGAGACCTATGACACAATTCGAGCGGCGGTCTCTTGGACAGCACAGGCGTAGGGAGCGCAAGCGTAGAGAACGCGAAGCTGTGCAAGATGGTCAGCTCATCTTCCCTCATAGCCACGAGGAGCATGGGTTCCTTGGCCAACCTTCGATGGACATTGACCAGCATCACGCACCAGATCCTCACCCTGCACCTGCTAACCGTCTTACTCCTGTGCCTGCTGTACTGCCGCATGTGCCTCCCACAGACATTCGACCTGCACGAGCAGCAGAACAACAAGATCATATGCCGATTGCTCCTGCTGTCGCCGAGCCTGCACTGCCCCCACCCCCTCCTCCACGTCATGTTCCATTCGAACTCCCCCTTGCTCGAAGACCCTATACTGAGCCACAAGCTCGCCACGACCTTGGCCGAATGAATGTCATATGTCAGCATTGTAGAGCCTACCATTGGAAGGACGAACAGGTTTCTTCGTCATCGAACCGAAATCCATCGTTTGGGATGTGTTGTGACCATGGCCAAGTTCGGATACCCCTTCTGCGTGACCCTCCTGCGGACTTGAAACATTTATTCTCAGATCTTACCCCGGCGGCCATCGAATTCCGCAGCAACATCCGGCAATATAATGCCGCACTCGCCTTCACATCACTGGGAGTTGATGTTGACCACACTGTTAATAATGGAAGGGGGCCTTATGTATTTCGTGTGCATGGAGAGCTGTGCCATCATTTTGGAAGTCTGTGTCCTCCTGATGGTCAGGCACCTATATATGCTCAACTGTACATTTATGATCCTCGCATAGCTCTAGATGAACGCATGCACCGAAATCATGAGCTGAGTCGATGGACTATGCATAAACTTCAAACTGTACTTCTCAGCAACCACCGCTATGTGACATTGTTTCATCAAGCGCATGAAATACTCTCCAACCATCCTCACGACTCTCTAGTCACCATCCGGCTGCTCGCAGATCCTAATCGTGATCAGCGGAGGTACAACTTGCCCACCGTCAGCGAGATTGCTGCTATTGTACCTGGTGATGGTACACAGGCCACCGACTCGCGTGATATCATCCTCCATCGACGAACGGGACCACTACAGAGGATCAGTGATGGACACAGATCGTATGCGAGCCTCCACTACGTCCTTTTCTTTCCTTATGGCGAGGACGGCTGGCATTGGGAACTCCAAATGCACCAACCTGAAAAGCAGAACCCGAGTCGTCTGTCGCAGATTCATTATGCTGCCTTCAGAATCTTCCCCCGTGAACTCGAATTCTCAACGATTCTTCGTGGAGGTGCACTTTGCAACAGTACTTGGTGGACATATTTGCCTCTGCTGATCAGGCTCGCCTGAATTACCTTCGCAACAACCAAGGTCAGCTCCGTGCATCACTCTACAGTGGGCTTGAGGACGCAGTGACTTCCGCAGGAGATGAGAACTTGAATCTTCGCAATCTCGGCCAACGCGTCATACTACCATCGTCGTATATGGGAGGGCCACGCTATATGTACCAGTGCTTCCAGGATGGCCTTGCCCTAGCACGGCACTTCAAAAAAATCGACATTTTCATGACGGTGACTTGCAATCCAAAATGGCCGGAAATTGAACGTCAACTCCTTCCCGGTCAAACAGCTGCGGATCGTCCAGACTTAGTTGCAAGGGTCTTTCAAATGAAGAAGGATTCCATCATCGATTTGGTTTATAAGCGGGGTGTTTTTGGTCGGACTGTTGCATACATCTACACGATCGAATTTCAGAAACGTGGTCTTCCACACATGCACATGCTCATATTTCTCGAGCAGCGCTACAAGCTTTTAACGCCTGCAGATATCGACACTGCTATCTGTGCTAGATGGCCAGACCCCGAAGCCCATCCATTACTCTTTGAAACTGTCCGGACTTGCATGGTCCATGGTCCGTGTGGCGCCCTCAATCCCAATGCTCCATGCATGGCGGATGGAATTTGCACCAAAAGATATCCCAAAAGTTTCGTCGACCAGACCTGCATCAACCATGAAGGATATCCTTTGTATTATCGACCTGACGACAATCGAACTTTCAAGGTCGGCAACCATATGCTCGATAACCGATGGATCGTACCATATAACCCATTCATGTCAGCTATGTTCGGCTGCCACATCAACGTCGAGTGTGCCGTCTCCTTTGCTTCTGTCAAGTATGTCAGCAAGTATATATGCAAGGGCCATGACCGTGCTACCATGCAGGTCAACTCAAATGACGAAATCTCACAATTTATTGATGGTCATTACCTATCTCCATCCCAGTCAGTCTGGCGGATCTTGCAGTTTCACATTCATGAGCAGCATCCCTCGATCACTCGACTTCAAGTACACTTACCTGGCCAACACCTGGTAACTTTTGATCCAGACGAAGACCCTCAATCAGTGTTGGAGAGAGCTGCAAATGAGCGGACAACATTGACAGCATTTTTTGCTGCAAATTTAGATGCTGGTGCACTTGGCATTGAAGCTCGCAAGTATACCTACCCAGAATTTCCGCAGCATTTCACTTGGAAGGCTCAGACAAAGTCCTGGGAGACACGAAAGAGAGGTTTTGCACTTGGTCGCATGTATTATGTTGGTCCAACTGCAGGCGAGAGGTTCTACTTGCGCACCCTTCTCACAGTCGTGAAAGGTCCTAAATCATTCCAAGACCTTCGTACATTCCAAGGTACAACTTATCCAACGTTTCGTGATGCTTGCGTGGCCCGTGGTCTCTTGGAGAATGATGGAGAATGGCACCAGTGTTTAGAGGAGGCATCGGCAATGCAAACGGGAAACCAACTGCGTCAGCTCTTCGCAACGATTCTTAATTTCTGCTCTCCGACCAATCCAGCAACACTGTGGGCCAATTTTCGACAACACATCTGTGATGATCTTCGACATCGACTCATGGCTATCACAAATCGGCGTGACGACATGATCACAGATGATGAGGTGTTCGATTTTGGCCTTTACCTTTTGAATGGAGCACTCGAACGACTTGGTTCTTCGCTGCGAAACTTTGACATGCCTCAACCACTGCGGAACTGGGGAGTCGAAGCTGAAAATCGCTATATTGCCGAGCACTCTCTATCATACAACAGAGATGATGAGCGAGGCCAAGCAGCTATGCACATCCCACTTCTCAATCTAGAGCAGAAGGATGCATTCTTGCGAATCACGGACTCTGTCCAACACGAGCGGGGGTCCATTTTTTTTCTCAATGGACCTGGAGGAACTGGGAAAACATTTGTGTATAAGACCGTCTGCCACCAGATGAGGGCAGAAGGGTGGATCGTGCTCTGTGTTGCCTCATCAGGCTTAGCTGCCCTATTGCTCAAGGGGGGGCGCACAGCCCATTCAATGTTCAAAATACCCATTGATGGCCTTAATGAGGACTCCGTTTGCAGCATTCCAAAGCAAAGTCAGTTAGCTGACTTGATTCGTCGCACACGACTCATCATTTGGGATGAGGTAACAGCACAAAATCGCCACGGAGTTGAAGCAGTAGATAGGACATGTCGAGACTTACGGGACAACGATGCACCATTCGGGAAAATAACTGTTGTCTTTGGAGGGGACTTCCAACAAACACTTCCTGTCATCAAACGAGCATCCCGGGAAGATATTGTTGCAGCGACAATCCAAAAATCGGCCATCTGGAGGAATGTACAAATTCTTCGGCTCACTCAAAATATGCGGCTCGAGAATGAACGCAGCAGTCAAAATTTTGCCCAATGGTTGCTCGATATTGGCCATGGTCGAACTTGTGATGTAGATGGAGCAGTCACGATTCCTCACGACATGATAACCCCCAACCTCGAGTCACTCATAAATGATGTCTATGGCACCATAACCAATGGTACAGACCTGCCCCCTCCCGACTTCTTTGCTCACCGTATGATTCTCGCTGCACGCAACACTGATGTTGATGGAATCAACGACCTGGTTCTCGGTCGTATGAGAGGCGAGGAGAAACATTTCTTCAGTGCCGATCACGTCATTCAAGAGCAAGAAGTTGGCCCTGTTGCTCAGGATGGCCGAGAAGATTACCCAATCGAGTTTCTTCGAGCACTGAATGGATCTGGGCTACCACCAGGTGAACTTTCATTGAAAGTTGGCTGTCCTCTCATCCTTCTTCGTAATCTTGCACCAAATCGTGGGCTATGCAACGGCACTCGCATGATCCTGACCCGCATGTCAGAAAGGGTCCTGGAGGTGAAAATTCTGGGTGGTGATTGGAATGGGCAGACTGCATTCATCCCTCGCATCTCTCTTACTCCAACTGCAGATAGCACTGAATTCACGTTTATGCTCAGGCGAAGGCAGTTTCCTGTGCGTCTCGCATTTGCGATGACCATCAACAAGGCACAGGGCCAGTCTGTAAAGTATGTTGGCTTGGACTTGCATGTTCCTGTATTCAGTCACGGACAGTTGTATGTCGCGTTGTCACGCGCAACTTCACGCAGTCGGATTAAAGTCCTCCTTCCACCAAACATCGTGACGACACCAAATATTGTCTATCCAGAAGTTCTTATCTGGTGAGAGTTCAATGTTTCCTTGATTGTGTGTGCATAAAGCTCATGTACACTGCGCACATCATCTTAGACCTACTCAACATTATCCGAAGATATGTACTACACTTATGATTTTGTGTAATTAATCATTCACTTAGAAGTTACATTGACTACTACCTTCAAGTTGTCACTGACGACAAAAACAGACTGTCCGGCATGCGACTGTATTCAAGCATTCATGAACATTCGGTATTGTTCTTCCTGCTACATATCACTAGCCGAACCGAATATGACAAAAAATAGATCATCAAACGTATTCTGTGTTGGGCCGTCCTCCATCTAATTGACCCTGAGCGCCACCATTGTCATTCCCGACAGTCCCAATGTCAATGGAAGTACACACGGTGCACTCACGAACATTCCATATTATTCTCACTGCACCTACTGAACATGGCGATTGAAGACTATAATCAGCATATATAAACTCAATGGTCCAGTCACGGTGTGTACTGCTCAACAACATCATCTTCACTTAGTCTTACTCCTCGTGGTCCTTTTAGCATGACGAACTCAAGTGCGAGCTCAGCTACCATTACTTCAATTGCTGTTTTTGAGAATGGCAGGCCAGCTGAAGGCCATGGTACTACGAATTTAATCTTTGATGCTCAGATTTACCTCGGAGACGATTGCCCTCCACTTCTTGCCGCTTTGCGTTACTTCAATTCCGAAAACCATGTCTTCAATGAAATTGGTTTCTATTTCATTGTTGCAACAGTAATCTCAGCCCATTGGCACGCATGCATCACACTCATTTTCTTATTTAGGTTGCAAAGATGGAGTCTGGTGCACATATCGCACTTCAAAACAATACTGGCATCGACGAAACAGACTACGATGTTGTGGGCAATGTTGTAATGGTGAGTCCGCTATGCACGGTATTCAAATACATACTTGCTGACATGCTATGGTTTTCTGTTCATAGTTAATTCCCATCACTGGCGACGCCGCCGTAAACCCCACCATCCGACCATATATCCACGTCTGTGGTACTGTCAGAAGTGTTGATGACCTTGCAGGCACCTTCACAATCGACGCACATCAGTACGTCAATGCCCTCAAGACTGCCACAAATTCAAACTTCAACTCTATGTTACCCGTCGAGTGCTCGATTCCCAACACCCCCAGGTGGCACAAGAATGGGAAGAAATTTGGGATTCCTCATCCTAACAGATACATTTCTGTGACAGGATTCTTGACTGGGAGGAAAACCAGGAAAGAACACGAAGTATGTATTACCGAGTGCTTCACTCTTGAAATCCAGTCTATCGTTTTTCTTGGTCGTCCTGTCGTTGCAAATTCTTCTGGATCCCGTAAGTTTTTCGTCACCGTGTTTCTTATGTGTGTTCTCAACAATCTGTAGCTATTCAGGCTCGAACCCCAGGTGCCAAATCCAAGATGAAGTTTGATTTTTCAAGCGCCAGGGCAAACAAATGTCTCCGTCTCGATGACAATGCAACAGAAAGTAGTGGGACATCGGCCATTAATTCAGTAGACAACTAGAAGTATCTATTAGATGTCTTTCCTGTAGTACGGATTTGATCTTATTGGCTATTTGTGTCTGAAAGCAAGTGGCGAAGCCACGGGAAGCTGCTAGTATATATATATAAATACTCTACCTTCTGCGAGTGATTGGGGGTCTGACAGGTGAAAGCCAAACAAACGTGCTTAGCAAGAAGCTGATCACCCCTTTCCATAGGATTCAGTCATTCAGAGCATGCATATGACTGCTTATCCATCCATGCCCCAGGATTTTTTTGCACTCCATCCCAGCCGGGTGGACCCGGAAAATTACATTTTTTGGATGTCCTTGAAATTTATAAAGTCCGATCAGCTTGTTGAACTCATTGTGCTTTTAGATCCCTGTGCCAGCAGTGCATCCACACCACATGGCTTACCAGAAGGATAGAATTTTTAAGCGGGTAACTGTCAATGATCCAATGGATCAAACAAGAGCCGCAGGAGGGTGTCTTCTTGACTCCTTTGAGTCACTGATACGACTGTGCACCGTTGCTTTTGGGGTCGCAGTGTGCGGCTTCAAGCTGCAGGGCGTCCCTGGGAAAAGCACTTTTCCAGAAGAGGCTGGAGGTCACTTCAGCCATGCTGGGATCTGGAACCAAGCGAGTTGGGAGGACTTTGTGGAGTACACTAAAGGCCCTCCTGGGGAGTATGTTGACGTCACCTTAGTGGCACAGAAGGAGGTGATTTTTTTTTTGTTTTTTTGATTCTATTGGTCGCTGCTCACAGCTTTCTAGCCTTCCTACCAAGCTTGCAACCCTTTGATTCTTGGATATGCTGCTGCTTTGAGAGGGAGTAGGAGTAGTAGCCCGAGTGTAAGTAACTTTAGCTTTTGGCTGCAGGATGCTGATGCTTCATAGGCTTCGCCTGTGGGCTCTGAAAGGTCCGCCTCAGCCACCAGAGGGCGCATCACCAGCATGTGCCACTCTTTGACATCCAGGGTATGCCTTTTAGAAAGCTTGATCCCTCCAACTGACACACCTTTAGGCGTCTGTGCAAACCAGACCCCCAAGCTCTCCTTCTACCAACACAAGGTCCCTATCCCCAACCCCTGCCAGACCTCCGTCATCAGATTCTCAGCCTTCACCTCTTGATCACACCATGCGCTACCCCAGCGGTAGGCGATCGCCCTCTCCTGGTCCTACCGCGCAGGTTCAGCGGCCGTCATCTGGGTTGTCCGGAAAATTTTTGACTGGGCCTAACCACAACTGTCATACCTGCAGTCAGAAGCTGAAAGACAGTGACGACTTCATCTCTCATGCAAAGAAGCACATTGGTAGCTTTATTTTTCATACCTCTGAGATAAGCTCACCTTCACTTCAGTTGTATTGCCCCAACGGCTGTGGAGCTCTCAAAGTAAATAACGCGGTTGACCATGTCAACCGACACTTTAAACTTGACCACCCCTCAAAGTTCATTGATGCCAAGCTGACTACAACGCCTTGCCCTCCTATACCAATCCCTTGTAAACGCAAAGGTTGTTGTTCTCTTGAAGCTCATGAGGTCTGAATGAGCTCCTCCCAGTCCCTCTTTGGCTATAGCTAAATGATAAATAGTTGCTAGCAATATAAGTAGTTTTATGGTCACTTGGCCGCACCGTCTAGTATCCAATATGAAATGTAAATGAATACACAATTTTGGCGCTGGTAAAACACCATAACGTGTGACCTTGCTGACAAATCAGCAACCCATCCTACCGCCTACAGGCCCTCCCTTTCTTCTTTAAAACAAGGTCCTCCCCACAGCGCCTGGTTTGGCCGTTTGCCCCAAGGCCAGCTGGGGAGTGATGTTGACCCCTTTGACTTCCTCCTTGGGCTCTTGGGCTCCCCACAGCACCTGGTTTGGCCGTTTGCCCCAAGGCCAGCTGGGGTAGTGCTGCCGAAGTCCGGTTCGGTCCAGTTCTTGGGGGTGTTTTGTCGAACCCAGAACTGAACCTTCGGTCCAGTTCAGCGCAGGAGGCGAACCCTGGACCAGACCATTCATAAGGTCCGGTTCAGGTTCAGAACCGGTTCGAACCATCAATTTTCTCATTTTAATTAGTATAAAATACAAAAAAAATCATACGCTATGCCATGCTCATTTTCAGAGCTCAAGTGCCTCGAACCTCTTCAGCAGCAAGCAATTGTAGTGCTGAACAACGAACTTAAGACCAGGAGGTGGGAATGAGTCTGTCAGTAAGGTGTAAGTCTAACAACTCGACAGCGCGACACACATCACCGCTACGAAGTGCACATGACGCAGCATCCACGGCAAGTGTACCTGGAAAATCCTTCATGACATTGTGTCGCGGACATGTAAGCGTCGAGCTCGTGAAGCGGGACAGCAGAGCAATGGCGAGACAGAGTTGAGTGATCGGTCGGTCAGGATGACCAGTCGGACGCAAGTCAAAGGCGTGTTGAAAAAGAGAGGTGGGGATGTTGTGGTCAAGGTACAGTCCATTAACTTGGCAATTAACAAACTTCACGGAAGCTAGATTGAACAGTGCTGCAGAGCAGCATGGATGATCTATGACACAAAGATCAACCGCACGTTCAAAGTGCCTTATAGATTGGTCAAGATCCCTAGTGTTCTGCGTCCTTCGGAATTGTGCGAGAAGACGATGTCCGGCGTCCGTCCTTAGTACTAACACATGAATGTCGTCGGATGTATGCTACACATTACAAGCACTCAGCATCAGAACATCGGACTGCATTGATCACTCACAGTAGTATGTGAGCGAAGAACTGCGACACGAACGGGCCAGAGTGGCATTGATGTGGGTTGAGACTGGAAAATGTGTGTGAGTCTACGCCCTTGGATCGTGGACTGCACTAAAGGAGAGCTGGTGGAAGGTAGAGGTAGTGTAGCAGGAAACTGCGAGGGGAAAAGTTGAGTTAACTGCGAGGGAAATAGGTAAGGATAAGGAAGGAACGGGCAGATGTAGTGAAAAATAGTGGGCTTCTCTGTAGATAGTCTTAGCGGGTGGGGAAGGGGTGTGAAAGGTGACGTGGCTATGTTTCGACGCGCGGCATGACATGTTGCGTTGGACTGTGACAATTGATGCAGTGGTATAAATGACTAGAAGAAAGATTTAAGGGACCACATACATTGAGTAAATCAGCAAGGCGTGGATTGTGAGGGGCAACATCCTGCAAGATAATGTTAGCGCATGAACAACAGATCTAAGCGGGTGAATGAATACATTGTCTGTGTTTCTTGTGGAGGCCAAACAGTAGCAAGAATGTCGGGTGGAGTGATTGATCATTAACTGAGTCAATTTCCTGTCGCAAAGTGGTTGCTGCAATCTCGGATATGATAGGTAGGACCATTATTTGTTTTTGAGCGCAGGCAATGGTTGACGCAGCAGGACGACAAAAGATGAGTTTGAAGAGGTTCGGACGCGTTCGAACCAGTTCTGGGTAATCCCGAACCCCGAACCTGTTTGGAGGTTCGGTCCAGGGGCCATGCCGGACCTGTGACCGGACCTTGAGTCCGGTTCGGAAAAGTTCGGGTTCGAACCGAGGTTCAGAACTGGACTGCGGCAGCACTAAGCTGGGGAGCCCACCCACCCCCCTCCCCTCCACATTCAATAGGTAGGATCCTTCCTCGCTGATATTCGTGTTGTTCGCGTTCTAGTGCTCATGTTACCGTAATTTCTCATCCGTTATGGCTCTAGATTTCACGAAGACGTCATAAACGCGCTTGAAACCCGTTAAGCGGATGTCGTTGAGTTGTAGTTGTATCAGCATTTTACAGTGCCTATGGAGGCAATTCACGTGATGCTCCAATGTATGAACGTCACCCTTTCCGAGCTCAAGAGATCTAACAAGACAGTAAGTGTCTTTGAACTGGCATTTTTTTTTGCACCTGAACGAATTATTATTCGTTATCTCGCAGCTTGAGCTTGATGATCTTAATGTAGAGTCCGCATATTTCCGTTTCTTTGATGCAGTAGTCCCCAGGCAACTAGACCCCGTATGGCACAAGGTCGGTCCACGGACGAAGCAACTTGTGAGTGACCTCGCAACTCTCAGACGTCTATTAACGTATGTTTTCATCATCATTGTTCTTGTTTTCATTTTATATTCATGTTTACCATCTGTCACTATCGTCTGTTGTCCATTTTGAACCGACACTGACCTGGGCCTTCTATCAAGGTACCTGCTGCCCTACGATGCCCTCGCTTTCCACGCCTACCTTGAGTCTCTCGTAGCCTCAAATACAACAACTGCTACGGGTGCAGCTAATAAACACCAACCCCCTTGGATGCCCACTGATGCGGGCAACATTATTTTCAACACCGCGAAACGACAGTGTCATGTCCTTACTGCTCCAAAACCCAAGGCGTCGATTTTCGAGAGGCAAGTGGTTGACGTTGACGACGAAGATGCATGGACTGCCCTTGAAAAGGTACATGGCATAGTACGAACCAATCGTGGAGATAAAGGGAAGGAAAGGAAGAAACCATGGGTTCCGGATAGCGTGCCTCCCGTGCTCGAAGAACTTCCAAAGTCGGATCTCCTTGCAGACGTACTTCAGGAAATCGAAGAAGAGTTGATGAGACGGAGGCAGTGTCGACTCGTGAGTCCAATTGACCCAACAATTTTTTTTTTGCTTGACGTACGTCAGGTCCGCCAATACGCGGGACAAATACTGTACTCGTCATGACCTCCTCTCCGCGCTCTTCTACCCTTGTGAGCGAGTTCTTGGGCGAGGTTGACAGCGCTGCTCCCAAAGGCTCTCGTGGACGATCTACGATGGAGCGCAAATTGCGGAGGTACCTATTTTGGAAGGGCCAGAACGCCAGACAAAAGCAACCAAGATACCAACAACCCCCCCAGTTTTCTGCTCCGCAGCCACAGCCCCCGTCGCTACCTGACGGTGAGATAAGCGAAGCTTTGAAGAGGAAGGACAAAATGAGACAAGAGTAAAGTGCGAATCGGAGAAGGATGTGTGGCGGCGCACCCGCTGCTGTTGAGCCAAGTAAACCGGCGATTGTTGGTCAAAAATTGGAGTCAAGAGACGATGCAGATGATATCGCAGCTTCGTGCGTCAGGATGCTTGTAATTGTGTACTCCTTACTAAGATTGGATTCAGTCTCGCGAGCCAACCATCAGACCTCCTCGTGTGCTAATATTACTAAGTAGTAACATAAGCGGTGACGGTCAGGTGCGAAAAGCAAGGCGAGCTTACGAAATACAACCTAGTTGAGAGTGAATGACCGGTTGACCGGTGACCTCTTATTCATTTCCCGCGCACGATTGCTTTGCGGTCTCACGACCAAAATCCCCAAAGTCTGTTTTCGCGGTGCTGAAGCACCTTCCGTACGTTATATCAATCACATTTGATGCTTGGTTCCCCGTTTCTCACCGTCGCGTGATTCACGCTTTGCGCCTAGGCATTCACTCTCCTCGCTTCATCCTGACCTCTACTTTCAATCTCACCGAATGATGAATAGCGATGTACGGGAGGTATGGCCCGCTTCCCTTGTACGTGCACGCTAATATAACAGATCAACGAATCGTATAACACCGACCACACGGTGCTATACCATCAACCAATGATTGAATCTCTGTCGACCAACGAATCTCACATTCGCAATAATGTGGCATCTCGAAACACCTGCCAAGCAGTGTGGAAGAGGTCGTGAGGAGCTTTTAAGGTGTTGGCGTAGCCAGAATGTCAAATCAGGGTGCGTGCGGGTATATCCTCATCCCCCTAGAACAAGCGCAAGTTACCACAATAATTATATAGATGAACAGATCGACTCTGAGATGTGAATACGATTGGAAGTATTGCTCAGAATTTAACCTATTGAGTGAGTGGGCGGGTTCGTACGTCGTACGACGGAATGCCTGCTTCGGCGTTCGAGAATTGATTTATACAAGATCTAGACTGGGTATCATGTGAAGCACATCAATTTGTTATACATTGCAGGGCGCTGACATCTGTTTTGATTTGTGGGGTCCGGCACAACCTCCGTCTCTACAGGGGAGAGGACTTGAATATCAATTGCGCCAATTCGCGACTACAAATTGGCCAAATTAATCAAACCATCGCTAGGTCCGCAACCAAGAACACATACCCATGTTAAAGTAAGACGATCCTGTTCCAAAAACATCTTGCGGAAGCCATCCGTCGAAAATGGCGTACGGCAGATGTTTGCAGTGTAAGGATGATTCAAGAAATCATCTCAAATCATCCTTACATTGCTACCACACCAGGCTTCTGAATGGGGAGGTTTGATGAGTCGACATCGTAGTGATGTTCCGAACGAGCAATGGCTCGTGTATTGAAGCCCAAGATGTGGACGTAGAAGCGACCCTCAGTGGAGAGTGCTTCCAGTCTTTGTCCAGGTTCGAGGGTGAAATCCTGCGGGAGGGTATACGCCATTTTATTACCGAACCCACCCGGTGACCGAGTCGGTGTGTTCGGTAGCAAAATGGTGTACGCCCTCGTGCGGAAAGCAGTGTAAGTCTGTTATAACGCGAGTAGACAGAACTTAAACGAGTTCGTAGGATTCGAGACGAGTAGGCGATGTTGAAATTGAATCACTTAGTACGGGACTTCTGACTGAGTGGGATCAAGGCTGCGTGAATTGATAACGGTTCAGAGAATACATGCCATCCTAAATACTATTGGGAGTGGCTCAGAGAATATGATACAGATATGTGAATTGATGAAGGGAAACGACAAGGACATAGGCATAAGCAACAACGGTGACATGTGCTACGCGATGTGACTGCCTGAAAGGTGAAGGTGTGAAACGATAAAAGATAGCAAAGCATCAAAAAAAAATTGAGTACAAAGGTAGGGTGGCGAGTATCCGTGTTCTTCGGATGTGAAGAGTAGTACGTCTTCACATCGATGAAATCCGCGGATAGCTTGCACTTCCGTCTGAAGTCGTGGTCGGCGGGTAAAGGATATAGTATCCTTACAGCAGCACATATGCTGGGGTTCTCATTCCGACCATGATATCGCATGGCCTTTGCCGAGAAAATGACCATAGGCGGTGCAAAACGAAGCTATAAAATCATGATTTGTGACTCCGGAGAGGGCACATGGCCGGGCATAATAACTGTGTAAGCAGCTACACCGCGGAACGACGGGATCGCATGGACCGTGGGGAGTTGTAATAATCCAGCGTGGCACCGCGGAAGGAGATAGGTGATTCGACGCTAGGCGACACATCGAGTTCTTGTAATGTAAACAAGGTTATACGGCCTTGCGTGTCAATCACAACGATGGTCTGCTTATCAACTAGATGAAACGCTTCCTTGATCCCTTGTGTACCAGGTGGAAAAGGATGATGTTTTTGCTAAGCGGGAGACTTCTCAAGAATAGAGGCACTTACACTGTTGGTATATCCCTTCCTCCAATCAATCACTTGCATGAACGCGGTACATCTATGTGATAATAGACAGATATCTTTCACCACAGATTGCACGGTCTGTATCTGTCCAAAAACGAACGCGGTACGAGTCGGGTAAATCAAAAGTATGTCTGCACTCCAGGGAAACGCAGACAGAATCTGGGTTGGAATGCTGGGATGAAGCTGACCAACACTCTACCCAAAAGACAGGGAATAAAATAATCATGTGAGGAGACGGCCCACCGCCGTACTATCCTGCAGAGGGTCGACAGCAAGATAATTGGCTGTGTCTGGGCCACGTCCTGGAAAGGCTGGTATTTGAGTAGAGAAATGGCCGACTATTGCGCAGCGAGAAATGTCCGTTGGAGGAAGTAGTTGAAGAAATAGCTCCGAAGGCTTTCAAATTTGATCAAGCGTTGCTTTGCAAAAGGCAGTGATCGCGTCATCTAAATGAATTAGGACCTCCAATAGTGATTCTTGGCTAAGCAGACCACTGACACCCTGTATACATACATCGTCATGTCCTCCACACAGTCGACGTCCACACCGACATCGCCAACGACCCAACGGGTGAAATCAGGCCCTAGAGTGCTCTCATCTCCGCTCCGACCAACGTCGCCTCAAAGCTCTTCAACATTAATCCCATCCAATTCCCGCCGATCCTCACTTGGCGTCGGGCAAACGCCTCGCACGAAAACACCCCCAGGACCTCTCGCAAAGTCTCGCGCCAGAGATCTCTTGAGGAAGCACTATGGCCTCGGAGTAGGTCCACCACCACCTATACCTGGGAGATCAGACGACCCCATGGATTTAGGTACGTTTCAAAAGTCGACGTTGTTCTCAATCTCAGTTCTAACTTCCGATGCTGCTGAAGATTCAGCAGTATTTGACGCAAAATCATATTACGAACAACTTATAACTACATCGTCTTTGTCGGCTTTACTGAAGCGGGAGAACGACTTACTGACAGGTTCGTGCGTGTCGTACAAGACCGTGTGAAACATCCGCTCATTGACTTGGATGTTTCAGAAATACGACAACTTGATGGCGATAGGCAGTCTCTAGTATACAACCACCATCATGAGCTGATTGCAGCTAGTGATACCATAGCTGCGGTGTGTAAATCCACAAGGTGTTTCTTTGTGTAGTCTGATCGTTCTGTAGATGAAGACACGGGCGGAGGGTTTGGACGCAGACCTTGACTTGCTCAAGGCAGCGTTCTCAGAGATATCTCGGTTAGGCGCTAAAGTTTCCGTCGAGGAACACCCTTCAAATAGCAGCTCTCATCTATGAATGTCCCTGCATCTATCGAGGATTCGAACTCTGCCGCGCACATCACCCAAGTATACATGACCGCAAGAAATGAGTGTGTTTTTTATGCAGGATACCCTTAGTAAGCTCCAGGCTTACTATACCACAATATAACTATATGGAATAATGATATGCAAACCACCCATGGCCCTCTCATTGAATCCTCACATAAATTTCTACCGCCCAGGTGGATCCCGATTTGTGGTAGAGACGAGTGATCAAACAGTCCCTCAAGATTTTGGGTAGCCCACGCTGCAAGACTGAGATTTCGTAATCCTTGAAATCCCTTTCCACAGGTACGTGCCTGCGCTGCACGGTGGATCAGTATCAAGCAAAAGGTGAGGCCATTTGGACGTACGCGGACAATGTCCACTAACCCCTCCATGTTCTTCGCTAAAGTGTACAGCAGCTTCTCCTTCGTGAGACTTCCATTATCGGTGGCGATCCGCTTTTCCATAGGGTGTTGGCCATATCCAGGCCACTGCAACGGAGGGATATCAGATTACCGCGAAGAATGTTCTGGTATTTCCACTCACTATCACCACGACCTTGATAGCCCTTTCGCCTATATTGCTGAACACCTGGTCCTGATTTCCTTCCACGTCTGGCATATTGGGGAACTGGTCAATAAGCTCCTTGACAGAGAACGGCTTGCCTCCGCCCTTCCTGTTGAATTTAATGGTCGCATGCTGTGATCCTATCCTATTCCATGAAGTCGGTGGCTCGTGTTTTTCCACGCCCTCAATCTCCGGAAGCAGGTGATATCCTGCAGGAATGACGGTCTGGTACGTCTTTTGATGCGCAGCCGCGTAATGGGAAGGGTGTACAACGTTCCTCTCGGGGTATGGGTACGCAGGGTGGGCAGACTTCGGGAATTAGAAATTTTAGCGGGCAGTGTTTTACGTGCACTTACAGATGACCCTGCGTAGCTGCCGTTTGACGGATGTGGGACAGCTGAATATGGAGCGGTGGGTGCTGCCTAGAAATTCATAACACGTAAGTCAAATTTCAAGTACCCCAACACGCGTCACCTACACCATACGGGCTGGCTTGGTACTGGGTATTTTGCTTTGTTCCACCGAGGGCACCTGCGAGATCTGGGCCCGATGACGTTTGAGGAGGACGTAGAATCTCAGGAAGCGGTTTCATCTATAAGTCGCCTACGTCAGTGGTCTGACACAACACTATAAGTATCACCCTACAGTAAGACCGGAGGTGGCGTTCGGCCGAACGGGGTAATTCATGTATTGAACCGGTGCAGGTTCGAGAGCACCGGTGAGTGTGGAGAAATTTGACAGATAGGTCATTTGCCTGGCATCAGGGTAGGTAGGGGGGTTGTAAGACATGGTTTTAATTGGAGAAGACAGATATGTTCAACGATGATGATGAGTAAGTTGCCTGTCGCTGGCATCTGTGCAGACATTATATAGCACATATCGTCAAAGCGCTCCGTCCACATCCACCAGGATCAGTAAGGTGTCCACAGCATCAGTACAATGGCGCGCTGTGATTGTGGGCTGCCAATACTGTGGAACGCTCTTGATATGATCCACAAGGAACGGTGGATTGGTCGATTTCTTTGTTAAGGTGGTAGTGGCGTAAGACATCACGATTGTATCATGGACTAGTGAAACCGTGACTGCCACCCGCGGACAGACACGACAGGCCAATGCAACGTGAATGGCAATTCATTGATCAACATGAACTTTGGCAATAGAAGACATGGAATAATTTTTTGTGCTGCTGTGGCTTGCCTGTGACCTGACCAAGTTGGCCTCTGAACAAGACAGAACATGTTACAAAGGTCCGGTCCCACGGCCTCACAAGGTAAGAATCAAATGTGTTAGTGCGAGTCCCGGGCAAGGACGGACATCTTGGGAGCAGTTTGGGCCGGTATCAGCTCTACCAGTGCTTGCACTGCACGGTGCCAAGTTCTAATCGTACACGCATTGTACGTGTGGTGGCCAGAAGATGGTGGCTCACCGTAAGAACAGTTCGCATAAAGAAACTACCAAGCACTTGCTTATGTATCATGGTCCTATGTAGACGCCCATCATGATAGTGACACTAATGGCAGAAGTCGAGACTCTACTGCAGTGTGCTGGTCCAGCGGATTGGCTGCGTGTTATCCTGTCAAATCAACGTTTTTACTGATAATCAGTTGGCAAGTCTACTTACTAAATGGTGACTTTAACCTCCCGGAGCTCGCCATGGATCTTGCGCCGGCGCCTACTGAATTTTGAGTTTCACAGTCCAATCGGCACGAAAAATTTGTGATGTACGGCCAGGGAGGCATACAGCTAGTACAGTCGTTTAACCGCTCACGGCTCATCTGCAAACATTTGGTGGTTGAATGTTAGAAGTCTATTTCGATTCTCGAAGAAAGCGCTCCGGGAATCAATCCGAGTCATTGGACAAATTGTAGTAGTTCCCGGCTGCTACGGGAATGCAGTGCCTTCCATCGTTCGGCTACTAGCATTTGTTTCACTGCAAGATATTTTACCCCCCGGACGCCGACATACTTGCACGCTTGAATCCGTGACCCAAACCATACAAGCAAAAGTTAAAAATTCATGCTTCTTATTGGCATCGCTATTTTTAGACCAGACACATAACATGAGCCCTGTGGCTGTGCTTCTTACCGTTGTGAACCGCAGTGACAGCAAAGCCTTGGTCAAGTCAACTCCTTACTTCTGCTTTCATGGCTTTCTCCCAGGTTGTCAGCGCGCTCGACAGTCTCAAGGATCAAGCAAAAGACGCTATCTGGGCCCTCTCTTCATGTCTCTGCCAGCAATCAGCCAAAGTAAAAATTAATGGTCGAACGTGTCAGTCATACCCTTTTCAATACACCTGGATTGTTCGTTTGTAATGGCTAATTTGCGTTTTTTGATATCAGTCAATATAATAAAAGTCCTCGGCGAAGGTGGATTCTCATTTGTGTATCTTGCGCAAGACGAGACTAGTGGGGTGCGTGATCGCATCAGTTCTTTCATACGAATATCTCACATATGGTTGGTACGCCTGCAGCGGCAATTCGCACTCAAAAAAATAAGATGTCCCACTGGGTCGGAGGGCGTGAAAGAGGCTATGCGGGAGGTGGAGGCATACAGACGTTTCAAGTAAGTCAAGTCAATGATGTCTGTATTCCTGTTCTTAAGCATCTGTCAGACATCGAAATATCATTCGAATACTTGTGAGTGACAACGGATTGTCTTCACCTAGTTCCTGAATCACTGCACAGGACTCTGCTGTCGTCCAAGATCCTGAAGGTGAAGGCAAGATCGTATACCTCTTCCTGCCTTTGTACCAGGTACGTTTTCGTGGTGTGCTTCGTTATGGAACATCCATAGACTTTTGGGATAAAGCGCGGGAACCTTCAAGATGCTATCAACCTGAACGTCGTGAATGGGAAGCACTTCCCTGAACAAGACATGGTTCGGCTGTTCAAAGGCACATGCGAGGCCGTGCGCGCGATGCATGATTACCACACAACTACTGGCTCCTCTTCCGCTCAGCCTCAACCATCTTCATCAAGTTCAACTTCACGGGTGGAGGAGAACCACTCCGACGGAGAGGACGAGCTTTTCCCGCACCCAGAGGGCGATAATGAGGGCGGCTACTCTTACGACAAGTCTGTGAACATGCCCCTGATGACAAAACACCGCGCCGAGGGGGATGGGGACGTGATATTTGATGGGGACGAGGAAGCATCTGCGATTCAAATTGCTCACAATGGGAGTGTGCCACAGGGAAAGAGCGAACACATTCCATACGCTCACCGAGATTTGAAACCTGGGTAGGAATATTTTGGTTGGTTGTGATTGCAACTCTGACATTTAAATTACAGGAACATTATGATTGCAGACGACGGAGTCACTCCCATACTGATGGACTTTGGGAGTACCATAAAAGCAAGAATACGGATAAACAATCGATCGCTGGCTCTACTACAGCAGGTATATGCTGCTTTATCTTGTTTTACTGTATTTTATCTCATTCATCTCGCAGGATATTGCCGCAGAGCAAAGCACGATGGCATACCGCGCTCCAGAACTTTTCGACGTGAAGACAGGTGTTGCTCTTGATGAGAAAGTTGACATATGGGTAGGTCTTCTCATGATCGCTCGCGCATTCTCTAACCATTTGCAGTCACTCGGATGTACGCTCTTCGCTCTGGCATATTCACATTCGCCATTCGAAAACATTCAAACGACAGAACAAGGTGGCTCGATTGCGATGGCCGTATTGAACGCCCAGTATAAACACCCGAGCTCAGCGTATTCACAAGGGCTGAAGGATTTGATTGATTGTATGCTGAAGGTTAATCCCAAAGACAGACCGAATATCCACCAGGTAAGTGTTTTTTTGAAAGGAATGTTGACCAACGTTGCTGAAAGAATGCCTGTAGGTTATTGTCATGACCGACAGAGTTCTACAGTCGTTGTTGTAGACCACTACACTATACCTTCGTGGCTCGCACCTGCATTCAAGGGCGTTCTTTTATTTATTTATCTCGCAGCTGTCTATGCATATCTAACGGAATCATCATGATGAGAACTGATCCGGACACATTACCTACCTATTCAAGTAGCCTTGACTCTTGTCCGTTCTTTTTCACCAGGCGCCTTCGCTTTTTTGAGAGGTTTCTCCTGCGACCGTATTGGAGATCGCGGTGGAGCAGAGGGAATTGCAACTTGATCCTTTTGCACTTTGCGCTTCTTCTTCAGAGGCTCTGGAGGCGATGCGTCCGATTTTTCTACGGCGCGAGGTTTAGAACCGGGGGGCTTCCGTTCTCTTGTCTTTACTGTTCTTTTGTCGCCGGGTGATGCATCCAATTTTTCGCCGTCTTGACCTTTGACATCGGCGACCTTCCGCTCTCCCTTCTTCACCAATTTTTTGTTGCGGGGCGCAGCTCCAGCTTTTTGCGATTTCTCCTTCTCAAGCAGCTCGCTCGCTGCTGACTCCTTCCCACCTGCGTCTTGAGATGAGGTAGCTTTATCGGCAGCCTTTTTTGCCTTCGCCTTCGCCTTTGCACGAAGTTTGTTGTGAAGCGTTCGCTTCTCTTTTATTGATGCTTGCTTCGCTGACTGGAAACCTGATGTTGAGAAAGCATGCCTCACGTCACAGCGAGCTGCACCACTCACTCTTTTGAGAGCACGCTTCGACAAACCACCCTCTGTATCAGGGCGATTCTGAGTACCAGTCGGATGTGACGCCTCCTTCTGGACCGTCCTTGCAATTTGCCAGGCATCGCTCTGCTGATCACATTTCGCTGCCAAGATCTTGAAACGCTCGAAACGTCGGTTATGTGCCTGCGGCAGCCTGAACTTCCGTCTTCTTTCAGTTACATGTTCAGAGAAAGGGACATACAGTAGATGCTTTGTGGACTGTCGACATTTGGGTACCCTTGATGACCTTTCCCTTGCACAATATGCAGGCTCGGACATCTGGGTCGAGCGATACGACGTAGATGGGGTCCCTCAATGCTTCTGACAGCAAGATGGGGGGTTCTTCACCATCACTGGCGTCATCATCATCCATCTCGTCTTCATTTTCATTGCCATCTCCAGCTTGCTCTAGGTCCTCTTCGTCTGATTGTAATGGGTCGGCGTCCGAGTGCCCGTCAGAGCTAGAATCCGAGTCTGATGCAGATTCATCTGAATCTGTGTCATTGAACCCCATGAACTCCTTCATATCTTCATCGATTCCTAACTCTTCCTCTTCTTCCAGCTTTTTGCGCTTCTTTTCGACTCGTTTGAACATGGTGATGCGCGGTGAAGGGAGGATGAACAGATATATAGTAGGTAGCGAACAAACTTGATAACCATTTATAATTTCAGTCCTAACTTTTTGCACAGCCACACCTGCATTTTCATTTTCCTCCACATCCCTTTCATGCATCGTCGCGCCGGCCAACTGCTCGCAGATCTCCGGCCCAATGTCCAACCAAGGCAATCATCTCCAATCGTCACGCCAATAAAGAACAATGTTTCGAAGGAGTTCAACCGTCGCCCTCGAAAGCTACCACCCGGTGAGCTTGCTGCAGTCACCAAGCTAACGGATAAACTCGTCCGCGTTGCCGCTGGTACCAAATTTACTCCCAAACGTCCATGGAAGCACACGGAAACGTTACGCGGCGATGAAATGCGTCTACTGAAGATGCTCAAGTCGAAGCCACCCATGACAGAAACGCAAGCTGCCTTTGCAAACGATGTAGAAGATGCAGAGGTTGGTGTAGGACCCGAGGATGCTTCTTTAGCTTCTACCATAGAGGCCGGGACACTTGTTGAGATACGAAAGTGAGTTTATGGCGCGTTTTGTCGTTTATTTGATGGCTTATGATGGTGCAGGGGTTCCATATATGCATATGGTATAGTCTTGGGCCATTCGTATATGAGCGGTCGCATGTGGCATCTCTCCTTGATCAGTACAGGCGAAATCATTCAGCACGTCGAGTCAGATGTGTATATCGAGGTCCCTCGCATGGCCGACAGGGACCTCGCCCTTCGCTCAGGCATCAATGAAATCCCAGTAGACCGCGTACAGACTAATGCGCGCGTTGAAATCCTGAAGTACCTACGGGAAGCCGAAAAAGAGATAAACAAGGCATTCATGATCATCGGACGGAAAAACGCGGGGCTATACCCCCTCGTGAGGGCGAAGCACCCAGACGAGTGGGCGACCGTCAGTCTTTCAGAGGCTGCGAAATTGGTGTGCGATTACAGACCGGAGAGCTGGTCGACACTTGTCGCGACGCATAAATACATCATGGGCCGCCCTATCGAATTTGTGCCGCACATGCAGTTTCAGAGACTTGCGCTCACGTATGATGTGCGGCCAGAAAACCATGTTGGGAAGTTGCAGAGAGTGGTGGATATGGTGCGGAAGAGGAGCCCGGGACTGGAGGCGTTTATTGAGAAAGCTCGGAGGCTCGTTCTGATTGCTAGAGAGAATGCTAGCGAGTCTTGGGATGAGCCTCCGAGGAGAGTTGTCGCAAAGGATATCACGTTTTCCCCAGACGATCGCGCCATCCTCGATGTCTTGCACCTTGCATTACGCAGGACGCGTTCCACCGCTACTGATCCTTTTTCTGGAGTGGTCACATCCATCATCAAGAGAGTTGGCCTTTTTAATCAGACAATAGTGGACGACGTGTGTCTGCGGCAGTTCTTGATAGAGATGGGGGAGATGGCCCCTTGGGAGGATGTAGTCACCCAGAGGAAAGAGCTGAATCTGGACTTGCCGCCGGATGAGGAGTCCCAGCGCGTTAGAGATCAGAACGCTCTTGTCAAAAGGAGCCTGTCTTCACTGCGACCCTCGCAGGCGAAGGCAAAGCAACCGCTAGGCCCAGAAGACTTTTATGACCGTGACCCGGTCGAGCATTTGCGACACGACTTTGGGAGTTTACCGGTCTATGTGATTGACGATGTGAGCGCAGAAGAGCTGGACGATGGCTTGTCAGTGGAACCTGTTCCTAACGAGCCTGGTTCGGCTTGGATACACGTCCACATTGCAGACCCTACTTCTGTCCTTCCACCGACTCACGCTCTCTCGGAAGCAGCACGTCGAATGGGCTCCTCAGCATACTTCATCCACAGGACATGGCCTATGCTACCTCCCTCCCTTACCCATGAACGACTGAGTTTGGGCTCGCATTCTCGTAAGGGGGAGCCAGAGCCTGTACTTACTTTCAGCTTCAAGGTAGATGCTGAAGGCAATATGGCCGACTACGATGTTAAAGCGGGTCTCATTCGCAACGTCATAAGAGTTGACTATGATGGTGTGGATCAACTTCTTGGAAACGGAGGTGTTCAATTTGGCTACCCATTCGAGGCACCGCAATCCCCTGGGGTCTCCCATGTGCCTGTATTAGAAACCAAAGATGTGGAGAACATGCGTCTTATCGACAACATAACGCGCAGGTTCCGACAGCGTAACCGCCAGACACTAAATCCATTCGTATTCTCAGCCTCAAATGCCACTCTCGTGGCTTCTACAAAACCAATTCATGGCGCTCCAACAACACCAGCTTGGAACGCTTCTTATTATCGCGGTTTCCCCAGCCTTACATATGAGGTGTCCTCTCAGAAGATTGAGGAGCGTGGCTCGCGGTTGTTTGTTGCTGAGTGTATGAAAACAGCGGCTCGCGTTGCTTCACGATGGTTCTCCGCAAGAGGAGTGCCGATGTTGCGTCGTTCTGCACTACCTCCTATAGCTCTCGAGGACAAGAGAGACATTGAGAGGTTAACGGCGAAGATGGACGAGGATGGATATGTAGATCACGCGGAGTTCCTCCAGACGAAACTGCACGTTCCATCCGTCGAGTATGTTCTTCAGCCAGGTATACATTGGTCCATGGGTATCCCAGAGGGGGAGGGTTATGTGCGCGTCACATCGCCACTGCGACGGTACAACGATCTGGTTGCGCACTGGCAGATCAAGGATGCGCTGCTTCGACCCAAGGCATCTACGCGTCTATTCACTCCCGGATGGCTCACTACCCACGCCATCGAGGTGCTTGCGTCTGAGAAGCTTTGGAAGCACAGCGAGCGGAGTCATCGCACGCAGTGGACACTTATGTACATCAAGCGCTTCCTTGACCACCCAAACCCTCCCAGTGATCGCGTCGACCCTCTGCAATCCCTCAGTGCATATGTCACGGAGCCTGGCAGGAGGCGCAACTTGTTGACGAACCAGTTTGCTTGTCACATACCATCACTTGGTCTACCAGCAACCATTGTCACACCTAGGACTACGGATATTCCGGTAGGGCAGTATGTGACTGTGAAAGTGAAGGACATACAGGTCGGTTTGAAGGCGCTGTTCATTGTGGAGCTATGTGGGGGTGCATAGCTTTGCTTTATTTAGATTTTGCACGTCGTAACGCACCATAGGTTTATTCAATGCATAATAGCTCTCCTCCGTCGGAACCGAAATCAGTTGTAGTTTTGGAGGGCTATGATTGGTTCGGATGGTGAGCTGACTAAGCCACGTACCATGGTTCGACTACCCATTTTGGGAGCATAAAACGCGCGCTGAAAAAGTCAAGTAACACCAGAACGCGTTCGTGAGACCTGCCCCTTGGACAGCGCGGGAGCTTTGCATCTTGTCCTCATTCTTTCATGCCGTTCGATTCGACTGCCCCAGCTGCGGGCTACGTTGCAGCTTTCATTGACGCTGCGCAGCAGTATGTCACTGCAAATCCTGGCAGAGCAGCTTTGTTGGGACTCTTTTATACGCCAGTTCTCATCGTTGTGCTGAATATCCTTCGGCAGCTGGTGAGCATCTAGGAACCCCCTGTTTGCGTGTCCACTGACTGGTGTCGCTAGGTTGTTCCCCGAGACCCTTCACTACCTCCAGAAGTGTTCCACTGGGTCCCTTTCATCGGGTCCTCCATCGCGTATGGCAATGATCCACTCAATTTTTTCTTCAAGTGCAGGGAAAAAGTACGGTCGTGTGACATACATCTCTCATGTCATAATATTGTCTCATACTCTTCTCCAGTACGGCGATGTCTTCACATTCACTCTGATTGGACGCAAGGTTACAGTCGCACTCGGTGCTAAGGGCAACAACTTTGTGTTGGGTGGAAAATCGACTGCGTTCTCTGCGGAGGACGCTTATACGGCATGTGCAACTTTTTTAGCCTCACAAATGCCTTATCTCAACCACCAACAGCACCTCACGACCCCCGTCTTCGGCAAAGATGTCGTATACGATGTCCCTAACGAAGTTTTCATGGAGCAAAAGAAATTCGTTAAAGTCGGCCTTTCAACTGAAAACTTCCGGGCGTACGTGAGCATGTTCGAACAAGAAGTGGACGACTTCATGCGCAGCGATCAAGCATTTCTCATCTGGCAAATGAACGACATCAATGAATGGGGACGCTTTGATGTCACGGATATCATGGCCCAAATTACGATTTTGACTGCCAGCCGGACTCTGCAAGGCAAGGAGGTCAGGAGTGGTTTGGACAAATCATTCTCGGCGCTCTACAATGACCTGGATGGAGGCTTCACCCCGCTGAATTTCATGTTCCCTAACTTGCCTCTGGAATCATACCGCCGTCGGGACGAAGCGCACAAGAAGATGAGCGAGTATTATACTGATATCATCCGCAAACGTAGAGAAACAGGCCATACTGTAAGCTTTCCCGTTGATGAAATCGAGCTAATATTCATGATGTATGCTGCAGGAGGAATCTGATATGATCTCTGCCTTGATGGATCAAAAATACCGCGATGGCAGACCTCTCCGTGACCACGAAATCGCACACATCATGATTGCCCTTCTCATGGCGGGACAACACACTAGCTCTGCCTCCGGTTCATGGACACTCCTTCACCTTGCGCACAACCTCGAAGTCCAGTGAGTCTTATTTGCACTGGCAGCTAACATATACCGACCGTCCTCATTTTAGGGAAGCACTTTACCAGGAGCAAGTCGAGCACTTCGGCAACCCTGATGGTACTTTCCGCCCGATGACCTATGAGGCCTTCCGCAAGCTTCCTGTTCTTGATTCTGTCATTCGTGAGACCCTCCGCCTGCACCCGCCTATTCACAGCATCATGCGCTACGTCCGCTCTGATGTCCCGGTTCCTGCGACTCTCGCTGCGCCCTCCAAAGATGGCGTTTATGTCGTCCCCAAGGGTTATTATGTGCTTGCTTGTGCCGCCGTCAGCCAGGTTGACCCCCGTGTCTGGGCTAACCCGATGAAGTGGGATCCAGTCCGGTGGAGTGACCCTGAGGGTGTCGCTGCGCAGGCGTTCAAGACTTACTCCGACGAGCACGGCGAGAAAATTGATTATGGGTTCGGTGCTGTAAGCAAGGGGACTGAGAGCCCGTACCAACCCTTTGGTGCTGGTCGGCATAGATGCATTGGCGAGCAGGTGTGTTTGATTCAGATATGCTTTCTGAGGTGATTTCACTGATTCTTCCCATAGTTCGCATATTTGCAACTTGGAACCGTGATTTCCAACATCATCCGCAAAGTCGAGCTTCGGCTAGAGGACGGCATCACAGACATCCCAGCACACAACTACCATGTTCGTTTCTTCAGTTCATCGCCGCTGATGAATATTGTTGACGTCCTTCCACAGACTATGATTACGATGCCTAAAAAGCCTCGCAACATCTGCTACAGACGCAGGAAATTTGATTAGAGGATGCTTCTCCTAGATATCTATACCATACGTCTTTCGTATTTACTCTGATGGATGCCCGGTTACTTGCATAAAATATACCACTTCTAAACTTTCAGCCGCTCAGCGAACTCAATCACCGTTGGAAATAGGGGAGTGTCTCCGAAGTTCAAACATATGAGTGAATACTATATTTGGCCGTTCACATGTCACGTCACGTGAAACCTGATGCCCGCTGCGCTTCATGCCCTGCTCTTCTACATAGTACTACAACTAGTCATGGCGTCTGTCCTTCCGGTGATTTTCATACTCGTCATAGTCCTAGGACTGATGACTTGTGGCTACCTCTTCGTACCAAAGGGCCAACATCAAACGTATGCCTTCTTCACTTTGTGAACGCCAACCCGAACTAATGTCCTCGAATACAGGACAATTCGTACGGCCATCATGCTCACGCTTGCATCGTGTTACCTTATGTGGATGATCACATATATGGCTCAGCTACATCCTCTCATCTGTGTGTCACGAAACTCGTCTCTGTGGCTTTGTCGGCTGACCTATGAATTTCAGCGCCATACCGTTCACTCAAGCCCGAAGAGAGTTTATGATGGACACGCGCCATCTGAGCAGGGAATAGACGTACACCGCTGTCGCTATAATAGATTCTGCAATTAACGAAAGCGTGGTTGAACACCTCGGAGCCATTGTTTCAGATGATATATCAGTGAGTGCCCCGCCGCGTGTACCTTGCGTTCGAAGATACATTGTGGGTGCTTTGCTATGGTTACTATTCGCCCGGTTTTTGTATTTCAAAGGGGCTGAACTTCCTGCTCGGACATACAGCCGTAAAGGCGCGTGCAGATCATTGTTGATCTCAGGATGTACCTAGATTCTGGCCGTGGAAATCGGTTCAATTAATGCAGTTCGTTTTGCATTGGGTGTCATCAGAGTTGTGCTGCGTTGCCATATTTCGCGCACCCTTGTGAAATTGTAGGCCATCGACCGAGGAGGTGGGCGTGAGGCGACACATGCCACATGCTGTGGAGGACCAGGAGCTGGGAGGACAGGCACCGGGAGGTGTGCTTGGGGGGTGGTTTGTAGCCAGGTCAGGTCAGGTCAGTTTAACTCCTGGCTGTGCTCAGATACTTTCTATGCCTGATTTTTTCGCCGACAGAATGTAACCGTGCCGAGTGACTTTCGAGGAAGTGTCACGCTCCCCAGGCCCAGGGCGACGAGGCGGACAGGATGCCGACGCGGCTCCATTGAAAATTTCCGAGACGGAAGGCTTTTTCAATGGTCAAATCACGCTGACGGCTGACCTAGGCCTGCGTTCGATCAATGAATCACATGATTTCACTGATCGCACTGGTAGAAGTTGCAGTTCGTAACTGATGCGCATCAATAAGAAGATCTGCAGAATGGGATCGACGAACGGGAGCAGTCTTTGCGTGTTACTGCGTAGTATTTTCATGATGGATTAGTTGAGTGCGAGGGAGGTTTCGGGCTTCTCAGCCCGGATTCCGCAGCTCCGATGTGAGCAGGTACGAGTGTCAAGCAGGTACAATGCCAGTAGCGTTTCCGCATGCTTGTCGTCTGGGCACTCAGTACCCCCCTGGTGATAAGTTCTACCCGATGTCGTGAGAACATATTTACTGTCGTTTAATGCAGGAACCGGTCCTCAGAATCATATATCCTGACTCCTCGGATAGATCATACTTTGTCGGCCATAAAAGCCCTGAGTGATCATTGTCATACGTCCACCTCGTCCGCCTCACACCTATCCTGGAAGAGTATGACGCTCGTCTCAAATGATCCTACTTGGTGGCCGACGATCAATACAAATCGGATTGCCAGCTATTTTATAGGTTCGTTAAAAGCCACTCACGTTATATCTCGATCTCACATTGGCTGCGATGTCGCAGTTGCTGCCTCTGCCGGAATAGTGTACGATTGGGGTGAGCGATATAGTCTTGAACAACCGCTGACATCCTTATGGTATTTTCAGTTCTGACGTTTGGGCAAGAGGTGGGTTGATGTCGCTACCGGCAATCATCTCACTCAGAAGGGTATTATAGGTCGAACTGGTCTGGGTAAGCAGAGTCTCGAGTCAGAAGAACAACATGCAAATTCAGTTAATTTGCAACAGATGGAACGCTGGTCGTTAATGTCCATTCTATATCTCAGTGTACGTACCTTGCGTTATAAGTGTGGTCGGCAAGTTGTGCTGACTTCAAAATATTCTACATAGGTACGCTACCTTGGCATATCATATGCTATGTAAGTTTGGATGGTCAAGCATTTGGTGTTGGGCTGAACAGTGATCTCACAATCAGCATCCAGATTATTGGTATGTCGCTTCACATTCACCGTGTTTGATTCTTCTGACTAGTGGCGTACTACTTACAGAGGGTGTTCCGACGATCTCGCTCACGGATGTAGTGTGTAGTGTGTACTTATGTCTGCTATTCCTATTTAATTAACCCTTCATATGTAGGGGTGAGTGATATTCTTGACCAGTTCTTTGGTTCAATATATTGACTGTCACAGCTGTGAGTGTGTTTTGAGTCTGTGCATCTCTAATGCTGATCATTCACTTTGTCAGGCCAAACTGCGTATGTCGCAATTACTTGGATGACTCTGGGCGTAAGTGTGATGCTGGGCGGTGAGCAACACAGCTGCAATATTTTAGTGATATTGCTTGACTGAAACATCATGCAAGTCATCACGACGACTCGATTATATGCCATGTATCAGCGATCCAGAAAGATGCTCATATTTCTCGTTGTCACACTCCTGGCTATCAACATCTCCAACGGAGTGATCCTCTCATCTGGATTGCGGCGTTCTTCAGAGGGTAAGCCCCAATAAAAGACTTAGACATCAGGCTCATTTACGGTTACATACCAGAGGAGCTCGTTCTCTTCGGCACCTATCAGTGCAATGTTACCTTCGAGGGAAATACCCAAGTTCTAAGGTCCCTGCCTTTCGTACTCACCACTGTATGGGAGATCATTGCATTGTGTCTCGCACTCTGGATTTCTGTACGCCACTTCCGTGATTTGCAGCGACATTCGGCAGGAGGGATTATTGGGGACTTTGTCACAGTGTTAGTGAAAACACATGTGGCTTATTTTGCGAGGTGAGCCTATGACGTGATGTGGTTCTCTTTTCCGCTGAAGTTCTGCATGTACCTAGCTTTGTTGCTGTTTCTATGTTCTGGATTGGTGGGATTTCTCCGACATTCAATGTACGTCGTTCTGTTATTGTCCTTGGCATCCTACCATTTTCATCATTTCTACAGGATTTTTTTTCCCTGGACACTGAAATTTATCGCGGATTTCTTCAAGTCATCTTGGTCTTACAGCTATTTGTGGTGGGACCACGTCTGATCCTTAGCGTTCGACGTTATCGCGCTGAGCTCATGGCCGACTCTGATGCAGGGACCGGACTCGTTTTCATTGCTCTCCAAGAGCGCGCCCATGTGTCAACTAGCGCTACTTTTTAGCACGAGAAATGCTCGATGCGATTAATACATATCGGGTACTCTGCAGTGCGAAGAATGTCTAACATGCATATCCTCCTGTAGGGGGGAAACACGTTGTGCGTCCCCACGCATCAGTGGCGTCCGTTTGCAGGGCCGACATATGGTACGAAATGAAGGACTATTTGTCATTCTCTGATTCACACCATGGGGCGGCATAGGTGGGCCAATGAAAACCTTAGGCAGATCTTATGGCGCTTGCCGTTCCAGCAATGCACTCCCCAAGTGATTGAGCGGACTGCTACTCACGATCGACGGAAGAGGTCGAGTTTCTAGTACCAACTAATGGGATGCAACGGCGAAGACGGTCCCGCAAGAACGATGATATAAGACTGGTCACAAAACCATAGGAACACACTCTGGGTACTCTGGATGTTACACAAACTGCAACCAACCATTGAGCATGGGTTTGAGTGCGACACAAACGCAAAAAATAAATAGGAGTTTAGTAATCCCCGAGCGCAGGCCGACGGGGTGCTTGCGAAAATTATTAGCCGTGTTTGATCAATGATTTCATTTGGTGCAAGCTTAGTAACTAATACTTGTGCAGCTGCACCGAAAGTCGGTTGCCGAAGCACTACTCTGGTTGCTCCCGACCTCACGCTGGCTGGCGCTAGTGACCTCCCACAGCCTCCCACGGCCCTGCTGCCGCCCACCCGCGATTCAAAATGAACCATTGACTCGCGCCCCAAGCATGAACTTCGTGCTCATTCGGCCTTCAGCTTTGTAGGTGGCTTGTGCATAACTACAGACACATCAATGTGAATACCATAAAAAATCGTGGCTACAGACGACTGAGACAGTGGTAGATTCTAATGGATACCAGAGCAGCTGCAAGGCAGGAGGGAAACAAAACCTTCGTAATGAGGACGCGATCCAGAGCACTGAAGACAGAATGCGAATGCCTGCACCAGGTAGTACGGGTGGCATTAATATTGTGGGAGACAGGGGTGGGCAAGGCAAGGTGGAGGAGGAGAATAGAGGTGGCGACTCGGACTGCGTTGAATGAACAAAGTCAAAAGGTAAATTATTTGTACCATTGCCATTGGATTGGAATATCGTTAATTCTCGCTATTGAAGCCGACGAGGTTTCCAAGGTCCTTTCTTACGTTCTTACGTTTCGGAAAACAATCATCGCTGAGTCGGGAGCTTATAGCGCTTAGACTAGCGAGCAGGTTCAGTAGCGTTCTGCATGTTCGTCGCCTGGGCTTCCAGTCAACGCCCACCGCTCCGTCACACCTACCCTCGAACAATATGACTCTAGTCTCAAATGACCCTTCTTGGTGGCCGCTCGTTAATGCAAATCGTATTGCCAGCTATTTTATAGGTTCGTGGAGAGCCAACGGTTGGATGAAGGTCATGTCTCCATCTAACCTTGGCTGCGGTTTTGCAGTTGCCGGCTCTTCTGGTGTAATTTACAATTGGGGTAAGCAAGACAGTCTTCAAGAACCGCTGACGTCCTTATGGTATATCCAGCGCTGACACTCGGACGAGAGGTAGGTTGATACCATTTCTAGAGCAGTCATCTCACTCAGAATGGTTTCTTTAGATTGATTTGATATGGGTAAGCAGAGTCTCACATTGTAGGGATAAGACGCACATGCAATTAATTGGTGACAGAACCGACACTGGTCCCTCATGACCGTTATGTATTTGAGCGTATGTATCTTCTGAAGTACGGTGGGCAAGTTGTGCTGACTTAAAAAATATCCCAGGTGCGCTACGTTGGGATTTTCATTGCTATGTATGTTTGGAAGGTTAAGTATTTGGCATCATGCTAATAAGCCATCTTTCATAATCAGCCTCAACATTCTAGGTGTGTCTCCTCACACACACTGTTGGTTTGTTATAACCGGTCCATACAGTATATTCTCCGACAATCTCAATGACAGATGTAGTAAGTATTCTACACTGATGCCTGCCCTTTCCGTCCAGTTAACCACCCTCCCATGTAGGGGTGAGTGAGATTCTTGACCAGCTTATTAGTTCAATCTATTGACTGCTACAGCTGTGAGTGTCTTTTGAGCCTGTAATCCTCCAAGACTAAATGCGAACTGGATTTGCAGGCCGCATCATCTACATCGCACTTAATTGTATGATTCTGGCCGCAAATATAATGCTAAGCGGTGAGTAACGCAGGTGCAATACAGTGATATTGCTTGACTGAAATATCATGCAAGTCATCATGACGACTCGATTATATGCCATGTATCGGCGGTCCAGAAAGGTGCTGATATTTCTCGTTGTTACCCTTCTGGTTGTCAGCATCACCAATGGAGTCATCGTCGCAATTGGAATGATGGGTACTTCAGAGGGTAAGCTTTAATGAAAGCCTTAAAGTGCATCAGGCTCATTGACGGTTACTTACCAGAGGAGTACATTCTCGTCGGCACCTATCAGTGCATTGTTGACTACGAGAGAGCCGTCCTGATTCTAAAGTCCATCCCTTGGATACTCTCCACCGTATGGGAGGTCATTGCATTATGTTTCGCAATCTGGATTGCTGTAGGACACTTCCGTGAACTACAGCGGGAATCAGCAGGAGGGATTATTGGGGACTGTGTCAAGGTGTTGATGAAAACACATGTGGTTTATTTTACGAGGTGAGCCCATAATGCGAACGTGGTTCTCTTTTCCGCTCAAGTTCCGTATGTGCTAGCTTTGTTGTTGTTTCTTGCTTCTGGTTCGGTTATTTGTCTCCGGCGTTCACAGCGGTATGTTGATATGTTAATTACTGTTCTTTTGCTCACTAGCATCATGTTTATAGAACTTGATTTCTTTGGAATCTGAGATTTATCGCGGATTTCTTCAAATCATCCTGATGGTGCAGACGTTTGTGGTGGGACCACGCCTGATCCTAAGTGTTCGAGAGTATCACGCTGAGCTAAAGGCCGAGTCCGAGCGCGATGCAGGAACTGTCATAACTCTACTTACATTTCAGGAGAGTGCTCAATTGTCAACTAGTAGTAGTGTGTAGCACGAGGAATGCTCCAGGTGATTAACATACTCTGCTGGCCTGGCGTCTTCAGGGATTGGCATGAAGTTGATGCAAGTACATAATTCTCAGTTGTGCGTTCCCCCGCATCAGTGGCATCTGTCTATATAGGGTCGACGTGAAAAAAAGGACTATATTTTCTGATTCACATAATGAGAGGTGGGCCAATGAAAACCTTGGGCAGATCTAACGGCCCTTGCCGTTCGTTCCAACAACATACACGCTCCCATGGAATCTACGTCATCCATTAATCATGATTGAGCAGAATCTAATCACCATCGACTAAAGAGGTCGAGGTATATTACTTCCAGTACGTGTACAGTACGGGATGGAACAGCGAGGAGCAGCAAGAACGATGATAACAAGCTCGTCACAGTACCACGGCAATACACCATTGATGTTACACAGAAAAGAACGAAATGGTTTGAGGAAGATGAAAGTTCGACACAACACATATAATATAAAAGTGAAGGATAATGTACGTGGGATAACGGAAACAATCTGTACAGGTGACGGTGTATATCATGATGGAAAAGCAGTTCGACAAGAAGGCAAAGCAGGGCGAGGCAAAGTTACGCAATATCATGATGCATCGGGTATCAAACAGAACATCGGCAAACAATCACACGAGAGCGGCAGATTGCAAGTATCCTCGGAAAATCGAGTCTCGCACTGCATGATAGATTAATTGCCGAAAGACCGTGGTTGCATTTTTGGAACGTACCGTTTCCTATGATACTTTGGGTTGCTTTGGTGTCCTGTGCGGCCGCCAAGCCATCAATTAGCGCTGAACGGGCAGCGAGATCAAAACAAAAACGTACCACAACATTAGTCAGGTGGGTGTACAGCACACGCCTGTTTTCGTTATTCCGTCTGTGGACTTGAAGGAAGTGGGCACGGAAGTACTGTACAACCGAGTCGTATTCGTTTGGACGGTCGCCGTACGAGAGAATGCTGAGGCCAGCTCTGAGCACGTTGCAGATAGAGAATCACGAAGAACGTACTATTTCGAGACGCATAGCCCTCGTTCGAGTTTCTTTCTTAAGATATCGGTCTTGTCTGCGATGGGTAGAATTAATTAAGACAATTCGTGGGACTGCCAGCGTGAGACGACCTACTCAAGAATAAGACCAAGTGAACTTTCTTCAGGAGCTGATTGGAGCAAATTTGTGTAAAAAGTTGAAGTGAGTCATCGATACGGTTTGTACGAGGGTCTTCCTCGAGGTACTGGGAAGCACCAAAGTATGTGAAAAATACCACAAACAGCAGGTGCTGAAGCTCTTACCTGATCGAAAGCACTGATTGGGCTAACAAAAATGATAGCGTTTGCGTCGTCGAAGTACGGTACCCACGAATGACGCTGTCCCCTGGCGCCACCGACGTCAAAGAGATGCCACGTCACAGTCTTTCCGTGAATATCAACGTCAAAAATATGCTCAGCAACGCCCATAGTTTGAATGCGTGCATGAAGAATATCGTCTATGAGGAGGTGAGTACGAAGATATCGGCTCGAAGAAAAACGCGCACCAGTGGACGGTACATAATTCCGCGCGGAAATACGTGAGATGTCATTCAAGAAACTGAGCAAAGATCCGTTTTTAGAGAAGAGAAACTTGCATGTATGCGCATACTCACAACTCCGACCACTCATCCAACTTTAATTTTCGGCTCTTCATCAAGGCACGGACAACCTGGTTCTCCCACAATGTCCGGATATCTTCCCTTGACTGTTCCAACATTCTCGCGACATCATCCACAAGAGGGTCAGCATCAATAACTGACAGAGCTGTTCCAGGACGCTCAATCGTCAGTTCGTCCTCGGGTGAACTGGACTTTGGGTGCCTGCGGAGCAGCTTCTGACCTTTTTGGATGGTCCTCGCTTGCCATCCGCTTCGAACGTAAACTTCGCCTTTGCCGGACCCCGACACAGAAACACCCCCACTCAAGCGATCAGCAAGCTGAGGCTCAGTATTTGTAAGTGGCAAAAGCCGTCGTCGGAGATCCGATATCGCAGTAGATCCCCGGATAGGACTAGATGCAGTTGGACTAGTGGGTGACGTAGGTGAGGGTGGCGAAAGGGCTACACCGATTTGTGAGCTGTGTATGCTGGGTGTTGCGGAACTTGAAGCCCGAGGAGGAAGGTAATCGCCGAGTTCCTGACGCTCGAGAGTGCTCTGGGAGTCAGTCCCATCATCGATGTCGTCCCAGGCTTCTAGCGTTGTAAGAATCTTCTTGATAGAGCGGACGACATTGAAATAGACGACGGTTCTCCATGACATGCGCTCGCTTTCGAGGGAAGCAGGACTATACATGAGCTGGAACTGTTTTTGCAGTGTTGATTTGCCAGATTCAGCTTGGCCGAGGAGAAGTAGCTGTCGCATATAACGGTGGTCAGCTCCATAACCCAAGCGTATGCATAAAAGACTTGAAATGACCTTGACATCACTTTTGGATTTTTTCAACTTTTCCCTCTCAAACCTGAGTTCTTCGTCTATCTGTTCTGAGATTCGACGCGCTTCGGCTTCGTGTTGCAACCGAATATGGCGATCTGTGTCTGTTTCCTCTGGAGGGGGTCTTATAGCGAGAGATAAAGGGTCATCTTGACTACGAATGGAGGAAGTTCGCATCATCGTGGTACGAGGACAAGAGCAGAGTGAGACAAAAAGCCGTTGATATTACTTATCCGAAGATTTGCTTGGGGAGGACTATTAAAGACCAGGCGTCACAGCCCGTCGCGTCACATTGTCACATAATCACACATGGTAATTCCTCCTCTCCTCCATCAAGACCGACTGACTAGCAATTTTCTTGTAGTCTGTAACGCTCCATACAAGCCACGGCGAGCTCAAGGTGCGCCCATATGCGCCCACTGCATATTCTCTGCGATTCACCCGGAAACGTTGGGTGATTTAGATCGAAATATTCTGCGAGGCTGTCCCGAAAGCAGCAGAGGTATAATATTACTTCCGTTTATCCGTGTTCCGAGCTTGACGAACCCTAGAACTTTCTTGCGCTGTGCGCTTCGAATTACTATGATGATTGCATATTTCACCGCAACATCAAAGGGTTCATGGTCCAGACGGGCGACCCTTCTGGCTCAGGAAAAGGTGGCCAAAGCATATGGGGGAAACCCTTTGAAGACGAGTTGCGGTCCACGTTGAAGGTACCGATCTTCGCACAAGCTGATAGATCTTCACCCAGCATTGCTCTAGTTTAACAATCGTGGTATGGTTGCCATGGCAAACTCCGGCCCCGACTCGAACAAGTCGCAATTCTTCATAACCTATGCAAAACAGCCTCATCTGGACAACAAATATACGATTTTTGGCAAGGTCATTGATGGTGCAGACTCCGCACTTGACGCTATGGAACGCGTCCCTGTGAATCATAAGAATAGACCGCTCTCCGAGATCAAACTGACTCATGTATGTTATCACTGGTGGACTAGACAACAAGTACACTGATATGATTTTCTTTAATCATCATTAGGTGACCGTGCATTCGAATCCCATTGCGGACGCTCTGTTAGTTCAACGTTGAACCTAAATAGGAACCTTAGGGTGCAAACTCCAAAATCGTTACATCAGATGAACTTTCTTTACTGCTACAGCTAAGGAACACCTCTGGGTATGTGCTAACGTTTAATAAACCCAACCAGCTCTTTCTGCAACTCTCTTTGTCGTCGCGCTTTTTCTAGGTCATCCACGCTTCGCAGATCATAGACAATATCACGTGTTTTCCCGAAGTACACCTGTGCTATGATCAGGTCCCGAATGTATAAAGAAAGAGAACTTCGTACCTCTTGAAGAAGATTTCTCATTTTCATTTCCATTTCCTCGATCATCTTTCCCGTGTTCGTAATATGCGAAGTCGGTTCATGAACAGGCCAGTCCTGCTCGGTCTGCGGGAAGTGAAGGTGTGTGAAGGTCCCACATCAGGTTAGATGGGGAAGCTAGCCTACCTGTCTCGTCATGCTTCCACTTAAGGTGATTTCCCCCGACGACTTCCATCCTTGCTCAGAAGCCTTTTCTTCTGGTCCGCTGAGAACGGATGTTTCATCGGCCTTATTGTTCTGTTTCGTTACAAGCTCCAACATGACTGTAGATGTGAGCTTGTAGTGCGCTTGTCTTCCGCGCTCTGCGGTCTCAAAGACATGGATCGAGTCCCATGAACCTGAAGGCTCGTCAGGGCTTGTGGGTATCATTGCTAAGGTGCAGGCAGTTAGAGAAATGATCTTGAAACGTTGGAAACACAGGTATCAGTAGGTTACCCACCCTTCTTGAGCAACACAACGCCTGCAAATCCGCCATCTTCGAGATCCCAAAGATAAACAGAAGACACACCACCTTCATAATATCTATTATCAAGATTCATTAGATACTTGTGCGAAGACCCCGGCTGCAAGCATAATCTATGTGTGACACGTACAGTTCGCGATATGTATCGAATGCCTCATTGGCGGCAATCTCAAGCTTGCGAAGCTTCGGTGTTGGTGCTGTACCATCTTCTATGGGAGGGTCGTATTCATTCGACCAAGGTGACCTGGTGAAACGCATTAGCACGTGAAGCCCACTGTCTATGATGCTTGAAATAAAATTGAAGCCTTTGTCGCTCCATGAAATTCAACTTATGCAGTCACCCAGAAGACATTCACCGCAAGCGCAGCAGAGAACTCACCGATAGCTATCTCCATCCCTATTGTAATCGCATGCAAGATAATCCTTCCCTGTTGCGCGGTCTGTCTTGACCTTCAGCGGCTGGTCGACACTACCTAGAAGATCATCTGCATAGTCCGGGCAGATCTGTATGAGCGCGTTTACGTTCTCCTCGACGTTGGTAGGTGGGAGACGACGCATCAGATCGAGCATCGAGTCAACTGGATCTGGCCCTTCTGTCATCGTGGACTACTCTGTGGACGGTCGTATGAGCTTGAACAGAATGATTGATATACGAAATTGAAGGAAACTAGCATCACCGTGTCACGTTTGCCAGATTCCGTTCGGAATCTGAACAGCATCCGGCGCCAGGCCAAATCAGGATGTTAGTCTTTGGCGCAAGTCTCTCCTAACCGTCAAGCCTTTCAAGGCCTACGGGTATAAACTTTGTACACATCAGACTCAGGAGTCTATGTATCATATGTCTCGGCGCCAAATCATATATCTCCATGCCCAGCGTTGTTCATGCCAACTCATCGTTCTGCAGCGCAACGGGCCGGCACGCGTCCTCTTTCCTCATTACTCGAGCCACCAAATGATTGAATATTGAATTAGTGTGTTCGGAAAAGTGGCCTCATTTGCCGTCCCTCAAGATCATACCCCTGAACTCGGTCAAAGAACGGAAAAACTAGCCGCCGAGGATCACTTCTATGTCCAGACTATCTGGGACTTCAATCAATGGGGCATGCCCTCCCACAAGATCATACACCCGGGCCTGGACAAAGACTGGAAGTACTCTCCACCGGTGGTCACTTCTACGTCCGCATCTTGGACTTCAATACACGGCCATTGCTCGTTCGTGATATAACCACGATTCCGGCTCATCAAATCTCCCCAAGCCTGGTGTGGCGGCTCTGTATTCAGTCGCGCTTGGATAAAGAAATCATCTCGAACCATCCTTACAGTGCTACCGTCTGACGTGCGTCTGTTTCGATGGATGGCATCCGCAAGATGTTTCTGGAACGGGATCGTCTTACTTCAACATGAATTTGTGTTCTTAGTCGTGCATCTAGCGATGATTTAATTTAATTTGCTAAATTGTAGTCGCGAATTGGCGCAGTTGATATTCAAGTCCTCTCCTCAGTAGAGACGGAAGCTCGGCCGAAGCAGACATACCGTCGTATGACGTACGAACCCGCCCATTCACTCGATAGGTTCAATTCGGAGTGATGCTTCCATCGACATCTCAGAGTCGATTTGTTCATCTATCGTTATCATGGCAACTTGCGCTTGTTCTAGGTGATGAGGACACACCCGTACGCACCCTGATTTGGCATTCTGGCTACCACAACACTCTGAAGTTACGCCAATACCCTAGAGCTCCTCACGACCTCTTCCACACTGCTTGACAGGTGTTCCAGGATGATAGATTAATAGGAGTGTGAGATTCGTTGGGTGTTGGTCGACAGAGATTCAATCATTGATTGATGGTACAGGTCGGTGTTATGGGACGATTCGTTGATGCTAAAGTCAAATTAGCGTGCACGTGCAAGGGAAGCGAGTCATGCCTCTCGTGCATCGCTATGAGCAATTCATCATTTGGTGAGATTGAAAGTAGAGGTCAGGGGAGCGAATGCCTGAGCGAAGTATGAATCACACGACGGCGAGAAACGGGGAACGAAGGCATCAGATATGTACTGATGTAACGCACCTGTGGAAGGTGCTTCAGCACCGCGAAAATAGACTTTGGGGATTTTGGTCGTGAGACCGCAAAGCAATCGTGCACGGGCAATGTTTCTCGAATGACACTGCAACTCATGTAAGCCTCTGAGAGTTTTGTGGTGTCGGTGTTGTAGTCCCGGGCTAACGTTAGCCCATCAACTGCATGATGGATCTAATAATCAAATGACACTGGTACCGTAGTACTAGTTCTGCATAGGTAATATATTACCTGTGCTAAGTTCTCACGGCGCAGATCATTGAATGTGAAGCAACATCCAATTCATCGTGATTCAGTAGCACCACGAGTTTGGTCAAAGACTCTACAGCTGAAGCTCAAGTTAACGCCAAAGCCGACTCATTCACGGTACTACACTAGGCCTGAAGCTCGCACGTCCGCAGTGAATTCGTGTCGTTTGCATCCAGAATTCTTCAGGCATGCGCCACCGTCCACGGGTATGCAGTGTTTCTCGGCCGCGAGGGTTGCAGCCAGGCTTTGATCAAAGACATGACTGTGTGACACCGTCAGTACAGTATGTTGCAAATGACTTTAGAATCTCGTTTTCAAAATTGTGTTTGTTCCTTTGTTTTGACGTGTGACTTGTGTCACACTTGGTCAATCATTCCGGTTTTCACGCCACTGCCAGCCAGGCTAGATTATCTGATGATCAACTAGAGTTTGCACATTTTAAAACATCTGTATCTCTACAACACATCCACATAAAAATATAATTTCTTGACGGATAGATAGCCTGATATGGAAAGTACAAGACCCGCTGGTTTTTTCTTTCAAAATTGACGTGTTGAGTCCAGTGGAGAGTTACCGCGCAGAAAAGTGTGATTTTCCCTAAGTATGTAGATTCAGACTAGAGCCGATGCGCGAACTCTTGTGATGCGCGAACAGATTAAAATATTTAATATTTAGCATCTCTGATCACTCCTGAATTCAATTCAGAATGCGCCAGAATATGAACAATGGAAAACTGTTGGAATTTTCTTAGAAAACTAGCTCAATGTCTTGCAAAATCACGCGAGTATGGCCAGAGTTACACAAAATCGTTGCGGACAAGGCCATATATTATAATTATTTAGTATTGACAGTATTGACAGAAGGAGTGCCGTTAAGTTCAGATTGAAGATACGAGTGTCAGAGTGCAATTGATACACCCTGAGGTGGAGGAGACAATATTTTCGAGTCATTGATGTGACAGAAAGTCCCGCATTTGGCTATTACGAATTATTTTACAAACACCGGGCTTGCAAAAAAATTCTCGTGCATTCTAAAGTCATTTGCAACACACTGTAACCATGTCAGTACTTGAAGCCTTGAACCTACCAGCTTACTGCAATCCTTCCAGCGCGTATTTCGGACTCAAAATGTCTTTGTGTGCAGGTACCCACCAATCTTCAGCGGATATTCCCAGCGACTTTATGATGGAAATGAATGCTCGCCCTTTGTCGATGCTATGTTATTTGTTTCACATGTGGTCGACACAGGAAGGAGTGGCTTCTTTCCCTGATAGAAGCTTCGGCGGTGTCGAGAACCGCACCGTGAATGAATTACCGAAATGATTGAATCAGGATGTTCACAGTTTTCCAACAGTAGAACATGTCACGCCAAGTGCGAGTCCCTTCTTTTCATATTTGTGACCTACACCTACTGATATTCAGTCGAGGACTCCTGATCTGACTTCCTCTTTTGATTTGCATTCTGACACTTTCTTCAGTCAATCAATGCAGGAACGGATACATTCCCTTTGATGATTGGCTCATTTAGGCCATACAAGCGCTGGATGGTGTTATATCTAGCATCGATGTCATCGTCATACGTCCATCAAGTTCCCCACTCGCTCACATCCATCCTCTAACAGTATGACCCTAGTATCAGACGACCCTAGTTATTGGCCACTCATCAATTCATGGTGTATTTCCAGCTATTTTACAGGTTCGTGAAGAGCAGCCAGATATTGACGCTGATGTCTTGATCTCACCTTAACTGTGGTTTCGCAGTTGTCGCCTTTGTTGGAGTGGCGTATGATTGGGGTAAGATTGATTACATCAGAGAATTGCTGATTTCCTACAAGTATTTTTAGGCCTTACGTTCGGACAAGAGGTATGTTAATGCTATGACCGGAGCAACTATTTCGCTAAGAATGTTTTATAGGT